CATGGATAATGGCGTCGCTATAGTACCCGGTTGCTAGGGCCAGCCTCCCAGGCTCGCAGCCCGACCAACCCCTGGATTTGGTCTATTTTGCGCGCTCGCTCCCGGCCAGGATGGCCAGGATGGGCACAGTGCGGGGCCGCCTCTAGTACCCGGACGCAAGGGCTCCTAGATGATTGTGCGAAAGACAAGCTGAAAGCGCCGCCCGCCCAACGGAATCTTGACCGAAAGCACTTCGCATCTCTTATTGTCCGCCGGCGGGCGATGGAGGGAGTTATCCTCGAATCGCAACACTCCTCCTCAAATGGCGACCACAGTTCCAGCCGGCTGCGATTCGAGTAAGAACCAAGGTCAGTGGCCTGACACCCCTTCAAGGTTTGGCTCGGCCTGTCTATGCCAGTCATACTTTGAGGCGAAGGGGAGGAGCCCCGAAAAGGAGTCAATCTTTTGCGGCCATGAACCGGCTCAGGCATCTCCGAGTCTTCCGCTTTTCAATCTTCCTAATCCTCGGTTCCTGGCCTGGTGTGGTGCTGAAATAATTTTGATCGCCTTTTGCTGCTATAGCCCTTTTCTGCTTCTTCTTCTTCTAATTTTTTTTTGGGCTTTGGATGGATTTCCTCCTTTCAGCATTGGAGCGCTGTTTGTGACTTTCGCTCTTTCCGCCTGTGCTCAAAGGTGGGGTGGCAACTCGAAAGGGCGCTTTGTCAAACTGGTGACTCGACAACGTCATCGCCACCCCTCCACCTTCCGCTTCAAACCTTCACCCCTCTCTGTCCCTCCACGGCGGGTCCGCAAGGACTGAAAGGATCAATGGAGAACGGGTACATGGCGGGTCGATGCTTCCTCGCTCGCTCTCTCATGGGTGCCTCTTGCGAAACCTTCCCACCCCAAAAATCCTTCCACCCCACCATCTCCACTGCTTTTACTGAACCGCCCAACCTCCCCAAGGCCCTGGCGCTGGGGAGGGGGAAAGGGGAGCGATTGATCAAATTGTAGTCCGTAAAATCGATCTGACCTGTTCAAACTGGAGCCTTCAGATCTGGACCTGTAATAGCGGAAGGAACCACCTGGCAGAGGCGGTGAAGAGAGGGTGGCTCCAAAATGGAAAGTTTCCCACCATTGACGGAGTGACCTCCAATGAGGTGAAGGCTATTGGGCGTATTTCTTGGTTTCTGAGAATTTCTCACTTTTAGCCTCCTTGACTCTTTCTTTTTTGTTTCTTTTGGGGGTGTCTCTGATCTTCTCGTCGGTGTGGTCTATAGTGGCCAAGGAGCGAGGCAAGCCTCTCCCACCCCACCCCTCGTCACCCATTTCCGTACCTTGATGTGCCTGGCTGCTCCGCCTGCCCTCCGTCAAGGGGATCCCTTCTAGATCACTTCGTCGAACAGATAAGAATACCGAGAATCATGACTTGAGCTCCACCAACTTTCCCTGTACGCTGAAAGCACCGCCGTCTATCGGGGCGGTGGCTTGGGTGCCTCGATGTTCGGACATCATGCTACCTCAGTAAACTACTAGGCAATCAAAATGGGTGAACATCAGTGTAGGAACTGTTCCTGTCACGTCGGCTGCGACCCTTTCAGGTTTCTGAGGTTCTCAGGTTGATCTCAGTCACTCAGCACAAAGCGATCCACCCCGCCCACTCATTTACGCCAAAGGCCCCGGGAGATCAGCGCTATCCTTCTCTTGACGCTGTCGCTTGTGGCCGACAGCTGTCTTTTTGTCTTGGACATGTTGAGCTGTCCTGCGCGAAGTCAGGCGGGATCGCCCATGCACCACACGGAGTGGTTGTCGCAGGTTGGTTACGAGGTAGTGAGCAGAAACGCATTGCAGGTTGAGGCCAACGGTCTTACAAAAAGCGCAACTCAAAGAAGTTCTGTCGCCTAATAATACCTCGTACTCCGTCCCTCAACCCCGATTTGCCTTGGACCTTGTCACATTCCAAGACGAGGAAGCAGCTGCAGAGAAGGTCAATGTCTCTTCCTCCAAGACAGGGGCAACCCCTCACCACCACCGCTAGTTGGCTCGCCTTCTCGTGTAAAAGCTCGGCCCTCCCAACTCCCTGGTTCCTCCAGCAACATTGAATTGCAACCTCGAGAAGCGCCCATAAAACCAACCTCAGGGCCATTTTTTCTCGAATTGAATATCGTTTGCGGTAGCTCGCAATAAGAGGAGATTCCATGCGAGGCTAGGCGAACCTTGAGGAGTAACAAATCATGCTAACCATGTATTGTTCAACGTTTACCACTGGGGGACAGAAGAAGAAGAAAACGAAGAAGCAGAGCAGCAAAATATCATGCAGAGGAGGGAGCGTAGGCAGGCATCTCCACAGTCTACCATGCTTGTTTGGGCCCCCTGAGGCAAGTTTTTAAAGTCTACAAGGAGGAGCGGCGTTTGTGAGCACCATGCATTATCGCCCCTGGCCTTGGTGTGCCTGCCGGCCCTGCAGGTGGCAGGAAATCCTTCTCGGTCGCCGTGCTCCGCCTTTGGCTTAGATCCAAAGGACGGACAGTGCCTTGGGGATGGATACCCATTCAACGGGGTGCAATGCAGCGCTTGGTTAGCCAAGAGGCTGGGAGAAACAACTTGGAGTGCGGGGTCCGAGTGGCCTGGCCATGCTCCAAAGAAAAGAGAAAAAAGTGAGGGGCGGAACCTCATTTTGAGTGGGCAAGTGTTGCTGCCAGAAAGAAAGAAGAAAATTTGAAGAGGACAACGAAGTTATTCATGAACACTTGCATTTTGAAGCAAGCGTTTGGAGGTTCAAGCCTCGAGGAGCATGGGAAGCTCTACAAGGTAGTCTAGTACGTATCCTCGATATTGAAAGTGATCTGTGATCCATTTTACTCCCGGGCAACCCCGTGATGTTCCTCTCCAAGCTGTATGGATGTGCGTGCGTGCGTGCGTGTGCGTGTGTGTGTGGGCACCAAGTGTGTGTGGGTACGGTGTCGTCGGACTAGTGATACGTACCTTGCACGCTTTTGGCGCTGATTGATCGCTAAATAAGCAACGCAAGGGGTGAAATGTGGGTTGTGGATAGATGAATTGAGAGGAGGAGATGATGACATCTCGATATGTATGCCAGGCACTTCGGTGCTCAGTCAGCCGGCCGGAGTTCAAAGATATAGACACGCCGCCTTGATTACGCCCATCTCAGGACCAACTTGGGCTCCCATATTAGGTAGCCTCCCGGTTCCGTCGCTGTCATGTGCAGGCTTTCCGTTCTTTACATTGATTACACAGGCAGATAAAGGCCGCGCCCTGATTTTAGAGTGCGGAAGCTATGGCCAGCCCCCAGCTCATAGAACACAAGACTATTGTTCTTGATGTGCGTGGATCAAAAGTGGTCGCCACTTGAACGACGTGGAGTGTCGTGTCGTGGCATGCCCTGGTTGCTGCTCCCATCATCGGAGTCATACCAGCGCATCTGCTGCTGGTCCAGATTCAAGCAGATCCTGTTACTGAAACTCAGCTCCGATTCTTCTTATCTTGTCCTGATTTCGTCGCATCCGCCTAGTTGGTTTTTTCCTTCCTTCGGTCCTTCTTTTTCTTCCCTTCTTCTGTTTTTACCCCTACTCTTGTTCCCCCTCCCTTTTCTTTTTCTCTCCCTTCCTGGCAAGACAACCCCTCTCCACCCCTCACTCAATCTGACTCTCATCGAATTTGTCTCATTCGGGTCGCTCGTGCAAATCGCCCACCACTATTGCCAGTTTCAGTCCAGGGCATGTGTCTTTGCTGTCAGCGCAGGTCCCAGGTTCTCCACCCAAACTCTCCACACCCTGTACCTTCCACGGCACAACCAACATTGAAGCGAACTCCCCTCAAGCTAGGCTAGCACCTGATGGTGAGCCATCGGTGCTGGACCGGAAAACTTTAGCGCGGCGGCCCCAGCAGTTCGGCAACAAGTTTGATCCTGATGGTTACATCTCATCGCACTAAGACTAAGGGTAGCGTCAATGTAGTCATGTCTTATAGAGAGTAGAACCCAAACCTGACATTGAGGTACAACTAAACCATCATCATTCTTGATGCGACAAATATTACGGACAGAGTACCCCGTGCATGTCCCTTGGTGCTAATCGACTTCATCCAACGATATGGTGCTACTTCCCGCCCCTAGCTTTTACGGTAGCACCGCAATGTGGACAAGGAGGGAGACAAGGGAAAACCAAAAACCTTCTTATTCGTGCCTTTTGGTCCTGTTGGTGGCTTGTGGCAACGGACTTCGTCATCGACTTTCCCTTTGCGACCTCTCCGAGTAGCCTCAGGGCAGGCCAAGTACTGCCAGGAGTAAAAATCTTTTAGGCTCATTTGAGTGTCTCCGGCCGACCCGCGTACCCTTTTTAGTGAGAGGCACCCACAGCTGGATCCATTCAGTGATGACCTCGACAAACGGCATGCGCCAATGGTGGGTTAGATTGAGGATCAATCCATTCCATATTCCATCCAAATGTACCTCTGCCACGAATGTACAGTGCACGAAGAGCATCACAGGTCAACATGAAGACAGTGCCATCGTCAACTGACTGTGGAAAATCTATTTCGACTCTTAAATCTGTTTAGATTTCGTTCCATTTATTTCTGCCTTCGCCTGCTATTATAACTACGTCCTCATTCTTGTCATTTTTTTCTCTCGCTGCCCCTCGACCTCGATTTTTCCTCCTCTTCGCCTCTCCACCATTTGCAGGGCGTACCCGCCGTCACTTCCAGCTCCACTTCCTCTTTCGCTCCCTGTCCTAATCATTCTCAAACACCCCCCTCTTCTCTCTCTCTCTCTCTCACCCACCACAGCCCGCTCGCACTTACCCCCGTCCCCGCATCCCAAGGTCACCGACCACCCCTCCCCTGCCACCCTTCCAAAGTCCGCCCCTCAGCCTCACCCAGGGCCACTCCCACATATCTACCTCCCGCATCCCGCTGTACCTGCGTAACCCTGCCTTTCCCCCTTTCCCCTTCCATCTACCTCCACCCATCTCGCCCCATTTCCGACTTCTCTCAACCAGACTATGTCAGGCGCCTTTCGCCCAGTAAATTCTTCATTACAGAACACCGATGCGAAGACCGATATGACTTCCCCTACGACGCCTCGTCCGGCTGGTGCCCCGACTCTAGACCAGCCTAGGCACGTCGAGGATGCTACCACCCCCACCAGAGCCTCCTTCAAAGCCTCTCTTTCCGCGCAAAAACCCCTCCCGTCGTCGCCTTTCCCACAGGCTGTCCAAGTCCCCAACTCCGCCCCGCCCGGCAGCCAGTTCCACGAAAGAGAGGGATCTACGCAAGCGAAGAGCGAAGACATCGAGATGGAGGGCACATCCTCGGGCCCTACTGACCCTTCGATGGCCGGAACTGAAAGCATCGAAGAGGAGCCATGCTCTGACGATGAAGAGAGCGTAAACGCAGATGGCTCCAAGTCGGGCAAGAAGAAGAAATCCCAGAGGTTTTACTGCACAGACTACCCCCTTGCAATCTCAGCTTTACCAGGAGCGAACATCTTGCTCGACACATCAGGTCCGTCCCTACTCCGACCCCTCCGTTATCCTCTGTTCCCCAGGACCAGAATACGTTTCCGTCTGTCTCATTTGGCTAACTCTTATTCAGAAAACATACCGGGGAGCGCCCATTCCAGTGCCACTGCTCTCGGCGCTTTTCCAGATTGGACAACCTCCGTCAACATGCCCAGACCGTACATATTAACGAAGACATCCCCATCGACTCTCTTGCTGCGACCGGCTCTAGGTACCAGCGACAAATTCGCACCGACAGAGTCCGCCCGACGGGCCGCGCGAGGGCATCGACCGCTGGTAGCGTTGGGGGTCCCATCCGTGGACATTCCAAGAGCCTATCGACGTCAAGCATCACGAGCATGAGCTCCGTCGGGTCCGTTTATAACGTGCTAGACGATTCCAGGCGACGACCACCCCACTTGTTATGGCTGACCACAGGCCGAGGATATCCATGGATTCATACGCCAGCACAAACGATGGCTCTTACGCCTCGTACCGCCACCCTCCCCAGGCGACTTCAGCACCCCAACCTCGGCGACATTTTCCACGAATCAAAGTAGTCCTCGCTGGTCGTCGATCGCATCTCCCGCGTCTTCGCACTCACGATCTCAGAGCATGTATACCGATAGCAGGGTTCCTGGTGCTCGTCGTCTTAGTGTTCCCACAGGAGTCAGTCCCTTCCAGGCGCATCCGGGGCCCATGCCCGGTCGACCGATGATGGCTCCTACTGGAATGAATCATCCAAACATGTCTCCATATTCTCCTGCGGGCCACAATCTCGTTACCCCGCCATCTTCGGGCTGGTCTAGTCGAAGGGACTCCATCTCCACGACTGCCTCTACTACCGACGATGCGTGGCGACGACGAACTTGGCATCCGGATTCGCGGAACTTCGTCCCTCCCACAAACACCCTCAACAGCGTCGCCAATTCTGATAACGCTCAGCTGAATCCTCCCGCACCCATGACAAATGGACCGCCAAACCGCAACTCGAACATTCGTCTCCCCGGCATCGAGTCTTTCGATAGCGTTGCTCACCCCGTGACCCCGCCCAGGCGACCTGCCTCGCCGATGATGGTTGATGCCGAGATGGTCAGCCCTCAGCATCCGGATGACGAAAGGAGGAATCATAGTCAATGGGACATGGGGCTTCATCGTGGACTTACTCGCCTCGACATTTCCAAACACAACACACCACCAAATGATAGTGCTGGCGCCTGGGCGAACGAGACCGAGCGCGCAATGCAGGCACAGGCGGAGCAAGCTCGCGCCCATCCCCCAACAGTCCGCTTCCAGGTTGAACCGCAACCCATGGCGCCCTTGCCACCCCGCGCAGCCCCTCGAGGCTACCACCAACATACTCTATCGGCACCGTCCATCACCACTGCCCGTGAGTCCAAACGACATGGTTGGTACCATGGCCCGATGAACACTCATAGCGAGGCTCCTGAACTTCATGCCGAACCGCGGCAGCCAAGAGTCGATCGTATGGTTCACCCCAATATCGCAGCCTTCTCCGGGTTTCCTGCCCGTGAGCATCCTCAACCATCCCAGCAAAACCCCCAGCAAAACAAACCAGCCAGCCCAGATTCCTTGAGGCGACTCGAGGCACTTGTAGCCGTTGCGACAAGTGAAGGCAAAACCGCTGCTGCTTATTAAACGGAGGGTCGGTAATCTCTTGGGACTCGCTAAATCCCACCCCGGCATATTTTCGCCTCCAGATCGAACCATCGGGTCTGTGTTTCTAGTCCCAGCGAGGTCATTCTTCTCCCTCAACCATTCTTATTCTCGATTCCTCTCGGGAGTCGAACCTTCATCACCTAGTCCTTTCCAGGACGCCCCTTAGTCTTTTCACTTTCCTAGAGTTTTACGAGAATACAATCGCTACAAAGCTCAACGACATACAACGCTCACTACTGTTATACCCATGGGAGAACGAGGAATGGCATCATCTATTTTAAATGGGGGAGGGTTTGAAGCCTAATATGCATCAGCTTTCATTTTCTTCAGGGTCTCTATTTCTCTTTCTCTTCTCTTCTCCCTTGCTTCTCTTCTCTATTCTTTTTTTTTTCACCGCCGGCGGCCGTGGCAAGCAAGGGCTAGGAGCGCAGTCATTCCAGACACGGATATGCTCTGTTCCCCGAGAACCTCATTCTCTCCCTCTTTCTCCTCCTTTGATCCGCGATCATACTCTCTCGAACCTGGGTTTGGAGCGGATATTCAAGCGCTTCCTTTCAGGTAGAGAATGGGACCGGTTCCTATTGTATGGGGAGGGTGATGTCGGGGCTTCCCAAAATCGCGCACGTACTTGCATTACATTTACATGCTTTGGGCTGGCTCTTTGCACTGGCGTCGTCCGCTCGTATCTGGGTTTTCTTTCTCTTGGTCGGATCATGCCTCACGTTTAACGTTGTCGATTGTCGGGAATTGGAAATTGGTCGGAACGGTCTCTTTTTACAGCTTTGGTTATCCGTGTTTTTTTTGCCTTTTTTTCAGGATTCGGGGTTCAACAGGACAGGCGGGCATGGGCCAATGGCTTTTCATGTAGCGAAGGCTGCTTTATTCGGGCTTGGAGTCACCTTGGACTGAGCGAATCGTTGCTTCACTTGTGCACATTTCGCCAGCCTCTTCGTGCTTGTGAACACACTTCGTACGGCCTCGAGCAAATGCCTGAAATCAGGAGAGTCGGTGGTGCAAAGTGGTGTTCAGAGGCGTTGGAGGACCGCAGTCCTGATGAGGCACTTTTCAACTTTAGTTAGTTTTATATAGTTTTAGCACGAGGCTTACGACTTGAATGAGATACCCTCTTCTATCTCCCATCAACTAACACGTCTCTAACTCTCGTCTGGATGAATCCACCCTTGAAATATGGTTTTACAGCGTGCTCGAAGAAGATAGAACACCGTCACGACCGTCACTAATAGCAGCCCGCCACACTGCGGGAGGTTTCCGCCGATGGATCCGCAAAGGGCGGGACCACTAATATTAGTGTGGGTATATCTCGACAAGTGTAAGTGAAGGGGCCCTGGGGTAGATGAGAGGAATGATACAATGTCCCCTCGTCAGGTGCTTTGCGTTGTATCGTGCGTATGAGTGCAGAGTTGGGAAAATAGACGAATAGATGATCTTCGGCCCAGCGGCAATCTACAGTTTGCGATGATCAACGGTGAGCTATTTTCCTTTCCGACATAAAATCGTACCTGCTCTAGGTCAGGGGCAGAGCTGCAGGAACAACCCAGTCGCCATGTCACCTTCACCAAGCCCAGAATCTCAAGGTGGGACAGGACAGTGCGAGGAAAGGTGAACCAAGCCCTACACTACCGAGCTAGGCGGGTCCTGATTTGCGAAGCGGGAAAGAGGTGGCCGGTCGGCTATTCCTCGGCCGATCGTTTGATCCATTCAAGGGAGGCAAGGTCCTGGATGCGTGCACCATTAAGGTCTGCCATTGTTGTTTGGATTTGTTTGCGCTTCGAATTTTGAAGCCCGATGCTCATCGTCGCGTGATACAATTAGACCAGTCCTAGACGAACAGGCCCCTAAACACCATCCTTGAATCCATCTCACGCCTGTAGTATTTCGCAATAGATTGGTGCTAGCCCCCCGACCAAGCCGTCCGGGGCCGTCTCAGCGCCATTCGCGTCGTCGCAATGTCCGCCACCAACGATGCAAACGCGACCGAAGTGCGCGAGACCATCGAGGCGAAGCCGCCCACCGCGATTTTACCGGCCAAAGATGTGGAGATGAAAGATATAGCAGACGAGGACGGCGAGGAAGATGCCGATGGCGAAGCTGACGTCGACATGGACGCGGAAGGAGAGGACGATGACTCAAATCGCGACGGCGCACAGCTCGGCAAGGGCACAAGGGAGATGCTGCAAACCATACAGGACTTGTCGGCATATTTGTGCGCATACAAGGAAGAGTAAGTCATGAATTCAATGCTCGCGGTGGTTTTTCTTTTTTTCAATCCTTCTCTCCATGCGTTCAATTTGCTGATCGGGGTTGGTGGAGTTCCGTAGGGGTGATGACGAGGAATTAGCAGTCGGCTTCCAGCGCATCCCAAACCGGCGTGCGCTTCCCCACTACTTCGATATCATCACCAATCCGATCGCATTTAGTACAATCCGGGTATGTGCCGATACAGATTGAGTTTCTGTTTTTCTTCCATCTTAGATTTATTCCCCATCCTCGATGGCAAGGTTAGGGGCAGCTCATGCTAACGTGGCTTTTTCCACCGTTTTTGTAGCAAAAAGCGACGCGCAAGCAGTATGTTGCATTCCCCGAATTCGTCCGTGATGTCGCCCAAATCTTCCACAACGCGCAAGTGTTCAACCGACCTTCCGCCGGGATCTTTGGTGCGGCCGTGAGATTGCGAGAGATATTCAAGGAGCAGCTTCAAAAGTTGGTCGATGAGGGCGTAATCACGCAGTCCGAAGCCGAGCTTCCCGACCTTGGCGATATCCCATCCGCCGACGAATCCCCACCGCCCGAGGAGGAAGAGGAGGAAGAGGAAGAGGAAGAAGACGAGGAAGAAGAAGAAGACGGCGATGACGACGAAGGCGCACGACGCCGCCGCAGGCGACAATCCAAACGGCAGGACACTGGCCCCGGAGAGGGGAAAAAGAGGCGAGGCCGGCCGCCCCGTGTTCTCACCCCCATGGAGGCACGCATCCAGTCTGTGATCAAGGGCCTCCGTAAGCCCAAGGATGCTGATGGCGAGCTTCTCATTTTGCCATTCGAAAAGCTTCCTGATCGACAAGCCCTACCGGACTACTATGAAGTCATCTCTCATCCCATGGCTCTAGACAACATCAAGAAGAAGGCGAAACGGAAGAAGTATAGGGATGTCGACCACGTGCTCAACGACATAAACCTCATGTTCGAAAACGCCAAGCAATACAACGAAGACGGTAGCGAGCTCTTCGAAGCCGCCGTGGAGCTGCAGAAGTTTGCGCAGGAGCTCGCAGCACAAGAAAAGGGCAAGCCTGATTCTAGTTTCCGCGATGACGAGGGCAAGCAGCCTGTCACGGAGATTCAATTCAAGGGCGAAATCTGGAGGGTAGGTGATTGGGTGCACATTCGAAATCCGAATGACCTCAGCAAGCCCATTGTCGCGCAAATTTATCGGACTTGGCAAGACCCCTCGGGACAGAGCTGGATCAACGCTTGTTGGTACTATCGGCCAGAACAGACCGTCCATCGTGTCGAGAAACACTTTTACGAGCACGAGGTGGTGAAGACGGGGCAGTATCGTGATCATCGCGCCGACGAGATTGTTGACCGCTGTTTCGTCATGTTCGTGACCCGCTTCCCCAAGGGAAGGCCCCAAGGCCTCCCCCAGACAAGGCTGTCTACGTTTGCGAGTCCCGATATAACGAGGAGCGGTATACCTTTAACAAAATCAAGACATGGGCCAGCTGCCTCCCCGACGAGGTTCGGGAGAAAGACTACTCCATGAACCCTTTCCAGGTTCCCATCAAGATGAAAAAGGTCCCAAGCCCTATCAAGCACCTCTTGCGCCACGACGCAAGGCCCTCCGACGACCTCCCCAAACCTAGCTGGGGAAGTCCCAATGCACCCCCAATTGTCGGCGCCGTCCACTGTCGACCGCGGGAGCCCAATGTAAGTCCCTTTCCACACGCGCATCCTCCACCCTACTCGTTGGGTTTTCTTTTTGGCTTTTTTCCCCTCCTGATTTTACTTTTTCCCCCAACCGTATATCCCCGTTGCACAATTCCCTCTATCCCCTGAGATTGATTCATCTGTCTCTTGCCGATATGCGGGAGAAACGTCTCTGATTTCCCCACATCCAAACATCCTTGCGTTGCCGGCACTTTGTCGGGTATATACGCCAACGTGTGTTGGTGATTTTTTCGGCGTCTCGAGGCGGAACGCGACATCCTTTCAGCTTATCATTCTTTTTTCCGCTTTTGGAGCAAGTGCCCGAAAAGTACACCGAAGACGCCCTGTTTATACATTTTGGGGCAGCCGTTACTTTTCTCCACGCGTTGGATCCGCCGCCCAGAATTCACTTGCTCAAATTTCTAACCCCGGGCCCACTTATCGCAGGAATCACCACCCCCAGGGCCATCACCGCCACCAACTCCCGCCGCCGCCACTATCGCGGCTGTCCGAAACAACCCAACTCCGGCGTCGCGGCCCCGCCCCATCAAGTCGGGCGAGGTGGTCCCCCATCGTAGGGCACAACCACCACCCTGCGCAAGGCTTTGCCAGACCTGGTGCGCCGCTACCCGTTCAGTCCCCGATCCCCCCGCCCACTACACGCCTGGGCACTTCAAGCCTTCCACTCCGGGCCCCGCGACGCCGTCGCCCGTGCTTCGGCACAATCAAGCAGTCCCTCTCGTGCCCGTCGGATACCAGCAGCAGCACCCACAGCAACACCTGCAGCAACACCCGCAGCAACACCCTCAACAAGGCCACCAGCCACCTGTCGCAATTCGGCCCATCCATCCTGCCCAGCACGCGCCCCCGCCGCAGCAAGGATACCATACGGTCTTTCACCAGCAGTACGCCGGAACCCCAATCCAGCACCATCCGCCACCAATGCAACAGACCCCGGTCCCTCCCAGCTACGACGGTCACCGCGCACCCATGCCCATTGTGCAACCAAGACCGCCGGTCCAACCCGCTCCTGCTCCCGCCCCCGCCGCGCCCATCGCCACCGGGGCTACCGGCCGGCCGCGGGAGGTTTTCACCCTCGGCGACGAGAAGGACGCGGCCATCCCCGAGGATGTCAAAAAGCTGTATCGCCAAGACGACCAAGGCCACACCTTGTTTTGGACCGTCCCTCCAACTGTCCGAAGCAACGGGGGCCTTTCAGAAGCCAGCACTGGTCTGGGCCACAGTGTCAGGTACCTTGCCGACCTCGACGAGTGGAGAAAGGAGCGGGAGGCGAAGCGCAAGGCGCGCGACGAGAGGATGGTGGAAGAGGCCAAGCGACGCAGATCGGAGGAAGGGCCTTCTGTTGATGCTGCCAGGGCCAAGGCCCTTGACGAAACCGCCGAGTATCTCGCCAGCTTCTTCAGACAGCACGCGGACGACACGAAAAAGTTTCGCGAAGAAAGCAACCTCGACAAGTGGGACGCACTGATGGCGGAAGTTCATGGCAAGAATTGAGCCGCCCGTAGTAAGGCTCATTGAGGCACCGGGGAGGGCGCGATTAACTTCCGGTCTTCTACACCTCGAATGGTTCTCCTGGTAAAAGAATGGGTCTCTCGGCCAGGGATCCGGATTGTTCTTTCTTCCTTTTTTCTTCTTTAATCTTTAGTTAATGGAGTTGCCCGGCGAGGCGAGGCAAGGGCGCCCAACTGTATTCCGTAGCTTATGTACGAATAAAGCACCAGATCGGTATAAATCAAGGCATTCGTTCTCTTTATCCAGTTGCAAATGGCAAAACCTCATTTCCAGCAAGCGAACATTATCTATTCTATCGGCGTTTTGGTTCCCGGTCTATATCATTGTTTAAGTCGAGATCGAATTGTTCTCCCACGCCGAGTCAAGGTAGATGAAGAGATTTTAGAAGCTTGGAAACGAAACTTCGCGACTCGAGTCATTCAGCACGAGAGCTCCTGGAGCTCCTAAGAGCATCACATCAATATCTCTACATCTTGCATAGTATGAGCGGGCAGACCATATGACGTTGGCCATGGTCCTCCCAGCCTGAGGTGACGGTGCCACTGGGCAGTGTGAGGCGCGTGATGAGTCACGTGATTTGCAGTTCAGTGAGGTGGATGTGAACCATGGGCTCATCCAAACTGTGCAGTCCACCATTGGCCCCTCCACTCAAAAATTCATCTCGCAAACCAACTTCCGCAAAACTACCGAGCATCTGGCGAGGCATCGGAACCGCCGACAATCAGCCAGAATCAACCCGACCGGCGGACCTTCATCGAATTCCACGATGGCAGACTCACCTCCATCACCCGACCAATATCACGCATACGCGAGCAACGGTTTGCAAGTTCTGCAAGCCGCCACAAACGCGCACCAGGCCATTTTTCAGGACAGCCAAACGCAAGACCTGGGCGACCAACACCATGACCTCCAGCAAGCCGCGCAGCAGGCGGCCCAGCAGCACCTACAGCAGCAGGAGCATCAGCAGCACGACGAGCAGCAGCAGCAGCAGCAGCAGCAACAGCATGACCACCAGCTCGATCAGGACGTAAAAGATATCGCGAGCACGCTACCCGAAACTCCCGGTCACCAGCACCTCGCCATCGCACCCAATCCCCTCGACAGCAGTCCCGCGCGCATCATTGCGGATCCCGCCGCGCTCGCAGCCGTCGCCGCCGCCGCTGGCGCGCAGGACGCGTTTGGGCACGATGCTCTCACGCAAGAGGCCCTGGCCCACGAAGCCCTTGCCGCGCGCGCCGCCCAGGATGGTTCGCCGTCTTCCAACCGACAGTCGCGCGATCCAGCCGTGAATCCAAAGTTGACGCGTCTCTCACGCGCGTGCGATAATTGCTCCCAGCGAAAGTCAAATGCGACGCGATTCGGCCGTGCAAACCGTGCATGGATCTGAACCTAGAGTGCACAAACAATCGTGTCGTCAAGCGTCGCGGTCCTCCAAACAAGGCAGTTGAGGCCATCCGCCTCAAGAAGCGGCTAACCGAGGCTGCCGCACAAGACATACTAGCCGGAGGAGCAATCGCGCAGATAGGGTCATACACAAGCACCACCCCACATTCAGCCGCTCAAGCCCTCGTTTCAATTGCTGGAAACGAGCCCGGCGTTGGCCTTGATGGAGAAGCCATCGCGCCGAGGCCCATCCTCGAGGCGCTCGTGGATGACTTTTTCACGTATATACATCCTCTTTGCCCTTTTCCTCACCAGCCTACCTTCCAAGCCGCTTTCGTCAACCGCGATGACCGGACAGATCCCGAGTTTTTGGCGCTCCTTGCAAGCATGATTGGCGCGCTCGTCTCGTCCTTCCCGCGAACCGCGCGTGCTCATCTCAAGAGCCAGCAAAGCGTTCACATCTTCCCTCGCGCCATTGTCATGATTGAAAAATGTCGTGATATCGCCCTCGAGGCCCGTGGTGCCAAGTGGTCTTCCAAGCAGCCCAAATCGCTCAACGACGCGGCGACAAGCTACTTCCTCGCCCTCTCGGCAGGATACACCCTTCAGTTCAACCTCTTCCGTCTTCATCTAGCCGAGGCTCTGAGTGTGATGAACGAGCTCGGGTTCAACAGGCCTAAGCACCCTGGCGATCTGCCCACATTCGGAAACGATACGTGCGAAAGGGGCCCGGATAAGCTGCCCTTTAATCACATCAAGGACCAAGTCGGCAAAAAGATTTTCTGGTGTATTTTCCTCGGTGTTAGGTATGTTTTTGCTCGACGCGAATTCGTTTCTCACAGCCCTTGTAATTATGGTCGTGCAAACAACAAACAAAATTTGTATCAAAGACTAATCATTGAATCTCTTTTTGCACAGGTCCCTCTTCCAGCTCGGCGCATCACACGCCGGCCTATTCATCTGCCCGCCAACCCCGTCTCAGCCGTATCCCGCGTACCCCGCGAATGCCGACGACAAGGATATTCAGGCAAACGAAGTCCTAGAGCAGGATCCCACAACCACCACGCTCATGACAGGCTTCCGCATCGCAGCCGACATCTACATGACCATGAACGGCATCGTCAGCGTGGAAATGGCGTACGGCCTAGACAGTCTTAAGTGGAGCGGCCAGCGGCAGCTGATGAAGGAGGGGCTCGCGGCGGTCAAGACGAGCCTCGACCAACTCCCCCGAACTCCAGCTCGTCTCCAACGATCAACAGGGCGCGCCTTCCAACGTTTTCGACGATCAGGGCCTCGAGTACGTCCCGCCCGGCAACGCAAACGCGCAAGGCCCCCACGACGTCCGCCAGTTCATCAAGACCCAGCCTGCGCGCCGGCGGCTCCTCCAGTTGGAGATCCAAAAGGCCAACGTCTTCACCTCCCAGCTCGCCACCCGCTCGTACTTTGTCGAGCTGTACTTTAGCCGCCGCAACCTGTACGATCCCGATATCCAGCTCCTCGCGGCCAACAGCGAGGCGAGCGACGAGGAGCGCGAAGAGATGCGCGAGGAGGAGTCAGTGCGCATCATGATGACGCAGGAACGCGATCAAATCATCGACGACCTCTTGCTCGTCCTGGGCGGCATCTCTCAGCGCAACCTCGAGCCCAACGGCAATTCCATCATCACCAAGATCCGCCAGGTGGCCTCGACCCTGCTCCAGAGCGCCCCGGTCGCGACCCGCTCTCCGACACGCACAAGGAAGCGCTCTCGTCCCTCCTCCTCGTCCTCACCCGCCTCGAGAAGACGGGCTCGTCGGGCGCTCCCAACGAGAGCATGACGGACCAGGAAGAGGAAGAGGAGCTGAGCCACTGGGCTTCCCTCCGCGACTACCAAATGAGGTTTTCGGCCCACGGGGATACGCCGGGCACATCTAGTAGCCGGCCAACGCTCGCTGCTACGCCTTGAGCCCCCGGGGCTCTTGTAGTTTTCATCTCTTTTTTCACGTTTCATTCCCGCTTTGTTATCCCAGAATCGAGCGGCCGCAACAGGCAAAATTTGTATGTATTATAAAAATGGCGCGATTCTCTACCACATTGGTCACGTTTCTTTTTTCCCTTTCACACACCACTTCGCTGCAAGTGCTCGTGTCTGTATATCTGATTTATTTGGGTCGAGTTTGGCAACGGGTCCTCAGCGCACTAAAAAGAAAGACTTATTTATCCACAAGGTGAAGGGGAGGGCAGACAGGTCGGGTCGGGTCAAGTCTGGTCTGTTATATTCTATATTTATTTCATTGTTACTCCCCTCTTTCCGTCCAACCGTCAAGGCTTCATTTCAAGGCTTCGTTTCAATAGTTTTACACCCGAAAAGAAATAGGGCTTTCATAAAGCCTAGAGTAATGAGATGCGGGTAACCAAAAACGAGATATAATCCAATGCGCACTTGAACGGCTGATAGCTCGAATTCGTTCCCATGTGCTATTCCCGTCCAAATAAGGAAATAGCATGCATACATGTAAAGATACAGGCGCGAGGAAACAAGGCAAAGATGGCAAAAGGGGAGTTCATCACATCCAACTCCTAATCCCCCAACACGCAAAAGGTGCATGATGTATCTTGATCGTGCCGGACACCACGTGCTTAATTTGATTGTACCCTCAACGAAGCCATGGCCTCCTCGTACGAGGGGAGCTCGCTCAAAGGCGGATCCTCGGATGATGACGCAGCAGTCCCGAGGTCGATGCCGGTCGACGCCGCCGTAGAGATGGGAGGCGAGGGCGGAGCCGTCTGCAGAGCGTCGAGGTTGGAGAGAGAGGCCCAGGAACTTTTGCTTGTTCTTCCACACGGTCTGGCTCTCGGCGAAGCCAGCCTGGCGCTGGGGTGGGGGAGGGGGTCGGTAATTTTTGTGAGGAGGTAGGCGGTGGAAGCCTCGGCAACGCCGTAGACGAGGACGCCGACGAGGGGCACGCGGACGAGGACGTTGAAGGCGAGGGCGAAGCCGAAGAGGAGGCCGGCGCGGGCGTGGAACCACTGCTTCTTCTGGGCCGAGGTGAAGTGGATGCGGGCAAAGTAGGGCTCGAGCAGCTCGCGCATGAGGCTGCGCGTAGAAAAATAGGTCTGCAAGAAGACGACGAGCCAGGCGCGGGGAGGAAGAGGCCCGCGGCAAAGAGGGCCGAGGCCGGGCCTAAGCCGACGGCGGCGTGGAAGGTGTAGAAGGAGGCGGCGGGCAGGACGAAGCGGCCGATGAGGGGCAGGAAGGACAGAGCGTAGACGACGAGGGAGACGAAGCCGCGCTTGGCGAATCGGTAGACGAAGACGGAGATGCGGTCGGCGAGGGAGGTGTTGTGGGTGGAGCCGTCGGTGAGGCGGTATTGCTTGAGGTTGGGGTAGTAGAGGGGTCGTAGGGAGGCGGGGCGCTCGTTTTTGTGTTTTTGGACGTATGTGATGTCGACCCAGCGCAGGGAATCCATGAAGCTAGAAAAGGGCGCCGCCCGAGTGTGAGCCAAGGTGTCCCATGCATGGGACCTAGAGGCCTCAGGCGCGGGGGAAGGGGGCCGGGGTGACTTACAGATTATCGAGGGTAGGGCTAACGTAGCGCATGAGGACCATGAGGAAGAAGGGCACCTGCAAAACGTATTCGGCAATAAAGTCGAGTCCTTGGATCAGGGTATCGTCCCATGTCGCCTCCTGCATGGAGACGAAGAAGGAGAGAAACCAGAGGGAGACCTTGACAAGGAAGATCTATAGAGAATGTTAACCTTGAGCTGTGGCGGGTCAGGGACCCTCGCCCGGCCCGGAGAAAACTTGGTTGGCATACAGGAATGGCAATGGCTAGTCGGATCACGAGGCCAGCGGCCACGGCATAGGCGGCTTGCTTGTAATGCTTGTTGGTGAAGATTTCTTGGTTTTGCAGAGCTCGATTCGCTACATAGGACCGGGTGGGGTTAGTAACGGCCAGCTAGCCAGCTCGGTTCCGGGTGCGCTTGGCGACGGGAAACGCTAGGCGGATCTCTTAAAAACTTACCACCAACAAAGGTGAGCTGGATGCCGCGGATGATGGCATTGAGGTCAAAGTTGGAGATGTCGAATTGGCTCTTGATCGCATCGAGATCGAGGGGCTCCTTTTCGCCCTCCCGTACAGGAGGACGCCCACGTTGAGTCGCCATGGTCGAGGGAGTTCAGGAATTGGACACGGTTGGATTTACGGCTCGAAGTTGAAGCTAGAGGTAATAGTAGGTTGGTTCTCTCGGTCACGGCATGCGCTGCGACGAATGCATACGCGGGGCAGCTTGGTTCTTGGTCGAAATCGAGTAGAATAGGCGATTGACAGAGAGAGTACACGTAGTGGAGGGAGAAAAAAAGAAAACCAAAGGTGACGAGAGCTGACGGGTTTTGCGAGGGTTTTATTATGACATGACAGGTTTTACAGTTTTTAGGATGCAAGCTCGGAATCGGGGCAGGCGAGCTGACGCAGCCCTGCGTGCAGGAGGAGCAACACGAGGATAAAAAGAGGTGCAAGTGATGACGAAATGGTGCCTTTTCCAGCTTGGCAACCAAGCCATGCTGAGCCAGCGTTTCTGATGGGGCTGCAGTGGCAGTGGCGGGGTTGGAGTTTTTGCATGTGCTTTGACCCGAAATGGAATCCAGCTCGAGAGAGCTTGTGCTAGGCGGACTGCATGAGGTATCCAATCAAGGTTATCACTGTCTCTTTATTATGGCTGGTTCCCAGTCAGCCACAATAATACACGATTTAGCTTGCCGCTCGCTTCCATATGGAGACCTACTAAACATTGCGAATTTTCCCCAGGTAACAATCCCCATTGATCTCAATCCACTTGTCGGTGAACCCGCCATTGTTGAGGTGGGCCTGGCCTCAAGCAGAGCTGGAGCTTATGGTGGGGAGCTCCCCTATATTAGTTGAGCATCACAATATGACATGGATCCGTTGATCAACGATGTCCAGGCTTCGCATCCAGAGGCGGACACACGAGAATGCTTAGCCCTAGCTACACGTAGGCCATTAACCACCTCGCCGTACTACCAGACGTGAGTTCCTGTCCATCAGGGCATTCGAGCAAATGGACGACTTGGAGCACATTTTAAAGTTTCGATGGCGTACAACCCGACCTGAAAGCAGCACAGCCATTCCTTAAATGAGTAGCCCTGGTAGACGTGCCAGAAGGGAAGTGTATGCTTTTGGTAAAAAATAAATCCCATCTAGATCGTACAATAATCACACACGGCAGTGATGAAGACGGAGAGAGAGCTGGACAGAACTAAGCCGGTTATGTCTTGTCCAAGCGGATCCAATGCTTCACGATGAACGTTTGCGTGCTCTCTCGTACACAAGCCTCTCAAAGCTTCGATTTCTCGCGAACGGAATAATGAAGAAGAAGAGATGGCTTTATTTATCCCTTTCATCGTGCTGCGACCGCCCTGTCAAACTTTCTTGAAACGGGTTGCGACGTCTTTCCTGCCCGCATCTGTCGAGGTTTTTCCTTCCCGCTCTGGTCGCATCCACGGGATTCCGTCACTCATCGTGCCATTTTCGCCTCCGCCTTTTCTCCAGGTCGCGTGGTCTCCCGGCGCCCTCAACCGACCAGGAGCGGGTACCTGGCGCCTTCAACCAGTTCACGCTCGGTAGTGCTGCAGCTCTCAGGGGGGCGACAATTGATGGGCCCCATCAGCTTGGATCAGTGGCTGGTTCCAATCAATGCGTACTGAGGTAGACGTGAATGGACCCCAAGAGGTTGGGGTTGAACCCGCCAGCATAATTAATACAATGGATTAGATCATTCAGATGTAGAATGGATGAATGAAGCAAAGGATACACATCGAACTCAACCACTTGACACTTCCTCACCATCCAACGACCAGCGTCGAGGTACCTGGCTTGAGCGACGACTGTGCACTCTCAGCTTGAGGTCACGGTTCGGTTTAGCGGGCGTGCGTCGGTTCCCAGTAAATTTTCTTCCTTGACCAGTGACCAAAATTCGGTTTTGCTGAGGGTCGCCTCGAAAAGAAAGCTTCACCAAATCAATCCACCAGCAACACGCCAAACCCGCGAAACGAAAAAGACAGGAACCAAGGGAATAATTTCCCCTTCCGCTGGCTGCACCAATCCGCCAGAGTACCAAGACCTGCACCAACCTGCAGTTTGCATCGAACGGGCAGGACGCAGGAGCAACCAAGCTAACCAAAAATTTCGTCTGCCTGGATCGATTCTGCTACTACCTTTCAGTGCTGTCTCCCAAATTCTCCAGTCCGTCACGCTGCCACGCCGTCACGCAGTCAACGACGCCATCAATCTCCGCACATACACCTCGAACTTTAGCGCGTGCAATCCGCGAAAACTTGAACGCCCCTCTCCTCGTCCTCTTGGTAGTTTGCATTTGGGTGGCCCCCTCCCCCTTCAAGTTCCCGCCCACCGACATCACACGCTCAGGCTCCACAAACTCCAGCGCTTCCCCGTCCTGTCATCGAACCTTCCACCGAGCAGCCGAAAACAGACAGCGTCATTTCCCTCCTAGCGCCCACCCGCACACTCTCCTTCGCAAACCCGGAACTCGAAGAGGGCGACGTTGCTCCCCATTATTACTCACATCCCACGACACAAACGCCATCACAAACGACATCGCGAACGCCGCCGACTTTTTCCCTTCCTCACGCCAGTCTCTATCGTCTAGGTGCCATGACGGATTGAATTCCCGACATCATGGTCCTTGATTCTCTCTCCTGTCCAACACCAGCTATTACCTCGATGATAATCTGAGCAATCTTCACCCATCAGACACCCACCGATTCCTAAACAAAACCCCTCGCCACTCGCCTTGGGCGATCCCTTCACCATGGAGCCTCCGGCCACGCAATTCGCCGCTCCGCGCCGCGTCTTCACGGCGCCTCTCCCCTCTACCCGACAATCTCTTTCGTCTTCGGCCACGCCTGCAGGCCCGGCCGGAAGCGTCGAGACTCTGTACAATCATCCCAACGCCAAGATTATCGCTTTCAGCGCTACAGCTCGTGCAGTCCCGAGGAGCCCGACAAGTACCGCCGCATCGCTGGAGGAAGACCAGGGCACGCTCTCGTGGTCCTCTCAGCTGGAAAGAACGATAGCAGTCGGTATGTCGCGCCCGGGGTCAAAAGCTCCCTCACATCCCGCCCTTGCTCCGCGAAAGCAGGCCACGAAAGATGTCTGCTATGATTGTATCTGTTATCTGTTGCTAACTCCTGTTTTCCTCCCCGTTTCCCACATTCTTAGGTACCTTTCGTATATACCGCGCGCCCGGTTCCGTTGCCTTCCTCAACTGCGGTTCAGCACTCCAGCCCATCCTCCCCAAAAGCCAATGCTGGTGCATCGAAGAGGACTCGAGCAAATTCGTCCTGCAGATTCGCAAGCCCCAATACTGGCGGATCGAGTTACCCGTCGTAAATGGAGAAGATCGGGAGCGCGCATTTCTCCTCCGAGAAATCTTTGACCAGATCCTTCTCTTTGAGAAGACGCGATGTCCCTTCCAGCGCTCCTTCACCGTCAAGCTTCCCGAAGCTCCGCAGACACCCGTCAAGAAAAAGCCTTGGACACCAGCGCGCAGATCCTTTGTGCCGATACGTGCATCCCAGTCTCCCGAAACTCCTCCGACGCCCATATCTGCTCGATCGCTCATGAGGCCGTCTTTCTACGAGCCAAAGCCCGCTACTTCAACATTACCGCAACCCGTCCAAACCCCTACCAAAAGTTCCCGATCAAAGGAGATCGAAACTTCAGCAAGCCTCGAGGCACCGAGCGAGAGCGAAAGTGACAATGCCCCCAAGGAGCCCGAGAGGCAAGAGGCGTCCACCGCATCACCCAGCTCCGATATCGATAACACAGCAACCGAAGCGACGAAGCCAATCGATCAACTGACCACCGCCGAAGAGCAAGTGACGAGTGTCGAGACGGGCTCTGCGCAAAAAGAAAGGGAAGGTGGCAGTGTAGAGACACTCTCAGACATTACCGAGGAACCCCGTCAACCAGACGTGCCTGAGACAACAAGCCCGGAAGAGGACGCTAGGCCAATTTCTCCCAGCGTTGAAAAGGCTGTTACGAGGGATGAGACACCTGTCAAGGTCAAACAAGTTGTCTCAGTCATCGAGGAGCGCCTTGCAGAAGAACCACCAGCGCCCCAGCCTGACGTCAATACAGTTGATCCAGCGACGATTCATCGGGAGCCAGATACGGAGCAGCGGCCTCGAACACCAGCCTCGGCCCAAGCCGTGACGGCGGCAGCAGCCGCGACACCATTGACAAAGGCACCACTACCGGTGGCAACCCCGACGATTTCCCACCGGGCTTCGACTCCAGACGTCCGGCCGGCGGCAATGAGAATCGGCATTTTAACCCCAACCACGCCCCTCACAGCGATACCCAGATTCGAGACGCAAGCTTCCAAGGCCGTCTCGACGTACCCATCACCCCAGGTCCTCAGCCCCAATCTTCCTCTGGAACGCAATAATGACCGCATCACGATTCACTCCTTGGAGGCTAACACTCCTACAAAGGAAGACGCTGCTCCCAAGAGCTCTACGTCGGAGGATGTATTTGCCGAGCACGTGCCGGTCTCGGAGACAGCGGCGTTTGACGAGGTGCACGAAGGGTCCGGCCAAGGCGGCAACGTCTTGATGAAGCGGAAATTGAGGCGTGGCTTCGCGGCAGCCCGGTCGGTGACGGCTCCCCGCATCTCACCCTAATCACGTCGCCTCCTTCCAAGTCCCAACCAAAGGTAGAGGCGGTAGTTACTTCCGAGGAGACGGAGGTGAGCAACGACGCCTCTGATAAGTCGGGGACGGTCTCGCCCACGGAGTCAGCCGACTCTTTCCACAGCGTACGGGCGTGGCAATCACCCATCACGCCACCAGCGACATCGCTGCCGGACGTGCGAAGCGACGAGCCGCAAACGTTCCCGTACCCGCACGACAACATCGTGATGCCCCACCTCGCAGCTCATCAACGCGACGTGTCGGATCTGACGGTGACGCCCGACACGCGGTGCACCTGGGATGCCATGTCCATCTCGTCAAGTGGGGCCTCACAGCTTAGCGCCATGACGGCGCCGGACCACAGCCTCGGACCCATCGACGAGTGCCAAAAGTCGAATGCGTCGGAGGATGGGGCCTGCTACACGACGGCGTCGTCGGCGACCACAGCGGGGACGCTAGTCACGGCGAAAAGGACAGGCCAGCCCTGCGCCACCGGTCCACGGCCAGCATATCTACGAACCGGGCCCTCTCGCCCATGCCTCCCGCCGCCACGCTATTCTCTCCGCCCCAGTCCAGAGCGCTAGTTGCGGGAGGGCCGACAAAACAACAACAGCAGCAGCAGAGACGCACGCGGATGGAGCTGCTGCGGCGGATGCCCCTGAGCATCGTAGCCAAGACGTGCGAAGTGCTGCTCGGGCCGCCGGCGTACCTCGTCACCCTCATGCTCAAGGTGGCCTCCAAGATCACGGCGGGCGAGTGGCGCGGCATGGTGTTTGGCTTCGGCGAAGGCGGAGAGCAGATCCCCGTGCAGTGGGACTACTCGGATGGGGATGGCGACCTGGACTGGGACAGCGACGACGACGACGACGGTGCGCACGACACGTTTGTGACGCCCATGACGGGGGAAGAGGGCGACGAGCACGAGGCCGCCGACGAATATGAGGAGGCGCGGGAGGTAGGCGGCAGCGAGGACGATTATGACGATGACGACGACGACGATGAGGCCAGGGACGGCGAGAACACGAGCGATTCCGACGACACGGGGCGGACGCTCGGCGTGGACTAGCAAAGCTGAAGTGTGGGTCGTCGGCCGGCACGGTTAGCCGGTGGGTGGGGGAGGCCCGCTGAGTCGTGTACTACCAATTGTAAAAACAGATCCATCTCTCTCTCGCACTTGAGACACCCCTAGCACCCTAGCCTTGCGCAACGCCTCCCACTCCACCCCGCGAACCCGCACGCGGAATGGCCGAGGAAGGCATCAGCTTTGCGCTTGCGGTCCCTCGAGACTCGAGAGACGGGCGGGGATCGCGATATGGGTAACGGTGTCTTGCTGTTTCTCTTTTTTTTTCTTTTTTTTCCCTCTGTCGCTATGGCTTGCGAGGGTTTCCCGCTTCATCATCTGGACGACGGCGTTCTTTTTTTATGGACAGTGCTAGCTGTCGCTTATATATCAATCATGGTGGATGGACTTATATATATCATGTATACTAACGGGCTCTCTGTTTTTTGTTTCTCTTTCTCCAACTACTAGTTGATATATTCTATCTTGCATCTGCCTCGGAATGTAAGAGACCATGAAATGGAAACCTTTTTTCTTCTCCTGCATCTTGCGCCCTTGCCCCTTGCTACTTGTTTCCTGCATGTGGCTCTTTGGATTATTCAAGTGAAAGTGATGACGCGTAGCGCAAAGCTGCTAGAGTGTTTCCGCACGCTATCGAAATCACCTTGCTGCGATCAATTGCCGGAAAGTCGGACATCTAAGAATCACATAGGGCTTTCAGGTCCTCCATTCCCCGGCACCGAGATGCCGTGCGTGGCGGATGTGGGATGTGAATGTGGGGTTTGATCGAGGCCCTACCGAGAACGCGGCACTAATACGTTGAAATCCGGGCTAGGATCTCTCATTGATGCAAGAGATTGGAGTATTGTGGGAATTCTCCTCCCCGCCCCTTGCGATATCCATCGCAGGCAACAACTTGCTTGTCGCAGGCAGCAACTTTTCTACACTTTTTTCTTATAGTGAACCTTTGATAAAAAAGGCGCAAGTGAGGTGTTTTTCGATATGATGGTGACCATGCGTCGGTAGGGCGACCAGCGTTAGATGACGTTGACATCAGCGGAAGACCTGTTCCTCTGTTGGCTGTGCCAAAAGCTACTTGTGAAACCACTTGAGCAGTGTCGTTGCAGAAAGACGGGCACGTAAATTACCCAATCCGAAGAGTCATCGATGAAGCGCGATGTCTTCGGTAAAGCGCAAGGCATTCACGATGACCAGTGCCAATCACTGCCCGGGAGAGGCAAAGAAGAAACGAGGCAAGATGCGAAGAGGCTCGAGACTGCGCAAGAGGAGTGGCTCTTTTCACATTTTTCTTCTTGTTCTCTTCACTTGCAAAAAGCTCCCCTCGGGATCATGGACGAATAGCTTACTCTGAAGTCTTGGAAACTCTCGCATTGCGTTCCAGCGCGGACCCGCTTTGGTGCCATCAACCACACAAGCCAAGATTGTTGATCTCTTTTCCTTCCCTTCTTTTAGAACAAGGGGAAGGTTGTTCTCCAACAAAGCTTGGCTCCGAAAAAGGACCAGCCCTATGCAATCTCGAAATGGTGCCAAGGCTGTGCTGGGGGTGGAACAAGTCGTGGGTGGGTGCGTGGTGGGGACAGGAAAGAGGCGCATTTTTGATAAAGGGCGGGAAAGGGTCCCAAGGGTCGTGCATGTGGACGTCGCTTCACGGTTCTCGCATCGCTCGCTTTTGTTGCGATACGGGGAATGCGAAGCTGTCTGGGTGGTCGCTAAATATGTCTCTAGTACATATATTTACACCCACTCTATATTTTGAATGTACGTACCAAGTACTTCTCCCTGCCTTATCCCAGAATGGCATAGTCGCCAGAAGCGTCTCCCCGTCAAATTGATCGGTCGGGCTTAACATGGCGATCGGCCGTATTTCAGAGAAAACAATGCGATTGGCCAGAAGCTGTATCAAGCAGGTCGAAATGAGGCCTTGCACCACTTGGGGAAAGGGAGAGTGACCATTCCACCGTACTCCTCGGGTCATCATCCATGGCCCGGCATGACGGCGTGGATTCACTCCCCCTGCTTGGGATAGGTCTAATAAACCACACCCGTCAAGAAAAGGAGGGGAGCCGTTTGTGGCGGACCTTTGATCGCGGTGGGCCGGGGCCCAAGTTGCTCTCTTGTGAGGCGGGAGCTAATATTTACACTCGGGTATCGGAACAAGGAACATGCAGGTGTACGTATATATATATCTCTCTCTCTGAGTCGACGTGGATCTCGAGAGTAAAGGAAATGGGAAAAGATATAAAGCATCACGGTCCCCCTTCCTCTCGCCTTGCAAACAAAAGTAGAATCGTAGCGCAGACGACTTACTTAGGCCTTCTTCGATGATAGCATCAAGATTATACTGAGCCGTACATACTCTTTCATCCACACTCTCTTCTCTCCTTTGTCTCTTCCCTTCGATCCTCGCCCCGTTTTGGGCCTTACATATCGCGAACTGAAGTTTCCTTTCCCTTCGCGCAACCAACCTTTCCGCAATCATGGCGAACGGCGAATACGGTATGTCAAGTCCTCGGTCCCTTGCGGCCCAAGGTTGATAAAGAAAAGAAAAGAGCCAGAACAAGAAGCTGACTGGAATGAATAACTATTAGTGCCGGGGAGCTACTACTTCTATGCCCCTAACAAGGGAGCTCCTATTTTCTTCACCATCGCCTTCTTCTGCACCGGTGCCTTTCACCTGTATCAAAACATGTAAGTGAACCCTCCCTATCCCTACCACGCCACCACGCGGCAACAACATGTGGGAGGAAGAGACACTTGTTCCCCGTTGAATCGACGACTAACACGTGGTGCCCACCACAGAAAATACCACTCGCTCATTCGCACCATCTTCTTCCCTTTCTGCTCTCTCCTCTTCACCGCCGGATTCGCTCTCAGGATATACGGCTCCCACCACTTTGACGACCTCAACGTCTACATTGCCAGTATCTGTATCATCTACGCAGCTCCGTACGTGTTTTTTTTTTTAATTCTTTTATGTATAATTTGCCCTCATTACACCGAATAAACAACTAACATCAAGAACTTCTTCCGTCTCAGCCCTCTCCTCGAGCTCCAAAACTACAACATCCTCGGCCGCATCCTCTACTATGTCCCCTACCACTCCCCCATCCACCCCGGCCGCGTCCTATCCACCTTTGCCTTCATCTCCGGCATCATCGAAGCCCTCAACGGCTGGGGCGCCTCCCTAACCGCCAACCAATCCCTCAAGCAATCCACCATGGACGTCGGCCACATCCTCATCAAGACCGCCCTGCTCATGCAGCTCGCCGTCGCCGCCTGCTTCCTCGTCCTCGCCGGCACCTTTCACCGCCGCTGCCGCGCCAACGGCATCCGCGACCCCCGCGTCCAGCAGCCCCTCTGCACCCTCTACGCCAGCATGGCCCTCATCGTCGTCCGCACCATCTACCGCGTCGTCGAGTACTTTGGCGTCGCCTCCCTCCGCTACGCCGACCCGGACTTCGATCCCACCACCATGACCCCGCTCATCCGCTACGAGTGGTGGTTCTACGTCTTCGAGGCCTCCCTCATGCTCATCAACCTCGTCATGATGAACGTCCGCCACCCCCGCAAGTGGCTGCCCCGCAGCAGCGACACCTACCTCGCCGTCGACGGCGTCACCGAAAAGGATGGGCCCGGCTGGAAAGACCCCGCCCCTTTTTGCAAACTGTCGTCGATCCCTTTGATCTCGTCGGCTTGGCCAAGGGCGGCCGCGCGGGGCTGCCCAAGTTTTGGCTGGAGGATGGGATCGGTGGTCCGCAAAAGGCGCAGAGCGTTTGAGTCGTTGATCGTTAGGCTCGAAGAGTTTTTAGTTGGGACGGAGGAGAGATGGGAAGGGAGAGGAGGTTACTAGAAAAGGTCTTGTTGGTGCTGCCATGTCGTCGCCTTTATTTCCCATCGCCCCCATTTGCTTCCATCTCTCCTATATCAATCACCACCAGCCATTTTACTCGCTTTGTTCCTCCTCCGTTTGATTCTTGGGGTTTCTCTTTTTTTTGTCACTTGTTTTGCCGGCTATGAGTCGGTATTCGCCATGGTTCATCGGGCTTTTGGTGTTTCTTTTTTGTCCTTAACTCGTTGCAAGGCCCTGTTTCGACTTACAGACACGAATCTTTTGTTTTCTCGCGTTTTGCTCATCAGATACCACTTTTGTTTTTAGAAATAGATAGTCTGTTCAATTTTGCGTTTAATTCGTTTAAAATTACTGTATTTCATTCCGTTTTGGCTCGAAACCCATTGCTCGCGTCTTAGACGCTCTCATGTTGGAGTTATCTCATGTTGGAGTTCCGCCGCAAAGAGCATATGTATGAGGAAAATTCTCACAATCGACAACCATTCTATCAAAACAAGGCCTAATGCATATAGAAAAAATACAAGTTATCTTATTATACAGGATTCCTAGTGTGGGTTCTCTATTTCATACATGTACTTTACAGATGGGCCCTTTTCTTTTTTTCCGTTATCTATCTAGTCCTGCCCAAGTCACACGTAGTCTTACAAGCTGAGCCATCAAGCTCCCCCTTCCCTCACCACCTCACAGAGGCAGCTCCTCCGCCCGCTCCCTCATACAATCCAGCACCCACGCCCTCCTCTTCTTCAGCTTCGACACCATGATCGAATCGTACTCCTGCATCGTAGCAAGCACCTCGGCCAGCGGACTCCCCGCGCAGCCGCCACCTCCGCGCCCTCGAGCGCGTCCACGACGACGTCGAGCAGGCGCAGCGTCTGCCCGTCGGCCGACATGCCCGCCCTCTCCATCTCGCGGAGCAGGCGCATGACCTCGTCGGTGTCGCCGTAGCGGTACCAGTAGATGGACATGAGCTCGTTGTAGAAGCGCGTCGACACCCCCAGCACGTACGAGGCCATGCCCAGCTCCAGGATGCGCGGTAGCACGGCCAGCGCCAGGGGCGAGGGCTTGCCGAAGCCGCGGTCCAGGAGGCGGAGCCCCGAGAGCAGGTGCACCGAGTACAGAGGGCCGTGCTGGTCCATGCTCAGAGGGCGAGCGGCGGCTCGGCTTCGATGGCGGCTGCCGCCGCGGCCGCGGGAGTCTTGCTGCCCTTCTTGTCCTTGGCCTTCTTCGTCTTTTTGGGGTTGGTGGCGGTCTGGTGCGACGACACGCCGATACCCAGCCGCCCGACCATGGAAAACACCTCCCTCTCCATGAGCTGCCAGAGCGCGACGTCCGACGCGCACTGCTGCATCGCGCCCACCACCCGGGCCTTTTCATCCCGATGCAGCGCCACCAACGCCGCGCGCTCGGCGGCCCGGGCATCCTCACGACCCCGAACCGCCTCCGCATCCGAGCCGGACTCGATACCAGCCCCTCCCGCGTCGTCGTGCTCGTCGCCTAGTTCGGCGGCATACCCGTCGTCAAAGGCGATACCCCCATCGTCGTCCTCCTGCAGGCCCAAAGCGCTCTCGGCGGCGCGGCGCAGGGCGGGCGGGTACATGGCCAGAATTTCCTCGCGGGTCCACTCCTTCTCCTCGACGTCGGCGGCGCTTCCCGGCAGGGTGACGGACCGTATCTTGCCCGTGGTTTCCTGGACGGTCAGCTCGCTGGGGACGACGCCGGGGAGCGGGTTGCCAAACTGCCGACGGCGCTTGGTGATGTCGCCAAAGATCTCGTCGAACACGCGCTTCTCGGCGTCAGTCATGGTCGAGGTCTGGCGCTGCTTCTGCCTCGCGGCGGCGGCGGCGGCATCGGCTTGGTCGGGCCCGAACTCGAAGGGAATCGATTCTTCGTCGGCGGAGCGGTTCGGCCGGCGCGGAGGACCCGAGTGGGCGGACCGGAAAGGTTGTCGTGGCTGGGGTTGAAGGTGCGGTGGTCCGGAGAAGGATAGGGAGAGGCGGAGCGGACGCTGGATGGCGCGGCGCAGGGTGCGCGTCTGGTAGAGAAAGGGTAATAGGGTGGAAGACATGGCGCGGTTCATCATGCGAGGTTCGGTTTCCGTGGGTGGTCGGAAGCTTGACCTGTGACAGTAGTTGGTGTTTGTGTCATGGAAGGGCGAAGGACAAAAAAAAAGAAATTCTTCAGAAAAGAAGCGGAAAAGTAAACAAGAAAGGGAAAGTGAGATATGATTTTCTCTGTTCTGTCGCAGGCAGCAAACAAGGCTGTTGGGGATTTGGGGCTGCACGGAGTTGAGATTTGAGCAGAAAATTCAAGCCAAGTTCTTCAACCTCCCTTCAAGTCGCTGGTCGCAGGACCCAGAAATTTTATTCGCCACATGGAGCTCTGAGACTCGTGGCGTTGCACGGAGCTCAGGTACAAGTACCACTATAAACCTGCAGGGATGTGCCGGGTCGCTTCGAGTGGGCAAATGGCACTTTACTTTTTCGTCCAAGACGCGTCGCGACCTTTTTTCTGTCGGGCAGTCTTCGCGAAGAGGCGCCCAACTCCCGTAAAGTGGCATGGCACGCACCCGTCGGCTTAGAAACTCCACCGAGTAGTCATCGTGAACCGAAGAACAAAGGATCAATTTCCTAGCCCTCACCTTGCCCCCCTTGTGTCTCTCACCAGTCCTCTCTTTTGGAATTTTTTCCCGTCTTTTTCTTTTCATCGAGGACACCCCTTGTGCATCCCGCCCCCGTAATCGCGAAGCCGAGTTCACAACCCACGAGTCAAAGGGGATCCATTTCACCACCATCCCCCATTCACCTAAATCCCTTCTTTCCTCGTTTCTCTTGTTCCCTTGCCCCCCCAAATCCCGCCCACCATGCCCTCCGCCAGCGAAAAGCCCCTCAGCGCCTTTGAGCGCCGCCGCCTCGAGAACCGCCAAGCCAACAACGAACTCATCAGCGAGCTCTCCGAAGTCGCCTCCAAGATCCTCCCCGTCCCCGCCCCCACCACCACCACCTCCTCGACCTCGTCCCACAAGCGCCGCGCCGCCGCCGCCGACGCCCCCGTCAAGCGCGAACAGCCCACGCGCCGCACCCGCGCCAGCGCCCGCCTCGCCGGCATCGAAGCCGACAGCGAGGTCGAGAAGCGCAAGTTCGAGGCCGAGCACGAGGCCGCCGCCGACCAAAAGGCCGCTAAACGCTACCGCGTCAGCCGCGACCTCGTCCTCGGCGAGATCGGCGTCGACGGGAAGAAGTGGGACAACGATGTCCAGGGGCTCAAGGACATGTTTCGCGGCGCCCAGCCCGGCGTGCCCACCTTTTCCGAGGATGACATCGAGGAGGCCACCGACGAGACCCTCAAGAAGCTCAGGGTGCGCATGGGCGGCTTGGCTCTCTACGAGAAGTGGGTGCCCAACGGTAAGGAACCCTCCCCAAGCCAGTTCCCTGGTTTAATAAAATAAAATAAAATAACTAACACCTCGGGGCATCTAGACATCAAAATCGTCCCCCAGCGCGTCTACAGCCTAGGCTTCCACCCCACCAAAGACAAACCCATCATCTTCGCCGGCGACAAAGAAGGCGCCATGGGCGTCTTCGACGCCTCCCAAGACGGCCCCGCCGACGCGGACGACGACGACCGCGAGCCCCAAATCTCCGCCTTCCAGACCCACTCCCGCACCATCTCCGCCATCCTCTTCTCCCCGCCGACCACAACGCCGTCTACTCCTCCTCCTACGACTCCTCCATCCGCAAGCTCGACATCGCCAAGGGCCTCTCCGCCCAGGTCTACGCCCCCGCGACCCCGCCGAGGACGCCCCCATCTCCGCCCTCGACGCCGCCCACGCCGACCCCCAGCTCCTCTACTTCTCCACCCTCCAGGGCCTCGTCGGCCGCGTCGACCTCCGCGACCCCGCCAACACCGTCGAGCAGTGGGTCCTCTCCGAGCAAAAGATTGGCGGCTTCTCCCTCCACCCGACCCAGCCCCATCTTCTCGCCACCGCCTCCCTCGACCGCACCGTCAAGATCTGGGACCTGCGCAAGATGTCCGGCTCCGGCGACGACAAGGCCCCTGCCCTCGTCGCCGAGCACCCTTCCCGCCTCTCCGTCTCCCACGCCGCCTGGGGCCCGGCGGCCACCTCGCCACTTCGTCCTACGACAACACCATCAAAATCTACTCCTTCCCCGACGCCGGTGCCTGGAAGCCCGGTCACACCCTCGACGACACCGCCGCCAAGCCCACCCATGTCGTGCCCCATAACAACCAGACCGGCCGGTGGGTTACTATCCTCAAGCCCCAGTGGCAGCAGCAACCCCACGACGGCATCCCCAAGTTCGTCATCGGCAACATGAACCGCTTCGTCGACGTCTACGCCGCCGACGGCCGCCAGCTCGCCCAGCTCAACGGCGACGGCATCTCCGCTGTCCCTGCCGTCGCCCAGTTCCATCCCACCTTGGATTGGGTCGCCGGCGGCACCGCCAGCGGGAAGCTGTGCTTGTGGATGTGAGGTCACTTCTTTCTTCTAGGTAAAGGTGAAACGGGGGCAGAGAATCAGCGCTACTGCGCCCATCTTTAAGCGAGGAATCGGCGTTTTTGGGTCAAGGGGAAAGGTGAAGACATTGGCGTTAGGATCTGGGGGTTTGCCTTGATGTTTTTTTGTGGCTTAGATGGGATTAGATGTGCCCGTAGATCCATTCATTACATACATACTCCTTTCGGAGTAAAAATTTCCAAGCCCTTTTTCACTCGTTACCTCTGTTCTTGCTTTGCAGCTCCAAGCGCATCGCGCACCCGCGGACCCTCCCGCAAAGTGCATGATTCAATCCTTGGAAGAAGACGAAATGGTGGGAGCGAGATAGGGGACACTGTCTGGTGTATCCGTGTCGAAGTGGACAAGGCTTATATAGACCATCCTCCTCTGTTCCCAGACCAGACGACGTTGGTGTTCTGTTGGCTCCACGTCCTTTATATATGTACTTACCAGACAAGTGTCCAACATGCCAACATAAGATTGAACACGAAAGAAGACTTGTGGGAAAAAACCATATCATGGACGGAGAATAGGACGGAGAGCATTCATGCCCAGGAAATTGCTCACCGCTAGGAAAGTAGACTCATACTACACCCGATATGCCATTTCTATCGCCCACCGCAGATAATCATGTCCAAACAATCTAGCCCACCCTCATTATTGCGGCACCCCCAACGCCGAGCGTCATTCCAATTAGTTATCACCTCCAGGCAGTTCTATCGTGGATCCTCAGCCTAGCCTACGCCATTCCATAGGAAAAAAAAATATGAAAAAAAAAAGAGGCAGAGAATATAGAGAAAAAGACAAGAACGAAAGAAGGATAGCAGAAAGAAAAGTCCATAAAACCACAAATCCGTGGATGGACTATCACGCGCGTGTGCGTCCGTTGGCAACCAACGCAAGTCTCCGCGAGACACTTTAGCTATCTGGCCCGGGCCAGAGGTCCGATAGGCGCCGAGTCAGGACTTCCGGGTCAGGCTCGTCCCTCCCCACAAATGTCCAGCTCTCCTCTTCGCCCTCGTCATCGTCATCATCGTCTAGACCCTTCTCCTGGTCGCCGTGCTTAGGCTTCCTCTTCACGAGCGATTTGGCGTATTCTAGATCGCGGTAGATGCATTGGATCGCCGTCTCTACGCCATTCTCCTGTGAAAGGGGAGGGAAACCCAAATTAGTTCTCTTGTCCACCACCCAGGTATATTAACCCATCATCGAGGGTGGGAGATTTCTTACCTTTTGAATCCGCTGACCAAGAGACTTGGCCCTGACTATCATACGCTCGTTGTGAGTGGCTTCCCAGAGAGCTCGCCCAAATGAATTCGCGCCCCACTTCCTCAGCCAGATGCCGACGCCGAGATCTTCCACGCGACTACCGAAGAAGAACTGGTCGCCAAAGAATGGCCGGATGATAGTGGGAATGCCCGCGCGCAGGCTGGCTCCCGTGGTTCCCGACCCTCCGTGGTGCGCGGCCGCGTCAATTTGCTTGAAGAGCCAGTCGTGGGGCGCGCTCTTGATCACAAAGATTTCCGGTGGCAGCTGCGGCTCATCGGCGATGACCGTCGGCCCACCCTTGGTAATGCGATCGGACCAGCCCTTGGACAAGATGCAGCGCACGTCGGCAGCGAGCACCGCGTCAATGACTTCCTGCGTCATCTTAGCCGGGTTCTTGACGATAATGGAGCCAAAGCCGACGTATACAATCTTCTTGCCGTCACTTCTCGCTTTGGAGATGAAATCAGCAAGGTCCTGGGGCGGGGTGTAGTCACCGCCCTCATCCAAGAACCAGTATCCAGTGACCCTGATCCAGTCGGAAAAGTCAATCGGGGGCGCGACCACCGATGGTGAAAAGTTGTACATGAAGGGAACCTTGTTCGGCTGCAGCTTTTCGAGGCTCGTGTTCGGAAGCTTAAGGGTGTTGCGTCTCCATCGGTTGACCTGATACGCCGTCGCCTTCCAAAAGATGTTGTCAAAGAGGACGTAGCTGGTGACGTTATACGCCCCACCCATCTTGGTTTCGGGCATAACAAAGGCATGGGGGTAGGCACGGGTACGAGTCCACGGCATGGTAAAAGCCCGGAAGTACGGGATCCCGAGCGCCTCGGCGATGTGAATGCCAGCCATCGCGCTAGGGCTCTCGATGAGCAAGTCGCTGCCCTCGCACGCGACCCACGCCGATGCCAGCAACTCGTCCAACCATCCGCGGAATGTCGAGTTGGCCTCCCGTAGGAACGACCACGTAAAAGTGCCATGCTCGATGCACAGTCTCATCAGCTCGCCGGGGTCGCCTTCAACCTTGGCAAACTCGATGCCGTGGCTTTCAATCCAGCCCTGGAATTCGGCGTGGGTGGCGATGCGCGGCTTGTGGCCTTCGGCAAGTAGTCCCTTGCACAGCGCGATATAGGGCTGCACGTCTCCTCTCGAGCCAATGGTCAAGCAGGTAATTCTGAGCGGCGTTGCGGGCTTGAAATCGAGGAGCGACGTCTTCATGTCGCCAAAGACGATGGGTGGTCCATCTGTGGCGGCTTGGATTGCGTTTATCGCGTGGTGGTTCTCGCTCTCGTGCCTCTCCTCCTGGAGGGCGTCCCGTTCGGCCTTTGAGACCTTGGCGTCGCGCTCCTCGCCGAGTGACAGCTGAGCTGAATCTTTGAGATATCGCGTCTTCTCGAGCGCACGGAGAAGCGTCACCGTGCAGTCATCGCGTATCTCGCTCTTGTTGAACTCGAAAAACAACTCCTCGTGTCCGCGAATCACTAGGACCAAACCGGAATATCCAAAGGTGAAGCCCTTTTCCTTATTCACGTTCTCGATATCTCTCAGCGGAAGAATGAGCTTGGTCCTTGTGCCGATGAGCAGGCTGCGGAAGCACAGGTTCTGGTCGCTGATGTAAATCTTGCCATAGAGCGGTAGCACGCGGAATAAGTGGCCAAAGTACACAGACTGAAGTTTTTCCGTCTCCGGTAAAGCAAAGTGAGCACGGAATCTCTCGTTCGCCAGTTCGCGGCTCTTCTCATCGTCATGAGAGTCGTCCTCGTCCTCGTCGTCGGTTCTGAGCCCATGGGGCTGCTCGTAGTGCTTCCTTCCTCCCTTCCACATCCCGGAAACCTTTTCAACGTAGCCCATGGACTCCGACGCCAGGAGAGAGCTCATCTTCCTGCTCGTGGAATTGAGGTAGTTGGCAAAGGCGCCAGCTCGCTGCAGCGGATAGGTCCCCATCTTGGCAATTTGCTGTAGCGTGGGCGCATTGGGGGCAGGGGCTCGCCAATGTTGTGGGCCGTCGGCTCAGGCAAGTTACTGGTGCTAGCGGCGTGCTTTGGTCCCAGGATCTTGGGCGGCGGGGTGTGTGGCAACGGAGTACCGGGCGCCGATTTGTCTCCGAGTTCTTGGCGTCTAGTGCTTGACATTGATCGCCGGATAGTAGGGCTCTTAAAGACATCGCTGCCCTTGAGGATCTGGCTCGCGGAGGGGTCGTCACTGCTCGACATGACGAGAGCGGAAACGCTTGGCTCGTCCACAGAGTGGACGTACGATTCAGAAGATGCGGCGTTTTTCCATGGAGAGTCCGGCTTGCTGTCTGCGTGACCGCTCTGACTAAGAGACCGTCTTGTGCCGCTAAAGTTTCGGTGAGGGGGTGCCGTGGCCGCTCCGGGGGTGGTCGACGCTTGACCTAGCAAACGGTCTAAAGGCATCAAAGCTAGCCCGCGATACCTCACCGCTCGCCCTCGGGCTGATGTGGGTAGGGCTAAGCGGGGCAAGGGTTGCCCGGACCGTCTCTCGTGGGACTGTGGTTTCAATCATCTCGGGTCGCTCTTTGGGTGAGTTTTGTCTATGAGCCAAGACTGAAATCTTGGGCATATGCTTCTGCCGTGAGGCCGCGTCTTCTACTAGGATTTTCAAGACATTGATCGCTTCGGTACCATGATTGAAGAAGGAAAAGTAATACTAGCCCAATGAGTGTCAGCATCGTTGCAGCAAAAAGAAACAAGAAAAGGTGAAGGTTGAGGTGGCCGCGTACCTCGTCAAGCACAAACGTCTCGTCGTTATCGAGAACTCTGATCTTGCAAGTATCCGCGAATTCCAGCATATGCATCTCCTCGATATCGATGATGTTTTCGATGGGCAACGAGATTTTGACGCTGTCGCCATCGTTGTGGGACCGGAAGATAACGCGTTGCATCGCCTTGACCCATTCTTTGGCGCTGGGAGCGCTGTCGGCTTTGAGATAGTAGGTCCGTTGGTGTGTGGTGACCGAGAAGTGGGTGCCCTCTTTCTCCTTGTCGGTGACATGTGCGGATATGGCGTAGCGTAGGTCAATCTGGCCGTGGGGAAGTAGACGTTGGTAGTGTCGGCGAAGTACGACAAGACATCACCTTTAAGTCGGAACCAGTAGCGGTTATACTTAGGGTTCCTCTTTCCGCTCTTGGAAAGATAACCAGACTTGGCTACCTCGTTCTAAGCAAACATGAATGTTAGTGTCGGGATAAGTAAGTTGCGGAGAGTGCTGAGATCAACTACCAGAAGTAGGGCAGCAGCTTGAAGAGAGTAGGGACAATCGTACAGCTTTCTTTGGAAGATATGCGTAGAAGCAGATATGTTTGGTCGTGATATACATGAATCCTTGCAAAGGACACACTGCAAAAGCCAACACGGGTACTCTAAAGAGAGGCGACAAGAAGGTTAGTAACATGCTTATCGCATCATCCCCAGGCGAGGGCCGCGGTGCTGTGTATCATGAAGGGAAGACTTGCCTTCAATAACCTCTTCAGGCTCCTCAAACTCAAAGATGTCTTTCAGCTTCCTTGCAAGAGCACTGATACCGAGCTCGCCCGGCTCCGCATCGCGACTAACTTCGCCAGATAATCTCTCGAGGTCGAAACTAGGTCGGGCAGCCATCTCGGCCCTCGCCTCGAGCATGCGGCTCATGACAGGAGCATAGCGTTTGTCGCCCTCAAGCTCAGCAGAGGGAGCGTTGTCGTCCGATTCATCGGTGGGGGAGGTGGGCGCGGCCGAGAGCTTGGATCCTTCTTTCTTTAGCCTCGACTTGCCGAGGCGGGGCAGAGCAGGGAGGGAGCGCAGAAGCTTGTGTCCGCTGATTTTCCGGCGATGGTGCGTCTTGTCGTGGGCTTTGGGGGACATGGCGTGGCGCTTGAATATAGTTGTGCGAGAGCCAGGGAGAGGGTGGTGGTCATCCTCGCGATCGGCGTCGTTTTCGTCGTCGCCCTCCTCGTCGCTCGACTGAGGGTGAAATCGATCGGTGAAGTCGAGTCGGTGGCCGGCAGCAGCGATAAGGCCAAAGATGGACTGGTTCATATCCATATACATGGTCGGGCCCTGGCTGGCAGCAGTCAAATCTTCCTCGCCTGTATCATCGCCATGCCTTAGCCGTTCAGGCATACCAGGGACATCAAGCGTGCTTGATTCCCTGGGTGGACGTTTCTGGAGCTTTCTTGGCACATGCCTGGACCTGGAGTCCTCTTCCGTGTCGGAATGGGCATCAGAGGGTGCCATGTCTCAGAGGGAGTCGGTGTGACTTCACACCAAAATCGAAAAAAAGGGTGGAGGGGGAGGGAAGTCTATGGTGGGAAGCAGAAAGCTAGTCCCAAGAAGCGCCGGGTGGACGGGGAGGAGGAGGGGGAGGGGGCAGGCTCTCTGGGGAATATATAGTGATATATTTTGATGTTTCGAAACAAAACACAGTCGAGAAGGCAGTCAAAGAAAGTGCATGAATAGAAATAATAGCAGGCTTTGTCGGGACCGGAAAGAAGGTCAATCAACAGTGGTACTAGGCAGTCACAGCTGGAGCTGCGGTTGGATCCAATGTGATGCAGGTGTCTATTCGTCAGGAGACCCTGGTCGTGGTTCGCCCTGCTTGATGTGGACCCGCGCTTGTCGAGGCTCCAGTGCGCAACAGCTGCCAAACTCTAGGTATTCCTGCTGTTTTTAACGTCTTGCGAGGAGATTGAAGTTATGCTCGGCCTAAGAATATCGTCATGACCGGCCGAGGAAACGAGGTAGACTTGAGGCGACGGCTGTCTAGAATCAGGCCCAAAGAAGGTTTGGCGGGGTTGTTGCCCAGGTCCTGAGGTCCTGGAGTCTGGTGGTTATTGGTGGGGCGGGTGCGGAGAGTGCCGAGTCAATGTCAAAGAGTGCAATGTCGGCTTTGGTCAGAAAGAAGGATGGAATACGATGGACGCGAGAGGCTCGCTCAGTCAAAGCGATCGAAGAAGTCTCTAGTCTCAAAAAGCGTGAGAAGAGAATAGATAACAAAAAAATATATCCAGGCTAAGAATGAAGACGGGCAGGGACAGGAGGTGGAATCTAGCCTACGACAATGGGCCCTTCTGACTCGTGGGCTTCAATGGGGAGAAGAGGGTGTTGAGGGAGTAATGAATGACTATTGGCGAGAGGAACAGGAACAGGAACGGACGACAACGGCACGGTGCAGTGGGCGAGAACGTCAATGCAGAACCCCCGATCGGTGGCCAGTCAGGCAAGCCAGTGAGTGAGGAAGAGTGCACGAGCTTGGTCAGTCATTCACTCAACATGCACCGACACGTCCAGCGCTGGCTCAGTCCAGGGTCCGTTCAATATTTAGTGGCTGACGATCAAGGTACTTGGAGGATGACGACGTTGGCCAGCAGAAAACGACCAACTACCTGTCACAGGCGTACGCCAAGTACTGGTACATAAAGCCGTCCAAGATTTCAAGAAGCTGCCGCATTCTCAAAAATATCCAGTCTTGTACCTCAGTACCCCTACCTCACCACCGCTATCAGCAATGTTCCCGTGGCGGACATGGGGCTTATCGATAAGATATGTGGGACAGTCCAAGTATCAGGACCCAGCATCATCAGTAACCCTCGGAAAGCTGGGCGACTCCTCTCAAGAGATGGCATTGATCTTCTAAAATCTTCTCGCTCTCTGTCTGACCGAGCCTGCAGGCTGTGCTGCCTCGCTTGCAGCTGCTCGCTCTGGTCGTATCATAACTGCATTGGCCGATATAAACGACCCAAGCGGCTCTACGTCTGCCTATGCCACTTGGTTCCTTGGCATCCATCATCCTCGCACTCAGAACGTTGAGGCTCACCTCTACTGCAGAAATGCCGTTCCCCTGCAGGGTTTTTATTTCTTGTTCCCCGTCCAAGTTGAAGAAATATCAAGATTGGTGTTGCCTCTGGTTAGATTAATAGATGCATCAATTAAATCAGAGTTGATCGATGAGGATATTCGTCACTAACTCATCTTTCTCACCGCGTCGACACATGAGACAGCGCACAGGTTGCTCCATGTAGGTCAAGCTCAATCTCACCCTCGCAAAAGGTGCTCGACTTGTTTTCTCCTTCTTCCCCATGCTCATCTGTTATCTCTCTTTTTTTCTCATCTTTTCTCTCCCATTTTTTTCTCTCTTTCGAACCCCTAACCTCATCGAAACGATGCCCCTTCGCAGTGTGTCCTGCGTCAAATCTACATGTGATAGGCCAAGCTCACCTGCCATCGAGGCCCGGCCTCTTCCGGTCTAGTCACCCGATCAAACCAGTACCCTCGTCCGTTTGAGGGCAAAGGCGTGCTGTAAGCTAACACCCCACGCCTCCCTCGGGTGACTTGATGGCCCGTCATTCATCGCGTTTGCTTCCAGTCGAATGCGGTATTATTGGCACACATACCAGACGCGCGGGTTTTTATTGAACTCCGGCAATCCGGTTGCTCGCTCGTGGGCCAGCACACATGGGAGTTGAAGCCTCACTGGTGGTTGTAAAATAGAGTCGACGTCTGGCAAAATATACAGGCAATAATGACGTTCAAGTGTGGTATATCACTTCTTTGGATAACACGTACAAACTGTCTCGTTTACTAGCCGCATCGCGAAAGCTAGAGACAGCATCTACTTCCGAAGCCCCCTTCATCCGGCAAGGCCGGCGGTGGTCAAAAGTGCTAGGTGCCGCCCTCAATATGTCGTGACCCATGGAACGATCCGTTGCACTTGGCTACATTGCTTAGCAGCTCTTCCAAGCAAGCATTATGAAGCAGATTTACCCCTAAAAAAGTGCTGAGTCCCCCCATAACCCTCCCCAGCGCCTCTCCATCATCACTCCCTGTTGCCATGGTCTCTGCAATCCAACCGGGAAGTTTCCCGCGGATTCGGCTCGTCGCATATCTCTTGTCCACCAAGATGATGGCAGCGTAATCTCCACGATGCCGAATGGCCCGGCCGATGCTCTGGTTCACAGCACGCATGCACGAGTTCTCGTAAAAGGCGCGGGAGGCGTTCTTCGCCTGCACTGTAGCTTGATCTTTGCTCATTGTCCCCTTCCCGGAGGGGTCGTGCCTGCGGGTGTCTCTTTATCTGCCGAAGGGCACAGACGTGAAATCGTAGTCGTCTCGATATATTCGATCCTTGCCTTCCAATCCGGGGAGTTCATGTTCGGGTAAGGGAGTCCGATGATGAGTACACAGCGCCCAAGTCTATCGGAGAAGTTGATGCCTTCGCTCATCTTCCCGCCCACCACGCTTAGGAGCAAGGCACCCTTGGTCTTGGTGTTTGGCGAGGGGGATAGGATGGCATTGGAGTATGCCTCTAGTATCTCGTCGCTCGACCCGCCCTTGGACTCCCGAAAAGTTCTTTCTCGAGCCCAGGCGATCCCATACTGACGCCGCCGCGTTTGGAGGCTTCTCCTGCCAAGCCTTCACCACCTCATCTAGGTAACCATAACTTGGGAAAAAGGCTACAACTCCGTCCGGGATCACGGAGCACATGTTCAATATAGCGACGCCAAGGTCATTGATCATCCCCTTGTCACCACGACGTTGAAAGCTGAATTCAAACGTCGATGAGGCGTCGCCGGCCCGCGCTCTGCCAAGGGTCCAGACAGACAGGTTTTCCTTTGGGATCACATGGCCACAACTAAGCGTCGTAATCTTTTCGGCGGGAAGGTAGGGGAATAAATGTGTTGTGTAGTCGTCAAAGGGAGCCATAGTGCCGCCGGCAAGAATCACTGCGCGAGCAGAGGTTGCTATGGAAGAAAAGGCGTGGGTGGGGGAGAGGAGAAGGTACGAGAGTTGGATATCCCGCGGAGTAGAGTCAGTTTTCTGGAAAAAGATGCGCCCTTCGAAACTTAGGTTAGTGAGCGCGAGCAAGAAAGATAGGAGGGTATGTAACACTGGCGTTGAGGATCGAGACGGTTTTTGACCACCGGTTGCCTTGGAACTACCCTCGGCTTGTGCCTCGTCCTCGACGTGGGAAACATAACTCTCGATTTTGTAGGCCAACTTTGACTCCTGAATGTACTGGACAAGTTTGTACATGTTGATTTGGTCGATGGCCTTGTGGCGAAGAAGTGTGTTTGAGTCCACAATGCCTTGCTCTGCCTGATTCGAGGTCAATATACGGGCTTAGAGCGACGCTCACAAGAAAAGAAACGACGGCCCTTACCTTTGCTTCAATGCGGTATCTAGCCACTCACTCAAGCCCTCAATCACCCTGGCTACTCGTGCGACCATTGCCCGATTCTCACCTTTGAGCTTTTTCCAAATTTCCTTACATAGACGCCAAGCATCTGGCGGGCTCTCTTGAGCTCGCTAAGCTTTATGGTTGCGGCGTTAACATTGGAAACCGCATCCATTATGTTGTGTGCTTCGTCTATAATTACCACATTTCCCTCTAACTTGATCCCTAATGCGTCTCTGGCGCTTTTTTGAAGCAGCAGAGGGTACGGTAGAGTGACAATCTCCGAACTTGGTATTGCAGGTCGTGAAGCATAGTATGGACATACCGCCAACGACTTGCCTAGTCCATAGAGGTCTTCAATATCAGGGAGAGTAGCGAGCGCCGTATCACGAAACTGGTGAGTTTGCGAGAGGGTCTCATCTTTAGGCATGAATGTGCATCTCTTCTCTTTCGATTTAGACTGCTGCAGCTCAGCACACCTATCGTTGATGGCCGACAACGACCCAAGCTTGGAGACTGACGGGTTAATACAGAGCTGCTGTCGCGACGCGAGAGGAATCAACTTGACGGGCTCCTTCTGCGTGGAATCACTCTTGCCTGGTGACGACGGTGCCTTGGAGTAACTGGATGGAAATGACGGGCGGCGGAGTTCCGAGATGAACTGGCTTAGCTGGGAATGTGTCCTGGAAGCGTAGAATATCTAATGTTTCCGTTACTACGAGCTCTACAGATATATCGAAAGAGATGGCGAGCACTACCTTCACTTCGTCTTCGAGTTTATCCTCTGAGTCGTCCGCTTTCCTCGGTCCGCCGAGGCCCATACGCGCCAGGGTCTCCCTCGTTTGAGCGCTAAGGCCGGATAAGGGGTCATTCCCGGCCGTCGCGCCGCCCTCCCAGTCATCAAGGAGCCACTCGGCATCCTCATCAATCGGCTCTCTGGACGCGCTGCTTGCGGTGGTCTCCTCCTCAACGCGACGTCGCTTTGCGCTCCGCCGGGCCTCCATGGCCTTTTCCTTTTGTCGGATTTTCTCGAGGCGCTCCTCCCTCTCCTCCCATTGGCGGGTGAGCTCTTCGCTTTTCCGCTTGAGAAGCTGTTCGACGAGCCACTCCGGCTCATCCGCATATTCAAGCCCTATTTTCTTGAGAGTTTCTTCGTGCGAAGAGGCCTTGAAGCTGCGGAGCCAGGTCAGAGAGGAGCATATGAGGGAAAGAGATTTCCCAGTTCCGGTAGGACTCTCTAAGATGCCAATCTGGCCATGACCTGCTTGAAGGACCTCATATACGGCTTTCATGAACTGAAGCTGAACGTCATAGGGTGTGTAGGGATGATGAAAATCTACGGAGTTATCCTGAGGGCTTGTCGGTGCATTCGATGGTATCTGTGCCATTTTGAAGATAGCGGCCGCGATAATAGGTTAGACTCCCTTTTCAATTCCGGTGCAGATATCAAAGGCCTAGGATTTGACTGGCGACTGTAAGCCGCAACATATATTGGATGATGTTGTTCATGCTTACACACTTTACTATCACCATGGGCCTCAGACGTGGTTGCCGAGGACTCAGTCGCGACTGGACTTTCAACCTTCATGTTGAGGCGCCGCTGCAGGGGCTTGCCAATAATCACGTGCGTTGGACCCAGCGGGCCCTGGGGAACTATCGGCCAGGGCGGTAAGCGCCCCTGCACCTTCACTCCCAAAGGGATTATAGTGGGGACTAGAACGGGAACCTAGATTGTGAATAATTGGCACACACATTGAACACTATCCTTCACCATGAGCGATGAACAAGGAGGCAAGCCTTGACCCCGGAATTGCGAGAATGGAGTGGTGGCGTCGAGAGAGTCAAGAATGGCTTTTCAAGGTTCAGGTGCTGGGAAGCAGTGTCCCCTCCAGTCTGGTCCTAAGAACCACTGGGTTTGGTGGGTCATGCCCTGAGAGTCAGATCAAGAGAGGAACGCTCAACATATTTACGATCATCAAGTGGAAAAAGGCCGAATATATTTGACCTTGTCAGCTACTGATTCCAATATTTGGAAAATCGTCCATCTTCATGGTGCTGCTACAACAGCCAAGGTCATCGTGCAGCGCCCCGGCCGGGCATTTGGCGGATGAGACAAACACCGGAGCCGCGCCGACAAAGGACGTGGTGGGGTCAAATTCAATGGTAGAAATGACCGAGGCGGGGTGAAGTACAGGTGCACTGGGACGGACCAACCGACCATTCAGTCCATACTTAGTCATAGACATCCACGTGACCGTAGAATGCACAGACCAATATACGCCCGCACACACACACACAACACACTCTCGTTAGGGCTCCGTTTCTGTGGGAGGCCCTACGCTCAGGATTTGCCAAAGTCGAGCCGAAGTCTATCAACCAAAAAAGAAAACCTCTTGCCCACCAATCCGCCCAAAGGTGAAGTTCGCATCTTTTCACACCCAACATACCGAACCCAACCGCAACGCGACTTATTTCTCGATAATACCGTCGCTATGCCTACCCGATTCTCGAAGACGAGGAAACAGTACGTTTAATCAGTTTGCTTTTGGTTCCCCTCCTCCTCGGTCCCCAGGGCGTGGAGAGAGGTGTGGCCGGCTTCTAGAGGACTTTGAAGACTAACAATCGACGCAACAGCCGGGGACATGTGTCCGCCGGTAAGGGACGAGTTGGTACGAAAGACCCTCCGTGATTTTCGAAACGACATCTTGAACGAACTTAATCTAAACGATTGATTGCAGGCAAGCACAGGAAGCATCCCGGTGGTCGTGGTTTGGCCGGTGGTCAGCACCAGTGAGTATTTCCCAAGGAAGACATATTTCCCAGCGGGGCGAGGGAAAAAAAAGAAGGAAAATTCTTTGCTAACCGACTTGTTATCGCATAGCCACCGTACCAACATGGATGCAAGTTTTTACCATTACGATTTCGAAGCCCTCGGGCTCGCGAGCTAGCCTGCTAACATCCTCGCCTTTAGAAATACCATTATGGTTACTTTGGTAAGGTTGGTATGAGGTACTACCACAAGCAACTCAACCACTTCTGGCGCCCTACGATAAACATCGACAAGGTAAATCAACCCATCCGATACACCACGCCGAGTCTCCCGTTCGATTCCATTCTTTCTCGAGAGGCGCGCATCGTATAGACAGCAGAGATGGGTTACTAACAATGTTTTGCAGCTCTGGGCCCTCATCCCCACCGAGACCCGCGAGGCTTACCTCAAGGGCGAGAAGAAGGACACCGCCCCCGTCTTCGACCTCCTCCCCTCGGCTACTCCAAGGTCCTTGGCAAGGGCCGTCTCCTGAGATCCCCATCGTCGTCCGTGCCCGATACGTCAGCAAGCTTGCGGAGAAGAAGATCACCGAGGCCGGCGGTGTCGTCGAGTTGGTTGCGTAAAATACTGGAATTCTCTTGTTGCATTCTAGGGTGTCGGGACATGAAACTGGTTCGGTCGAGGGACGAAAATCTTCATAGAGGATATTTTGGGCACAACTCGAACGACTCAAAGGGAAAGGGAATCGGACGGTTGCTCACTGCATTGACTCTATTATCAGACGAGGAGTTTTGCGAATACACCTGGGATTGGACGTGAACAAAGAAAAACATTTCCAAACCAAACCGGCGCAGAAACCGTGTGCGAGGCGGGCAGACCATCTTTCTCCTGGCTAGTTGTGTCTGATGCATGTGACTTAATATTACGATTTCACGACCAGATGCGGTAAAGCACAGTGGAAGTCGATTCTCCAGAACCATAAAGAAGAACGAGAAGCGAAAAGATGAGGAAGAGGACGAGGAAGAAAAAAACAAAGCCATGAATTAAACCTAGTGGATGCTCCTCAAATATCCCCGTGTCCCATCCATGCGTGCCAGCCATTTGCTTGAATTACATGTATAACAAAGACCCAGATGTACGCTTATGCGCCTCCACCAAAGCTCTCTACCGGTATACCTTTAAAACCTATACTCATGTCGTTATAGAGCTGGACTCACATTCCTGTGATGTCTGAACAGCGCCTCTTGATAACAAGAAAGAAAAAAAGAAAAAAAGACTTGGAAACCCACAGGCATCAGCACGACGCCCTCTAATTATTTATCCTTGAACAATATCCATCTCGTCATCGACATCATCTCCCGGCTGTACGGTGTGGGCGTCACGGTCAGGAAGTCGAAGGAACTCGTGCTCCAACGCCTCGCTCGCGCTGATCCGCTTACTGGGGTCCAAATCCATGCAGCGGTTCAGAAACTCGACGGCCAGTTTCTCATCCGCGTCAAGGGGCTGGCCCTGGCCCTCTTTATCGCCGTCGGTACGGCAGGTGGACCACAGGATAATCTTTTCGAGATTAAAGCCGTGAAGCCCAATCGTAGGAATCGTAGTTTCCAGCACGCAGCCGTGGAGGAGACCGGCAGCCTTCATCTTCTTGGAGCCAAAAATGGTCGTGATCTCGATGAGGGCCTCCACGTCGTCGGCGCTGTTGAAGAAGGGGAACCGCCGACTGAGGATGGTGAGGAGGATGACGCCGGCGGACCAGATATCGATCTTGGTGGTCTGCTCGGTGCACTTGAAGAGAACTTCGGGGCACGGAAACCTCTGGTGCCGGCACGATTAGCGCGTCTCGACGGCCGCGTGTCGGCCTTGGGGTAGCCCTGCTGAGGGCCGGCCTGGCCAGCCACGCTGTTTTCCGCACGGCGCTTCCGCATAGACTGGCTCTCGTGGCAGAGGCACGGCCTTGAGTCGGTGCCCTGCCTTTCGGCGAGGCCAAAGTCGACGAGAACCCCCGCTTCGAGGAGGGGTCATAGAGGAAATTTGTGGGCTTGATGTCGCGGTGAAGAATTTTCGCGTCATGCACGGCCTCGAGGGCGGCGAAGAGCGAGCGGAAGTATATCGCCATATCTACGACGGTCATCTGGCGGAAGTAGTCCCTGAAGTCCGCGTGACGGAAATATGGCAAGATGGCGACGACCTGGTCGGTGGATCGGAAGGCGGTGATGAGAGGGCAGACGGAAGCGCAGTTGCGGAGGACGTGGAGGAGTTCCAACTCGTTATAGATGCGGGCAGGGCTAGACGTCACGTAGATCTTCTTGATCGCCACGAACTTGGGGCGGCGACGAGTATCAGCCAGGGCGGCGTGGTCGCGGTTCCGTTGCCTCTTGACCGGTGGCGGCGTCCATTTTACGCTTTCCTTCTCCTCGAAGTCCCAGTTGTTAACATAGGTATCGTAGGCGAGATCTTCGGCTTTGTACACGGTCGAGAAGGTGCCTGCGATCACAATGTCAGTCATGGTTCCAAGCGCTCACTCCTGTGAGTGTTTGGTGTAGACACGGCGCGGCATGGCGCGGCACATAACGAACCTTCTCCGATCCTCTTGATCAGCCGGTACTTCTCTTTGAACCCCGGGAAGCTCCTTTGCAGCCTTTCCATGTCTTGGGTGACATGGTCCGGCGCGGATTCACCGTCCGAACTCTCTGATCCGTCCGAGGCATCGTCGTCCTCCTCTTCTTCTTCTTCCTCCTCCTCCATCTCTTCCTCTTCAGGCTCCTCGCCCACAGCATCTTCAGATTCGGGCCGAACCTCCTCCGTCTGCTGCTCTGACTCGTCTACCATCTCAATCTCGTCTGTTGGCGCATCTTCGTGGATCGCGAAGGGCTGCCTGGGTACGGCAGGGCCCATCGTCGCGGTCTCCATGGTGGAGAGAAGGGGAAGGGGTTGTGTAGAAACCCAATTGCAGAACCGTTGAAGACCTAGTTTAGAGACGACGCAGAACCTGCAACAAGGCAAGAATAGTAGGCACTAGAGGTATAGAAAGAGAAAGAAAAGAAAGAAAGAAAAAAGATCCGATCACAGGGTGGACCGTATCTAAGACGATAGCAAAGACGAATTATGGGTATAATCAGAGGCGCTGGAACAACTCGGGGTATCACTCAGTGTCTCAATTGGACGGGGCAGGGAATATGACCCTTCACGAGGAGGCGGTCTTTTCACAAGGGAAGATGGATGGTGTCGATGAATGTTGGGTCATCTCTCACCAATGCTCCAAGAAAATAATATGAAGTCTTACCGCATTGAATTGTGACGAAGCGTCCGCCACACGTTTTCAGGGCTCAATTCTTTGCATGCAGGGGATCCGGTGGAGACGACGCGATCCTGATAGCGCCAACCGGAAATTCCTGTGCGGGGTGATTGGGCGGATTCTTGGGGTTTGGAGGGGTGAACATTGTGGTGGGCAGCCCAAGTTACAATTGGTGCAGCGCGTCGCAAAGAAAACAAAAACAAATGGTTGCCAAGGTCGCACCCAACACCACCACTTTGTTCTTCCCCCAGCATAACCATCGCCAAACCCTCAGATCCCAGGGGCCACCAGCATCCGATCATCCAGACCTCGAGTTCTCGACTTTTTCTTCTTCTTTGAGTCTTGTTTTCTCTATATTGGCACGCATCTCGAGACCTGTCTCGAAACCGATCCTTTCAGGCTTTCGAACAAGAAGCGAATATTTATCACCAGCCCTACCAGTTGACTGACCTCCACCCTCGTCACCCACCGCTCCGGGGTGACTGAAACAATGGAGGGCATCAGCTTTGATATCAACGATGCGCTCAAATATTACATGAGTGATCCCTTCACCGTCCCCACGCCTGAAGCCGACCCATCTCTCCTCGACTGCGAGAACGAACCGGAATCCCTCACAAATGCCGTCATCAACCCCGTCCTAAATCAGATTGTCGATGGCGTCGCCGAGTGTCCCGAGGCCATCGCGCGGCCCGCCAGTCTTGATTCTCTCCAGTTCTTGTTGAAGTATGTACTACCCCTGTTATCCCCAAGCCTTCGCTTGGCATAGTCTTTCTGTCGCAACTTTCTGACTTGTGTATGACTTTCAGATATCCGTCTTTCCTACCGACTCACGCTCTTAGCAAGATCTTTGACCTGGTCATGTCCGGGCTTTCCGCCGAGGCCGACGCAATCCACCTCGAACATGAGTCACCCGATGAGGAGCAGGAATCGGGCGCCCACCACAAACAACTCCTCGAGATTTACGGCTTCCTTCTCCAATGGACGATCGCAGCCGTGGAGACCAAGGCCGCCGAGAAGTCCTCCACCACCGCGCCCGTCGCAAGGGGACGGGGAAACCCAAGGGAAGGCTGGGGCAAAAGACAAGGAGTCGCATTGGGATTCTTCCTCACAGCTCCAGGCTGCCATGGAAATCATGTGCAAGGTCTTGAAGCTCAAGCTCTCCAAGATATTCATGACAACATCCGAGCGCGATACTTTTATCCAGCAGCTGATTACCCGACCGGTGTACCTGATACTCGAGAGCGAGCAGAGGGTGAAGGAGATGCCCATTCGTATGCACGCCTTCAAAGTGCTCTGCATAGCCATCAAGCACCATGGCCACGGATATGGTAAGCAAGCAATGAAGGATGAGACCTGTCCATAACACGTGCTAATTGCCATGCAGCCGCCCAAATCTCCATCGTACAGAACCTGACGTACTTTGAACATCTCTCGGAACCCATGGCCGAGTTCCTCCATATCCTCGCCGAGACTTACGACTACAGTCAGCTGGCCGAGGAGGTGCTTCGAGAGCTCAGTAACAAGGAGTTTAACTCGAATGATACTAGGGGCCCCAAGTCTGTTTCCAGCTTCATTGTCAAGCTATCCGAACTATCGCCTAGGATCGTGATCAAACAGGTAACCATGCTTGCCAAGCAACTCGATAGCGAGGTATGTACCACGTCCCCACTCCCTGATATTGGCTTTGCCCAGTTGTGTTCCCTTTCGCGCTCATCCTGGATCACACGCTTACATCTCCTAGTCGTATACGCTACGATGCGCTTTGATCGAAGTTTGCGGCAACATGATAGCACATCTAAGTCGCCAAGATGAGCGCGGCGAGAACCACAAGACTCAACTCAACGCCTTCTTCGACGTGTTGGAGGAGCGGTTCCTCGACATAAACCCCTATTGTAGGTGCAGGACGATCCAGGTCTACGTCAAGCTCTGCGATCTCGAGCAAAAGTTCCCCAAGCGCAGACTCAAGGCCGCCGAGCTGGCTACGAGGAGTCTCGAGGACAAGAGTAGCCACGTGCGCAGGAACGCTATCAAACTCATGGGAAACCTTATCAAGACCCACCCCTTCACGCACATGCATGGCGCCCAGCTCGCGCGCAAGGAGTGGCAGGCTCGCCTGGACCAGGTTGACGCAGAGATTGACGCTCTCAAGCCCCCGCGGACGCGCCGCCATGGGCGACGACGCCAACACGACCATGGATCAGGGTCTCATCGACGAGGCGACGCAGATCGAATCACCTCAAAAACAGCGACAGGCGGCGCCCATGACCGATGAAGAGAAGATTGCCGCCATCAAGAAGGCCCAAGAGGAGGCGGCCACATCTGAAGCCATCAGCAAACTTACTCTCCAGAAGAGGTATTACGGTGATGCGCTCAGGTTTATCGATGTCGTGCACGAGGCAACCACCACCGTTTGCCAGCTCCTTGGCTCCAGGAACAAGAGCGAAGTCATCGAAGCCATTGATTACTTCGAAGTAGGCGATGCATACAACATTGAACAGAACAAGGTGGGCATCCGTCGCATGCTCAGGCTCATCTGGACCAAGGGCAACAGTGACGAGGGCAAGGGTGTCCAGACCCACCTCATCGACTGCTACAAGAGGCTATTCTTCGAGGCGCCCGACTCGTTCAGCCCGAACGATGCGGCCATCTACATCGCCCGCAACATGATCAGTCTTACCTTTGGCGCTACGCCTGCCGAGCTCACCTCGCTCGAGCAGCTGCTGGCCACCATGATGAAGGGCGGCCTGATTCCCGACATTGTCATCGCGAAGCTTTGGCAAGTGTACGGCGTGCAAAAGCGCGAGATGTCCAAGAAGCAGCGACGTGGCTCCATCATCATCCTGGGTATGCTTGCGACCGCGAGCCCCGAGATTGTCGTGGGCGAGATCGAGACGATGCTTCGGACTGGCCTCGGCGCCCATGGCAGGGCTGACCTGCAGCTCGCCAAGTACACGTGCATTGCCCTGAGCCGCATCAACCCAACAGGCCGCTCCAGCAAGGATTCCAACGTCAAGTTCTCGCGCCTGCCCAACGACCACGCCGTCCTCATGAGACTGGCGGCCATCACCGAGGTGCCCACCGAGAGCAAGGAGTGGTACGGCGTTGCAGAGCAAGCCATCAATGCCATTTATGCCATTGCCAAGCACCCCGACACTCTTTGCTCGGCGGTGATCCGCCGCAAGACGAGGCAGGTATTCAGCGGCGCGCCATCGCGCCCCACCTCCCGCGACGAGACCCAGGCTGTCACGCAGGCCATTACCATGGCCATGGATACAGATGCCACGCAGCCCGCGGTGCTCGCACAGCCGAGGACCCGGGACGCGGCCGTCGGCCTATCCCAGCTCTTCTTCATCGTCGGCCACGTGGCGATCAAGCAGATTGTTCACCTCGAGCTCTGCGAGCAAGACTTCAAGCGCCGCAAGCAGGAAAGGAGCGCGAGCTAGCCTCCAAGGCGGATAAGAGCATGGCCAAGGACAAGGAGGACGAGGGCGACGAGCTCGACCTCATTGGCGGCACGACGGAGGACGACTTTACCGAGGCGATGGCGCACATTCGGGAGCGCGAGCTCCTGTACGGGCCCAACTCGCTCCTCGCCGTCTTTGGCCCGCTGGTGTCGGAGATTTGCGCCAACAACACGACGTACAGCGACAAGGGCCTGCAAGCGGCGGCGACGCTCTGCCTCGCCAAGCTCATGTGCGTCAGCTCCGAGTACTGCGAGGCGAACCTGCCCCTCCTCATCACCATTATGGAGCGATCCGCCGACGCGACGGTGCGCTCCAACGCCGTCATCGCCCTCGGCGACATGGCCGTGTGCTTCAACCACCTCATTGACGAGAACACCGACTTCCTCTACCGCCGCCTCGCGGATACGGACGCGTCGGTCAAGCGCACCTGTCTGATGACGCTCACCTTCCTCATCCTCGCCGGCCAGGTCAAGGTCAAGGGCCAGCTGGGCGAGATGGCCAAGTGCCTCGAGGACGAGGACAGGCGCATCGCCGATCTCGCGCGCATGTTCTTCACGGAGCTCAGCACCAAGGACAATGCCGTCTACAATCACTTTGTCGACATGTTTAGTCTCCTCAGCGCGGAGAGGGCGCTTGACGAGGAGAGTTTCAGGAGGATTATCAAGTTCTTGCTCGGATTTGTCGAAAAGGTAAGCAGTTTTCCCCCTCCCCCAATTGGGGAGTTTTTTTTGCCTGTTCCTTCTCTTTTGCTAACACAATGTTTTTAGGACAAGCACGCCAAGCAGCTCTCAGAGAAGCTGGCGGCCAGGCTCGGCCGATGCGAGACAGAAAGGCAGTGGAACGACGTCGCATTCGCCCTTGGTCTCCTGCAGCACAAGAACGAAGAGATTACGAAGCTCGTCTCCGAGGGCTTCAAGGTTGTCCAGATTGCGGCGTAGTCTCCGTTGCGTTGCTTCGCTCACTGGGTTTTTTGGTCTAGCTGTACTTTCCCCCTTTTTCTTCCTTCTTTTTCCTTCTTCTCTTGGGTCAAGCGCTGGACTATAGAGGGTGTAATGCGTGAATGATGAATACGTATGGGCTATATACCGAGTTGGGAAGGAGGCAGACTTTGCTGTGTGATTTTCTTGTTCTTGATCGTTAGTGCGCCAATGTATATCCATTGTTTTCTAGCGCGATTTGGCGCTGGTCTCGTTCAACGTTGCTCTCTCTCTCTCTCGCTTTTGCTTCCGCCGTGATCCGCGATACTTTCCACGCCTACGCAAACCAGTAGTCCTACTTTACTGAGCAAGAGGGGCAAGCCACCATTACAGCATTGCACCATGGCAACATGATAGTCTAACAAAGTTTCATTCCACGATTTTCTATCTTGGAACGTATGTACAGTACCCAGACCACATCCACCCCAGCGTCGCGAGTCTACGCTCCAATTTCCCCTCTTTATATTTTTGCCCTTTCCCTTCCCCCACATACCGACTCACTACCCAGTTTATTTCGTCAGGTTGCCAGGGGTGGCCGCAAACGTTGGCCTCACGAATCTAAAGAATAGCCACCAGCATTCTTCGTCAGTCACAGTCGTTCTCAAACACAAGCAGGATAGACAAAAGAGCGAAGGCGAGACCAAAAGAAACGTACCTGTTGGTGTTGTACACGGGCAAGTTCTCGCCCAAGAGCTCCTTCTCGCGAGCCTGATCGGCGAGATGTCGCCTCACCTGGTCGCGGTCCTCTTCCGCCTGGAGTAGGGGAGAATATGGATACGCGCCCACATCTTCTCACGGGCGTACTCGCTAGTTGGTTGAAATTCCCACGGTTAGCATCGCCTACGTCGTTTATCAAGGGCACGACCCATATCTTGCCAGATACAAAGGGATGGATCTAGGCAGATTCGGTAGAAGAGGCGGAGGAAGGGTGGCGTGTGCTTGTGTATGGAGGTGTGATGCTCACTTCGTTTCGCGGATACCCTTTACGAGTTGGTACCAGCCGTAGCCCATAACGACCGTCATGGCCAGCAGGTAGGTCCGGGGTCGGAAGCCGCGGAAAGGGAGGTTCCTCTATAGAAAGTAAATGCCAACGTCAGCGTCGCGGTTCGAATAGCAATCGTCGTTCGTTGTGCAGGCCCAACAGAATCGTGAAGGGGGTCCAGTCCGTAGCTGGCGCTCTCTCGGATCGTTCCAACGCCAGCGGTGCATACAGCCCTCCTCCATTGGCCGAAATCCTTCGATACGGCCACCGCGAACCCTTGGCTTCCCAATTGATATCGCGTCGCCTTTCGCAAGACCCCAACGACGCTAGAGGAAAATCCCATTCCCGAAACTAGCTCACCTTGTACTGGATGGGGCCGTAGCCACCCACGGGCGGCATATCCTGAGGCATCGTGGGAATATGTGGCGTCTGGGGCGTCCAGACGATCGAATTGACTCGTTGTTTTCTCTCGGGCTCGGCGCTCAAAACGGCTTCGTCTCGTCAGGGGGAGAACGTCAGGACGCTGCGATATCGATTGACTTGGGTGGTTCAATTGAACCTTGCTTTCGACATGCAAATCGAGCCTTTCCGCGATCAATTTCCGCTTAGTCATGCGTCTTCTCGTTGTCATCCTTTTCTAGAAGCTTTTATTGGTTGGCGGCTGTTGACAGCCTACTCCATTCCACCTACGCCCCTTCCCCACGGCAGCACCTGCCCACCCCGCCAAGCTAGCTGGAGCTCGCTCCTTCTGAGAGGAGTCGGCGCATCGGGGCCTTGATCAATGGACCGCGTGGGCTGATCACTCGACTCCCTGCGCCCACCCCCGTCATTAGTGTAAGAGCGGAGAGAGGAGATCGACTGAAACTCACCTTCATCTTCAGAACACCAGCCTAGTCAACTCACAAATTCATAGGCCATATCAATACCTGAAACCCAAAAGATCCCAATACTCCTAGTTCAAGAAATCCCGAATCATCAGCTACTACTCACAAGCCAAGATGGAGCTCAAGACAAGCTATATTCTCGGCACCGCCTTCATCGGCCTGGGCATCTACCCCTTCTTCACCCGCTCACCCCTCCCCTTCGTCGGCCAGCCCTTGTCTCTCCTCTCCACCGACGAGGCCACGATCAAGAAATCAACTGCTCGCCTCGGTGAGCGGCACCGAGGACACCGCCTCCTCGGACCTAGACTCTCTCATCAACCTCCTGCTTCGGCAAAAAGGCTCCCGTGACATCGCCCTCGGTTTCCTATTCCTCTCTCATGAAGGCCACGGTGACGACATGGCCGTTGGAGTACTTATGAGTATGGTGGGCATCGTCGACATCGTGGATGCCGTCTCCATGTTCAAGAGGGGCGGGGACGAGAGCAGGAGAAAGGCTCTCGGCTATGTCGCCTCTGGCGCCGTCATGCTCGTCATGTCCTGGCAAAAGCTCGGGCTCGGCGATGTGATCAAGTCCAGGTTTTTCTAATCATGACCTCTCCATCCCTAAATTACATGTACCCACAGAGTCGTGTTCAACTATCATTATTACATTTTATCTTAACCCTTGATTCCTCCATGACTGTGTGTTTAGTAGAGCATGGAAAGAGGTAATACACACCCAGCATTCCTATTTTTCAAGATTTCCTAGGAAGCCGAGAAAGAGTCATGAAGATGAATGCGCCGGGGTCTCGAGATGATACCATTCAAATTCATAAATAGCAACTTCCTATAATACTATGAGTGCCTCGATTCTCAATATCAAGAGATGGTCAAGGATTGTGTATACTTTGGTCCATGTGCAACTTGAGAGACGGAGGCTTTCACCTTTTCTTCGTGTGTTCTTAAATATTGATTCAAAAATATTTCCAGAGAAAACAATAAATATCCGATAAATTTTTATCGCACAATCCAAAGGAAATAAAAGAATATATTGACAGTTTGAGGAGCATTTACATCATCCCCACCCAACCCTTAGTATTCCACTTAGTTCAATCGTCGAGGGGATCGCTTAGTCTTGCACTTGGGAGCCTCCTCCACGGGCTCCTCAGCCTCCTCGGCCCAAGCGCGGATGACGATATCGGCAGCCTAGTTACCCGTGTTAGTCAACGTTGTTTCTCGAACACAAAAATGGAGTGGGTGGGACACCAAGTAATATCCTACCTTCTCGCCAATGGCGTAGGCCGTGGCGCTAGTATGGGTGCCGGGAATGAGAGGAATGATGCTGATATCAGCGACGCGGACCCTGTCGAGCCCGTGAACCTTGAGATCGGGACCGACAACGCCACCCTTCTCCTTGGGCATCATGGCAACCGTGCAGCAAGGGTGCATGAAGGACGGCGTAATGTTGCCGCGGATGTACTTGATGATGTCGGCGTACTCGGTAACGTTGGAGCCCGGTGCCACCTCCCTGGGGCCGAGGGCCACCATGGTATCCGTCTCGTAGTAGCGGCGGAAGAAGGGCAGGAAGCGCGACATGACGTCCAGATCGATGGGGTTGGCGGCGGTGCGGTAGTCGACAATGGGCTCGGCGTCGTGGTCCTCGGGATCCAGCATGACGGTGCCGCGGCTGAGGGGCTTCAGCAGGAAGCCACCGCCGGGCGTCGAGCTCATCCAGGGGGCCTCGAGGACGGGATGCTCGGGGTTCTCGAGCGAGTCGGCGAGGAGCGAGAGCTGCGCGAGGTATCCGTCCCGGACGCTCTCGGGGGTGCCTTCGGAGAGGTAGTCGAGGGCGCTGCCGTCTTCGACCTGGGCGCGGATGGCGTCGATGATCTCGGCAAAGTCCTCGGCGATGACGGGCAATGAGAGGTAGATGGCGCTATTACCCATGGCGAGGGTATAAGGGCCCTTGGCGGGCGCTCCTCGTACAGCTCCCGCGCCTCGGCGCCAAAAGTCGCGTTGCTGGTCACGGAGCCCTGGCTGGGCTGGACAGACTCGGCAACTGAAAAGATGGTACGGACCAAGTTAGTTTCCTATATACAGCGCAAAAGCGCGGGAGAAAAAGAAAAGGGTATCAGAGGTGGGGTCTAAACATACGAGAAAACGAAGATCCGGGGCCGCAGTGATCCTGGAAGTTGTGGCCGACGCCAGGCAGGTCAACTACAACGTCAATTCCCGCAGACTCGAGAAAGCCGGACTCTCCTACACCGCTTCGCTGCAAGATCTGGGGCGAGTGGATAGCGCCCGCCGAGACGACGACCTCGAGGTTAGGGGTAACGGTGCGGATGTCAGCCTCATCGGTGGAGCCGACGGGCTTGAATTCGATGGCGGGGGTGCATCTGCCTCGCCAATGATGAGACGGGTGACCTTGTGTCCCACAAGCAGGTCATAGTTGGAACGATCCTCGACGACCTCGAGGTAATGGCCGCGTCCGGCATGAGACCGCTGACCATCAATGTAGTACTGGGAAGCGGGGACCCAGCAGACGCCGTGCTTGTCGCCGCCGGCGCACTCTGTTGGTGTGGGCAGGCCCATTTCGACAAAGGCGTCCCAGGCAATCTCTGAAAGACACATGTGTTAAAGAAGAGAGTCGAGAGAGAAAAACGATGAGTTCCCGCCATTTACGGTTTTGGTCGAATGCGGTTCACTTACTTTGGATGGGGAACTGATACTGCGCGTATACGGCCTGGATGTGCGAGACGTTCAAACCATACGCGGCATCCACATCCCAAGTATACCCATAGTTCTCCGCATTCTCATCGGACGGCTCGAAGAAGGTGACACTCTAGATAATAGTCAGACCAGACCCTTTCCAAGTCCCAAGGACCAAAGGCTCGGACAAGGGCCGTGTGAACCGGTCCGGCTTACCTTCTTGAAGAATGGGAGGATGTTATCCCAGTCCCAGCTCTCGGCGGCATCGTCAAACTCGGGGCTGCCAATCTTGGCCCACTCGTCATAGTCGAGCTTGTGTCCGCGGTCGAAGAACTGGCCGTTGATGGTGGAGCTACCTCCAACAGTCATTCCGACGGTGAGAGAGGCTCGGCGGTTGTTCAGCGCCGGGATGGGGAGCGATTGGATATTGAGGCGCGTGTTGCCTGGTCCGCCACCGGGCGGTTCGAAGACGGCCTGGGCGTCCTCGACGACTCCATACTCGATAACGAGGGTGTTTCCTAAAAGCAGAGGTGCGATTTTCTCATGTCAGACGCTTGCCCAAATTCCCATAATCTCAATTTTCTCTTCTTTTGCACGTCTTTATCTGTAAATGGAATAGCACTAAAACTCACGGTCAGGGAATGCCTCGGTGAGTCGGTCAGCGATGGTCAAGCCCGCGGTACCGCCACCGACAACAACAAAGTCGTAGCTGTCACGAAGCTCCTCAACCTGCCTCTTAATCACTCTGCCGCCAGAATGCGGGAGCGCGTGGGCCAGGGAGGCAAGGACGCCACAAAGGACGAGAGCGCGAGAAGAGGCCATGATTGAATCCGAACCAAGGGAAAGGCGCTAGGTTGTCCCTAGAAACTGTGATAGCTTGAAGCCTACGATATCCTTAGGACCAGATTAAATGCACCTGGTGTCGAACAAACCTGATACCTTTCTCACCTTCTCCTGGCTTTCGTCTCCCGCGCGAGAGCCTTTCGGCTGCACTTTATACTCATGAATAACACGAACCATTGATCTAGCACCGCACCGCCTTCCCCTCAATCCTCGGGCCCAAGCCAGCATCGATCACTATATATTGAAATGAAACCGTCATCCAATTTTCCCGCTACATATAGTACGAGCGCGTTGGCCTGCAGCCTGCGACTCCGCGTCCATTGCAGATCTATCCCGATGTCACGTACGAATAAGCTAATATCCCGCTGGCAGATTCCGAGTAAGCGGCGCGGCGACCTGGGGAGACGTACGTCGCCCTACATTTTACCCCGGTATGCTTCACCATGTATCCGGCATGGAAGTGCTAGGTACGGGGATTTCGGAAGATCCCCGAGGACTCTCACTGATGGAGTACATTGCATGGATATTGTACTTGTTCCATTCTTTTTGACTGGCACTGCCCTCTCTCACTTGGGTCGTGAGAACGCCCAGTTCCAACACACGACACCGCTTCCCATCTCCGTTTTAACTGTGATAGCAGCGCATAATGGCCTGACCACCTGCTTAGACCATCGGTCCATACGTGCAGTTGAGTATTTCTTTCTACTTGGCCAACGCTCGTCGAGTGTCGAGGAACGGATGATATGCTTGGTCCTGCCCCGCATTACCGCGCCCTGACTAAATTACCCAAAAACTCCGGAGCGCCACGGCTGGCTGTTGAAAGAGAAGAAAGGGAAAAAAAGAAAAGAAAAAAGGAAGAAGAAAAAGAAAGTAAGAAACAAGGTACACTTTGTCGCATGCCTCCACCTTATCCTGTGCTCTGTGCTTGGTTGAGCCGGCGGTAATTCAAGCAGGCCATTCGAAATCTTCCGGGATTGATTAACTCTAATGAGAAGCGGAGAAGGGAGCCCCACACTCCCCGGCCCGGCCATGACTTCTACCTCCGCCGACGTCTATCCTCCTTGTTTCCCTACATGTACCTTTTCTTCTTCCCGCGCTTCTCTATCACTTTAGTACTTTTGCTTTGCTGTCTTGCCCATCCGCTCGCTCCTAGATGCTCCGCTGATAGTGGACATGACCAAGTTCGGTTGCACCTTGGATTGTCAGGCACACCATGGGTCGGAGATCAGGGACGACCCGGGGACGTGAGTGTGAGTGCAAGAGGAATCAGGCACTATCTCAGCTCTAACCAAAGAAAAGAAGCAAAAGGCACGTTGTCGTCACTCCTTCCAAGGGTAAGCGAAAAAAAAAAGTCTATGTTCATGAACTACATGCATTCTCCATAAAGTCCGAATGGGAGAATGATGAATGATAAAATAGGAGGGAAAAAAAGAAACAAGAAAAGCTGCACGAAACTTCTATTTTACACTTGCGCTTCAGCTATACTACGAACAGGGTATATCCCCTCCAATGCTTCCAATCAACACAAATCGTCCTTCGCCGGTCGACGCCAGTCTTAGCCGTTCTCCTGGGCCTCCAGCTCTGCTAACAGGTCGGCTTCGAGATCCTCCTCGAATGACCCCCTCCTCTCTTCTTCAATAGCGCTCCCCTGCTTCAACCCCCTGCCCCTGTCCGTCATTCTTGCTGTCCGTATCCTTGGGGAAGGTAATGAGTCCTCGGCAGGGGTGGTTTCTGAGGCCTCTCCGTTTGTGAGGCGGCGGCGCTTTGCGTCGCTCTCATCCTGAGACTCCTTCTCACCGTCCGAACCGGCCTTCCTCTTCACACCAGATTGAGATGAAGGCGTCGGCACAGATGACGGCTCCGCCGACTTGTCATCCTCTCCCTGTTGGTCTTCGTCCTCATCGTCCAGGCCGCCCTCTCCATCTTCCTCATCCTCGTCGAAATCGCTAGCATCGCTTCCTAAGAATTCTGCAAGCTCATCATCCGCACCCTCCCAGTCAAACGTCTTCAGGCCATCGATTGGGCTTGTGGACCCTTCTTCTAGCTGGTGCGGCATCACATGGTCGACGTCAATGATCAGTTTATTGTCCCCGTGGTCCTCGTCGTCCTCAGATGCCTCGTTTTCATCGTCGCCGTCATCCTCCTCTTCCAAGTCTACTGCAAGGCCTTGGTTGGACTCATCGATAATTGTCAATGTCGTCCCTCCCTCGCCGTTTTCGTCCTCGTCAGCGTCGGATACAGGTTCTTCTACCGGCTTAGCCGCCAATTGCCGTTTTCGATCTGACGAATGAACACTGACGAGATAAGGCGTCTCATCGAGCGCCTTCCACTGGCTAAGACAGTCGATGAGCCAATACTGGTTCACGATCTTGATGCTCGGTATTTTGGCGGCTTGCCGCAACTTTTCGGTTCGCGGCCTTTGGGTCGATATTACAAGATGAGTAACGCGTCGCGAGATTTGTGTGTCCAAGTCTGCCCCAAAGCCCATGATCTGAAGCCCTAGTTCCGACTGAAGGACGTCGATGCCCAGCGGTACAAGTCCCGACAGCACAATGACGCACCCTCTAAGCACGTTCCCCTTGAGCTCGTCGAGTATATACCCAGCATCCGGAACCAACGATAGGTCGTCTTTGCTCGTGGGTTTCCTTTCGTCGTAGCTTCGATAGAATTCCTTGTGTAGATTTGTCAAGTGTCGACTGATGTGGGTGAGTTCATCGTCATCGTCGCGAAGGACATGATGCCTTGCCTGGGATGAAGCAGATGACAGCTGCGTCGAGTCGTTGGCATCCTCCGCCTTGTGCGCCACCTCGTCTTCCTTGTCCAACTCCTCCTGCATGTGGAGAAGAGGACGCTCCTTTATTTGCTTCTCTAGGGACCGTTCCTGCTCGGCCGCCTGCTGGCGCTGGAGCGCCTTATCTTGCCCGCTGCTCATGCTCACAAGGTCATCAAGCGCGGAAGCCTCCTTATTCACAGTGGCATCGGCGTTGTTTGTCGTCGGCGGCGACCCATCGCCATTGGGTGCCTTGGGCGGAGAAGGTAAAATATCTTGCCTCTTCGGCAAGAAGCTTGAATTAATGTCACCGATACCCTTGAAGAAGTCGTAGGGCGTCACCTTGACAAGGTTTGGCCGGTTCCTCGGCCAAACGTCTGACCTGTCATCAATGATGGCCACCATATCGGTGCTTACTGGAAAAAGCCTCTTAAGGTTTTTGGAAACAATATTTCCGTTTTCGTCGCGCGATATTACTCGGTTGCCAAAGTACTTTTGGTCGGGGTCGATGATTTCGGCAATCTTCTTTGCGTAGGCACGGGTGCCCATTGTATAGACGTGCATCTCATACATGTCTGCCATAGATTCGAGAAACTCGGCGAGGCCGGGCCGCATTTTGATGTAATATGAACAGCCCATGGCCAGTCCGCGCGGGCCATCGTCGTCGAGTTGAAAACTTCGGACATCCTTAACAGACTCGTAGTTGGGATTCGTCGGGTCGCTCTGCCATTCGCCGATAGTGGGCTCGATGCAGGCATGTATAATTGTTTGGTCGAGATCCACCACCAGGCTCAGCTTGCGCTGTTCTAGCAGGCGTCTCTGCGTCGCATGCTCCACCCTAGCGGCAAGGTTCGAGCTGACGGTGAGGCCGGTGTTGTCGTGGGTCATGTTGATGGTAGCACGTGAGGTTTCGGGTATCTCGGAGGACCAGTCCATCTCCGTCATATCCTTGCCGCATATCGCGCAGAGACCTCGAAACTGGACCTCATGGCTACACGACTCCTCAACCACGATGCACGCCTCATCTTTCTCGATCGTTGCGCCTTCGCGAATGCGCCATTCAATCAGCTTACCGTCGCCGGGGATTCCCATAATACAAGTGTGACCTGCTCCTCCTCTCTAGATTCTCCTCGAAACGAATCGCCGACCTCCTTGGTCCATTTGAACTTGTATTCGAAAACGGGCTCGCGTTTTTTCAATGTGTCTCCAGGCGACTTAAGAAGCTTGGTGATCGTGATGGGGTAGCGCAGGCGCGACCCTAAAGATAGTGTCTTGGTCATGTCGAGAACATATGTGTCGGGCGCGGCAATCCCATCACCAGACCATGGGGAAGCGGGAGTGGGTGAAGGAGGCGTCGAACCCTAAACGCGGTGGACGCCCGACCGAAGGGATGGGCTGGCGTAACTGTTGCTAGAATGCCGCGTCAGTGACCAGTCGCATGAGGACTTCAAGGTGAATAGCAATATGTGGATCAGAACTAGTCAAAGAAGAAGAGAGAAAAAGGAAAGCGGGCGAGAGGAGAAAAAGCAAATATCGGGAATTGAGTTGGGCTGAGAGACTTGCGCGACACCGATAAGGAAATGAGAGACGGAGGGGTATGAGGGGATGGAGAACATACTCTGGTACAGTCGTCGCCGCGCGTTTTCGAAGCGAGCACCCTCGGAGAGTGGAACGCAAGTGACGATGTAAGGATCAATGGCCGAGGGAATGGCTGACAGCGACACGCGATTCGCCGAGCACGATCTTCCCAGACGCGATTCTTGGTTTGTCCCGAAAGGGAAGGATGGCGATTGCGATTCGAGATGACGGGATAAGCGAAACACAAAATTTGGCGCGGATAGTGACGGATTGAAAACGGAGACTACAGGGTCAACCGAAAGGTGTATGTGAGGAATATGAGGTGTCAGATGTGGGTGCGTTCAGCGAGAAGCTTCACGTTGATCACCAAATTCCTAGAAGTTCCCACGTCTTGGCAGAAGGAGCTCAAGCTGACCAACGGGGGCAACAAACTAGTGTGGTTAAAAGGACGAGTAAGCTCACCAAGCGGAACAAAGAAAACGAGGAAGGGAAGGGCAGCGGACCATGGTACCTTTGTATTCATTCGCCAGGGAGCTCCTGCCCGCAACGCTTGTGGGAAACCCCACTTATATACTTGTAGCTCGCGAATCGAGTGGGTGACACGCAGGTACTGGTACATGAGAGGTATCCGCAGTCGTAGTAAAACCCACGCCTCTAGCCGAGTAGTCGCAAGTATTTAAGTACGGATACCAAACTTCATCAGTTTCTCGCGCTATTCTACCTCTCTACCTAGCCACATCGACATCACCTCGTGTGGCTGGATTTGGAACGATGGCCCGTGCACGGGACAGGCAGCTTCTCTCCCCACCCCCGTCGCAGCCGAGAAAATCTCCCTAGTCCAGTGCACTGCCGCCAATCGCCCTCTGACCTCATCCACCGTCCTGGAAGATCCACAGCTATCAGATCGGCGCACCACGAAATCGCGTTGATAGAATTCCTGTGCCTCGACCATTTCCCCCGCCCCATCTGCTACTTAAAACAGAGACTGCATCATCTCCGTTCCTTGTAAATAGCTCTGAGCTATTGCCTTGAAAGAGATTCAGAGAGCATAGGAGCCGTTGAATCAGCTTGAGCCTGCTGGAGCACAGTTGGCTGGTCAATTCACCTCATCGAGCTCATATTTCATTTACTGTCAGCGTATGTTATCCAATGGTGGATGTATCCATTTTGCCATCACGACCACCTTTAGTTTGCCACCAAGGAATTCTTTGCTCGTTTATTTGCTATAGTGATATTGTCCTGACTGGCTTCTATCTTTTTCCTTCTGCATGTAATGATCAGGCGGACATGCAAATCTCGCGACCAGATTTCTGGTTGGACGACATTGACCCAAAGACATTCTCTTCACCAATGAGTAAGAATCAGGACATAGTCCAGATGCGCCCGATCTCTTTTTCAATCACAATGTGGAGGTGCATGCGGGTTATAAGCCGCTGATGTCCGTAGTTGACGGGCATTGGGTGACGCTTGAGATTTCATACAATGCCCAAACCTTCCTCAAATGCGAGCGGACGGACTTACACTTGGGAGGAGAGGGCGGGGAAGCTTATCAAGGTTATCACCGATCTTTTGGCGCATCCGTTAAAGGCACATAGCGCACCCCGAACAGCTTATGCTTCGTGACGTTGCCATCCTTATCCTTGTCGATATTCCAGACGTGCTGGTTCCACCCGTCGCTGTCATCATCCACCGGGATGAACATCCTAGACGAAATAAGGATATTAGTGAATGCAAGTAATGGGCCGAGAAAGAACGGGTACGAGGACATCGGGGTGAATGCCCCTCCCGACCGTCCATACCTTCCTGGAGACTTGAGCTGCGCCAGGAGTTCGGCATGGACCTCCTTCGCCGACGCGCCGACGTGAATTGCGTCCCAACCTTGGCCTCCCTCATCCTCGCCCTCCCTAGGCGGCTCAACCCAACCTTTCCGTCCGTCACCGACAGTAAACTTGACCTTGCCTGCATCCAAAACTCCCTCCCCTCGGCACTCTTCTTCATGTTCTTTTCGCCGAGCGCCTGCAATTGCGGAATATGCTCCACCCCGATAACGAGGCCCTTCTCGCCGACGAGCTCCGCCATTAGGTGGGTTAGATATCCCGATCCTGAACCTACATCTAACACACGTGGGGCGGGGCGATCCGGCTTCGGTACGATATATTCGACTAGATTTTCGATGGCTGTGGCGTGCATGTGAGGGGCTGAGATGGTCGCGCCGTAGCCGATCGTTTGCGGCGCATCTACATACGCCTTGGCTGGGGCATAATGGGCCCGGTCCACCTGCATAAGCTGCTCAGCATCTCATGGACTATTCCACCTTACCCTAGAGGGTCACAAGATGAGAAAGGCAATGGCGCCGAAAGCTCACCTTGAGAAAGACGCTCTTAACACGAGAATCGGTCATCAGCTTGTTCCTCCACATGTTCTCCACCAGCTCCTCGTTTGACGTCCCTGTACTCCTCCAAGCCATGGTGATCACTGTTCGCCTTGGTATGCTTCTAGTGGTCTTGGTAAATCGTGGGCACCACTTTCGCTCAGACTCTTTTGTGCCACAGGTGTTTTGAGAAGAGATTACGAGAAGCCGTGGGGGAAGAACTTGTGTGAATGAACTAGGTCGTCTGGACAGTAGTGGGCATCTCATCAACACTGCGGCGAACACAACTCGTCACTAGTGGGTGTAGGAGTTGTTGCCCGTTTCAAATTCTGAATTTCGTGTGAGCGACAGAAGGCACCTTAATATCAAGCTTCGAACGGAGAAGCAGGAATTTCTATCGCACCAATGGATCAAGCTATGTGGTGTGATAATGTGCTACATAAGTCGGATGAAGTCACCATCACCCCCAGAAGTGCGGGGAGACGTGCAGGTGTGGCCCAGCTTGTCTCGCTTTCCATCAATTTTGTTGGTTCCTGGGTGCACAAGTGAACTCTATCCTGACCTGTTACTGGTTATTGCCTTGTGTGAGCGTGCAGCGACTGATAGGCATCGACAATCATTCTACATCTAGATCGGTTCTCTCGTAGGCTTGTTCTACATGTAACGTCTAGACTCCAATGATACCAAATCTCGAGGTTAATTTCCGTGTACCGACGGGCCGTATTCACCAGCGGACTAATTGATCAGTCTGTTAGATACCCTAAAATTTCGAGGAATTCAAAGTCTGGTGTCTTTGAATACTTCAGTTTGGTTTCTGCTGCTAGCTACTGCATAGCCACCGGGGACTAAAGCTGCATCACCAGCGTGGGCCACCGGTCCTAAAGTATCAAGTATGATGTTGAGTCAAGTCCCATACGCTCTACGATTCGTTGCCTCGGTCATGGCTGGATCTATAGTCATAAGTTCGGTCTATGCTGTTCTTGATTGTGAATAGCCATGCATCCACTATAGCCATCCACTCCATCTCCTCTGTGGCTGCCTCCACCAAGGTGTTCAATGTCGGCATAGACGATACATGGACGCAAGGATATACGGCCAACAAAGCGCGCTCCTGGAAGATGAAGATATAGATCTGGGTGCTGATATCCATCGAACTCAGTCTATCAATACCGGGTTTATACAAGCCTACACTATTCCAGAACGCAGTGACAAAGCCATCATCAAGACCCTTCGTGCAGCCAAAGGTGCAAAATACCTTGGTCCAGGCCGTGGTCTTGACGATCTTACTTGCTTCTTTTTCTCTCATTCTACGCTTCGCTGCTCTCGTCTTTGAAACATATCATCCACGGGCGGAATGGAAAAGCAATCGTGGGGCTGTGAGACCAGTGGCTGGTCTTGGGAGGACGACATTTGCAAAATCGAAACTTAACATTAGGAAGACGAGTCACAGACTGATGATTTGGCAAACCCCGAGTATGGGCTTTGCCCTGGTATATCCAAGTGATTGCCATCATGTTTTTGTCTTTTAGTATGAGCTAGATCTTCTCAAAGAATCTATAGAGGCGAATATATGATGGCGTTGTTTCTTTCTTTCGAGCCGAAACGAGACGCGACGAGACAATCATGTGCGTTGACGAAAGAAGAGAAAACTTGAAGATGAAAATGAAATTTGCCGTGTGCCTGTAGAGTGTAGTTATACATTATAGCCGCCGCCTGATACCCAAACAAAAAGAAGAAGGAGAAAGATGCTGGTGAGGATATGGATATGAAAAACAAAAAATGAATGCCGCATTACACGACCCGCTCAGGAGACTCTCCTTCAGCAACGATAGGGACCCCAAGGCCTCGATCGGGACTTTGAAGGACGAGTTGTTCGTGCCGTCTCGCGTGTAGATACTCGCTGATCGATTTGATTATGATAAACCATCCCACTACCATCAGGAGATATGAGAGCCACTCTGAACCGGTGATGGCCAAACCGTCGTCGCCGTTCGTAACGTCGTCGGGATCAAAGTCGTGGGAATTTGGATCCGGGGGCATCGCATAACCATCTGGCCCTGCCATAGATCCCGAAGGGTTTGAGGGGCCAGATGAGCCCCTGATACCGAAACCGAATTGTATGAGGGTGATACCAAGACCGGCGCGGGAGCCGTTTTTGGCGGCGTGGGAGGAATGTAATAGGTATGTGAGGAGGAACCCGACAATCTGGAATGACCAAGAGACTAAAGCATTCCAAAGGAAGCTGAAGAATGATCCGACTGGTAGCCCATCGATAAAGACATCGTCTGGTCCGCCGAGGCCCGGTGCAAGAATTGTTGTCTCCCAATATGGCGGCGCCTGGTCTGCCGCCGCTTGTTCATAAGACTGAGAAAGGGCGGGTTAGCAGCTGTTTCTTGAGCGATCGTCAACAAAATTTCGCGTCGTGCTTACCGGTGGTTGCTCTTCCTTCTCGCCATCATTCCGTTCCGGCTTGGCGGACATATTCGAAAAGACTCCATCTCCCTGGGAACCACCACCATAGACCCTACCCGACTGACTTCCTGCCGCTACTTGTGGGACTGATTGGTATCCGTTCCTTCCTGTTCTCGGGGGCGCTTCGTCTGCGCTTCGTCGCGGGGCGGGAGGTTCGGTGGGAGTACTATTGTTTCGCACAAGCCGTTGTCGGTCGTCGGCTTCATCCTCGCTATCGTCTCCATCGGCGTCAAACGCATCCTCTAGGTCTTGGTCCACACGTTGTCGTCGGCGCTCGAAAGAAGATGCTCGAGAGTGGAAAGAGGGGGTGGCGAGTTTGGGATTGGGTGCATTTCGCGAGGTCCGCTCGTGGGAGTACTAGAGCCGTCTTCCTCACGGGTATTCACCTGTAAAAGGTTAGTTTAGATTACCATGCCATGGTTTATATTCCAGTTGATCCCCTACCCGTTCGTAGCCTCCTGCCATGGCTGTATGTGGTTATGAAAGATGGTCTGGTGGTGGTCTCGGAATCGGTGAGGCGAAGAAGCGAAGTTGGGCGACGAGAGGAGAGGGTGGCCGGAGGAGAAAAGGTGTGGATGGCTCGGACAGAAAAGGGAAGAGAGAGAGCGTAAGAATGAAAGAAGAACAAAGAAGATACGATGAAAATAATTTTTTTCCCTTGGCCAAATGAATGACCTCTGGAAATCTGCTGATAGGCACCGAGGTGACAGATGGAGGCGAATGGAATTTGGGAGATTGAAAGGAGGCTGAGCGGAAAGCGGCACGATCCAGGCGCACTTGGAACGCAACTGTCGGAGAAGTGGGTGGGGACTTGGGTCAAAGGGGTCTCGATCCTTCCCCGCCAGCGCTATTGCCTCTCATCCCTTTCAGAGGCCTGAGGCAAATTATTCGGATCAGATGACGAAACACCGTCAAAACGGAGGTATGGCACTGTGTCAAACACTGTCAAACACGCTTTTTTTCTTTCGCGATCAAGAGACCATCCACGACCAAGAGTGGACTGTGAATATCAGTGGAATCTCATCAACCTTTACTTGAGAACCTCTCGCCAGATCATGTCCCGACCTACTAGCGTAAGTGTCCCTTTACTCCTCATAAAGCTATGTTCTGGGCTGCCTTCGCTTGCGCACCTACTCATACAAGAAATCTTTGTTACCACAGCTTGCGTACCAACGATATCAAAAGGCCATCTCGCTATGGCCGGTAGACCGGGTACGGCCGGGTGTCCAGATGCAGGATTGCCTTCGGAAGCGGATTTCAGGGGATCTCGAGACTAGCGATGCTGCCGCGGAGCTGAAACAATCTGGCGCGCTCCTCTCTCTCGTCGGTGATAGTTATCGAAAGAAGGTACGCTCAGCGAAAGTCTTCGCGATGTCTTCCCTCCTTGGGCGTTAAATAACGAATGAAGCTAACGAAAGTGTCTCGATAGTATCCTCTGAGGGCAGTACTGACGCCGAAATCCAACCCCGCATACTTTGAAAATCTTCTCGAAGAGTTGGAGAGGACCCCGGAAAAGACTTATATGGGCAGGTTATGGGAGAGAATATCAGGGTTCGTTCGGTTGAAATAAAACCGGTTGCAAACTTGGCACCATGCTAATGGATGTCTACGCTGTGTGGATCGTTCAAATTTGTACATTATGTGTAAAGAGTACTGGGGTATATTTACAATGGCTAATGCGCCACTCATGATATCTTTCCAATAGCCTCCGTCCGTCTTTTTACGTTCAGATGTACTTTTGGTCTGGGTCGACCTGCTGCATCAGGTCTATCGTCTTCTCGTACATGGTAAACACGATACCGCCGCTAAGGACTAGCCGGGCCAGGCGTGGTAGCGCACCGCTCCAGAAGGTCAGGACCCCCTCGTGCTTCAGGATGAGGGCAGCACATCTGAACGAATTTCCGTATTGCGACTTGGCCTCGATGCTTTGCATTCGAGTCTTGATGGTGTCCAGGGGCTGAGTGACGTAAACGGTGATCAGGCCGGCAAGGCCTCCGACGGCAAAGGTGCCGGCGGTGCCGAGCTTTCCCCAGGCGCGGTGTAGGACTCGGCGATCTGTTTGAAAAAGTTGTACGCGCTGAACCTCGTTGCGCTGTTGGCGCCTTGCCGTGCGGTCGTGGGGACTAGGCCCTGGAAGAACCCGCGCAGTCCTCTTTCACGGGCGATAATGGGGACAGCGCTGAGGAAGCCCTTCATGCGGGGCTTAGCGCTCTTCCGGTCATCGATTCTTTAGCAAAAAGTAGTGTTAGCTCTCCTATCCGACCTTGAAGCAAAGGGCCAAGTCAACACGTTGAAAACGCAAGGGAGGACGAACAGAGTAGTTTTGATGCTCTCGAATGGGGTAACCGCCAACAGGGATTCGGTAACACCTGCACCGAGGCCTGCAATCACGGTCCTGGGCCCGGATAGTTTACCATTCTCGTCGGCAAGAAGGCTCTTATACTGATCAAATGCAACGAAGCCTAGTCCTTGGTTAGTCCTCAGGGGAACGCGAGGGGTTGGGGACGGGAGGTTGTTGTGAGCGACATACGGATGCCAGCCTTCAAAGAATTTCCGATCACGAGCGTGGTACAGCCTGCGTACCACTGGCTGCCGAACGGAGGCCATGGGAGCTTCTTGCCGTCGGCGAGTCGTCGATTGAGCTGCGATCGTGTCTTTGCAACTAGAGAAGGGGGCAACAGATTATTAGACTGGGGGTTCAGCGGGCACCGAGGGGAGGACTAGGAGCTTTCGTGGGACGCACACTCGGCGGGGTATGTAATAGCTGCAGCATAGAGAAAATTAGTGACTGAACTTGTGCAAAGAGCCAAACATATGCAGACGCTTTCTTGATCCTCAATGCCGCCTTTAAAGATAGTGGGGGACTTGGAACAACTCACCAATCTCGACCGCACCGGCTAGCGATCCTGCGAGAATGGATCGCAAGACACTCGGCCCCTTGAGAACCACTGGCTGGTCCTGTTCCTGCTTTTGAGCCATGGTCGCGCGTACGAGGGGAAGCTGCTCAAAATGTTGTGAAGAGAGTGAGAGGAGTGGAGAGTGTTCTGGGTGGTGCGGCTAGGCGATAGCTCGCGTGCCCTCTTGAACTTGCCGATTTTTTTCGGTTATGGGTAGAAAGCAACAATTCGAAATCGGCGATAGCCAGGCGAAACCGGGCTGCTGTCACAGAGATCAATTGGACGCCGAGTTTGTGACTCGACCACTGAATGACGACAGCCACCGAAACAGTGCCCGAGTTGGATAACAACACAGTGCGCCGGCTATCCTACACCCTTCTTTCTTGCCTTGCATGTTGATTCGGGATCGAGCTTCTGCTCTGCTCTGGGGCCCTCGGCTCTCCGAAGTGGAAGATGATTTTTTTAATCTCAAGTCTAGCGGGCGGCAAGCAGAGCCCATTGCCGTAGCATACATTTGAAGCGTTGAAGCGTGAAAGTGAATTGATGTGTATTGAGAGGGCTAGGAGCTGTCCCTTTCCTCCTTAATCCTCTACCAACGTGCCTGGATCAATTGGTGTAACCCTACAAAGAGGGCCATGATGATGGGAATTAACCTTCCATCCTGGGGGATGAGGATGATGGTTTCTATTTATGGATTAATGGGGCCTGGCCTGAACCGCTCTCGCAATGGGCAAAATTAGGTTTGAATGGCACGGAGATATCCATGGATCTATGAACCATCATATTCTGGTAGGGCCGGCTTCAGTTGACTCAATCATGTACCTGGTTTGATAGGCAACACTTCTAACCTTCTTCCTCCTCATTACTCGAGCGGTTGATACCAAGTTGTAATGAGAAGTCGTTAGCTGTACGAGGCCTTGGGGTCACCATAGCCAGCTGAGGCTCCGGGGCGGAGGAACCAGCGGAAGAGCACGGCCACAAGCCCGGGAAGTTGAGTGGATGAGACAACAGAGGTCCAGTGGCGGCCACCAGCGCGAGACCTCCTGTCGGTCATTCCAACGGACCCTCGTCGCCAATTAAACCCACGTTGGTTACATGTAGCGATGGGCGGCCTCTTTTCATACATCCATTGTAATCTCAGTTGGCGGAACAAACAGCGGTGCTCAAGCACTTTGACATCGAACTTCCTGGATACTCATCGCCAGTCCTGTTTATGTGTTTAAAACGGAGTCATACTCCCTGGAATGGAAGTGAGCATCTGGCATCTTGGACATCAACGTCTCCCGCATGGTCACGCGAGCAGTGCTGCGTTTGGGGAGGACTGAGTGGGCATGGCTTGAGGCTCCGGGGTGGCGGTTACAAGCCGTCGAAGCACCCAGTGGCTTCCATTGATAGTTCCAGGCTGTCAACTGCTTGAGACACCGGGATCCACACCTTCAGTCGGCTTCCCGACACAGCCGCCCCGCGGCTCCTTCACATAACCCTCTGTGAAGCGAAAGTCCGGCGGAGCGAAAAAAGTATGCTGACGTTGTACGCGTCCCCACCCACGTAATTCCTGTCTCGAAAAGCTGGGCTCCAAGCCTCATCATCACCTCCTGCTGGAGTTGAGCACACACCCCCTTCCCACCGCACTGCAAGCTTTGATTATCGCTAGTGTCATCCTCATCCCTGGAGCTGAATGGTCAGCTCCTCCGCCTCACACCCCATCGCATCTATTATCAGACTCCTCAAGAAGAAAGAAAAGACCAGTGCCTGATCTCCGTGTCTTCTCCACCCATGTAACATTGCTAGAATTTCCCGTGTCACCTGTGAACCTTGGACACTTGTCAGGTTCCCTTGAATGAGCCAGTCTCATCCTCGCCTGACCCTTTCTCACAACGAGTGAGAAGCTGGGATGCGAGCGTTGACCAAAAGCTTGGCATCTCACTTCTCGTGGACGACGCCTGTGCTGGTGTGGCTGGACCTTATCGATCGTTTTCGGTTTTCAGCACCTCACGCTGCAAGGTGGACAACAAGCGACGACCCATCCTAAAAGTGCTTTCTCTCCCGCCCTTATAATCTCTTCGTAAGCTCAAGACTTTTTCGGCCCGGCACCCACCCCTCCTCGACTTGTCTTTTGAATCCATAATCAAATTTCTCTCTTCGCCTTTTATCCGCCGCTCCTTCATCCTTTTCAAACGCCCTTATCGTCAACTCCGGCGGAACCACGCACTGGTCGCTTTGTGTCAACGGATAGCGGGGCACCTCGAATATGGCCGAAACCATCGAGGCCCGATCGCTTTCGGCCTTGAATCATCTTGCTGCTAACCCCCTCAATATCCAAATAAACCTACGGATGAGAAACAAGACCCTCTCGTGCTGTATATCTCCCGAGTGCCCGGAACCAGAGGTATGCCGCCATTCACTCCTACATCGTACACAAGAGACACCGCCGGGTAGTTATAGAACCGCTAACCTCGGCCAAAATCTCGACATCTAGATGTCATCCTTTCGACAGCCAAACCACAGTTGAAAAATGTTACCGGCGAAGATGTGGTAAATGCACTTTATTACGTCCATCTTAGTTTACCAAGCGAGGCTTTTGAAGCGCCAGCCGCCATCGAGGACCCCGACGCACCAAGACGGAGCCAAGATAGTGCACGGAGCGCGCGAAGTCAAAACCAAATCCGACGGAAACCTCTCCCGTCAGACTCCCGGATTGCGTCGCATGTCTCTCCACCGAGCGGCTCAACGGAGCCTTCCCCGTCAGTCTCCTCTCGGCCAGCGCTAGCATCTCCAGCCGTTGTCCCCGCCGCTGCCCCAGCCGTTGCCCCAGCCGTGGAGCCGATGCGATCACTAGCGCCTGACGCAAGACTTGGTGTCGGTTTCGAAAGCCCCCGCCTCCGTATTCTGCAGAACCGACCGCCCGCTTTCTCCGTAATCCAGAGGATAGTGATGACGAGGGCTTGAGGCCGGTGCTACCTCCTCGACCCCTGTCTAGCCTCGATAACCGCCAACCAGAACCTCTCCATACTCTGCCGCGCCGTCCAGGTTCACAGGGCCAGCCACACCCAGGAGCCCAACCTCACCGAGGATTCTTGGCCCCGCCCGTTGCCGGGCGTTCGACCTGCCGGGGCAAGCGGTCTTCAAGATCGCCAAGCAAGTGGTACCCTACCAACGACGCAACCTCGCATGGGAAGTAGCCCGCCCGCGGCTGCTGTCGCGCGTAGTCACTCGCCAGTGAAGCCGCCAACAGACAGCTTTACACCTTACGTGCCTTTTTCTTTGACTATCATCCGTCGAGAGCCTAGCTCGGGTCACCAGTGGACTGTAGGAAATGTCACATCGTGCCAAATCGAAACCGAAGAGGAGTCGGGCTATATCCATCAGCGTCCTGCATATGAAGATGGGCCTGAACCCCCACCTATCAATATCTCTATCGAGACCTCTGGCTACTGCAAGTTTCGCGGTATGCCTGGAGCCAACCGCCCAAGTCTGGATGGAAGGCAAAGAGACTCCGCGGCGTCGGTTCCGGCTTCCTTAAGAGAGATGAATAGTTCGGCAATGGGAACAAACGCGAATTTCTCGAGACAGGCACTGATGACCTACGCCAAGGGCTGGAGGACCGGAATTCGTGAGAAATTCCGGCGTGGCGATAGCGAAGGATCAAGCCAAGGCCGGTTTCATTCGCGAGAGCGTAGTTCTGACTCGATTGAACTGGAGAATGAAGGGCCTATCACAAAGCCTGGGCCCGGGCTTAGGCCGCAGGGATACATGTTTACAAGCCCGTGGGACGGCCGGTGTGTCTTTCGAACGGGAAACGCAGGAAGGAGTGTCATCTGTCGACACATCATGCCCGAAGCAGGCCAGAGTCATTCTAACCCACTAGTTCATACTTCGAGTGAGCGCCGCAAAGCCAAGCTAGGTGTCTACCCCCCAGTTAGCGAGCTCCGGTTCAATTTGCCTGTTGCCGACCTCCTCAAATCGCGGGAGGAGGCCGCGCAACAGTTGCACGACCACCTCAATAAGCTGCTGAAGCCCCAGAATTCGGCGGGATACAGCAGTGACGAGGAATACTCCGTGCTTCCTTTCGACCTTACACTTGGTAAAGAGAAGGCGGGCGGGGAACTCGCGGCAGACGTGCAAAATTAGGTAAACTCATCATCTTCGATGAAGGCATGAAGATGTTGGACCTTGTGGTGGCGGCTAACATGGGCATATGGTGGGGGCCTGGGAGAAAAGTTTTTGGCAATAAGGGGAGTGGCGGGCTGCAAGCAGAATAAAGCTGGCATGAGACGGGTATCAGATTGAGAGGACTGGAGACTTGAAAATTAACGAAGCGATCAATATTATGAAGTATAAGAGCAAGAGGATTTAATGTGTAATCAGAGTTCAGGACTGTTGAAGATGTATCAAGAGCTCGGACTGAGTCAAGCAGACTCGAGTATGAACCAAAAATCCATTTTGGCTTTACCAAGGTGATATTTCGGGTAGGTCCGACCTAGCACAAATTTTCTTTACATGACTGCATCACACTTGTGTGGAGTTTAGAGTTTATGCAGGATGAGGAAGTCGCCATCAAGGGATCTCTCTAGATAGAGGATTGAGGTGTGATGAGAGAAGGACTGCCCAAATAATAGGCTACTTGTCAGCACGCCCAACCTGGTGGCCAGTGCTCCAAGCAAGATGGACACAACACTGCAGCAGCACACTGAGGTCGGTGGACCTGCTTCCATATCACGTGATACTGAAACCAACCAATCACGGGCTTTTCTATTCCTTTCAGTAATCCCTCATTCGCCTTGCAATTGTTGCTTGATGATCTCGGCGTGAAAAGAGAACATTTTGGTCTCCCAGAATCTTCCGAGCGTCGACCAAAACCGCATCTCGCACAACCCACCCCGGCGATCAATTGGGCTTGCGGCCAATTGATATCGATAGGGACCGAGTAGTCGATCTACAGAGCCCACGACCGTCCGAACCGAGCCCCTTCGCCAACCCTACTTTCCCCGTCGTCATGCTGTCGACAACAAGACAGCTGCAGCGGGCAGCTCCCGCAGTTGCCGTTGTGCGACGTGCGCTACCCGTCACCTTTGCCACTGCTAGGCGAGGATATGCCACTCCAGTTGGACCTCCCCTCCGGATTCAGAATCACGAAGAGGAAGACGTGGGAGAGCCAGCCCGAATCGACGATGGACTATGTCGGCAACTATTTCCTCATGACCGAGATGTTTCGCGGCATGTATGTCTTGATGGAGCAATTCTTCAGGCCACCGTACGTTCTGCCCTAGAAATTCTACACGATTGATAATTGCAGTGTCTGACCCATTCACAATAGTTATACCATCTTCTATCCTTTCGAAAAGGTTCGAAACGCTCCTCACATATCAACCACCGGCTTTCCCTGATACGTATTCTAACCCGTCCGGTGAATAGGGCCCCATCTCCCCAGATTCCGTGGCGAGCACGCGTTAAGGCGGTATCCCTCGGGCGAGGAGCGCTGCATTGCCTGCAAGCTCTGCGAAGCCGTACGTCATCCCATATCTTGCCTTCCCGACAAACTGGGCATTCCACCACTAACCCCAAACTATAGATCTGCCCTGCACAAGCTATCACTATTGAGGCCGAGGAGCGCGCTGATGGCTCTCGCCGAACCACCCGCTACGATATTGACATGACGAAGTGTATCTACTGCGGCTTCTGCCAAGAGTCATGCCCCGTCGATGCGATTGTTGAGTCCCCTAATGCCGAGTATGCCACTGAGACCAGGGAGGAACTCCTCTACAACAAGGGTACGTTTGCATACAAATTCCAGTTCTAGAAACGACTTGCTAACTTCCCACTAGAAAAGCTTCTCTCCAACGGAGACAAGTGGGAGTCCGAGTTGGCCGCGGCCATCCGTGCGGACGCACCTTACCGTTAAAGATCAGCAGTGTAGTGGGGGTTTGGGGATCGTGTAAATATAGAAAGTTCTCTAGAGTCAAAAATTACAGTATTATTACTTCTTCATCGTCTCAATCTGTCGGCAATTGCTCATTGAATACCGAGGTATTCGATCATCTCTTGTTTTTGAACAAACTGAGGACGACCGTTCTGTCCGTTGATGCATTGTAGCTCAAATGCGAAGAGTGACGATTTTATACAGCTGTGGACAACTGCAAAATGCCACAGTCACGTGATTTTATCAACCGTCCAACCGGGAAAGCTCCAATCCAATTCCTCAAGCTCTTCCGAGAAATTTATCATCATAACCTTCAACGTCGACTCTTCTTCCCTCTGCGTTTGAGCCATATCCACCAGCCTTCCCATCCTCAACTATCCTCGAGCCACCCTCATCCTGCCATTCTCCGAACCCTCCGGTTTTCAATAAACTCCAATTCGGACGCCCATCGCCACCGCCAGCTTACCCGGCCGCAATTCCCGAAGCATCGCGATCAAATTATCCAGCAAGAAAAAAATAAAGATGTTCCGCTCCGCGCTTCTTAGGACCGCTCCCGCTCTCCGCAGCGTCGCCGCCAGGCCTGCCGCCTCCTCGGCTAGGTTTATCAGCGTCGCTGCCTACAGGCCAGTTGTCATGGCGCCTTCGCGCTCTAGCATCCTCGCCGTCAGGTACTACTCCGCGGGTGGCTCTCTGAACAAGGAGGAGGTCGAGGGAAGGATCATGTCTCTGCTCCAGGGCTTCGATAAGGTAAGATGAAATCCGAAAATGGACTGCCCAAGTACGAAAAGAGACTCTCAGCTTGTGAAAGTACGAGATTCGATGTGTGTGAATGATGCGCTAATGCCGTGTTTCCGTCTACAGGTCAACAACCAAGAAAACGTAAGACCTCCGCATGAACCACAGCACGATAACCTCCGGGTTGATGCCTCCCGATTCTTCTAACACTGTTCGCGATATAGATTAAGCCCACCGCTCACTTCTCCAACGACCTCGGCTTGGACAGCCTTGACACCGTCGAGGTCGTCATGGCTATCGAGGAGGAGTTCAGCATCGAGATTCCTGACAAGGAGGCCGACGCCATCCACTCCGGTAGGTCTACTCTGCCCCTGCGATCTCTTCTTTAACAGGAACGCTTTGTTTTACGTGTACTAACCTTTTTCACTCTAGTCGAGCAAGCGGTGGAGTACATCCTCCGACAGCCCGATGCCAACTAAATCACTCCCTTGTTCCATTATCTCCGTTTCGGTCAACTTCTCTCTTACTCCTACTAGACGGCTCGAGGTACGAGATAGAATGGGATTCATAGGAAACGGTCAAACTCTTGTATAATATGATATAGTTCGTGTCTCATGCCACAAATGAAGCTTGCTTCCCGCCTAGCCATCTTGTCGAGCGGCACACTTTACATCGCAGTTTAAGCGAGGTGGATGTTTATTCTACTCTTTCCCTATCCTGTCTCCAGTCGCAAGCCATGTTGCTGCACCAATCGGACCGTACATATCCCGTCGCATCCAAGCAGCGCATGGGCATCTCGCTTGCCCGCTTGATGCAGTGTATGTGCGTGCTTGCGCGTGTGTTCATGTGTGTGTGTGTATGTGTGTGTGCGATAGAAATAAGAGCATACATATATAGACAGATGCGTTCCGTAGTATGACAAAGAAAAGCATGCGCAATCTTCACTCGATCATCGCTTCGAACCTGTGTCGGACTTATGCTGCTCCCCATTCCCGTATATCGCAAAAGAGGCAGCACCCTCCACCGACCATTGATTGCCTAGGTTTATCACTCCACTCCAAACAAAGATATGATCACATACGCGAATCAAGACGTCGGGATATCATTCCACGCACCGAGACAAACAGGACTAAAAATTCAAATTCCATCCATGTATCCAAAAACTAGCATTCAAGTAAACCAACCCAGACAAAACGAAAAAAACTCCAACCCGAAAGGTATAACCCCATCCATGAATAGATGCGTTCGAGCCCAAGTGCGCGCTGAGAACGGGGGCCCTAATTTTTGTACCAAGGTAGTCCATGCTTTTATTGTTCCCAAGACCACGCCGATGGCATCCTAGCTGTCTTCATGGCCGTTGTATCATTTTCGCGGTAGGCACAGCCACCGAGCCAGAGGGGAGAGTGGAATAACCATAATGAACAGTTCAGATCCGAATCCAGATGCCTGTGCGAAAGAGTTCAAAGACAAGAAAAAGAGAGAGAGGGGAAAAATAGCTCAGATCCATCCTCCCAGAGTCGCCTGTCCACAGATCCGCCGCTTTGGCAAGGCTCTCCACGAGGCATTCCGATAGGAAGGACCCGCTTCGTTGCACGCTTGCGAGCGTTGAAAAGGTGGCGTGTGGCTCGATTAACCGTCCAAGATGCAGAAAGCAAAAAAAAAAAAAAAAAAGGATAGTGACAAAACGCCGCACCCAAGTTGCCGAATACTCCTGGATCCCTCATTGTTTGATGAAAGCTGGAATGCTCCAAATTGAATATGCATTGGGAGACGGGTCACCCCGCCCTCCCTCTAATCGCGACCTCTTTCATTCTATTGCCTCTTTTGGTCTCCTGGCCGGCGAAGCATGAAAAACAGCAGACGCCGCTCGTTTCTTTATTTGAATCATGATGATAAACAGTCGCGTGACGACCGTCACCGTCCGGTAACGGACTCCGACGAGTCTCGGTGATCCTTGGAGTCGACCTTGCCGGCCCCGGCGAGGCTCCATCCAATGGAAGAGGAGTGACTCCTCCGCGATTGGCTGGGCTGCTGCTCTTCCTCCTCTTCCATCCTGAAGAGGAAGGCAGGGTCTTCTTCGTCGATAGGAGTGGTCATGCGACCGAGAGCCGAGCCGATAGATCCGGTGGAGACGTGCCGCTCGACGGTCCTATCTCGCTCCCGCGAGGCCAACCCATTCGCATTCCGCCCAACAGCCGAGCTTGGATGTAACATAGGGTTGGTCGCGTCGTCATTCATTCGAGTCTTTTGTAATTGCTGGGTCAAGGCCGACATGGCGTCGCCACCCGACCGGGGCCCGGAAAAGCGGTGCCCATTGTGTCGAGCATCCACCTCGTCCGCAAGGCTCGAATTTCTCAGCGGGCTTCCCACATGACCAAAGGCCGAAACCTTGATAGCTCTACTATCCAGGTCTTCCTCCTTTTGTCGGTGAAGGAACGGACCCCATCGGCTAGGGCTGGCCGCTCCAATGGGACTTCCATATTTGGTGATTCCCTCCGGTCGCTCAGCATCTGCGGCCCTCAGCGAACCGCGGCGAGCCTTTTCAGCAGGCGTGAGAAGGTCCTGGAGATTCTGGGGTACGTAATCCTCCTCCAAGAAGGCGAATTCAGCCTCCCAGTCTCGGTCTACGGTAGCAGCTTTGGGCAAGCTCGAGCTTAAGACTCGAGGTTTAGTGTACCGGCTCGAGTGCATCATTGACCGCTTGCCAAAGGCCTCATCAGCCAGGCCTCCCGATGGGCTGGATGAGGGCGGGATGCTGGGTGACAGATGATCGTTCCCAAACGCAGAAGTGTGAAGGAGTTTCAGCGCCTCTGATGTTCGGGCATCCTTGGCAGCGTTGAGCGAAGGAGAGGGCGACTCGAGGCCGAATTTGGAAGGAACGGAAGAAGGCCACGGCCCGGCGGGGTATCTGGCGGCGTTGGAGATGCCATTCGAGTCAAATGATGCAGGTAGCGGAACATCAAGGATCGAAGCGTTGGCCGGGGACAGGGCAAGCCCGAAGCGGCTCGCATCATCATCACGGGGTGAGCCGTAGACTGATCCAGAGTACCCGGGCGTGTCGATTGTGGGCAGGCCATTCTCGAGACTCGGTTGGCGGCCAAGGTGATGGTGCCGTTCGTCGGAAAGTCCACCGTAGGTCGGCGTGTAGGGTGGGATGTTGTCGGCACGGAAAAGCCCATTCGTCAAGGCGCTCGTGGTGGGATGGAAGTTGCTTTGGGTCGCGGTCGTAGGCCTCGCGGGTGACAGGGCGAGGGGGCAGGCCCAATTGTGACTCCATGCTTTCCATAGTTTATGCGACGACCGTCGGGTAGAACGTGGATATTAGCGCACTTCGGACCGAACTTGCAGTTTCCCTACGGAGTGACATTCAAGTTAGCATTCGCACTTGTAATTCTTCTTTTTCTTTCTCCTAGCAGTGCGGGGTGGTTTTGCGCCGCGCCCCCGCCAGCTAACCGGCGAAGGACGCAGTCGAGAAGGGAGGGCTCGAACCTTGGCGAAATATTTGCAAATGTTCTCGGCTGCCGTCGAAAGGTCGTGGCTGAAAGGACAGGCGTTGCCAGCCTGGCAAGCACCTTGCCGAAAGAACTTGCAGGGGACATGCGCCGTGTCTAGAGAAAATTGTCAACAGTGTTAGACTCGATCTTGGTGGAACATTGCACAAAAGTGCACGCAAGGGAGAACGGCCACGGCCCACAGGACTCGGCCGGGCCCGACGAGGGAGACTGTGAAAACGCAGTACAAGCGGGTGGGCACTCACTCGGAGGGCTACGAGGACCATCGAAGCGTGGAGCAGCGGGCGTCGCCGCGCTATTCTGAATACTCAAGCTGCTGCTACGGGCATGGCGGAACTCGGGCATGTTGGGCGCCGGCATTGTTGGGAGGAGCGCGAGGGCGTTTGGGTGGTTCGAGAAATGTCGCACGCAATTGGAAAAAAAAAAGTTGGGCGCCTCGGGTAGCAGAAGAGAGATTGGCTAGAGCGGACTTCCTCGTCCTAAGGAAGCCCCGTGCTTCAGGCCACGAATGGAGACTGCAGCGGAAGCGGAGGAGCAGGCGCGTGAGGTGAGGACAAGGCGGCGGGTGTTGCAGTCGAGCAACGACAAGATTGAGGTGAGGGCGTACGTCTGGATGTGGCTGCGTCGAGACCAAAAGAAAGGATGAGGCCGGGAGAGACGGGATGGGCAAAATATGATACACAAAAGGTGCTGACTGGTAGTGAAAATTAAATTCTAGCCAGGTCAAGAAGCAATTGCTATTGGGGGAGGGAGGGCCAGCAACGTGCAAATGGACGCTTGAGATGGGAAGGTCCGGCCGGGCTGGCCTGGTGGTGAGGAAGGGAGGGTGAGGGGTTGATCAGCGGCTTATCTCAGCACAGGTTCACCTGAGGTGGTGGTGAAATCGAATGCGGAATTGAGAAATGGGTGGATGTTGTGAGTGAGGGCTAAGGCGAAGGGCGGGCGCGAAACCCAGACAAGGGTCACTCAATTAAGGAACGAGGACTGATGGCTGTGATGTCAATGTGGGGTTCCCACGGTCCGTGCTTGGGAAGAAGAGCCTAGGGTCTCAGAAAGCAAGACGGACGGTCGTGAGGCCACAGGGAAACGATAACGCCAGACTGGAAATATGCGGCAAGAAAATGCTGCTTTCGCTCTTGATATCCTTCCCCTCGCCAGTTTAACATTGAAGGGATCGGGGATTCTATGGCTCCAGTCTAAGGAAGGGAAAAGGGGAGTGGAGGGGCAGACCCGGCAAAGTACTCGAGGTCGGATCAGAAGGTATCGAAGATGGCGTTTGGTTGGGCTTGGGCCGAGCCCGGGGCAAGTCTAGCGGCCTGAATTGGTATGGCAAAGAGCAGCTCGAAAGCCTGATCGCAGCAAGCTAAGCGCGAGTGAGACTCGGGAAGTTGTCAAGGTTTTCGCGAAGTGGACTTATTCTGGATGCGTTGCGGCCCCGCGACAGGGAATGGGCGGGGGCGGTGGGCCTTTTAAGAGTGAGATCAATTGGATCCTAGTTGAGGCATGCCTTGAAACGCGTGGGATCCCTCTTTAGGTGTATAGCCTCTCAGCCCCTGCGCTACGGTTGGAAGAGTGGTCACAATAGGAGAAGTAGCACTGTCCATTGACTTGTACAAGTAAAACAAGTAAAAAGTATGTATAATGAATGCCATCTATAACAAGCCCAGAGGTCCCGGGGACTTTCTGCTTTGTTCGGGGGCTTGAACGGCGGATCCCGTCTCATACGAGTCCGCAGCGTGCGTAGCGGATGGGTCGGGATGGTCTTGACCGTCCACGGCCTTCTTGTCAGGTGGGGGACCTAGGAGTGGCCACTACTGGATCAAGCCTTTGGAGGTGAGTGACAGGATTGTCTAAAATGTTCTCTTCCACGCTTCCGCCTTCGCTCTTTCCCTCCTGTTATCTTCCCAATTGCCAATTTCCGATCTTCCTCTATTTTCCCACCTTTCCACCCTCTGGCACTTCTGGGGATGCAAACATGAAGTGGACTCGTAAGCTTGGAAAATGGGATCATAAAGCTAGCCTTGCATCCCATCGATGGCCCGTGCGATTGGCAGCCTACTATGTAGCTTGGCGGAAGGGCTGAGCCCATTGCTTGAGCGAGCGATCAGTCAGAAACAGTGGTGTAGTTCTTGAACGACGGGACGGGAGCCAACCGCTACATGTACTTCAAATTCATTAGGAGTTGGTTCATGGAACATATAAAAATTGCCCGGCAAAGGAATACAAACGACTGGGCTACACGTACCGAGGCCTGCCACTCATTCTCCTATCCTATCCTGGCATGCCCATCAATGGCTAGATCAACTGGGCAGCTTAGGAGCGAGGTCGATTGTTGCTTTGTTCGTTGCCAACCTCTTTTACGAGAAACCGCGAGAGCAAACATAGGGGTCCAAAGTATGCAGCTGGGTGTGGACAATCACGGAGAGCACCGGCAACGCCCAAAACCTACGGGCGTGCAGCGCACGCGGCCCTTATTCTTTCACATGATAGATCCGTTGCGACAGGTCTTGCAAATCGGTCACGTCTGTGGATCCATCAGTAGGATGGGCGTAGGCGGTGGAGGGAAGGCGCAGCTTTGAGGCTTGGGGCAGGGTTGGTCGACAAGATGTGGCAGGAGAGACCAGAGGCTTGGCCGGACCATGCTTGTTAGCTGGGCCCAGCCAGCTACTCGGTGATTCTAACGTTCTTAGGCTTCACTCTGCTTTTAGACGGAGGCATGGATTTCTCGCTAGCCTTGACGAAATGGTTACGACATAGAAATGGGGTTTCGACTGTCACGCGGCTCTAGTTCATCCCCTGGGCATGGGTAGCCGCAGCGTTGAATTCCCCATGGGGAAGTTCTCGCTTTGGAGCTGGTGTGGATGACAAGGGAATGCCTTATGCAAGACCTTCCAAAGTTCCTTTGGTGTTCGGGATGTGCTTTGGAGTAGTTTGACCCCATACGAGCAAAGAGGGGGCCCGTGAGCGAAGGGTATTACATAGTAGCTAGCGGCGGCCCAAGTTGGTCTAGGAGCCCTGGCATCGAAGAGGAACGGGAGATCCCAGCTAGATCCGTATGTTATTTTCGGTGGCACTCGTTCACATGGATGGATGGGTTATGCGACCTCAAGCTGGAGCCTGTAAGTCCGAAGGCTTCCTGCAGGCTGTGCTGTGAGACCATTTCTCACTTCCAACTGTAGTCATGTCTCAGAAAAAGAAAATCAAAAGGAAGAGAGATAACGGCGGTTGGCGGCAGAGCCGCGTTATGCAAGAGTGAGCGGATAAGGAGGTAGAAGCCAAAAAGGCTTCAAGTTGCGTTCGGCTTGGAGCCGCCTCGCTCACTGGGCCGTGTAAAACCAACCATTCGCCGAGCTCTCTGTCCAAATCCTTGAAATCTCAAACAAGACCTCCCGGCGATATGTCGGGGTCTACATGGAATGAATGACAGCAGTGAATTATATGCATTATCAACAAGCAGTACATTGATGTCTGAGCATGCTACGCTGCGGTTGATGTCTCCAGGAGATACATGTAAGGCAAACGTGCAATGACTTCTTCCTACCTTGCGCCGGTCGAGCCGATTTCAAAGCCGGCTCGCTTGCGAATGAAGATTCCACGTCCAGGGCAGCTTCGTCGAGATTGGACCCGAGTGAAACCCACCTTCGGAGAGAACCCGTGAAGGCGTGTTACGTCGACTGCAACACCAAGAAGGAAACCGAAAAAAGAGAAAGGGGAAGAAATCCGACCAACTTGACGTATTGACGTCTCATCCCGGCGTTGAACCCCCACCTCCACATCTTGACAAAGGCTCTCTAGGGGCGTTGGGCACTTAATGGACATCGAAGACCCTGGTCGGTCCCCAGTTTAGGGCTTAAAGAGAGCATTAAGTCGGGGACTACGCTAGCATGAGCAGGGTCGGAATGCTCCAGAATCCGGTTCTGCGTGATGCAAATGTTGAAAATTTCCATTTTTTCCAAGTTTATGTTCGATCACGATGGACCCCAAAGGCCGGCAGCGTCTATCTACGGATACTAGATAGGTGGGGGCAACCATCGCGGTGTCCGTCAAGTGCGCGCGCATCATCATCCATGCTTGACATTCTGCACGAGTTTATTAGTGCACGGTTTTTGCAACATCATTCGGTAAAAATGCACGAGATTGCGGGGACTCTTCTTCTTTCGATTGTATCGAATGTTCCCTGCTTTTTATTGCCTTTTACAGACTCGCAGAGGAGCTGCGAGAGTGATCAACGGATTTAGTATCGGCCTCGCTAGAATTGAACCCATATGCTAAAACAGGTCCATTGCCCGCCCTTCAGGTGGCATCAATTATGGGTGCTCCCCCACCTTGCACATCGTTTCGTCGCCCTCGTCGCCAAACTAACTGCCCGCTTCTGTTCCCTGCCGGCGGAGGGACTCGCATGGTATTACATATCCCCAGTCTGTACCCTGGCGACCGGGTATCGATTCTGCTTGGCCGCCTTATCCGCGCTCTGCCTCGTTTCCTGCACATTTGATGTACTCCGTCTCGTGCTGTGCATGCTGCACCACCACCACCACCCTCCTTGAACGACCCCCGTTTTGGTTTACAAGCAGGGAATGCCACTGGCTTCACTGTCAGCAGATCTCCCGCTTATCAATTATTAGACAGCCTTATTGCTCGTCATGCAATTTTAGCGACACCTTGGCGCCAATATTCGCAGCCGATCGACGGTTTAAGACCCCTCGGGCTGGAGGCGGACAGAGTACTTGGTAATACCCGGGCAGCACTGGTGCCACTGCCAGTATTAAACCTGCCCCTTTGATATGATTTTCTCGGTGCACTTGCTCCGGGGCGCTTACCATCCATTTACTTCTTCTCCTTCCTGCCCTGGTCCTGTTCGGCGCCTCTTCACCCCACGCTCGCTCTACTATTTACATATCGAGCTGATGGCCGATGGGATATAGACAATACATGTACCGGCCCGGTCGCAATGAGCTCGGCCCATCTTGCCTCCCCAACCCCATCCACGTAGAGATTTTGGGAGGCGAATCAAGCGTGGGGCGATTGCACATGCTGTCTCACCCAAGCTGTTGCTTGCGGCTACGGAACAAAGAGAAGAACCTAAAACAAAAGTAGGAGGGAGGAATAAAAAAAAGGAAGGAAAGAAAACGCACCCCCAAAAAGAGTAGACTCGTCCTGCTTGACCGCGTTTTCGAGTCGAAAACCTGCCCACGCTTCCAAATTCATCGCTCCTCACCGGGACCGCTCATGCAGCCCGAGCTCCGACTAATCATCGTCCAATGCAGCTCACCATCAACCCTCCCCGCATGTTATTATGCGCCCCTCCTCCTGCCGGTCCCCATCCCAGGTCCTCAGCGTGAACCCATGTCACCACTCTTCACTCCATCCACAAAGTCGAGCATGGTGGAGGGGATGTCCAAGCTGGGTCTTCTTCAAGTTAAAACCTTCCATCACGGGTGTGCTCACCAGGTCAATTTATTTCCCAAGAATTCTCGTATTATCGCTTCCCACACACGACTTCCATCCAGGCTAGAAAGCGCCCGCTGATCAGAGATCAGAGGAGCCCTCCCCGATGAAGGGTGGGCCCCACCAGGACAGGCTTGGCTCTCCTCTGCAGATAGTGCACAACGAGGTCGCTTTGAGAATAGTCCCTTGACGAGGTAGTATAGTCAACCGATCCGGATCGCCTCGGAGAAGCTGAGGGATGACCCCAACTGGAGGGCCAGCCAACTCGCCATACTTGTCCCTCCCGAGCTGTGATCTCCCCGTGGACGCCGCCCCAAGGTGGATCCGGCACTGGGAGAAATCCCCGATGACGAAATATTTCCCTCTTTTGGTTGACTCAGTAGGAGGCAGGCAAGTTCGAGAGTGTTCCGAGCAAAATGGCGATATGCAACGAGCACAGAAAGTGTGAACCGCGGGCTGGTTACGTTTTCGTGAGATGCGGTCAAGACCCCACCCGGGATTGCGAATGTCTTGGTCTAAGCCTCACGACTCTCCCGTATGCATTGCGACTTCCTCTCATGAGGCGCTCCATGAGCCAGGCATTGTCGTGCGGGCCTGGAGTTACCTTTTGCAGGACTCGGCACGTGCCGGGTCTCGTGGGCGGTCACGCTCCACACCTACTACATAGTCCACTGACGCGGGCGGTGTCCAGTCAGGTTCCTTGACCGCATCAAAGTATCTACACCTAGGTCTCGAAGCCGTGTTAAACACACCGTTTTACATCGCTGTCCGGGTACATGCAGACTTGTTGATAAGGATGGGCCAGGCGCGGGACCCGCTCTCTGCCTCGCGACGTTTTGCGGCCCTCTCCTTCTGGTCCAATATCATCACTTCAGCTCCTCTGGTAACTCCCTTTTCCGGCACTAGTCTCTGATGGCCACCACCTGTTCCTTCATGGACGTCTCCCACCCTCTACTTTTCGTACACGGTTCACCTTTCGGGTGAACTGTGTGTGCGGCGTGTTCTGGTTCCGAAGTCACGATCGATCTCCGAGGACCTCCTCTAACTTACCATGAGCGCGTCACCTCGTGGAATACCGCGCCATAGCTCTCCCCTGATGTCAATCACCCTGCTGAGATGTTTTCTTTTCACGTCATCGACTTCCCTCTGGCCATCAAGTGATGTCTCGGGCAAGGGTGGGTGGCGCCGCTCTGAGGCCAAAAGGGGGTGATGTGAGTCGCCTTAAGCTACTAGTGTAGTGGCACGCACCAGCCGGGAAACGTCAGAGAAGATGCACTGCCAGGCGCTGGCTGTGGCTGATTCAACCCCCATGTCCCACGTTTTACGTACCGCATATGTTTGCATCAACATCTCGCATCTTTTAACCAGCCTCGTGAGCCTCGCGCCCCTGCCGGTGTCCATGTGCCCGGAGTAGACATGCAAGTGGTTACCACCCGCCCCCGAGGAACACTGGAAGTATGAGGCGGAATTTGCTTGACTGACGTTTCCATTACGACATCGTACCGCGGCGCGATGGATTCCCGATATCTTTGATGACCTTGTCAGCCTCGTGGACTCTGGAATCGTCTCAGCTTGTATCATCTATCCCCACATAAAGGAGGCTTTTACTACGTACCAAAGGCCAACTATGAGCAAAAGCACGCTTACTAGTGCCATCTCCGTTCACCCCTGAGACTTGTAGCGTTAAAAGGAATCATTTTCCCGTTACTTCGCCTGGAATTCCCGAGGCTAGGACCGAGCCGTAGTTCGACCAGGTTCTGAATCTTCCCGTTTTTTATCGTGTCCATCTTGAAGCCTCGTTTTGACGGCTACCCCGGAACGCCCTTAACCCTTGCCCGCGTCTGTATCTGCAGGCATGTGCCTGTCTTTGTTTGTTTGTCTGTGTGTGTGTGTGTGTGTATGGGTGTATGGTGTGTATGGTGTGTGTGTGAGTGCGTGTGTGCGTGTGTGCGTGTGTGTCACCCCTCCCTCGGGTTTTAGTGAAAACAGGGATGGAGCCTCCATATTTAAGCATCTCGATTAACCAGTAGCCTCCCGTTTGGGGCCGGCTGACCACCGTCTCCCACACCCTCCTTTCCGCATTTGCTTCCAAACAAGCAGTCTTATCCCATTCCTCCCGAACGTACACCTGTCGTCCTCCCTAGCGCTTGGCCCGGCTCCCCTCGGCGACACATTTGATCTAGTTGGACTGGTCCGTGGCCTCAAACGTACACTCCTCCTGTCCTTTCTACATGGATTGGACTGCTTGCCGTTATTCTTGGATACATGTCTCCCACTCTCCCAAGCAAGTCGTGTCCACGTACTCTCTGTCCTTCGTTATCCCCTTTTCGAGAAGAAAAGGAGCCTCTGCCTAGCTTATGACTGCACGCGGGAAGAAGGTCTTTGATTGTGTAGCAGTGTAGCAGCGCTTTGAGTGTAGAACTTGTCATCTTCCGTCATCTCTTCGAGCGCGTGCCCTGCCTGCCTGTATTTTTATAGGTATCTGTTGATGCTTAGATAAATGAGACCTTGTGATCATAACTATTCCAAAAGAATACGCTACTTTCAGGCTAACTAACATCTACCAATGGATGATCGCTTACACGTTTCCCCATCCCTTATACCCCCTGACCTCCAGCTAGCCATAGAAGCTATCCAGCGGCATTCTCCCATCTCTTCCGAACTCTGTCCTCCCAATCCGCAAAACTAGACACTTGTGTCCCGATCAGTATCTCGCCTCTCCGAAGTGTCGTTCGTAGTGGTTCGACAGAGAACCAGGCGTGGTCCATCCGGCAGACTAAATCAGGGGCTCCGGCTGCGGTGGTATTCTCTTTTACTTTGATCAGGGTATTTAAACACATTTCGCAGAGCGGGTCTAGGCTTCGCGTGCAGATGTAGAACCTCTCCGTTGTCACAAGCGTGTTGAGACACTGTAGGCACACAAGTGGATGAGGCCTTGAGTAAGGTAGGAAAGGGTCGCAGGCCCGAGGCTCCTTGGCTCCGAGCTCTGGTACGCTAGCAGATCCAAGGGAGTCTTCTGCGTACCGACGTGTGGATTGAAAGAGCGCAATCGCATCGTCAATGTCCCCAATTGCGACGAGAGCCCGGGAAAGATTCTCGAGAGCATGCGAATCATTCTGCGGTTCCTCATCATTAAGAATGGCAATGCTCTCGATGATGATAGCCGAGAGGAGGCTCTGCGCCTTTTTCGTTTGGCCCCTCTGGGCGTAGAGGAGGCCAAGATATAGGAGGCATCGTTCACATTGATCCCATTTAGGCGCTGCGGGAGCTCCCTGAGCTGGGTTCTGTTCAAGTGAAACCCCTGCAACTCCTCGAGCTTTCCAAGAAGGGGGCCAGCAGCGGCCGACTGCACACCAGAGGCTATGATCATCTGCTTGTATACCTGGGCGCGACTCCGCATGGATAGAGCGTACAGTGTCCTCACGAGAACACTACCTCGAGGATGCCCACCAATAGAAGAGATCTCGTCGAGGACTGCGAGAGCTCCGATATAGTCCCGGGAAAAGAATTTCAGACTTGCCAAGGAGAGCCGAAGGTTTAGCTGGGCTCCAGTATCCTGCTTACGCTCCGTAACGTCGATAGCAATTTGATATCTGGAAATCATGGTCTCCGTCCGGCCCCGTATGCATGCCGTCTTGGGTATAATCCACTCTGAGTCGCTAGTACCGGAAGCCTGTGCGACGAGGAAGTCGATAAGGCGGCTCTCTCCCACTTGACTTCCCGAAAGGCTGTCCATCTTATCTAGTAGTTCCATGATGAGCTCGTGACGATTGTTCCCCGCAAGGACGTCGAGGTATGCTTCTTCTGGCTCGAACTTTTCTGGTTCATAGGCATCCTTGATCGCCATCTGAAAGTATGGGATGGAATCTATCACCCGGTTGAGCTTTACCAGACATTTTGCGATCTGGAGTCGGTTAGTGTATAGCCTCCATCGACTAAAGTCAATTTCGCGCCTTGCCGTGAACTTCCTTGACGAAATGAGGCGATTCTCAAGAACTTCACAAGTGAGATGATAGACCAATGCCCTGTCGTACTGGCGGTTCTTCATGTAACAGTACGCAATCCGCCCGCACGTCTCAACCATGTTCCCATCAAGAGGAAGTGCTCGGGTGAAGAGCTTGAGTGCCTCATCGTGGAGTCCAAGATTCAAATATGTACTGCCAACGCGCCGCAGTGAGTGGGCTGTCTCAGGCATATTCGACCAGCCAAGGGCCCTTCGCATTCTCACTCGGGGAGGGATAGACGACCATTCAAAATCTGAATCATCCCAAGTATGCCCGTCTTGGATGTAGGCTACACTGTGCACGATCTGGAAACAAGTCATCGTCGGGATGTATTGGCCGAAGCTGGGGTCAAGCCAAGCTTGTGCATAGATTCGCCCGATGCGTTCGACCAAGCCTCCTGGTTTAGACGCTGCATGAATGGCCCAGTCCCTGGATTCTTCGTCTAGGCCACTGAGAACCTCAGTATCGCTCATCCATCGTTGCAAGCAGTCCATGTTAGGGTCGGTGAACAGCTTGAGGCTTTCCTCCTCTTGAGTCCAGTCGAGTATACTAGGTTGGCGGGTGAGTAGCTTGTAAAGACATCTTCCAATGTACTCTTTGTCTTTCCGCGAGACTCGGGATTTGTCGACACTGACAAGGTGCTCCTGCCAGTACCACGTCACGTACTGCCACATGGGACCGTTCCGAGGGTTTCTTCGAAACATCTTTGGCTCGACAAGAATGTGGAGGCAGGTTTTGAGCACGTGGATCCTGGCTTCCACTAGGTCGAAACCTATAGCAGGCCCTCCTGTTTTAGCCTTAACGTTGGTCGACATGTTATCTCGCAAGAATTCCGTGATCGAGGCATGAAAGAATTGTACCGTAGTTGTCTTCTTGTTCGAATTGAAATCAACCATGGCGGGGGAAGAAAAGTCTGGACTGGCCCAGGCGCTTGCTGGGGATCGTGAACCTGCGGGCGAGTGTGAGCGAGCTGGCGAGCGAGATGTGCTGCGTGGAGAAGCTCCCGAATCATTATGATGGTCATTATGCCGCTGTTGCAGATCGGTTGTTGTTAAGCCATCCTCTCGGTCAAGAGTGAAGAACGAAGAAAACTGCGTACGGAGCGTTTCCTCTAGATTAAAAGCCGGATCCCCAAATCTGAGTTCCAGTATGGTCTCCATCTGCTCGAGAGTAAGAGTTTGCTCCGCACAAGCAACCCATATCAGCGCCTCGTTTAGATCCGCCGCGTGGTCTTCGGAGAGCGTAGCGGACAATTGTTCCATCATCTTGTATAGGGTTCCGTTGATCTCCCTAGGGAACTCTGCTAGGCTCTGAAGAATCATCCGTGGGTGACTCTTGCGGTTCAAATCAGAAATCATGATACGGGCAAGGATGAACAAGCCGTCCACCTGCTTCGTCATTTTCTCGACTACCTCCTCCTTGAACCGAGGGAGGGTGCGGCGTAAAACCCGGGAGCGGCGCACCTCGTCGATGATGTAAAGCCGGACGTCTTCTGCCAAAATCTCAGGGGTGAGCTGGATCGTTCGCAGCTGCCGACTGCTTCCATCTTCGTCTAGGTAAATCGAAACTGTTTCGGTGAGTACATTCCGGCCAATGAGGGCTATCTGTACTCGGGTCGTCTGGTATCGTTCCGGAAGATCGGCAAGAAGAGAAAGGAGCTCTTCAACCTCGGGTTTCTCTGCCTCGTCCACGCCGTCCAAGAATAGATAGATATTCCGGATTCGTGTATCAGCTGTAGATGGCGTGTTGATGAGGGACCGAACGGCACTGGGGATAGTTTTGATATCGTCTCGGGATTGGAGTTTCCGTAGAATCTGCTTTCCGTAGAACGCATCGTCTTCACTTAATTGGTACGCAATGTCGCGAAGACATTGATTTACGGACCTTGTTTCTGGGTTGTTCTCACGGAAGAAAAAGTACCCAAGGGAATGAGCTGAAGTGTCTCCTGGCTGTGATAAAAGGTCTTCCATCCACGAGATCAAGCGGGAACTAAGGTACGATTTCCCGGTGCCTAGGGTAACAATATGAGTTAAAATAAATTTCAGGAAATCAAACAAATTCGCGTGTTGAGACGTACCCGGATTGCCGCAAATCCATAAGAATGGGAAGTCTCCATCCACCCAGGATTTGAAAGATGGATCGTGGACGAGCCAATCTCCGGTCCCAATGGTCCTCGAGTTCTTTAACGAATTGTATCTGTCTTCAGGGTAGACGGAGGGCTCAAGTATTTCCTTGATCTTTTGACGACTAGTCAAGGCAATCTTTTCCTCGTTTCTGCACGCAGGCTTTCGAGTTCCTCAGCAAGGCGGTGCTGCAGAGAGAGGGTACGCTTGATAGAGGCTAGTGTCTCGGCCATGACCAAGCCCTCCTCGCCCTTTGTAAGGCTATCAAGCTTAGCGAGCGCTTCAGGCACTTTGCTTTCGCGGCCAAAGACCTTGCGAAAGTAGGCTTTAACCCTGCCACGATTGACCTCTTCGGTAGCTATGAGGAGAGTCTCAAAGAGGGCCGCTAATATCTGCACGACTTTCTCACGTAGTTGGGGGACATTTCCTCCTTGATATAGAATTCAAGACGGACGGTGAAATCCTAGCAGAGTAGCGTCAGCAAACGGAGGATGCTAGGATGTTAAGGAAGTGGCAAGCAGCGTGAGCTATAGAGGAGAAAATCATACTTGAAGGCGGACAAAGAGATTGAGTATCGCATCGTACATGTCGGACACGTCGCCGGCGGCACCCACAAGGTACATTACAGCCGAGAAGATATGCTGGCTTGGTGGGAAAACATCTTCAGCTCCGCCCGCGACGATACCGCCGATGACTTCGATGGGCTTAAGAAGGCTCCCGACGACATCGATAAGCTTGCGCTCGCGGTTGCGGAAATTTTGAAAATTTTCATTTTGGTCACGAACAAGGCGGAGGAGGGCGTTTGCCGAGGTGATGGGAGGGTTGTTGAAGTCCTTTTGGGACGGCTCTGCCGATTTAAGATACGCCTGGTAGGCATCTTCGACGAGCGACTCAAAGCGCTTCTCCAGCTCCCCGCGCGTCTCCGCAAGGGCGGTCATGACAAAGGAGGTAATAGAAGGAGCCGGTGAGAGTCAAACGCAAAGGGGACATTTGCGTTTACCCGACTTTCAAAAATGATGAGGACCAGATGTCCAAAACGGTGGATTTTGTGATACGCAGTGAAGTAAAATGTTTTCAAAGGAGGCCCTCGATTATTCTTATGATCGAGAGAAACCAGGCTCCTGTTTTTGGAAACAACCAGGCCCAAGCCAGGACCGAAGCTGTGACAAATATGACAGGGATCCCAAGTGGAGGGCCTGTTGGCCTGGCCCAATGATCCTGAAGCAAGCAAACACTGCACCTTGGGACATCATTGGCGGTCCAAGCCGAAGGAATTGTGCTGGTGATCGACGAACCACCACATATATTCTCTTCGACAGCTCGAATCGACCCCATTTGAGAGAGGAAAATTTGGGCACGACAGGTGCTATGGGGTAGAGCCACGCTGGCTTTGGATTCCACCTGCCTGCCTAGGCTCATAGCTGAGGTGGCGAATGAACGAGGCAAGGACAGAGGAACGATTCAAACTGCGTACATGTACTTCAGGTAGATGCGTTTAAGCTCGTGCTCCGAGCAGAGGAGAGGAGTCCTTTCACAAGTTGAGAAAATGTTCAATATCCGACCCCAAAGAAAAGGAAGGGGCGGGGCAAGGGTCAAAGCCGATTTACCAAGCCCCAGGTTTCTTCTGTTCTTGCTGAAGGGGTTTGATGTTACATTTCCTGCGGGTCGTAGGGCGCTCTTTGAAGCACGGATCAACGCCCAACGCCACCAGCGCTAAAAAGGAGGGTCCATCCATTGCCCAGGCTTTGTGTCGGTTGAACAATTGAAGAGTTTGCCCTCCCTCGTGAAGAGGTGATTGAATTTATGGACCGAAGAGATCACGAATCTAATGGGTCCGTCAATGGGAAAAAAACAATATCAGCATTGTTCTTTCCAGAACAGGAGCGAGGTGTCGATCTTTCAAACTTTGATGTCGTACGCGGCAATGTGAGGTTCGTCGGAGGAAGGATCGGCCCGGGGCTGATGGAAGCCTGCAGTGAGATATGGATTCGTCAAACGACCTCGGACTCCGGTACGAATCACGAGACCACGAGACGTCAAAATCCCCAGACTACTATTTAGAAGCGCCACGCGTTTGGTCAACGAGGCCATTCCATTGGAGCCAGCACTCCGGGTTGCATAATCAGGCTGGGATGGTCTAATTCACAGCCACTTGCAGGACAATCATTATCCAGGACACAAGGCACTCTGAGGACATCGTGCAAAGTTCAAGTGGAGATTCTCAGACATGGCCCGGGTCCATGAATGAGATGTTCCCCTGCCTCGTGGTGCCAGGCCTGGCTGTCCAAAGCAAGTGGCAAGTAGCAGCGACCTAGGTAGACAAAAGTGGTCTTGCAAGCTGACAGAGCTTGGGGGCCCCAGCCCGGCCACAGCCTCCGAAAAGTTCATCTGATTACACTTTGGTGGGCTCGATTGGACATAAAGCTGCCAACCTTAAATCCGCCTTAGCTTGTGGAAGACGAAAGACCCTGACTATCGGCTAGTTCAAGTTTGATGGATGGATCAACGAAATCTGGGCAGGCCATTATTCCAAAATGCGGGAGAGCGCACATGCCGCGAATGCGCTCTCCTACGTATTCAGCAATTTCATGTGGCTAACTGAGAAATCATAATCGAACCTTTTGATAGGAGGCATAGGCAATTCTTGGCCTGTGGCTTCCGTCGCGCGTCATGGCTAAGCCACCACTCTCTACCTCAGTACACATTGATATCTCTAGTAGATGCTTCCACGCATGCCCTTACATGTATTCGGAGAGGTCCCCTTCCATTGAAACGAGTGTGTTATTTCTTATGCTTACTAAACTCTTTAATTCGAGACTCTCATAGCGATCTTTAAAAAGTACATGTAAAAACGAAAAAAGAAAAAAAGAAAGAAATACCGTTCTTACATGGAAAGGAGTATGGTGGCAGCAAGTAGGATGCCCACCAACAACACCCCTCCCCAAGTAACCATGGAACCCCTGTGATATTGAAGGAATGTGTATCGTCCGAATCGGTACTGTCTTGGCCTAGCATCTGGAATGCCCCCAGTAGGATAGCGGTGATTCTGTTCGTGCGTACGCCCAGAGGGATCTCGCTCCAGCAGTATCACCGGCCATCGCCACGGATCCCGACTCCATGTTTGGGAGGATGCTACTAGTTGTCCAGTGGGTACTCATAGAACGTTCACTCCCGGTACTCGGTTCCGAGCACATACACGCGCCCGCGCGGTGTAGCGTTATGTAGTCATGATTCCCCCAATCTCCCGAACGCTGTAGGCAAGAAATGAAATACTCACGGCGCATCTGGGCTTTCTCGAGAGTCATCGGTCCTTCGCTCCATCTCCACTGGCGGGTGTTGGGCCGGACCGCCAACCCGTCGTTCGCCCGGTGTCTGTCCACAGGATAGTTTTGAGCCGGGCCGGGAAACACTGGAGAACGCAGAGGACTGTAGACGGGCTTTATTGTCAATTTCATCTCTCTGCGAATGCGTTCATTGTTGGAGGTTTTGGGAATCGGTTCAACTCCCCGTCTCGAAGTTGAGGGTCGAGAAATTTGCTGTTCCGACATAGTGTTAATGGTTGTAATTACTACCTCGATTCGAACACTTCTATAGGGTATTCTATCTAACCTATGTATGCTGTTGGTTTATAGTTGTAATGAAAGTGAATCGCAATATCCTCGACCTCCAGCTACAATGAACTTGGTCTCAACAAAGAGAGAGATGATATATAATGTTAACATCTTAACAAAGAGGAAAGAGATAGGTGCTCTTCTAGAGCCCTATCAGCTCTTTCATCCTATATCCTGCCAGATTATTACCCCCGCCAAAACAAGCCATACTCGATAGGATAAAGAGAGCTTCATTCTTATTGTGTTTCATGACAAATGGAGGTCGCCTTTCTTCCCAAAAGCAGGCTTTGAATGTCTTCGGCAGCAACATTGAATCCTTTGACCGCCTGGCTTTAGTAAAGGACCTGGACCTCGACATGAAGCACACTTGAACCATAGCCAAATAAACCAACGGGCTATCTTTCTGAACAAAGGTAGAAAACTATATATAGGCATGACTTGGAACCAAAGTGAAGAGAGAAGGTCTCGTCAAGCAACTGCAACAGCAACAGCAACAGCAACAGCAACAGAACAGCCACAAGCGAGGACGACATACTATCTTGCCATTTCTTCTTCCCATCTATTTTACCAAATCCCCCGAGTATCCACGAGATCTACGCCAAGATGGAACAAAACGAATCTCCTTCGTACTACACTAGCCCTCCACCGAGCTTCCGAGGTATGGTATTGATCGGCAAGCATCTACTGGACCGCTTCGCCGCCGCAGCAACCGAGCTGGAGCTTCGAATGACGGTGGAAATGGATGCTCTTCAAGTTGTCCACCATGATCGTAACATCGATGCTATTCAGGCTAACTTAGACAGCAGAAATGCCACCGCCGAGCGTAACGAAAGGGACATCTGCGACATGCTCGGGAGTCTTGCTGATCGCTTTGAGGCGCTCGCCAAGGCGTCCACTGATTGTCGCACAAAGCTCTATTGCGAATGCCGCCTGCCTCTGCGCGAGAGTGAGAAGCCCGGGTGCGGAGGAATCGATTACGATGTCTGTGATATGGCATTGCACAAATCCTTGGAGGAGCGCGTGATTTTTCGCCCCGAGGCCACCGGCAAGACTGTGCGCCAAAGACTCAGCGCGTTCTTTCAATCTTACATTAAAACTGACCCCAAGAGTCTAGGTGAACTGCGGCACCTCTGGTCCGAGATGAAAAGGGACTTATTCTTTCGACACCAGCTCGCGCAGGAGTATGTCAAACTCAAGGAGAAGGCCAAAGAGAAGGCGTCTATCGGCTACCACTCCAAGAACTCCAGTGCCCGCCCTGGGCCGATCAGGAGAACCACCACTGGCCTCAAAAACTAGCAGCCTCGGCCTCTCGTTCGTTAGAAGAGGAATAAGGAGGCACTAAGGCGAAGCTCGGAGACGCGGTACTCTGTGCGATACTTGAGTACATCAAAGCGCCTACAACGACCGGCTCTCGACTTGCCCCTTCTTTACTTTACTTAATCCCTCCGGTCCTACTTGTCCTACCCAATACTACGTCCGCCATACTGAATTAGTTCTTCCGGGACTCAAGTGATACAGGCCGTGATCGGAGTCTCTTCATTCGGGGCAGCATGGAGAATTGAGATGGAAGAAGCTATAGATAGATAAGTCGGGAGTGAAAGGAACAAGGACTAAACTATCTCATGTAGCGCTTATCACACCTTTTATGTCATCTGTTTCTTGAGCCTGGTTGAAGACTAGTGAGATGTCAGTACTGTATGTGACTTCTGTAGTTTGTCTCCGCAGCGGGGCCGGAATCTAGACTCAAATGATCCATCCACGCATTTTTATGGTTACGATTGATCTGATTGATATCTTTGACCTGTTTGGTGATTTGCGAATCGGTGGTCAAGCAATTGTATGGATTTATGTACTTTGGACATTGCAGATATCGTCTCTTTAGTGGAGTCAAAACCGTTGTGTTGCTGTGTTGATCCATGATAGAACACTCATCAATCCAGCCGAAGGTTTATGGGCCAAGTAGATGGTGACTTGGCATCAATTACCCCGTTGCCCTAGAATGCAACGTTGATGACGGGATATGAATAGCGAATGGCCCCGGAAGTGCTTATTTCTTGAAGGCTTTTCGCTTTGCCCAGTCAGCTCCACAGATGGTTGACAAGGCCTCCCACCGTCAGGGGCGGCCTTCCTTCGATCACGAATTTCGTCGGGGTTGGCTGGATTGGGTCCTGCCTCTACTACCGGTTGCGGAATCCTGCCGCCACCCCCGGTTCCTCTCTCAAGACATCTATTCTACCGAGGTATTCCATCCATACTCGCGATAATATCAAAGCTGGAATGTCAATCATTTCCTCTTGCGGAGAGCTGAAGCGTTCCAACCCCATATTCTTCATCTTTGTTAACATGGGCTAACTAACACCTTTTTCTCAGCCCTTGCCACGCTCCTGGCATGAGACCCGTGGGCTGGAGGAAAAGTGGGGCACTTTCCTTGCTTCTTTACATGACTTAGTTGATGAAGCCTAGGATTGGATGTTTGGTGCCTCTAGTCTGGTGTTCAAGCGAGCTGATGCTGGCTACGCCGGTAGCAAATGGTCAGTGGTCGTAGCTCGGTATACCTACATCCGAACTAATCAAATCAGCATGTTGGCGAGATGGTGAGAAGATCAACAAACAGGCTTAGTTGATTGAGGCAAATAACTCAGAAGAAGGGAATCAAAAAAGGGCTCAATGGCAAGATTCGCTCTCCCATACCCGGATTCGAACCGGGGTCAAAGCCTCGCTCAAGTTGAGAGGGCCCTATGCTGACCACTACACCATATGGGATGGGTGTCTTGTGTTCCTTCTTGGAAGGAAAGATGTCGTAGTTACCCTATATACCATATGTTGGTTAGGTGGGGGTATCGTCAGTGGTTTATCTGGTTGCTGAGTGTGCCTGTGATGGACCTTCCATCCTGGGTGGCATTAGGGAATAGGTCCTTCCTCATTTGACACATCTGAGGAGGTTGTGTGAGAAGGGAAGGAGCAACTGGGTGTATCCCCTTCACCATCAGTGAATCAGAGATGCCATCATCATCCTGAGGTGGGAGGGGGCTAAGCAAGATGGCTGATAGTTCTCATGCTACCTCCTACTACATGGGCGTTTATATCCGTAGGTCAAGATTGTGATGCTAGGTAAGTTTTAGGTTTTATATTTCTGCTGGTCTACACTACTTGCAGTTGCATTTAGGGCTCGCGTAGCCGAACCACGTTTGTACACTACGCGACATGGCGAAAGAGAGGTGGCAAGCCGAAGATACTGGTCGAGTGCCTAGCATGTCGGCTACATCCATGGCCTAGCTCGTGCCGTTTGTTGTCTCTCAGGATCATTCCCGCGCCCGTCAGTGCTATGGATGCTGAACTCGATATCACGACGGATGCCGCGCTCAGGAGAATTGTTTTTACTTGTCTCGATGTCTGAGAGCTCAATCGTCCTTTGTGAGACGATGGCGCCGGTGCTCTTGTGCGAGTGGCCGTCGAAGTCGTCCCCGTTGCCACTGCGGAGATAGCCACTCTTGGAGTTGAGGGGACGAGATCCGTTTTTGCCCGTGCTGCGGCCGCCGCTGCGGTAGTTGCTGTCGAGTTGACTCCTGAGACCGAGGTGGAAGGAGATGATGCGGACGAGAGGTTGAAGGGCAGGGAAGCACGCAACCCATAGGCCGACATGGCCTTCGATATCGGTCCAAAAGGCAATTGTCGACATCTTGTACGTCGTGTCGATGGCAAAATTGGTATTGACCATTATAGCAAGCCGGACGATTCCCGTGATGACGGCAAAAAGACCGACGCAGAAGATCAGAATGACACGGATCGTCTTAGCGGACCAGATCATCTTGGAGTGAACGACCCAGATCGGGAGGGCAAATAGACAGAAGTCGACCGCGATACCGACGCTGGCGTGGGTCCACATCATAATGGCTTCCGAATCCTTGGAGCTACAGTCACCGCTGCCGGGAGGCAGCCAGAGGTCCTTAATATTCTTGCACTCGAGCAGGCGGTACAAGAAGGCTGCCACAGTCTTCACGGCAATGACAGCGCCTACGGCATACACCATTCGTTTGTAAAGCCCTGATCGATTGCTGTGTTAGGAAACAAGAAACCCGAAGCGGGAGATGGGCGCTCTTACTATCACTGCTCATTCGAAGGAGAAATGCGACTATAGCTATTCGTGTTAGGCCAACAACCCAGAAGTACATCAAATGTTGAGTCGTAAGTGCCTGTTGCGAGTTAATATTAAAGACTTTGTCAGGATGCCTTCGTCTGGACCAACTCACCTCGAAGAACTTTGGAATAAAATAGCCAGGAACATAATCCATGTGCGCCCCCGAGCCGAAGCCGACCGCTAGAAAATGTGAGTCTCTCTGCTATCGTGAGCTAGCGTTCTACACGCGGATAACGCACCTCGGATCTCCAGCGAGGAGAAGGCAACCAAAGCGGCCCAGGCAATGCATCCGAAGAGATCATCCAAGCCCAGACCTTTGACAATGAAGGCACGGGTAGCCACCCTGGTGATAATAAAGAAAGTGGAGAAGGCGATGAGCACAATGTTGAGATTTCGCTGGAGGTAGCCCTTGTACTCTGGCGTCGAGCTGAAGTCAAAGTCTAGAGGAGGGGGTCCTGCTAATGCGTCTCCTGGTGAGCCCGCACCAGACGCATCTTGAGGTGCCGACATGGTGTTCTTGTGATATTCGATCCCTTGCCTTCGTCCTCGATATCGTTCAGTCACAATGGGCGCAGAACAGCCCTTCGAGATGACCAGGAGAAGCCGTGGAACCCAATAGATGGGGCATCTTCAGTGATATAATACAAGTGACAGTCTAGAGCTGGGGTCCTCTAGGAGGATGGGGGTATATCAGAAGAGACGGCCGATAGCCAGGAAGAAGAAAAAGCAATGAGAACAAAGGTGGTGGCCTTGGCCCAGGGGGAAGGAGGGGGGGCGGGGGCAGCAAAGGTGAACGGCTGCGTCCTCCTCCTGCCGTTCGCAAACCACCCCCTTCTCGACAGCGGCTCCTTGCTTCGGTTAGAGTTTGCCATTCTAACGTTTCCGCAGCGAGGACCATGCTCCAACCTCCCAGTCACTGTTGCAGGAAAGCAAAGAATGAGACATTAAAGTCACTCCTTACCATTCAGACCCATTTCCTGCTTCTGGGCCCACCCCACCTGTGTATAATAATACCCGCTGGTTCCATCCATCTCTACAGGTGCAAAGGTACAGGGATGTTCCTGTTTTCACCCACTACGAGGGTATCAGACCGAGGTGCGAACTCCAAGTATTGGACGGGGGCCCGGAGAAAAAGATATTGACATGACTCTTTATGCCCAAGAATACGTGCTCCACCTCTGATGAACACAGTAAACTGTCACCGCTCCTTCGTGTCGCGCATTTCTCGCCATGTGGCAGCGCATTAGGGACTTTGGGCACTGAGTAAAGAATACGGTGCATCAAGGCCAGCTATCTCCTATGATGAGAAGTCACGGACGAAATGCTCCAGAGGTAGAGTTGATTTTAGATGGAAGGGTTCAGAAGGATTAAATGGCATCTTAGGGTGCCCCCAAGCAGAAAATTCCGGACGGGCACAAAGCGGTGGCGATGAGGCCTTCTCGGGGAGATATCTTCGCTAAAATCATCTCCAGCAGGTAACGTACTCGACACGGTTGGTCTCCCGATTGAGTGGGGTTCCTTTGCGGGCGTGAAGCTTCTTTCACCTGGCTTGAGAGGCTGAACCGTTCTTACATGGAGGTGGCTGCAAAGATGGGAAGTGATCGACAGGCATGCGCGCGCAAGTGCCGGGTGGAGAGACGAAGAAGAACTAAAGCTAACAAAAGCTGGCGTTTGTGCGACTGCCCAAACCAAACATAAGAAGGGTGACGGGTTAGCCTAGTATGGGTGGATTGGATTTTCGATGCTGGGAAGAAAAGAAGTAACAAAAACTGAGTCGAGGAGTGTGGCGTTGAGGTGGGCTTCCCCCAGCTCAGCCAGCAAAACTTTTTTTCAAATTGCCCTGGGTTTGGCTCAAGGCACGGGCAAGGGCCGCGTGGGTTCAACTCCCTCTCACCCAGCACGAGACCTTGTGCTTTTGTTCTTCAGATATAATAGGGTTGAATGGGATGTACAATGGATCCATTGTCCACTATGGACTTGAAGCCATCCGGGCAGTTTTAGAGTTGGCAGTTGATAGAAACTGGGTCCAACGCCAAGGGTGGGGAAGGACTAGATGTAAGTGGGGCACCATGTGGGGCTTGCCCCTCGGATGTGCAGGGCGTTGCCGAGAACATCAAGTTCTTCTGAAGCGGCCGCTAGACGAGCATGGTGACGAGCAAGAGGTTCCGTGTTTAGACCAGGGGCGGGAAAATTGCGCGACATCTTCTCCCACTTTATTATTTTTTTCTTCTTCTTCTGATCACAGTGTGGTGCATGATACGTTTGGATGTAGCCCCGCGTCGCGAAAAGAAAGGAGAAGAGAACACGCACTCATACACACACATACACACACTCTCTCTCCCTCACTCTCTCTCTCTTGAACCCTTTCATTCAATTAGCAAGCCCCAGACATTCTCAGTCCTCAAAATGTCTCTACACTTTCGCAGCCGTACTTTAATTCGATGGCTCTAGCTTGCTAGAACCCTGTGGTGAAGGGTATGTACGAGTGTGAAGTCGAGCAAGTTGGAAAGGAGTAGATAGGATGGACGATAATGGAAAGAAAGGGGAGGATGGAGAGTGCCAAAGAACATCTTTTGGGGAGAGACTCGAAGCGGAGAAAAGAGGCGAAGGCGTAAATAACGCTGCCCCCACGTATGTATTCTAGTTCCTGTTCGAACCCTGGTCAGAAAGAGCTCAGCCTAGAGAGCTCTGAGTCTCAGAACTCGAAGCCGATATCCGGCCTTGACATCTGAAGGAAAGGCGGTGCGTGGGGCGCGGACTAACATAACCAGCTCTAGCTCACTCGGTGGCAGGAAGGGGAAAGGGGAAAGGGGGAGGCACGGGTTATGAAAGAAAGGGGGTGCCAACCTAAATCGCTGAGAGCCGACTTATACCCAGTGGCACAGCATATTCATGCATCTTCTTTAGACGTACTTGGAGCAACGCTGAGGAACCATCAGAGCCGACAATCCCAAACCGCCTCTCTCTCTCTCTCTCTCTCTCTCTCTCTCTCTCTCTCTCTCTCTTTGGCGGGGTCCAACTCGGGATACCGCTCAGTGATGGGAGGGAGGCGAGTACTGAAAGAAGGCGAGACATGAGCTGATGACGCACATTCCTCACACTGGAGATAAAGTAGATCTCGTGGTGATAGTGAGAGGCTTATTCGTACAAGGTAGCGGGCAGAGTAGACAGACGGTTCTAGCCATCATCAACTCATGAAAATCTGCCTAGATATCTCGGCGTCTCGGGGACTATTTTCATCCGCTCAAGATACAGCAGAGCAGAGTGTATCAGATTCTCACCACGATGACAAGGGCTTTTGCCAAGTGAAGCCAACTCCTCCGGCCTGTCATCCTGCCTATCCCTTGTACATTTCCCCACCCTGTGTACAGCAATATTGTCGCGTCTCTTCACTGCCTCGGGCCTGATTGTATCAGGGTACACAGGAGCAAGGCGGCCAGGCTAATAATATGCCACTCACAAAAGTGCAGGCGTTGCGTTGGGTTTGGAAAAGAACAGGGTCACAAACAAGTGCTCAAGATGAGACCGCACAGGCCTTCGGCAAGGAAAGCGACAGACCCGCTTCGAGGCGTGATGCTGACAGGTTGAAGTGCATGATTTGCCAGGTCCAACTTGTTCGTTTTCTTTCCACTCGTCTTCGACTGCCGATCAACAACTTGGGGCCCATTCAAACTGCGGGGAGAGCCTTGGAGATTGAGTGTAGGATCTAGACTTTCTGATTTGCATGATCTTACCCACTTCTCGCGGATAACCCGAGTCGCTGGCACCCGTGCAGACCTTGACATCAGGCGACTTACACGATTCCTTTGCTCCATTGTTTCAACCCTTCATACGCGATATCAGTTGTCATTGCTTCCTCAACTAATATCCGAATACCAAGTCAGGGATGACCTGTACTTCAAATATCCACCCTTGAAGCCAGGCAGGACGGACCTTTTCCTTTTGGTTAGGCGGAGAAGTGGGGGTGGGGAAGTGGGCGAGGGATTCTCCGAGATCCACCTTGATAGTGGCTCAGTGTTGATGAAGAAGAAGACCATTATTAGCGTATCTTGGAAAATCGACGGCTTCCTGTTACTCGGTATCACCTTGATGCTTAATAGCACCTCGGCCGTCTCTCTGCCTTTAAGTTGTCTAGAGAAAACCGGGGACTGATATTTGGAATTGGGTTTACGCTCTTGCTCTCGCGTACAACCAAGATCGTAGGCGCTCCAACGGTTAGGGGAAGAAAGGATGAAGATCTCGGGTGGCATCTATTACAAGTATTATTATCAAGGACGAGGTGTGAAAGGGCTGAGGGATGGAGAAGAAGTGGTACGACTTGCGTTGCATTCATCCGCCACGGATCATTCCTCCCACTCAAAGGCTTGTCTTTCCTGCAGCAGTCTGCTCAGAATATTTGTATGCCTTTCCGTTTTCAGCATCCATGACTGATTCGACTCGCCCTGGAATCTCGAAGCTTGGCCACCCTGGTCGCTTCGCACGCACCTCCCCACCGGCCCCGCCTGAGATTCGCACCCTAGAAAAGGATCCATCAAGGTGGGCCAGCTTGACCACAAGTCGAAATCATCCCTCAAAACTGAACAGAGAGGTAAGCAGCCAGTGTATACCTCGGTAGTGTATCTCTACAGGGCTTGTCTCCTTGGCCCTGCAGTGAAAAGCGGCGAGTCTTGTATTTCGATATGCTAGAGCTTTACATGTAAGTGTAAAGGACACTGTTGGTTGCTCTCCTTACTCTTCGCCATTTTGCCTGGGCCCGTATCCGGAAATTCACCCTAGATGACAGATAAACACTTCCTATCAACAAGCCCAGGTGAGAGACGAGCAGGCAAGATAACCATCATCATATTGATGCGCATCTAAGTAATTGAGGCCAATATTTACTCTGAAACGAGGAGATGCAGGACCAAGAGATCGATATAAGCGAACTAACACTCTTTCACACTCTTTCCCACATTCTTGGGTTATCTGTTATGAAGCTCACCTATAAGGCTAGTTAGTTATTAGCCCTCCCCCTCCGTTTTTTTTTTTTTTTCTATTTTCCCTCTTCTCCTTGATGTTCTGTAATTGGCAATTCCCATTGTCTCTTTGATGAGGTATTGCTGTAATCTGCCGACTATGCCTTCCCCTTCCCTTCCCTCCTCAGCCTCTCCTGCTCGGAAGTAGCGATCCGACTTTCGGATTGAGAGACTAGTTCGTCCAAATTATGAAATATGCACGGTGGTGACCCTTGTTCCTGACTAGACCCATGGCAGTGGAGGTGGGGGCATTCTCCGGCCCAGTTTGTCCGGCCGGTGCAAGGGGAAGAGCAGAAGAGCAGGACGGCATGGCCAATAGGTGAGCGAGCGCAAAAACAACGTGCTTCAATATCTCCTTCCCAGGTCGCATCGGTCACAAAGCCGCGTACCTCTTCGTTGTGGGTCATCGCTTCCTCGCTGCAGGCACATGGCCCCGGAACGACTTCCTTGCTCCTTATTCTTGGCCTCATCATGCTGCCGAACCAACCAGGCCCACTCGAATTATCGTCAAGGATGCAGCTGCGGAAGTGAGCACCCCCGCCAGTCTTCACAAGAGGCGGCTTGCCTCTCTCTTAATATTTCCTTTTAATACGCCCCTCCACCGCCAACCATGGCGTCGGCGTGCATACGATCCTGTGCGTGCTTTTCCCGTTGCCTTTGCCCAAACGCCCTTCGCTTTTCCCTTTTCCCTCCTAGCTAGAGAGAGTTCACTCCTTTGCATCTTTTCCTCTCAGCTGGGCCCAAAGAATCGCTGCCTTCTCCGTGTTGGAACTTGCGCACGTACATTCGGTTTCGAAACCAGCTCCGCCAATTTGTGTAATCGCGCCTCCAATCTGACATGCAGCTCACCATTCTCGCAACGGCGCTTCTTGCCGTCAGCGCCTCCGCAGCGCCCACCTGCTGCACCAACGCCGAGCGGCGAGAGTGGTAAGTCATTCGCGCATCTCTTTATTGCCTTTTCCTTTTCCAGCTCCAGCGGAAACAAGTTGGCATATGTCATTTAGACACGAGCCTCGCCCTTGGCTGTGGCTCAATCTGGCCGCCTGGAGCCTGTCCCGGTATAATGGACCTCTGGTCTGGTTCTATCAAACCAGTGTCAATCACAAATGCCTGCTGCACCCACTCATACCCCAAAAGATCTCGATCCCCCCCTTTCTCCACACTATAGTGATACCCTTCCCGGTCCTGCCCTTCCCGCTCACCCAGCTTCCAATCTTTCGAGATGGCTGGTGCAAGGCTAGATGTATCATTAATCGATCAAATAATCTTATTCACATGAACCGCTTACAAGAGAGGCTCATACTAATGCTTTTGCACTATCAGGAGAACTTTCTCAACTAAGGAGAAGCAAGCCTACATCGCGGCAGTGAAATGTCTTCAAAGCAAGCCATCTCAGTTGAAGAGCACCTACCCGACGTCGCAGAATCGATTCGATGACTTTCAGGCGGTTCATATTGACCTGACGGAGAAGTATCACTTTACTGGACCTTTCCAGGCCTGGCATCGCGTCTTTCTCCACAAGTACGAATCCGACCTCCGGGGACTTTGTGCATACAAGGGCTACCAGCCGTGAGTTCTATCCGTTTTGCCTTGCTCCGAGCACTCTCACAGTTCCCAAATTCTTGACATCGGTGGCCAATGTACTAATTTTCTGGCAGATACTGGGGTATTATCAAAGCCTCCCTCGCTAAAGCGTTCCCATTGTCGCTAATATTTGAGATATAGACTGGACCAAGGATTCCGGGTCTGAGGCTGCCTTCCTCGCCTCGCCTGTCTTTGACGCTGTTAATGGCTTCGGTGGTAAGTCTCCCTTGTGACGCCCACGCAGTTCTGTGGCATACGAAGTCCAGGGAATGGAAGAGAATCAACCAAATTTTAGCGGGAAGAGCGCAGAGGCTAATCTTTTGGCTCTCCTTGTTTGCAAATAGGAAACGGACCTTACGTTGATACGTCGAACTTTCCCGTCACCAACGTCCCCGTCAAAATCCCGAATAAGACTGGCGGAGGCTGTGTTCAAGATGGCGCCTTTGTCAATATGACAGTCACTCTCGGCCCAGGCCCTAGTCTTGAGTCGAACCCCGCTGTCTCACCCGTGACTTCAGCTACTGGCTCATCTCACGGACCCTAACCAAGGCGGTGGTAGACTGGACTCTTGAGGCCGCGTCTTTCGCTGTCTTTGACTTCCGTCTGCAGGGCACAGGCATCGAGCCAGAAGGCATGACAGTTCATGCAGGTGGCCACCTTGGTGTTGGTGGTGATATCGGCGAGATCGGCAACATGTATTCATCCCCGGAGACCCGCTCTTCTATCTTCACCACGCCAATCTTGACAGACTCTGGGACCAGTGGCAGAGGAAGAAGTTTGCTCAGCGTGTCCAGGATATGACCGGACCGGATACAATGTGGGCCTATCCATTCAACTTCTTTGGCGACGTACCCTATACCAATATCACTCTGGAAACCTTGCTCGACTTCAAGGGTCTCCTTGGGTCCAGCTCGGCAGACCGATATGTCAAGATCAAGGACGTTATGGACAGCCAGGGTCCGAACCTCTGCGTCTTCTACAAATAGATCCTATCTCCGGACTGAAGAAGGAGTGGCAAATATGACTTAGAATAGAGGGGGGACTGGTGTTGTCAAGAGAGCTCACCGCAATAATACTTATCACTTCTAATACCACACGCAATCGCTATACTCATCTAGACGATGGCTCTGGCCTGTGAACGCTCATAACAGTGAAGATAATGAAGGGATCCATTCATCGCCCCATTGACTTTCAATGCTTGGCCCCCTCAAAATTACAAAGATGCCCCTTTTCCCGGAAAGGTGAGCTGATCTTCTTCTCTCTCCATTTGTAGCCCGTGTCCGTGATCACCCATTAGTTCCGACTTTGACCACCCCACCCTCACCCGCCTCAGTAATGACGCGGTTAGGTGGGAGGGGATCAACATGATCGGCCCAGCACGTCCCTTTCTTCTTTTTTGGCGGACTTTGAAGGTCATGTTGACATATCCGCTCAATTAAATAAATCAAGATCCGAGCAGACCAACATCTCAATTATATGGTTCAGCGCTACCTCGCTACTCTGTCACCTTCACTTATAAAGGAGCGTTTGCCGGAGAAACCCGGCGCGGTTTGCGCCCTCTTATGAAGGTCAGGGGCAGGTTCTCAATGCTAGGACGGGCCAACGCAAACACTGAGCGAGTTCAAATAGGATCCCGGAACAGACCGCCTTTATTGAACTGGAGAGATTGATCCACTATTGATGTGGCGGGACTGAGCGCAAGGCTTAAGGCTGGTGTACTGCTTTTTTAATGCACAGGACGTGCCCACTAAACTGGTCAAACTCCGTGTAAGTGGTTAGGCGCCATCTCACTGCACAAGATGATGGCGCTGGCTTCAAGTTGCATCTGGATTAACAGATCTATGGATCATTTGATCAAAATTATATCCGTACTATTGCCAAGTGCACACCTGTCAATCTATCTACCCCCGACGAGCATACCCGCGAAGAGGCAAAGGAAAAAAAACAAGAGGCAGAGCGATGACATATGGAAAGGAAAAGAGGCAGATTCCACGTGCTTAAGAGAGAGTGTGTGTTTTTTTCCAATAGCATTATTTGAACGACAAGAGTAGAAGAAGAAAAATAAAGTATCGAGAAGCGAGTGCGGGAATCGAAAACGGAGAAAGGAGACGAGAATGCAACTTCTTTTTTTTGTGTGGGTTTTCTTTGTGTCTCTCGTCTGTAATTAAATTGGTTCGGTTCCTTTCTCCTCCCCTTCCACCATCCACCCCGATACAACGTCCTCTCCGCCCCCTTTGTCTGATGGCTTCTTCCCTCCCCCAACTACTCCTGCAAAGAAAAACTAGCCTTTGAACGACGAGATGCGACAAGTACTCTGAACAGGTATGCGGGGGAAGAGCAAAGTGTGATGCGAAAAGAAAAAGATCTTGATTGCAAAGAATGGTATATAGTTGGGTTGTTTAGACCTTGACGATGGAACCGCCCATGGGAAGACCCTGGAGCCCTGAATAGGAAAAAATGCCATGTTAGTTTACCGCGTGCCGCGAAGGGTGGCTTCCTCTGGTGGAAGCAGGAGAGTAAGAACTTACAGCCATCGACCTCCTCGGGAGCCTGCTGGGGAATAGTGCAGGCGTTGTACAGCTCGGGAGCCTGGTAGTGAAGGCCGGCGCCGGCGCAGTCGTGGTTGAGGTTGCAGCCCTGGTCCATGGCCCTCTGGAGGGTGTCGTCCTTCCAGCCGAAGACGTAGTCACCGTGAGCAGCGGAGCCACTGAAGGAGATCGGGTTAGCAAATGCAGCAAGGTAAACGGGTGGAGAGGGAGGAGGGGAGGGAAAAAGGAATGCATACCCGAGATCCATGGAGTAGATGAAGGGGTCAGAGCCGTCCGAGGGCCAGAGACCCTGGTCGGAGAACTCGGTGACGTTCCACATGAGCTCGAACATGACCTGGGGAAGCTTGACGGGGTGGGAAGTGGGGCAGTTGCCGCCACCGGAAGCACCACCGAAGCCACCGGTTCCGTAGGCGACGTGGGTCTTGTGGTCGACGGAGTCGAGGTTCTTGCCGTCCCAGCAGCTAATGAAATCATGCTAATTAGTATCCGTCGCCCTCTGAAGCTATGGCAAACCGACTGAGGAGGGGGAAACTTACGCAGGGAAGATGATGGTCTGACGGATCATCTTGCAAGTGGGGCTCTTGGGGATGGCAACGGTGTCGGAGCCGGAGCAAGGAGCACCACCGATGAACTGGTCCTCGTTGGTGGAGGTCCAGCACCTGTGGCAGATGTTGCTCTTGTCGACGGCGCTGTCCTGGGTGTTACCGGCATCACCGGCAATCATGCGGAAGCCCTGTTGATCGAATGGTTAGTTTTCCATCTCAACGTATATTCATTGACCGTCTTCTTCTCCTTCTTTGATTTTGATGCCCCGCCTCCCACTGCCTCTTTCCTTCTCTACAAGGCTATCCAACACCAAGGGCTTTCATCCTCGCCCTGGCCCTGACTCGACGTTCGGGGACCTCGAAGAACACCGCGACCACCTGGAGATGACGAACCTTGGCAAAGGCAGTGGTCTTGCCACTGGGGATGTAGTAGACATCGAGACCACCGTTGTTGATGAGCTTGCCCTGGGGACCACCGTTGCCGACCTGGGGAACGCGCTGGTACTGGCCCTCCTTGTTCTTGAAGAACATGACAGCAGTCCAGTAGTTGGAGAGATCCTCAACGAAGGAGCAAGACGTGCAAGTGGACTGGGCGACGAGGTCGTGCTCGACGGGGTCCATGGTAATGTTGAACGAGTTGCCACCCACAATCTGGTGAAGATGGGGGTGTAGAGCATGCCGGGGTTGACGATGGGGTCGACACGATCGACAACGAGCTGCGAGCAGGCAAACCGAAGCATGGCCTGGCCGGCAACATTCTGCGCGAGGATCGCGGCCGTGGCGGCGATGGAGAGGTGCTTCATTGTGGCGGTTGTTGCTCTTTGTTTCTTCTTAACTCCTAGTTGCAGGCAAAAGGGAACACACAAAGTCAAATTGTGGTTTGTCTATAAAGGAGAGGCAGACGCAGACTCGAGCTGGACCAACGGGGCGAACAAGGGTTGGGTTGAAGGAGAAGAGAAGAAAGGGAAGGAGGAAGAAAGGTCTAGAGCAGCTGGGGAAGTGTGCTTCTCATGGCATCCTTATACCTTTTTCCAAGCTTGGCCTTTTGGGCTCTTTCCATGGGGGTGTGCCCGTCCGGCGTCACTTTACATTGATCCATTTGATCCATGGATGGCTCTGCCACTCTTCTCTCACGGCTGTCTTCCCTTAATTCCTCGCCTTCCTGTTCACCCGCACGTTTGGCTTTGCCAGGCACGCTCTGCCAACCCGTGGAAACACCCCCTCTATCATCGATATATACTATATATTCGACTTGACCTACACGCACGCGATTAGTCTGGACGTCTTTGCCTGCCCACCACAACCCACCCCCTCTCCGTCCTTTTGGCTCCGCCTCCCGCTGTTTCCCCGTCCTCCCCATGCTCGCCCCAGACCCCGGGGAGACTTGCGGGGGCGTGTGGGACTAAATGAATGTGGGCGCCAAGGACGGGGCCTGGAGGTCAAATCAGTTCGTTACCCCATATTGGCTACAAATGGCCTCTCCTATGGGGGTTAACTGCCGAGAGCGCAGAATTTCCCTGTTGATTCTCGGTTCTCTGGGCGCAATATAACGATTGGGTAGGAAGAGCCGCTGGGCCTTGTTGACAGACTAAATTTCATTGCCTGTGGCCGCCTTTTTCTTCTCTTTACTCTTTTTCTTTTCCTCTTTTTTCTTTGTCGCCATCTCTTTGCCATCGCCTTTCGCTTACGTCCTTTTTTTTTTTTCCTTCTATTTTCCCGGCTTCTTGTCTCCTCACCCCCGCGACCTGGGCAGAAATTGAGATTCCTGAACATCCGGGGCGCCAGGAGACGCAAAGCCAGCTGCTCCCGGGAGCCCTGCTCCTTCTGTTCCTTTTACTTCCTCTTGGGATTACATATATGACGCGGAAGCGGCGAGATACATGGATGTAGTCTTTCTTGGCCTCGAGGCTGATTTACGGTTGTTAGTTGTGCGGCTGGCCCCTGTTGGGACTACTGTGGTAAAGGGACCTCTTCGTCCCGTTCAATCTCTGGTGATTTATATCAGAGGCTCGGTTTGTTCTCCTTGACGGCACCACGATCTCCGCGGGGGCGCGACATGTTCGTGACTTTCAGTCCCCGAGCACCGTAGCGGGTGGGCCTTGCACTTTTTCGTATGTCTCCTTTATGTATCCTTTCTTTTTCCCGCCTCCGCCATTTCCAGTTTTGCCTTCTGCTCCAGAAAGCAGAAGATGGTGTCAGCAGTTCATTCAAAGCCTGGAAAATTCCGCATCTTTCCCATCGCCACTTGGTGCTACATAGTTTCCTGACGCAGCTCGGTTGATCGAGCCTTGAAAATTCCTCGAGTCAGGCACAGTCGAAGTTTGGTTGAACTGCTATACTACAGACACGCCCATCGGTCCCTTCATTTTTAGCACCCAAGGTTGGCAGAGACGTGAGAAACGTCGCAAAGTCCGGTCGTACGTCTCGAAGCAGGTTGGTCGAAGGGAAGCCTGAGCGGAGGAATGGGGAAGAAAGAAATCGAAATTGAAAAAAAAAAAGAAGAAAAAAATAATAATAAAAGAAAAAGAAAGAAAAACATGATGAAAAGGAGCGAAAGCGAAAGATTAGAGAGTGGTGATACGTACAACGCGCAAGGAAATAAATAAATGGGCCTGTACCTCCACGATTCAGCCTGTCGGATAAAGACGTGACAACGGCGGATATTAATTGAGGATGGATGACTTCCTTTCTTCCCCGTCCCTTGGGCACACACTAATCTATATGATGGAGTACATCACTCCCTTTGAGCTTGCAGCTTGCAAATACAGTCTCTCCAGCTCCTTTCATTCCCCCTATTACATGTAGTCGGGAAAGTGTGTGTCACGAGCCCTGCACAAACGGGGAAGAGTAGAATGGAAGGTTCATTCTTCGAAAGCGCTTGCTGCTTTCCGTAAGACATCTTCCAACGTGGTGTTGTCGTACACGTGGGCTTCACCCGACCTACGGATCCTTGCTTCTTGCTTTTTCTTTCGCCCAATTTTTATTTTTCCTTTCGTTCATCCGCCCTCGTGTCGTTAGGGCCGGAGGTGTTTAGGACCTGGACGGCGCATTGCCGTCGTGTGAATGTACCATGCCACCGGAACGGGCTGTAAGTGAGGGCCGAATCGGAAAATTGAGCGCTCAGCTTGAGCAATTTCTGCGCGCCGGCGCTCGGGAATGGGTATTTATCGTCGGTCGGTCAATCTGCCCACCTGCCCCCTCCCATGAATGCAGTCAGGCAGAGAAGATTTCGGTTTGATCTGGGGTTCTGTTTCTTTTTCTTTTCCTACAAGTTTTCTTGACAAGCCATAAGGGAGAATGATGACGCCCGATCACTATGAACTCGGTCGCCCGCAGCCCCCATCATGGCCGGGCGTGGGCCCTTAGACAGGTTTACATCGGGGTATCTATGGCCGGGAAAAGAGTGTTTAAGGGCTTCTGGGAAAGAAGGCGCGTCACCGTCTAGAGCGATGAACTAGGAGAGAAGGCGGACAACCTTCTGGGGCTGCATACTCAAAGTCTGCTATACATCCAATGGATACATGTATATCCCTGTGTTCTTGAGGCGAACGGGGATAAAACTAAGTTGCTAGCGGGTTGAAATTAATAGTGTACATTACCGGCTTCTCCAAACCCCTCTGTTTTCTCGCCAGGGGCGAGGTGAGATAAAGGGATGCAAAAGAATGTACGGAAATGGCCTCCAGAACGAGGCCGCTTCGTCCCTTCAAAGCTGGCTTCCTTCAATTTCCCGTGTCTATCTTTCTCTCTCTCTTTTAGAAACTCCATCGGAATCTTGGAGACGTATTAAGTTGGCTCAGCTGGCCAGGTTAACTCTCGTAGTAATCGTCAGTGATTCACATCCCGACAATACTCGAAATGTCCTCAATGATACATGTAAGGCGAGTCGTAGGACCTATTATTCGCCACAGGCTCTAAAGGAAACATTGAATACCTTGAAAATCCGATGCAATATAGCTGTATTCCACAGTTCGTATGAAATCCTAGACTGCTGGTGGTGGACTATGGCGCCGAGCTGCCCAAGGCCGAAGCCAGACTTCTTCCAGCCTAGGCGCGGCTCATACGCTTCTGTTGTTAGTTAGGCTTTACAGCATCGAGGCACGATGCCGAGACGTTGCTATGCCCACGCTTTCCAGGCAGGTAATATCCAATACAAGACTGAAGGTGTCACTTGACGTCGAGCGGAAGGGTTTGATGGGGCCGAAGATGACGAACGCATTGCTCAGAGGCAACTTTCATGGCGCTGCATGGCAGATCACTTTCGCAAGCGAAGATTGAGCGCTATTTTCTTCAATCCCCCTTTGCCACAGAAGCCTCCTAATAGCCAAGCTATCCTGAGATATGAAAGGTGCTAGAGTAGCCTCCTGCTTGCATTATGCCACCCTTCGCTTCCACCTCACGATAAATGCCTCGTTGTAGACGCCCCCTAAAAGTGAGATTCAGTTGCCTTGACGCCGTCGAGATGATGAGAGTGGATTCCAGTCACTCAAAGGGGTGGCGCGTGTTAGTCACCTGCGTCCCTGGGGAAACGAACGAAATGTTCACTTTCCCCAACACAAAACAAGCGGCCGATGAACAGCGGATACCCGGTCAGCTTCACGCCCCCTTAGCCAGCAGCAAAAGCTCTATCTGCACGAATCCATCTTCCAATAGAGGAGAACGTATCGCAAAAAAGGAACGCAATGGTACTTTCCTGCTAGGGAAATCCTTGCATCCTACAGGAGTAGGTAGGAGGCCCTTGGGTGGGTGGTGTTCCACGGCAAGCGAGTAAGGGCTCACCTCCCCTGGCTTGTCAAGAAGAAAAGAGAAGTGCCGTTAATATCCCAAAGTAAGCTCTTACGTATGACGAGAAAGGTACGTGATGTCCTAAAAGACCCCCTTCAGCGCACGGCGCTCCTTTGACGGTGCAGGGAATCTGCCGGCTATTTACAGGAGGCCGCCCCAGATAGACAGGTCCGCGCAGCTAAACCCAGAGACGAATGCACGATCATGTATAGTTGGTGTACAGAATGGCATTTCCTCTACGAAGCTGATGGCCGATAGGTTAATTGGTGGGGGCCGCTATCTTTTGAAACCTTAGGTCTCGGGCGTCAAGGAGGCAGGTTTTCCATGGCCATTAGATGGGCATCAAGATGGCACGGCTGGTGAAGAACTGGACCGAAACCTGGGGTCCGGTCTACATCGTAATTCTATTGATTGCATTAGCTGGCGGTCTGCTTCAGTGAGATAGGTAGTAGGGGATGATCGTCCAGCATCAAGTCCCCTCTCTTGGACGCCTCATGCCCTGTCTAACTTTGACGTCACGCATCATGAGCCTCAACTAAAGATAGGAGCGAAGCATGTCTTATAGATACAAGAGAAGACCCAGGCTCCATGTCTCTGCAGATTGATATAAGGAATGCTACCTGCCCATGCTTTGTTTTCTTCAGTTCCTTGCCTTGCCCGGGCAGAGGGCAAAGAGAGGGTGGCAAACAGCGAGATAATCTGCTATCCGCCGGCAGAATACCCGGTGTTGGCGATGTGTGGTAGAGCATCCATTCTCTGCCGGTGGGAACTGTGTGTGCCAGCGAACCATGGTTTGATTCTCCAAAACCTAAATCCCAGGCATGGTCCCCAGAGAATACATTTTGACCGTCGGCTTTTAGAAATGGTTTGGCTAGGGCGAACTGTATGGCTGCCATCTATTTCCCACACATTCTTATTTGCCCTCTATGTTCCATGGAGGCTCTCTGGGATGTTAGACATGCCTTGGACTACATTCCTCGTGCCGAGCTCTTTCCTTGCTTCCATACATGATGTCGGCCAGACTGGCTCTCCCCTCGCTAAATCCAGGCTCCTTGCGGGAGTTTTGATTCCTTTCTCCTTGCTGATAACAATATTAATAGCTCCGCGGGAATTAGGACAGCGGCAAGACCAAGGCCGCTTCCTAGCGTGGCGATCTCGGGCGGTAAGTGAGAGTTCGAGAGATGGGTCATATAACTGAAGGCAAAGGCCCAGGAACTTCGACTTCCCGATGCCCAGAGGCGGTCGCTCAGGTGCGGCATAACTGAGTGGGTATACGAGTGTCACGCGCCTCCTATAATGGCGCAGGCCATGGCCTCGAGGAGAGGTCTCTTTCACAGTATATCATAGTTGTGTTGCTTATGATTCTCATGGAAAAGAGGAGCCTTGGCCCGCTGTGCCGATGCGCAGGCTCTTGGACGGGCCGATATGATCATTTGTGTGGGGGATGGGCGCGCGTCACACCCCGTTGCCGGAGAGGGGGCAGCGCTAAAGTGTGTTGATAGATGGGCCAACCAGTTCCGTATAAACTGGCTTTGAAGGGGAATGAAAAATTGCGGTAGGTACGAGAACCTACATGTACCGTAAAGAGGCACGTAAATAGAATGATTCCTGATGCCGGCCAAGGACACTAGCTCATCTTCATCAGCCGAGAGGAGTGTACTCAACCATCAAATACCTTTCTTCTTCATGGAAGGGATAAGAATAGCAGAAGCAGATGTCATCACCGTATGAAATGCAGCTTAGATCTCACCATGAAGGCATCTGGTTGTACAAAACAACATCCCAAAGAAACCTGGATATGAAAGAAAGGAGGGCGGGGCCTTATCCACCGATGTCGATCTCTTGACAGCCAGATCATACAAGTTGGCCTCCGGATAGGAGGACCATATTCGTCGCTGATGTACCTGACGATTTTATAGAAGATCCATCGCAAAGGACCGAAACTTGGAGCGTGGTGGAGTCACCAAATCAACTCTCTGGATCTAAGGAGCGTCGAAACCGATGCTGCCCGATAGTCATGAGGGGGATCTTGGCTGATTGTTAAGCCCCCAACGGCGGGCATGCGCTGGTGGATCCTTGCCTCATTCATACGACTACTTTATATCGAGTGGTGGGCACCGCTTCGGCTAAGGTGACGTGAGGGAGGTGTAAATTACGAACCTCTAGTGTGCGTACGAATGAGCGGCGGTAGCCCGCAACAACCGGTTCTCCTGACTATACAAGTATGTATATGATGGCGATTCCGCCGTCCGAATGTTTCAAGTTGTTCTTCCCCCACCCCTTGTTTTTTTGTCCTTTTCTCCTGAGCAGCCTTAAGCTTTGCAAATAAATACTTCCAAGGGTCTGTAATACGCCGTCGCATTTTGGATGACTTCGTCGCGGCTTCCCCGGCGACCACGCGGGGATTTGGTGGGAGAAACCGTTCCGCGCTCTGTGGACTGACATCGGGAACGCCACTTTTGGCCTGCCTTCCTTCTTGAGTGCTCGAGACGGCATTTTGGGGGTTTCATTGGTCCGGAAGATTGGCTCAAGGTTGACGGTTCAGGCACGTGTGTCTATTGACACCCCCGCCCCCAAAGCCGGCCCTCACCTCTGGAGGCCGGCCACCCTCGTCTTCTCCAGAGCGTCAAGTTCCCTCGCGAAGAGAATGGATATCATCTTTTGCCCAATCACGGCTCGGTTGACTAGCGGGCGACTTCTTCCAAAGTTCCGCACACATCCATGGATTCCAAACAGATGTCGGACGCTATGTGCGAGGAAGAGGCAACGCCATCTCATTTTTCAGGTGGGACACAGCGAGTCGGAAAATTACCGTCAATGTGGAATTCCCCAGGTATTGCATAAATGTTTCCCCAGAAGATCCTCGGCCCATCGCCAGCACGTCAGATTCCCGCCAGACGCGTGGGGCACATGCAGCAGACGGGGCATGGAGCATGGCGACGGAGGAAATTAGAACGCGACGGGCTATCAAATGCCTCGAGGGGTCGCAAGTCGAAGCTTCACCCAGGGAGATTGCCCCGCCTTACCATTGCAACTGGCAGGAGCTGCCATCAACTGACAACTCCCTTGACTCGACCAATCAGTCTTAGCTGATTGACTGGTGCGCCGCAAACGCAGCCACTGCTGGAAAGCCTCTCCGCCTCACGTCACATCGCGCGCTTTAAGTGCTTATTTCCCAGAAAGCCGAGGCTCAAAACGTGCATTTGGTGCCCATGTCCATTGCCCTTGTCCATTGCCCTTGTGAATATCATGCACTTGAACCTCCCACTTGTCGACCACCTCATCCACGGCCAAATTATTAAAACTATCTCTGCCTGAAACCATCGTCTTTCTAACCTTTTCTCGATATTTCCATGCTTCGTCGTGGCCCTTAACTTGCCAACGCGCCCTCGTCGGGTGTTCGAATTGCCGATGCTGCTCGTCGCAGTCCCATAGCTGCAGCTGTCCGTGATTTCGCCAAACTCCGACACGGCCCAGATATCCGCCAACGCCTACGTGACCCGCGTGCCCTTTTTATCATATATTTTTTTCCTAGCCATTCTCTCCACTCAATTAACGCATACCCGGACGCGTCTCGCTTGAGTACTCTTCCGACGTGTGGCCCATGGCCTCCCCAAATCACCACCGGGCGCAACAGCCCCGAGATCGATGCCGACGACCAGCAGCTCCGGGGCGGGCGATTCCCCGGTCGCCCCGCCGGTCAACCGAAGGGCTCACGCTCCCTCGTCGATCCTATTGCCCGAACAGCTCTCCGATATTCCATGTCCGCGCGCGAATATGCGACACTCCACAACTATGTAATCTCGCGGTCAAGACTGCTCAAACGCGCCGCCCCTTCCGTCAGTACCGTTGAAAAATTGATCGATGGGAACCGCGCTGCCGCGAGGAAAGATGCCAAAGAGAGCAGAGCGGCCAGCGGAGGCGACGATTACAATGTGCGCGCCGTGCGACACGCCATCCGCGTATTTCTTGCGACCGGCTCCCTCATGAAGCTCTACGCTGTTGTGTCCAAGAAGCTGAAGCGAACTGCAGATGCTGAGTACGTTGCAACGCCTGGCCTCACTCTGGTGGCGATCATAATATTGATTTTTGTTTAGGGTAAATTCGGGCAACAAGCAGCCGTTCCATAAATCCGATACCTTTCGACTTTCTCTATCTCTCTCGTCAATCCTCCTCCTTTACCGGTTGCTCTTTCGGTTCTTCACGCGCTTCCGAGCCCACTTGTTAGACCCCTCTGCCGCCCCGTTCCGAGCCCGAAACCCTCGCACCGCCGCGACGCTCACCTCGCCGCTTGCACCTGCTATTGGCGCCTCGTTCGCCGGTCTGATGCTTGGCATCTACCCGGCGAAGCAGCTACGCGTATCTATTACACTTTTGCCATTTTCCGGGCCCTCGAGTTTACCTGGAACATGTGCGAGGAAGAGGGTCTGGTCTGGGGGCTCAAACCCGGTGGCAAGGGGAAGAAGGAGCGGCCGTGGTGGTTCGGCAGCTGGATGCTCCAGCCCTTCGCCTTTGGACAGTTGCTTCACGCCGTCACCTTTGATAGGGACTGCTTCCCAATGGTATCTACTCAAATCCTCTCCCATTATCTCCGTTCCGCGTTTTTTCTAACCGCCCCATAGCCTTTTGGCAACTTCATCTTTGGAAATTCGACTGCCTATCTCCACGATCGGCCCGCCGGATTCCCCTCTCACATCAAGTGGCCAGGCACCTACGATGTTGTTGATAGCCTGGCTCGCATGGCGAAGCTGAACTGGCCGTGCGTACACCCCCTCGTTCAATCCCCTCTTTGACTCTTCATATTCTAACCAAACCTGTTCTCTTCCCAACAGACCCTTTGTCTCGCCCACACTCTTCCCTGACAAAGAGACTTTGCCTGCCAGCCTCTCAGCGGTCTCGCCGCTGACCTCTAGCGCCCACCCCTCATCACCTCCCTAGCCTGCGCGACTCTGCATCCCGGTGACCCGTCGTGCCTACGCACATATCTCACCTTTTGGCTACGCTCCTTCCCGCCCTTAGCGCGCTTCTTCCTCTTCTTCTACTCCGTCCTCGCCTTCCCTCGTTTTGGCGCCCTCTACAACTCCCCTGTCCAGACCCTAAACCGCATCCTCGCCCGTGCTCTCCGATCCTCCACCTTCGTCACGGGTTCCATTTCCACCGCCTGGGCCTCGATCTGCGTCTTCCAGTCCTGGTTCCCCAAGTCCTTCCTCGCTACCCAGCGCTTCTTCCTGGGTGGTTTCCTCGCCGGTCTCTGGGCCTGGGTTGAGCGCCGCTCCGGCCGTGGTGTGTTCCTCTACTCCGCGAGGGCTAGCGTCGATAGCCTCTGGAAGGTAGGCGTCAAACGTCGTTGGTGGAGAGGCATGAAGGGCGGCGATGTTTGGGTCTTTGTGCTCGCCCTCATGGCTACTGGCGTTGTTTACGAGAGAGATCGCAAGGCCATCAAGGAAGGCAATTGGAGAAAGGGCGTCTCCTGGGTAAGAGGCGAGGGCTTGAGGGATTGGAGCGTCGAAGAAGATGAGCTTGTTCAAGAAAAGGATGCCGCCTGAGCTGTTCAGTGAAGCTCAGGCAATGTGCCGATCCGGTGGGAACGGCGCAAGATGGCATCTAGTCTTGCCAGTCCGTCGTGTCTTTCCCTACGTTGCTATATCACTGCCATGCATGTAATGCTTTGTAATGTTCTTTCTACCCCCAGCCACACTGCTTGGGGCTGGATCACGATTATGCCAGATCAGTCGGAGGAACTTTCGTGGTAAAGTCTATTCATGATTGTTTTCGTCCTAAAACTCTCAAATCCCTCTTAATTTAATAATTGTTCCCCACAGCAAATCGAAAGAAAAAGAAAAAGGGGGCCAAGGGAACTTGAACTCTTCAATAGTGAAGAAGTAAAGCTTGAACCTCCATGATACTCGAAATAAAGGTGGTGTAATGCAGCCGGCTTCGTTAGAGGGGGCCTGTCGAACCCCTCGCAGCAGCAGGAAATATCATATCGCCCCTCCCAAAAGAACAAAAAAGGCAGAGAAAAGACATGCAGAAAGAGCTTTTAGAGACCTAGGGAGGCATATCGACTAATCGTTGCCCTAAACAAGTTATGAGGATGAATGATGTTCCGCAATCAGGAAATAAAAGAGGGAAAGTTAGGGGGACGCGTTGAATGGTAAGCCAGATAAACTCCAATATGTGCTGAATGCATTTCGGCGCCATGAAGGACGCGAGAAACAAAAAACGAAAAACGAAACGTAAAACATGATGCAGATAAGCCGCCCAACCATCCTCTTGACCTGTATTCCATAAAGTCATAAAGTCTCTACCGTCCTTTTTTTTTTCTTGTTTTGATGCTTCTAAATGCACACATGAGAAAGGGAACCAAGCCGAACGTACAACAGTAGCCGTTTTATGAGGTATAATTTGCAAAAGGGATGTTCCTCCCCTGAGGTATCGACGACCTACGGATAGGCCATTGTAAAATGGGCGGCGGAACCATGAAGCTTGCCATTGTGGGGGTTGGTGACGGGGATCCAGGCACGACTGATGTAAGGAATACCGTTGCTAACGGGGCCACAATCTCCCGGAACCCTAGCACGCTGCACTCGTCAGTAGTCCGGGGTTCGACCGAGCTGAGCATTCGGCGGACGGCATCGGAGTTGGCTATCCGCCCATCCTTGACAGCGTCTAAAACGGCCAGTCGACGCGACTCGCGCTCACTTAGTACATCCGTGATTAACCTGAGGCGGCGTTCTTCCCTAACGGAAATATCATCCATATCCAGGCCAAATCTAGATGACTCAAGAATGGACTTGACGGAGTCGAAAGGGAGATTAAGAAGGATTTTGGACAGAGTCCTGAGCTGATTGGGTGTATGCTGGGGGATCCCACGATTATCACCCCCAGGGACTTTCTTACTCTCTTCAAGAGTTATGTCACCAAACTTGATCTTACTCAGGCGTGACCGATGTTTTGGCGTCAATTGCACCACAGAGCCACGGGCGATGGCAGGCGATGGGGACTTGGCTTGCGGCCGGGGCTTTGACGTGTCGACCTTGGGTAACCGATGATAGCCCTCAGGATCCTCGGCAGCGAAATCAAATTCAAAATTACTCGTCAACTGGCTAGCAACGAATGCGACAATGGCCTCGTAGAGAATGTTGGTGGCACCGCCGTAGTGCCACTTCTCATGGAAGTCAATGGTACCTCTCGCAGCGGTTGAACCGAGAGAAAAAGCCAAGGCTAACTCAATGGTGTCCCATCCGATGAGACGAGCTGCCATTTCCATTCCGCGAACTACAACCGAGCGATACTGAAGTAGGTGGCCGGCGGCTGCGTAGCTGATAACGAACTTGAATTGCTCAACGACCCCTCCGGCCATAGGGAGTTCATCGGTTCCAGGTGGAGGGAGAGGTATTTCGAATAAGGAGAACCCATAGAGGCGTTGAACTGCAACCATAAAGGCGTCTGAGCGGAGATATTTGTCATCGGCCCGGACCCTAACACCTGGTCCAGATGAGCCCTTTCGCCGGCCACCAAGTGAGCTATCTAGCATCAACTGTTCAAGAGTCCTGCTTTGGGCCAAAATGAGTCGATGTGCAGGGAACCGAAGCGGGGGCGCGCTGATCGGGGAAGTAGAGCTCGAGAATACAATCGGAGAATCTAGTGTCTTGGAAATTGCGCTTAACTTGTTCCAGCAGCTGCTCTCCGTCGGGCTCAAAACCTTGTGAAAGCATGTGGGGTGGGGGCATGGTATGCATCATGCCGGGAGGAGGACCCATTGCATACATAGAGCCATGGTGATGACCGAGGGCCTCATCGAAGTGGACATGACCCCGCTTGGAATGCCATACATGCTCCCATCCTCGGGTTGGGGGAAGGCTGTGAGCCGGGAAAGCTATGGGGTGTGGTAGGCATATAGTTATTGACAAAGGGCGGGTATGGCCCCTCGTGGGCTGCATATGCGGACATCGCTTGCCCGTAAGGATCCATGGTAGTGGTCGGGTCGATAGTGCTCCCGTAAGCAAAAGATTGAGGCCGGAATTCGGGCCCCGATGGGCGACCCATGTATGAGCCGCCGTTCGGGGCAGAGAACCCGGGGAGGCCCATAACCAGCAGACATCGGCGCAGGGGAGGAGTTGTTCGAGCTGTGCTGTGGGGTAAATGTAATGCTGTTGGTGCTTGGATGGGGTTGATGTGTCGGTCGCGGGTTCATCATCGGCCCTGGGTGAGAATCGTTGTTGTGGCTAGGATGGGTGACATGGTCGTAGGCAGAGTTGGCACTGGGTTGGAAGGCAGGACTATCTCGCCGAAGTGCGTTTATCATTTCAGGCCGAGAAGATCCATATTTAGGCTCTCGAGAGGCTATTAGACACGCTTGATGATCAGAGCTGGCCACTGCGGAAAGGGGGGATTGTGGTGACAATACCTTTCTTGGGATCCATCGTTCGTGGCGGTTCGCTGACGTGGCTATCGGTCGTTGTTTCAGAGACGGAAGGTGTACCAGAGACCGTGGCTGCATTTCTGAGGCTCTCGGCATCTAGTGCAGGCGAACGAGCTTCCGTGCTACCGCCGGCCGATTGTGCAGTTTCACCAGGAGCAGCTGCAAAATTAGCATTTGGCCAACGGAAGAGATTAGCGGCATAGTTATGTGGAGGCTACTTACCATGCTTAGAGCTAGGATCTCCGTCAGGCAGCTGTTGGGGCGAGGGTTCTAGGTTGCCAACACCCTCGAGCGCAGTTCGCTCCTGAGGCTCCGAATTAGAAGGCTGTAGTGGCGTGCCTTTCGGGGTCGCCTGCGCATCACCACTCCCTGACACACTGGGGAGCGGCGTTCCGGCGGGAGCCGGACCCTCAACAACGGCTGGCCTTTGGGGGCGGGCGCGTTTCTGGATGTATGGCAAGGGGATGGCGGGCACGACCCGATTCATATTTCGATGTCTGGTCGTGGGACCCTTTCGCAGCGGAGGGGCGGGATGGCTATTATTGGTGCCATTGAGGGAGGCCATGGCTGATATCCAGACGATGGACTATAATATAGGTGGTTTGGATGGAAGAAATGGTTTCGCGTTGCCTGGGGTCGCTAGAAGATCCACCAAATCTAAGCTGACGTAAAGCTAAGGGTGGGGGTAGGAGCTCGATCAAGATCTAGGAGGCAGGAGGCCAGGGCGAGGAAGAAATCTGAATGGAAAGTCCAGTGGCCTAGATCTTGAAAAGAAACTCCTCTATCCCTCAATTCTGCGTGCAGGCCAGCTCAAGACATCAGGCTAGCCATTGACAAGAGCTTCGGTTTCAGAGGTTGCGAGAGAGTCGAGAAGGAGGAGAAGTAGATGGGAGGGGAACCAGACGGCAAAATCTTTGCGACTTGCAGACAAGAGCCACCCAGATGCCAAGAAAAGTCCGAGAAGGAGATGAGTAGGGCGGCCTGATATTTCGAGGGAGGGCAGAGGGTCTTTCGAAAAGAGTTCGGTTGGCGGAAGGACTGATTCAAACAAGTGCTGCTTGTAAGAAAGGGTCAAGGGAATCAAGGTTGGGCGCTTGGGAAGTGGAGATATTTGGCGGTGACTGGCGGATCAATAATAAGGGAGCCTTGGACTTTTTTTTTTTTCTCAACCTTCTTCGTGCTTCTTTCCTTCCCTGACTGACGCTAAGCACGCTCCGTTCGGCTTTTTTCTGCCACGCCTGTAGCGAATCAGAGGTCCCAAGCACAAGTGAATGATTCCCCACTGTTCAGGAACCGCAAGTGTGGGCTGTCGGGTAATCATCGGTGATCCACTGAGATTTCCCAACCCAAAATTAATAGTTGGGGGGCCAATTATAAGGCTGGTGTCAATCAGTGTACTTCAGCAACCTTGTTGACTTGAGACCACGAGAGCCACCCCAAATCCTATCTCGACGTCATTCATCCCTGTGGTTCATTCCTTGAGGTTCCGCCGCGGAATGGGAGGCAGCAGCTGAGATGCCCAAAATAGTGCCTGATCCCAATATCTAGCACTACAGAAACGAAACATCAATGGTGGGGCCTTTTTTCCTCCATTGACTAACATATAAACATCGTGAGAATTCTTTTTAAATACAGCAACCTTGCATACCGATAGATCGCTATCTTGGGAGGCCAAAGCTAAAACCATCTGTACTATTCATGGCGTAATAGGCTCAGCTTGAGCCACTACTAATTCATTACAATGTATCCTTAAAATATCCATCTAACACCACCCCGGGCCCGCTAGGAACCAGCGACCAACGGCGCAACCCAAACTCCAAAAGAAGAAGGAAGAAAAGAAGTAAAATGAAGAGGGGTATTGGTTCCAAAGCGCAGCAAAAACGGCCCCGTAGAATATAACCGAAATAAAGGCGAAAACGGGTGAAAGATGACATGTATGTCGATAGGTAGGGTGTATACAAGCGCCGCTCATACTGTTGATGTTGGGCTCACCAGTTCCTTTTCTTCTCTACGTTATCTTTTGGACTTTTCCGGCAGTCCAGCCTCGTAGCCTCTTCCCGAAGAAGTAGAAAACGGGAATGCCAAGAGACAGAACAAGCATGATCTCCGCATAGATGGCAAATGTCCAGAGGAGCCCCCTCTCCGATATCCAGACGGTGGCCTGGGAGGCAAAAAGAAGGCTATTATAAGCCTAAGCGAGGAAACGTTCACAAGAACGGGCCTAATAACTATTAGAAGATTATCCAAGGGTCAGTTGCTGGGGAAAGGAAACTTACCCGGCCCACATGGGATAGCATTCCACGATGAAAACATTGAGAATGGTCATAGTCAAGAGGAAACCGAAAACAATGAGAAAAGAGCCCGTAAGAAGGACGCCCCAATGGAGGTTGTTATCGCCTGCGTAGCCAAATATGAAACAGCCTGTGACCCCAGTGAGGAAGGGCAAGACAAGGTTGGCGAGATGGTGCTCCGCCTCCCTAGCGCCACCATTCCACTTCGTTACGGAATTCGACACCCGATCCGCAACCGGCCCCCGAGCAAGAAAACGAGGATGGCCGCGGCAAAGAATGGCAAGACGGACAAGCCCGTATATTGAAATTGCCAGCCGTGTGCGAGGAGCGCAAAGGAGGTAATCTGATGCGTGGCCTGGTTGGTGATGATGAATATGCTGTTGGTCAAGACGCACCACAGCACAGTCGGAAAGAAAGTAGTGCGAACGGTGTTGAGCATGGAAAGTCCTGCAGCCTTGAAATCAAAGCCCATCTGGAAGACGCCGAAATCTGACCACAGAGTCCTCTTGCCATACGTCTCAAAGTCAAGATCAGGCCGACTGGCCCCTTCGGGGATGGGATATATCCTCGCACCACTGAGCTCCTCCCTGATCTAGTCCACTTGGTCTCGGGCAAGGCGACAATCAAAAGAAGCCAGGCGAGGATACCAAGACCAGATGTGATGAAGTAAAGCAACCTCCAAGTGTGATTAACCGCGATATAAGGAGCGGCAATGCCAAGAGCGATAATGACGATGCCTTGGCCCGACACCACTACCGACATGGCCCTGTTGCGCTGGTGAATGAAGACCATGTCCTGGACAATGAGGGGTATCAAAGCTTCGACGGCACCAACCCCAAGACCTTGAAGGCTACGCGCTGCCAAGTGCGTCTCCAGTGAAGTGCTTAGACCAGCCCAAATGCCTCCGGCCCACGCACAGGTAGCAGCGAACAAGAGTACGGGCCGACGGCCCAGGGCAATGGACAAAGGCACAAGGAAGTAGCTTGCGATACCGTTGCTGAGAAGGGGGATTGTGGCTAGTAGAGCCACCTTCCCGATCGCCACTGGTTCAACTCCAGGTGGTATTACCGACAAAGGGTGGACGCCAAGGGTCTGTCCGCCGCTCTTCTTGACAAAATCGATCTTGTTGAGTACCCGCGGGTCCACGCCTGAGTACTCAAGGAGGAACACCGGGAGGAGACTCCCTATTACGATTTCGGAGGCGAGTCCAAGAGAGCCGACTTGAAAGAGTCAGCGCCCAAACTATACAGATTCCTACTGCGCAATGTGCCGGGGGCTGTTTGACTTACAGAAACAGATTGTGCCTATCGCGAACCACTTTCGCCAGGTCGGCAGGTTTAATGGGTCTGCGCATGGTTAGCGAACAATACCCTCGCCTTCACCACATTTCAAGCACACAATACCTTTTGGATCCGGGGTTGGCATCTAGTATTAAGCGATGTTAGCTAGGCGAGCTTTCATTCCTTGTTCTAGGCCACGTACCGGAATAAACCTTAATTCACCATCTTCATAGAGTGTCGTTGTCCCAACCACTTGGGACGAGTGCCTCCTATCTGAGATTCCATCATTTTCTCCTGGCAAGGGATAGGCGCCAGGAGTCGCCCCAGTAGAGGCGCGGGGAAAGGCCAGTTCCTACTATTCCTCGACGTCATGGCTAGATGGCGTCGTCTCTGGTCGGGTTCGCGATTCGAGGAGGTGTCCTGACGGGAAGGTGACAGGTCAGTTCACCCACTGACTTGTAAGGGCCCGATCTGTTGGTGAAGCAGCCTGTTCTTTTCTTTATCGCTCGAGCAGAAATCTGAGAATCGGATGGATTGCGATTAAGGCGGATTCATCGTAGTACGCGTCTGTACGCTTGCGCCCAGCGCATTCAACAGTTCGTCGCAACGTTTGATGGGTTTAAGATGATCCAAGTATGTCAAGGGGAGAGCTGGAATCCAAGAAGAATAAGGGAAGGATCTTCTTTTGGACCGGAAGACATAGGACGAGACGGACAATGAGGGGCTGGACTGGGTGGCTTTGAGCTTTTGAGCTTGGATCACCATGCCCGCCCTCATAACCCGGTCGAGATGTCGCATCCTTGCCGTAGGGCCCCAGAAAAAGATGATCACCCCTGCCCGAAGCGGACAAGGGTGAATGCCTCCTTGCTTGAATATCGTGCGAAATTCATCCATCATGACACTTCTTAGACACCTTTCAATCAAGTAGTCAAACCCATTAGAGTGCGCTTTGGGTCGAATAACGCCACGTTGGCTGGCCGCGCTTTTCCAACTATTCTCAACAATGGCGAAAACCCGCCGCAGCGCGGGTTAATTTACCTCGCCAATACCCCTACTATGCTCGATGAGAATCTCACAAATAGCTAGGAAACCTGTGATCTACGGCGCCTCGTTTGCGAAGAGAGGTGAAAACTGGATATATTCTCGGTGCATCCTGTGGAAAGAGGTATTTCTGCAGAGAAACCGGGATCGTTCAAAGAAAAACGGGTGTGATGCTTCTTGAACCAGGGCCAAACGTCGCTGTTTGATCGACTCCTGAAGCGGAACCGCCCCCTGGTAAGGCCCCACCAGGCCTCATGCAAGCAAGTGTACCCAAACGGGATCAAGAAATCCATGGATGGCTGTATGATGTGATGTGCAAGTGTTCATGGTGAAACGATTGTCGACAGAATTGTATGCACCCTGGAAGCGTCACTGAAGTGGTGGTCTTTTGTTCTCACAGCCCAAAAAAAAAAAAAAAAAAGGAAAAAAACGTACAATCCGAAAATGGAGAGCACCCGCTACTTTCTTTCTTGCATTCAAGTTTGTTGTGTGAGTTTAGGAGGCGTGGTGTTTCGCCTTGGCTTTAATGCTAACACCTCCTTCCTGCCTCCGTCAAGCTCTATGCTGATGCGCCCCCAAGACCCGGCTGCTAATAGTCGGGAACCACCGGCCACACTGGCTGGTCGCTAATAATTCGCTTCTTGCTATCATGTTTAGAGGCGTCAAGGGAGACGGTGCAGTACTGGATGGGACCATACTAGAACTAAATAGACTTTCTTAGCAAGTTCAGCCCTAACAGCTAATGTTGGGGATGAAGACACGGGCGCGCGGGTGGAGAGCCGCCCTTGTCATCCACCCTAGAGGAAGCCAGCCAGCTGAAGACCTAGGACCCCGCAGGAGCTAAAACGGATAGCTAGCACGTGTACTTTGTAGTTACCGGTTTCTCCGCCTGACAAGGGAATGTCGCAGATGTGTCTTTCCATAATAATTCGGGACTCCCAGACTCGGGAGTATTACTCTCCTTGGGCTTGAAGCAGCATCGTGGACACGAATCTTGTCCGTTTCAGTGGCATGGCGCATTACTCATCGCCACTGTGTACAGCACAAGGCAATTGATACAGAGATGTGTAGCTCGGCCATCCCAGCGGGCGAGATAACACCGGATTTCTTCCTTTTCTCTCAATGTTCATTTTATGCTAGATACGCGTTGAATTATTACATCGTCATGTTGGAAGGAGCTAAACGGACCCACGAAGAGATGCTACCCTTGAAAGCATGCCCCAGTTCAGTCTTGACTATCCAGTCGCATCAGTTGATCTCTCGGTTGGTTCCACAGCCGCAAGTACCCTTGCAAATTGTTTCGTCCTCCCCGAAGTATCATCGTCGCACCATGCCGACGGAGAAGAAGTAATGGGGTCCTGATGCGGGTCGGAGAGTAGGGAACTCACGGTCCCCATCTTCCATTCCCGGTTCCGCCAGCCCATCTTGCGTCGAAATATACCTTTGGCACGGCAGGAGCTAAATGCCATTATGGTGCGACCCGGGGAAAGTTCGACAACCCTTCGTGGTTCTACATATCCTTGGATGGATGGATCAATCGATGTAATATTGACCTGCAGATCAGGGCAGGCCTAGGCCTTGCGCAAAGCCAGGGACGGGGAGGACCAAGATCGATGAACCCTCGAAACCAAGGTGGCGTTGACAGACCCCACAGACCCGAGATGCGTCACGAAGCCTGCCTTTATAAGATTCCTCTCCATTCTCTTTCTTGAGTCCCCAGCCTTCTTCTTCCTTTCTTTCCTTTCTTTCCTTACGTGATGTAGGTCTCGAGGTGAGTCTATCTCAAGACATTACCATAACTCCAACATCTGGATTCTACATCAGCATCATACCCTCACACCACTTCAACGATACACCCAACTTTTGTCACGGCTGGATTCCAATCGCCCTTGACGTGATGTCCACCAGTGTCTACTTTTGTAAGAATGAATGGCCTTTTGAAAACCCTGATATGTCTTGCTTCTTCTTCCTCTAGGACATGGGGACCATATGAGGACTGTATTACACCTCATCAGGAGAAGGGACTCTCCCACTTCTTCTTTTTTTCTTCTGTTTTTTTTCTTTTTTTCTTTTCGATCAATTGCATATTCATCAAGACTCAAAAGCCCAGGCGGTGATGATCTGTCTTCAAGCAAGAGAACTTGGGATATCTAGAGACTAGCTCAAAGTTCTAGCAGGAGGTAGAAGTAAGGTGTAGAAAGTGAGGGGAAGAGAGGAGAAAAATACATAACAAAAATTAACAGGCCCAGAACTCCCTCGCTGCAATTCTACATACACATCATCCGGTAATGAAAGCATCTCTTTGCTTCGTTTCTAAATGCCCCTCATCCTTTGGGCCCCCATCCATCCGATTGTGGTAATCTATGAGCCTGACCCACGCAGAGCGGAAGAAGGCCTCTACCTTTACTCACAGGCTATCCCAAGACCATCCCAGATATAAGATTAACAGAATAGAAGCCGTAACATGTCGTAATCAATTGCTGGAATCGCTCAGTTCGATTCGCCGCCACCCATCAATCGCGCGACGAGGACATATAAGAATATCACTCCGCCAAAGAGGAGAAGCCTGTGCCTGCTAGCCCAGCTTGAGCCAGCATCTCGGCGGTGGACCACGGCATCGACAACTGCCTGGGTTTGGTGACCACTGCTGGCAGGAATGCCCAGCTGGGGGCGCAAGAGGCGCCCGGCTGGGGAACGACCCTTCCTGTAGATTGGTCTACGTTGTTCTTCTTCATCCACTCGCCATTCTCTTTATCCACTTCTGACCACTCGGCGCGGAACTTGGCCCCGCCATCGCCCGCCTTCACGTTGCCCTTGAGGGCAGGATTGGCCTTAAGGTGCGATCCGCCGCCGGTAGAGTTCCACCAGCGAGACTTAGCCGCTAGTAGTTTCCTCTCCGCCTCAGTTCCCGAGATGGAACCTGTTGTCATCTCCTCGCTTGTCATAAAACTGAGGAGGCCAATAAGAATGGTCGAGACTTCCCAGGCGGGGTTAAAACTCTTTGGGTGAAAGTCGGAGATAGAAAGGCAAAGGCGCGTCGACGGTTGGAATCTTCCTGAGGGCGTATGCATGCGGATCGCGGGGGCTTGAAGGGGTATTCGGGAGGGAAGAGAAGCGTTCCCCAGTATTGTCCTCCATGATACGGCGTGTCTTCAGGCCCGGTTATGATGTAATGCCACCTAGGTCGTAGCGAGTTAGATAAACCCCCAACGCTTCTTCTCATTGATACCATGGTGGAAAAGAACCTACTCAAGAATGTTGGATTCGGATGGGTGCGCTGTGATGTAAGGAGGAGGGTTTTCTGAGATGGCTTTGTATTCGCGGGTTAACTGCGAGATGCGTTTTTCTGGTTAGTGGCCCGGTCGCACGTCACACATCGGGTGTAGAGGAAGAAGAGGCGAGCCTCTCGTGATTTTCACTTACCCGTGTGCGAGCAGCTTTGCTAGCCATGATTGCTTGTGGAGACCTCAGTCCCTGGGGGTCGCAGGTAGGGAGTTACAAATCACGAGCACACTGCGAGAGTGGCCTTGTCTGGTCGTCTAATTGTCTGGAAACGCCCTGGAGGGAAAATGCCAAGAAAGAGGCTATATCCTTGCTATCGATCAGGGAAACCACTGGACAAAGCCGGGGGAGAAATATATCGCGAAACGTTCAATCAGTGCAGTTTGGGGAGGGACGAGGGGCGATTAAGAAGGGAGGTTCGATTGGCAGGGTAGGTTGCTGACGTTGTCTTTGCGACGAAAGCGTCCGTGGCAAATGTTCGGGTAGGTTTCGGTGAATTGACCGCTTGCGGTATCAAAGTACACAAGAGTTTGAGGCCAGGACCTCAAGTCCGTGCTGACTGAGCATCTGGAATTTTAAGTGGACTGGAACAGTGACATCCATGCAGTGATAACTCATCAACGGGATAAGAAATGCACGTGATAGAGTGAGCTGACTCAGGCGAGCTCGGGAGTCCGGCCATGGCCACATGCACTGTCGCTCCAAGGCGCCACTAGCATTCCGTCGACTGAGAGGCAAGCTGGCTTGGAGAGTACAGTGGTGTCGGGCCGAGTATTTCGCGTTCAGCCCTCTGAGAGCTTTCTCTTCACGCAGCTCCGTCACCGGAAGCCTCCGGCATCTCGTAGATCTACACCCAAGTCCGAATTTTTAGCTTCTCTCAAGAAGCACACCCTCAGCAAAATGGCCCTCCCAACCAATTCATCGGGTGGAGCGGTAAGAACACAGTAACTCTCTCTCTCACTTCCCGATTCTAATCTGCAGGCCAATCCAGGTCCCGGATCAGGTGACAGAGGAGTCGACCGTGAACAGCGAGCTTCGCGAACAGCGGTTACGTGAACTGGTATGACGCGCCGTCGGTATCGCACCTATATCATAATTCTAACATGTCAAAGTTCTTAGAACAGCAATCGCAGCCCCTAACAATCAACAAGTTCACAATCCATGGCGCAAGCCACACTCGACCAGCATTCCTCGATCCCATAATTCGGCCCCTCATCAACGATGAATCCAATTCCTCCTCAACATTCGGGGATGTCATGCTGAAACTCAAGGAGACTGTTGGGAAACTCGACCGCCTCGAAATCTTTCATCCCGAGCCAAATGTTTGGCTCTCAGCTGCGGACCCGGCGACCGACCCTTCGTCTTCCCCACCGACGTCAATGTCGACCTGCGTGTGCGCGAGTTGGGCCGCTTCAAGCTGAAGACCGGTACGGACGTTGGCGATGGGGAAAGTTCCGCTTACGGTTCGCTGCTTTGGCGGAATATCTTTGGCGGCGCCGAGATGCTGTCTCTCAACGCTAGCACCGGCACCCGCACTCGATCGGCCTACAGTGCTACGTTCAGTGTCCCTGTGTTGAGCAATCCAGACGTAAGGCTGGCAGTAGATGGCCTGGGATCGTCCACCCATAAGCCATGGGCTTCTCATGAGGAAGTTTTAAAGGGAGGAAACTTCCGGTTGTCCTGGCTTTCCCCGAGAGGGATGTTCACTCTCTCGAGTATTCCGGCATGTGGAGGCAACTAACAGGGCTCTACGCTGGCGCGAGCCCCAGCGTCAGAGCCGAGGCTGGGGACTCGGTCAAGAGTTCAATCCGGCATTCTTTCCTCCGCGATCGGCGTGACAATCGCCACCTGCCGCAAGACGGGTATGTCGTACGCTCAAATCTGGAGTTTGCTGGCGTTGGACCCTTGGGCGGCGATGTCGCGTTTGCTAAAGGTGATGTGGATGTTGGCGGCGCAATCCCCATAACAATCCCCGGTGTCAGTGGCCCCAGCGGCATCTCGCTTGGTGGCGGCCTCCGATTTGGCATGCTCTATCCTCTTGCCCTAGGCAATCCTTTTGGTGGAAAGATTCAGCCCAGTCGCATCCCAGACCGGTTTCAGCTCGGCGGGCCCAACGACGTTCGCGGGTTCAAGCTTGGTGGCCTTGGCCCGCATGACGGCGCGGATGCCGTTGGCGGAGACATGTTCGCAGCGGGGAGTTTGAATCTCCTCCTCCCCGTTCCCTACAAGGGCCCTGAATCCGGCCTTCGCTTCCAGCTCTTCCTCAACGGTGGTCGGCTGGTAGCACTCAAGAATAAGGGTAAGGGTCGCAATACGGGTAGCCCCTTGCTCGAGCCTCAGACGGTCCGAGACGGCATGGTTAAAGCTTTCAAGGATATCTGGTTTTCAGGCATCCCGCCAAGCATGGCGGCTGGCTTCGGACTCGTATATGGCCACCCGATGGCACGCTTTGAACTAAATTTCGGCCTTCCATTAGCCATGGCTAGGGGAGAACAGTGTACCAAAGGTCTTCAAGTGGGAGTCGGTATCAATTTCCTCTAGTTCATTTTCTTCTCCCTTGATTTTCTAGTCTTGTAGGTATATAAAAAGGATTTATAGAGACCCCATTGCGCGCAGTCACTAAATATCATGCGCTATTTTAAAATTTTGCATCGTTTTGATTTGGCTCTTTTGTACAATAATGACTCGCTACATACTGACTACAGTACCAAGACTTTCGCGATTCCGAGCAATCTATCCGCCTTGCGTGGGCCCAGGAAATCTTCTAGCGAGGGTCTATGGGTGCTGCTTAAATTGCCCGCTCAATCATCGTCCTCCTCTCCTCGCCTTTGGAAAGTCATGGTCCAAGCCAAGGCGCCAAGGGCAACAAAAACTAGGTACAGCCACCATACCGCACCTACCATATCGTTCTTTAAGCCCCAACCGAAAACAACACCTCCTACGGCTGGCCCTACGGCCCTTGCAAGACTAGATACCATATTTCCGGCCCCATGCACAGTACCGAGGACGGAGCGGCTCGGAGATGCCTCAGTAAGGAGGATCACTGTACTAGGAATGGCCATCGTGCGAGCCATGATCTGGCCACAGATGATAATACCGAGGCCTAGCCACCTGAAAAAGCTCTCCTGGTTTATGAGCGAGAGGTACGGCGCAAAGGCGTAGACCGTAGGGAAGATGACGAGGCTCAGCTTGAGTATCCCAAGCGTGCCGATACGCTCCTGGAGGCGGGGATAGATGAATAGCTGTAATAGAATACCCCCAATACCGAATGCAGATAGCCAGAACCCGATGGTAGAAGATCGCAGGCCAAGGCCACCGCTAAACAGGAAGATAGACGGTGAAGCATTATCGGCGTGTGGTGTAGAGAGGTATACTGGGAAAATGTGCATGAAAGCGGAGTTATGGAGCGGGAGAAGACCGAAGGCTATCATCGCGGAGAGGACCTTGCCTGTCCATATTTTGCGGAAAGGGATATCCCGCTGCGGTGTTGATTTCTCGCGGAGGACTGGTGCGGCGAGATTCTCTTGACTACTCGCCTCTGCAGAGGTAACCGGAGAGGTGGGCGAAGAGGGAGAGGTGGTATTGAAAGACTCGTCGTCATAGACAGGCATGTATTCAGCGTGGTTGCGTGCATCCACGAGGTTTCGAAAAAGGCGGACAATAAACGCGCCAATTCGGAGACCAATATCTGACTTGTGTTCCGCGCCCGGAAGAGTCTCCTTGAGCCACAGCCAGGAAACAAGCAACGCAGTTCCCAGCATTGCGGCATTCATCAAGCCCGGCAGCGCATAAGGGTAAGCGAGTGCCCACGCGACGCCACCACGGTTCTTCCCCAGGTTCAAAAATCCGTTGGGGCCAAAGGCCCACGGTAGGTTCTCGACAGGGTCAGCGAGAAGCCCGCCAAGCGCTAGGCTGAGCACCATGCCAGAATTGAAGACAAGAGGCAGCAGGAGGAACGCCTTAGTTTGGAACTTTCGCTCCTCGACCACTTCAGCCGTCATCGTGCGCATAATACTCACGTTTCCATTAGCCAAGCCGGCTAGCGTTCTCCAGAAGAAGAGCGCACCAAGACTGCGAGAAAGGCCGAACGCCGCGTTTGAGATGACGGAGACGAGCAGGCCAAAAATGATGGACTGCCGTCGGCCGTACCGGTCTGATATATATCCCCAGGCGAGACTGACGGCAAACTGGGCAAGGGGAAAGAAGCGACGAGGAGTCCAGAGTATTCAGATATAGACGCCGAGTCAGACCCCGCGTCGTTGCGAGACGGAGACGCATTGTGAGGGAGCACGGATCGTACAAGATAGAATATGTAAGGAAGGAGGCACACGTTAGATAATGGCTCGCTAAGCCGGCAAAGAGCGAGGAGAAAGAGCTGGTCTTTGTTCGGGAGATCCATCCATCCAATCTTGGGCTTCTTCTCTGGGGGCCGCTGACCCTGCAGGGCGTTTTCCGTTCGACCTTGGCTGCCCGTCAGGGACCCTGCAATGACGATGCTCGTTAGGCCACAATTTCCCCAAAAGCCAATAGAAAAAACAAAAACCAAACTCAACGTACGCCCTAATAGCCTCTCGTGATCTGTCATCTTGGTGAAAGAAAGACTAGGATGTGATTGGTATTCTTGGTATCAGCCCACTCGAAAAATCAGGCTCGGTCCTTGGCCAGCCCTCAAGAGGAAAGGCGGTTCAATCGTTCGCACGTCAAAGCTCAGTCATCGTCGTGCAAGGTCGGTTTGCATTTCGACGTCGTTGCGTCTCCTTTGTTGACTTCCGCGGCTTCCAAGATACAGAAATCAAAAGCTAGAGGAGAAAAGTGTGTCCCGCGATGAGGGGAAGGGCTCATGATGGTTTTAAACCCAGCCAGCTAGCAAGGGTGCCTTCGCTACGATCTGGCCGTAATCTATTTGGCGAAAGAATCAGAAGCACCAGTCTACCCACTGGGTCCATGGACTAAAGCCATGCGGACCTCCTGGTCCTGGGCTACCGATATTGAATCATTCTCCATCCTATCTTCCTGGGCCGGGTCCTCGGGGTTTACGCATTAACCAACCAGCACTCGGAGAGTGCGAGTCGACATATGAAATCACTGGACTTGTCGCAGAGAAAGGCGAAGAGACGTATCGGAGTATAATCCGAATTCCCTCCTGGTGCTGGGTTAATATGCCCCCGATTTATCAGTGACTTTATCCAAAGGCAAATAAATGAGTGGACCCGGCGGACGAAGAATGCCAGCTCGATCCAACCGCTGACTGACCCACGCTGCTACGTTAGCTGTGCCTACTCCGACAGCTTAGCCTCAGAAAAGAACATTGAAAAATATAAAGAATCAAAAGCTTGAAAACCGCTGTGTCGCAGCTTCAAAATCGGAGGGTTGATCAGCTTCTCTCCCTCGGAGGTTAAACACTTGTCTTGCTGGGTCATATTTGGTGAATTCTTGTAATTTTCACTTGAAATATGGCAGGGCTATACCGTGAGAGCCCTTGAGAGCCCTTGTGCTCAATAATATTTTCTCACCATTGGATGGGCTCATCCATAGATAGTTCTAGGAACTTTTCTGAACCTGAACGAACGAGAGGGCCCTGAGACCACGAACCTCTTGGCATTTGATGAAAATGGGGTGGACAGCTCGGAGGCTTGATGGCAGGTCGTTTCTCCACCTTCCCCACGAAGCAGGATGGGGTGGGCGGGGTAGTACTAATAATCCCTGACAGCGGGCCAGCACTGGCCAACATCATCGCATTGTGGCTTGAATCTCTCTCAGGTCCAATCCCCGCTCCCTTGCGCTCTTTGCCTCCAATGCTATTCTCTCAGTTCTTCCTGGGCCAATGTGGCCTCCAATCCGGGCATGATATGGATATGCCAAATATACTGGGCTAAAGGCGATAGAGGATAGACCGGCAATAGCACTGGTGGTGTCAGGTACAGGTTTGGCGGACTCGCTGCTTCCATTGCCCCAGCCGACGGGCGTTTTAATTGGATCCCATTCTGCGCTGTGAATGGTGTCGGTCGGTAGTTGGTTCATGCGCCCTGGTCCGATTGTTCTAGCCTTTTTTCTCCCTTGGCTGGCCCTTCGTTCTTTCCTTTCCACTTTCGCGGGGGAGGGGCTCGAATGAGACTGCGACCTGTGATTCGTTTTTTTCGCACCTGAAGGGCTGATAAGACTTACTCCAATAAACTCAAGAATCCTAGGAGAAGGGCAGCTTTGCTTGGCAGGCCAAGCACCTCTTCACCTGCTTGGACCAATCGTCTCCAAGCACCGATTTGGACGAGGGCGTGGGGGAACCAAGAAACCAAGACTGTCAAGCAACTACCCCAGCACCAGATTTTCAAATCTTTAGCTGATAGAAATTGCGCATCGTTGCCAGCCCCATCCAACGCCATAATAATCGGCCGTTTCCGTTGCCTTGTGTTTGAACCCAGCCTTGGATCAACCTCGTCATGCTCCTCGTCGGCCTGGATCGCACTCGAACGGCGAACTTTGTGTATAGATGATTGATCCCCTCCTCCGTGGCTCCCTAGGTCTCGCTCTCAGTCAAGTTGACAATCGACCACCAAGTTCACTTCGCGTAGGAAATACTATATGGGCCTGTTATCGGATGGCGAGTCGTTTTCAAACACGTCGCTGATACTGTCCCAACGATTTCAACGCTGAACGGCCAGCATGCAGGCGGTTGAAAGGCTTCGGAGTCTATTGGGGCCTCCTGAGAGAGGGTACATCCCAGTTGACTCCGGTCGAATATCTGCCCCTCGTGGCGCTGCGCGAACTCCCAGGACGGCCAGGGCGGTAATCCGACTTTACTGGTTATGTCTGTTTTTCGGCCTAGGAACTTCAGTTTGGGGGTCTGTTGCTTTCCCCCTCTATCAATCCAGCATGGCCTGAGAAGTGTATTTGTTCTCGTACTGATGCGTAAATTACATTTAGTTACAACATTGGCGTCCTCTCCTCTATCCTCGTACATCCTGGCTGGACAGCGTTGCAAGGGAGGCTCACCCCACAGCGCAAAGGAGTAATCACAGGCATCTATTATCTAGGAACATGGTTTAGTTATGTCTTTATATCACGCCCTTTGAGCGACTCCTATGGTCGACGTCGGGCAGCCATGTCTGGAACCGCCATACTCTGTGCTGGTGCTCTCTTGCAGGCCAGCTGCTCTGGACCAACCCCTTTTACAATGATGGTGGCCGGAAGGGCCATTTGTGGGATTGGGGTTGCCATCGTTTCTACGTCAGTGCCGCTTTATCAAAGGTAGGTCTCACATCGTGGCTTTTCTGTCACCCAACGCATAGCAGCACTTCTCCGTTAAGCTAACCTGGCACGTAGCGAGATCTCTCCAGCAAGGGAGCGTGGTAAATTTGTAACCATGAACCATATTGGCTTCATAGTCGGCTTAGCGATGGGTCTTTGGTAAGAATCCGGCGTGCGCCCATAACGTTCCTGTTATCACACGCTAACAAATGCCATTTGCAGGGTGGGATACTTTATGACTTTTTGGACAGGCGAGACGGGCGACTATTATGGCTGGAGGATTTCTCTCCTTCTTCAGCTGATCCCAGCACTTACGTTTGGATTTGGCTTACCGTTCGTACCAGAGTCGTCAGTCTACCATAAGACCGCACCCCATGCCATCACTGTTCTAACCCTATCTTCTAGTCCTCGTTGGCTCGTCGAAAACGGCCAAGTGGCGGAGGCTGCAACCGTCCTGTGTTGGCTCCGTGAAGGGAGTTTTACCCATAACGAAGTAGATAAAGAGGTGAGTGAGATGGTGGAGTCGGTCGAAGAACATCGGCACTCGGGACTTAGCTGGAAGTCCTTGTTCATTGAGCCACCACTATTTGCGCGGATGTGGCGGGCGGCGTTACTTCACTTTCTGGCCCAAATGTGCGGCGCGGCAGCAATGAAATACTATCTCCCTACCCTTCTCAAAGCCTTGGGTTTAAGCCGGCGGCTTGCACTCATGGCAGGGGCCATCGAAATGACGTTAAAGGTCGGATGCTCCGTGATTGAGATGCTTATCATCGATCGCCTGGGACGAAGGCTTTCGTTAATCATCGGATGTCTTGCCATGGCTTTGGGCATGCTGGTAAGTAGCAGAGAACACGGGGAAAGATCTGGCAGGCTTCGAATAGCTTGCCCCTTTGGGGAAGGAACTTACAGATTGTGCATCTTAGGTCAATGGTGTACTGCCACTCATGTACCCGGAAAACAAGAACCGGATCGCGGACGCCATTTGCATCTTCTTCATATTTATCTACGCATTCGGATATAGCCTGGGCTTTGGGCCAGCCGCTTGGCTGTATGGCTCTGAGGTTAGTCTCAACGAGACCTAAGAAGACTCGATCACGGCTTGCGCGTGTTCCCCTCTTCTGATTTATCCTGTTCATGAAGACGACTGCAGAAATTAAACAAAAGGAAGCTAACGGTATGCGACAGATATTCCCAACTTCGGTGCGTGCGAGGGGCTTAACCTCGCTGCATCGGCTGGATCCATCGGATCCATCGCCGTGGCTCAGATATGGCCCATAGGCATTCACGCCTTCGGTAGCAACATCTATTTCTTCTTCTTGGTCGTGAATATCCTCTGTATACCCGTAAGTAACATTTTACCGTCCCCTTCCCGGTGGACAATCGAAAATGGCAGCGCAAGCGGCGACTTTTGTCCAACTGGGTCAAACGGCTGTCGAGTTAAGGTTTGCCACGTTGGTCTTGCTCAGTAGCTCACACTCCTGATCCCCTAGCTTATCTACTGCTTCTACCCCGAGACCAAAGGCCGATCACTAGAAAATATGGACGAGTTATTTGGAAAGCTTGAAGTCCGGCGGCTTGAAGATATTAGTTTCACCAGCAGCGATGGAAGATCATCCGACGAGTCTGCTGGGACACCCACGGTGCCACGCTGGCCTGTGGAAGGTTAGCCTGCGCATTATTCCTTGATAGATCCTTCAGCGAATTGTGTGGTGGAAACGGCGTTGCATAGTCTACGTCTGGATGATGGGCCGTGAGAGGCAAATCTAAATTTAGGTTGATGTGGCAGATGTCGTAAGGAAACGTTAGGCCACTGACCTCTTGCCTGTTAACCAACAATGCGATACGCTGAGTTTGGTGGTGGTATCAATATCTCGCTTCATATTATTGTTCGGTTCGGCGAGCTGAGCTAGACTTGGCTTGCCTACCCTGTCGTGTCTCAGTTTACGATCTACATATTCGATGGGCTGGTAGATTAGTTGAAGAGGACTCAAAGTGACATTGACCAGACACTAGACACGCTTTCTGGCGCACCTGGCAAACGGGAGTTGCGAGATTGGGATGGATCAATCCCGTCTAATTCAGTACCCCGTGTGGGCGTTTGCCTAGATGTGAAGGTGCCATCTTATCAGTTCACTGTCCCTGGTTTCGACTTGAAAATAACCTTCCGTAATATGCTTTTGGCTTGATCAGGATCGAGTTGGGTGAGAATGTGGCTTTAACGGCTCGTGTGGAGTCGGCCTTGGCATCTCAAGTTAGAACTGGGAAGATTATGCGCCTGGGAACGAGTGGTGACGCAAGGGTCCGCTTCTGTGACGAGGTCAAGTGGGCAAGGAAAAGGCAATAATCACTGGGCTGCACACTGTGTCACCGCTCACTTCCCCGAGCACAAACGATACCATACTGGTACAATGGGTACTGTACTCAGACGTTGTCAGGTCTGATTGACGAAATCGTAGGCTGGGCTGTTGTCCGGACTGGCTAATCTCAGCCTTGGGTGCATCTCCGCTGCCCGCCTCGAATTTCACCGGAGCTCTGAACAAGGAAAAACGAAGAGGATCAGCCGCCTTTGTCTGTCAATGTATAGCCATCATTACTTTCACTTCAGTCGACTCTTCTTTTGTGTGAAAAACAGGAATGAGGCTTTTATTCGCTTTCGCAATTTCTTGTTGCGTTCGGCTCGAGCTAGAAGATTAGCTAGAGGACGGATTCAAGTCATGTACCTCGTACATGACTTGATGTACATGCCCTTCACGGATTTCGCCAACTGCTGACCTGGGAAGTCCCCACTGAGACTAGGAGGGAGAGGCGTCCGGCGGCTGTGGTCACCAGTGTCAGTCTAGCCAACACCACGCACCTGCCCTGCCCAGAGCTGTCTTCAGCCGTGCCTGCCACATCGTCGATCGGCATCTTACCAGGAGTAACCAGACGAACCCATCAGTCATTCTACGCATCAGGTCATCATTCATCTCTTCCATAATTTACTGCCTCACCACCCCTAGCTCTCCCCTCTTCCCTCTGACTGCCGCACTCCTACTTACCCAACCTGACGAGGCCTGCACCCTGTGTCAATTCCTGCCTTGCCCGGATTGCGTTGCCTTACCACTCCTGGTGGATTGCGCGAGCCACCAACCCCTCCCCAACCAACTCAGGCGCCTGGTTAACTACCCCTTCCTGTTCAAAATTTCACGAGGTAAAGCATTCATGCCAGGTTTCTACCCAGGATACCCATCTCCCCATCAGCTTCACTATCAGGCACCGGTTGCTTCCCGCTTATCCGAGACCGCCGTCGGGTTGTCTGTATCCAACCAAGCTTGCCACCACTCCCTGCTGTGCCATTTCAACCAACCAAACCACACACAGACCACAGCCAACAACCACAAACCCATCCTACAGCCGCGCAATCTTGCTCCTTCTCACCTCCTCTCTTCTCGATTGCCTGTGATACTAATAACTGTTCGCTCAGTGCCGCGCCCAGCGTTGCCTTCATAGAGAGTATCGCCATCCGGTGTCCCCATCATCTTATCTCTCGCTTGCTGCACAATGAGCATCTGATCGCCTCGTCCCCCACCTCCCCACCACCTGACTCCGGCGCTCCCGTGCCAAATCGACACCCTCTTTTTTTTTTTCCTTCTTCCCTTTTTCTTCCTCCCTTTCCTCATCCCATTATCTCACTAGCAACGTAGTTGCCATTCGTACGAGGATTTTTCCGACCCGAGAATCTATCTAAAGGAACAGAAGCCATCTGTTCAGCCTCAACCCGGATTCTTTGAAGCCTACCCCATCTTCAATTCGACGAAGCTTATCTATCCCGAAGCCGCGTTGACCGAACCTTCGTTACCAGCCTAACAATTTCCTCTTCGACATCACCGACTAGCACCCGAGCGATACCGTTGAACCGACATACCCACTCACGAAGGGCACATTTGCCCGCCCGATCGTCTCCATCCGTAGAAAGGGCCTGCTTGCACAGCAATGGGCAACAGTAGCTCGAAGCATACCGGAGAGCATGGCGGCTCTACAGCTAGATCCCCATCCAATGCGGGGAGTCCAACCTTAACCTTACCCCGCAGGTGTCCTCTTCTTCCCGGTCGCGAAATCGGGCCAGCCGAGCCGACTTCAGCCTTCTTCCTGGTTTCAATTCCTCCGGGGCACCAAGCACACAACAAGCCGCCCAACCTGAGCAACGCCGAGAGACTAGGGCGGAGCGAGAGGCGAGGCGTCTTGAGCGGGAAAGAGTTGCGAGAGAAAAAGAAAGAGAGCGTAGCATGCGGGAAGAGAATGTCGACGGCGGATACTTAGTCACGATGGGCATCTATAAAGGCCGCGAGGATTTCAACAAACCCATTGTTCGGCAACTTCAGGTACGGACTTTATTTATTGATCCTTGTTCGTTGTCTTAGCGTCAAGTGTATGAGGCTGACAATTTATTACACAGATTGAGCGCAAACTGGCACCTTTTGGCGCCCAATCGAGGAAGACGTCGATGATCTTACCGACGCCCAACTTATAGCCGTCGCCAGGGGCTTGCCACTACCCGAACCCGATGTCCCATTCCCCGCGGACCTCCTCGTCGAACCCCAATCAACAGTCTCCCCTAACCACTCCACGCAGAACCTTGGCCTTACTGTTCCAGGGCAGCCTCCAGGCGGCGAAGGCGCCGGCCCTCTCCCAATACTTCCGGCCTCCCATCGCCCACTTCGCCTTCGCGGAAGTCTCGAGGAAAGGCAATCGCGGAAGCACTCAGTCATAGCTTGCGGTCGTCCCGGAACAATTCGCAGACCGACCTATCACTTCGCGAGATTGCCCTTCCGAACGACCCATTCGTGAATGGACGCCCGCTCGAGCTGGTCTTGTACCGCAACGCCGAAGACTGTCCGATCTGTTTTGCGTCGTATCCTAGCTACTTGAACTATACCCGATGCTGTGGCAACCTGATCTGTAGCGAATGCTTTGTCCAGATAAAGCGTCCCGATCCTCATGTCCCAGAGAGCCACGGTGAGCCCGGCGCTGAAGCTAACCCCAATGATCAAGCAAGAGAAACACACAACATGTTGGTCTCCGAGCCAGCAGCGTGCCCGTATTGCACGCAACCAGAGTTTGGTGTGACCTATGAGGCGCCACCGTTTCGGCGTGGTTTAGTCTATCCGCCAATGGGACCCATATTTGGGGCCAGCGCCATGTCGTCCCAGACCTCTCTACACTCTAACCCGACTCCCGCATCTCCGACCTCCCCGACTGGCGGCAGGAGACGTGGCCAGAGCCTATCCGCCACCGCCCATAATGTCGTGACGACGGACCGAATTCGGCCGGACTGGGCACTCAAGCTGGCATCTCAACGGACGACCCAGGCACGAAGGGCTGCTGCTGCGACTGCCCTTCATCAAGCAGCATTTATTATGTACAACAACGACCGTCAGTTCACTCTTGGCGCCCGAGCCCCTCGATTCATGAGGCGGAGCACGAACGCAGGCCAGGGCCAGAGCCCTTCGCCGAGTGCCACTCCCTCTACCAATCCGCCACACACAGCCGAAGCCCCCTCGCAGCCGACCACCCGTCACTACATGACTGAAAATGACAGATTGCAACAGTTCGAAGAGGTCATGATGGCTGAGGCTATACGCCTGTCTCTAGCAGCGGAGGAGGAGCGTCGAAGGAAAGCCGAAAAGGAGGCCGAGAAAGAAGCAAAGAAGGAGGCTAAGAAGCGGGAAAAAGACGAACGGAAAAACGCCAAGCTTCAAGCTAAAGGAGGAAGTCTCTACGCTGATGGCCAGGGCTCGTCAAGCCGGAGCAGTTTGTCGCTAGGCCTTGGGCGTCGGAGGGGGAATAGTGGAACTAGCAGTCTTCGCATGGAAGTAACCTCCGAGCTTCAGGGAGGAGAGTCTAGTGGGTGAACGGACCGCGTAGCGGCAATCACACCGGAGATTCCGGACAATCCGTAGATAAGGGGAAGGCTATTGAGCGATCTGGACCCTCGCAGCCGACACCTTCTTCTTCGATTGCCATTCCACCGCAAACCGGACATCACGGACCATCGCATCTGCGCCAGACCAGCAACATCTCGTCCCTCTGCTCGTCGCTTGTGGATAGTCCTCCAGGAAGCTACCAAAATCAAGACAGCTATTTGGGAAGGAGCCAGGATGGCTTTAATCCTGGTGCCAGTGGTGCCAGCTTCCCGGACGGAGGGGCTGGAGGCCCAGAATCTATGTTCAACTTCACTAGCATGGCCTCGAGAATGGGAATCAATCTCGATGGCCCATCTACTCGAGCGGGAGAGGACGCCACGGCCACCGGAGCCAGCCAGTCGCCCAATGATGCAAACCAGGCTGGTGAAGAGGAGCTTGACAGCCAGCAAACCGCCCTTGCGAGTCAGCTGGAGGGTGACAACATTGAGAGTAGTGTTCTAACATTACAACCAGCAAGGCGGTCTTCTATCAGCGAGGAGGGGCACTGACGGAGAACAAAGCTGACGCTTCACCAGAAGTACGGGTCATCCCGGGCAGTCCAATAACCTCTTCAGAAGATGGCGATTTCCCGAAAGCTCTCAACCCCGAAGGCGGCGCTATTGGGCCGAGGGCTGGTGAGATTGCGTAACGCGGCACTGCATGAGCTGCAATAATCACAACAGATGTCGGTATTTGACCATCCATTAGAGGGCGAAGGCCACAGAAGAAAGCACTGTGTCGTTTTTTTCCAGCCTAGACCTGAGTTCCAGTTGAGTTTTATGAGGGCAATAGATTCTTCTGTCCGAAAGAGGAACTAGGAACACATCCATGCGGGTGATGTACACTTTTTCTTTCTACGAGACGGCCCGCATCCTTCAATCATTCGTGCGTATAAGATTTATCGACTGTGCGATTGGCTACCGCGGATGGATTGGAGGGATATGAAAGGGGAATATGGCCCAAATTTCTTTTGTGCATGGGAGGAATAGCGAAGTAAAGGAGAGATTTCGACGGCGCTATGATTATGCTTTATGATATGGGATAGGAGGTATAGGGTGGCCTCTCCATTATTGTCATGTTTCTCTCTCAACCTATTTACGTGATGAGCGATCAAATCCAGTGCCTTTGCTCGTGTCCAGTAAGACTTGTAAACGTGCAACTTCTTATTGAGCCGGTCGAGACGGCCCCGATGGCACGTAATGCTCATCAGGACTAGCCCACGTATAGTCTTTCCATGCTCCAAGCGCAGGCCAGATGCGCTCCTCGGCCAGCTTCCGCACGGTCTCTGTGGCGGCGGTAACGGCGCCGTCGCTCTGATGGCTTCTTCTTTCTTGCTTAACTTGTTCCCATACCTTCCAAGTAGCGTCCAGTTGGTCAACCGATGTAACACCAATCGCGGTAATGCCCATTCTCGTTTCTTCGCTCAGCGAGAGCTGTGTTGAGCCGAACTCGGCACCCTTGTCAGCCCAGGAGTCCATGGCCCACCGAATAGCGGCATCCTCGAGCTCGAGCCCGGCATCCTTGGTGATGTGTTGGAGGTCTGTGCAGGCCTTGCGCAGTGGGCCGGGGCAGGATGCCATGTGGCCATGGGGGCAGCGTCCACCCCACGGGTAGTGAGGAGGCCCATGCTGAGGATACTGGCGTTGATGAGCACGCCGACTTTGGCGTCGCGGAAGGCGTTCACGGTGACGTCGTGGCCGAGGGTCGTGTTTTGCAAGTTAAAGTTGGAGTAGGACTGGACCGCGTCGAGGGGCTCGCCGGTTCTCTCGAGAACTAGTTTGGCGATGGAGGTCAAGACGGGTAAAGGGTAGCCGCTTACGCCCACATAACGTATCTTGCCCTCGTCGCGAAGCCTCCGAAGCTCACCGATTGCGGCAAGGGCGTCGTGCGGGGACACGAACTCGACGTCATGGCAGTACACAAGGTCGAGGTAAGGGTGCCGAGGCGCTCGAGGGAGCGCTCGACGCTGGCGCGGATGGACGGGGGCGTATAGTCAAAGTGGGAGGGCCGAAGCGGCCGGCCTTGGTGATTATGAAGAGGGAAGAACGGGGAGGGGGTTGGCCGCGAGGGCGGAGGCCAGGGCGGCGCCGAGGAGGGTTTCAGACGGCCCGTAGTAAGGAGAGGTATCGAACGCGCACAGGCCAAGGGAGAGAGCGCGGGCGACGATGGATGTGGAGGGCATGGAGTCGGGATCCGGGTGGTATTGGAAGTTAAAAGTTGCGGTGCCAAGGATGAGCGCCGGGATGGCGGAGGCGATGGCCGGGGTCGACCCCGAGCCGGGCCGCCGTCCGGGGTTGGGGCTGCGAGTGACATGGGGCTCAAGGAAGTGGGCTTGGGCCGTGCTAGGTATACGGAACCAAAAAGAAAGGAAAAAGAAATCGACGGCTCCCACGAGAATTACGATAACCGCCCACAGCCGGTAGCTAGGCTCTGCTGTGTACCTGCGAAGCTCGACGTATTGGGGGGAGGGGGTTCCCAAAGACGGTCGGGCTCAAGGTGGGGGAAAGTACCGTTGCTTGCCAGACGCGAGCGGGCCTGAAGACGTTGATGCCGGGGGTCAGTTTGCTGAGAGCGGCGGGGAAGGCTTCGAGAACAAGAAGCGAGGGCCCAGGACTGAATTCCCGCAATCTCTCTCAACATGAAAAAGGGGGAAAGGAAGGGCGGGGAGGTGCCGAAATTGGGGCACAAGGGGGAAAGTGGTCAAAGTTGGCAATCAGAACAAGAACGAGCCGGGGAAGGGTGACGCTGAGGGTCAATGAGATGATACAAGCACGAACGCGAGTGGAAGCGGGGAAATTCCAGAATCGCCTTTACGGATGAGGCCTTTTCTTTTCTTTTTTTTTTTTGTTCTTCTCATTCTTCTTCCCCCTTCTCTGTGGCCCGGCTCCTACTATAGTGGGGCCCTTTTTTCTTTTCTGGTTGACGAACACTCTCCGTGCAGGCTAATCTAGAGGCGGAAGTTCCCTTGATTTCCCCAGATATTAAAGACTTTATAGTCCTTGGGAGGTGCCGAGGAGGACTCCTACTATCATGTTATATTTGTTAGAATCGCACGGCGCCTGGAAGGCGACGGCATGAGAATTGAGGCTTGAAGAATCAACGACTTGGCCCTTCTTTCCCCACCTTTCGTTTATGAGCGCCCTCGACAAGGCCTCACAGCGCGCTGTGGTCTCTTGCGTCTTCCAGAAAGCTGTCTATTTTAAGTCTGCCTCGATAGACGTGCGCCGGCGTTTGGGTTGCCGAACATGTATACATCCATGGATAGATCCGGACGTGGATAAAGAGGACTACGTCTGCTGAAGAACCCTCCAACAAGGTTCCTCGTCCTTGACCTACGCTCACAATGGCTCGCTTGAAGTTGGCATCTTTCCGTTGGCAAGATTCTGAGAGAGAGCCGAAACGAGATGGGATGAATCTTGTACAACCTTAGCGGGAGGGAAGAGAGAACAGCTCAACTCCGCTCGGTAATCAACAGCAAGAGGAGGGAGACCAAGGGGTCTCCAAAAGTTCGTACATGAACGGCACTTCCGACGATTAGTGGATGTTTTCCTTCCTCTCCCTACCAGATTCAAGTGTCAGGGAGATTCCTAGAGCTCATCTCTTAAGCACGTCAGGCTACGCCGTGGATGTGATAGCGTCTCTGAGGCTCCTGCAAAGCGCAAGGTTCCCAGCGGCTGCATCGACTCTATGTCGCTTTTACTTCCGTTGTATTCCCATACTCGAGTCCGGCACTGAGAAAACACCTATGAAGGCACGGGGGATACAAATCCCCAGCTTCGTGCCAGGTAAATGGAGGCTCCGCAGAATTGAATGGATGTTGTTAGTCAACATTCGAGGCCTCACAGAATTGGCTACCGGCCGGTGTATGTCGCTACAAGATGCATTAATCCCAGCTCATTCAGGGCCTCTATGCGCTACTAAAGATGCAGAATATCAAATGTTTTATCCAGGTTGGATTGACTGAATATGGGAAACATGACTGCGCATCTCCCTTTGTCTAACTCCCCCGAGTTGTCCTGGCCACATCGAAACCCCTGAACTGGATTTGAGTGTGGCAGATAACAAGCCCAGCCTCGGTCAATGCTCCGCGGACACCCTGGGGCAACCAGCTTGATAGCTCACTCGCTTCAGATGCCCGTCGCTTTACTTGTACATTAGTGTCACCTTCCCCACACATTCCATCCTCGATTGAAGGGACGGACGGCGGATCATCTCGAGCGCCATGGAATTGCTCACTTTGTTTAACACTTCATGCACGCACCGCTACCACCAAGGCATAAACAAGTACCTCGTGGCCCTTTTTTGATCGTCGCTCCCCCTGCTCTCCCCAGATCTTTGCGGTCAGCAGCATTTTGGACAAATAGATTGGCCAACTTGCCCGGTCTGGGGTTTAGCCTATTAATCCAAGAGGTCATGTCATTCTCACTGCTCCGTTGAAGCCAGCTTCCGCCATCCCCCATATCTTCCAGATTGGGGCTCCTCTTTAATCTACACATAACCCGCGCCGTTTTCCCTATAATCCTCGACAACGGGGCAGTACTACGGTCATTTATTCCCCCATGCGCAGACGGCGATGCGAATCTGGAGAGGAATGCGTGCCTGGCACGCTAGAACTTTGCCAACCGTTAACGTCGCCCTCCAATGAAGCCTTGCAAACTAATACTGAGACCCCAAAATACCCCGGGCTCGAAACGGAGACCGCCTTGTCCTCCTCTTTCACCTTTTAACCAGCCTTCGCAAACTCCCTCCTACGACAACGACATGTACTGTTGGGGTTGGGCGCAACGCCCATGAATCATTGCAGTTTTCCGCTCATTCTGTTCTCTTTTTCTTTTCCCTTTTCTTTTGGGGTTTGGGGTGCAAATCCTCTGCATTTTGTCGCGCTCGTGAAATATTCTCCGAACTATGGCCATGTACCGCTCCGTTCATCCATCCATTAGATGGACCGTTTGCCTCGTGTCCATCAGATCGATGTACTCGCTCCCCTCACGCGCCGTGCCGTCATCTGCCCCGGCCCCGAATTTTCTCCAAATTTGCTCGTGGGCGGCTTGAACACTCCTAATATGGTCCTAAATGATGAATCCTTCTCGTGGCCGCCCCTCCCCCATACCCCCATACCACATCTACCTCTTCGGGTGCCGAAGAAATAGCTGTGCATGACAGCTTTACGACGGACCTGCATTTAGATTCGAGGCTCGCGTCAAGATGTCTGTCCCCGCCAGCTTTGCAGCCCCAAGCATGTATGAAGAGCCCCGTTGCATGCCTGCGGGACTCGTGGCTTCCTGTCTTCATCTCGCCGCCTCCCTGTTCCTCGGCCCCTACATCCGGCAGTGTGGAGAAAATCGTCTATCCCCCATCATATATATATGAAAGGGCAATAGAACCACTACCACATCACCATGCTGCATCGAGGAACACCTGCTCCAAGAGTGCTTCGTTTACGTCAACGTGTGTGAAGATCCTGATCTCCGTGACCATGACGAGGATGTGATTGCTGGATCGGCGTCACCCTTTGCCCGCGACTACCACACAAACTTTCTCGCGGGATGCACCGAATACTTCTCTCCTTCTCTTCGATCTTGGCAAGAGTGTAGACGGGAAATGGCTGTACCTGAGAAAGAGGGACACGGGCAAAGTGTCCCATTTCTTCCGCCTCGACTATATAGGCAGTTTACCATTTCTACAAGTACCCCAATCTATGGCAATCTTCCGCATACCCTTTCCGGGATTGCGACTAATACGTGCCGGTCTATTGGGCGTCTCTTTAAAGATCGGCGACTTTGCCGAGAAACCTAGCGCAAAGCTCGGGACCCACCCCGTCCGTAATTTACTGTCGTCACCAGGTGAGAGCCGAACGACACCTTGGAAGAAGAGCTAGCCATGGCTTCGCGGCGACCCTCTCTATGTCCGGCAAGCCCTTTCCCTTTTTCCAGTCCGGAAAGACGCTTCCATGGTTAATACACGTCGTTGATGTCTAATCCGTGGACAAAGATTGGACAATCCGGAACTCAGGCTTCCTCGCGGCGTTATCGGCATGCCGCATCTCCACCCCTCCCCCAGCTGCTGGCTCTCCCTCCTCCTCGTCCTCCTCTCGCCCCCGTCCAAGGGCCACCCTGACTGTCTTAAATAGCCCGGTCCCCTCCCTAGGCTGGCTTCGGATGAAGGGCTAGGAACTTTCAGTCGGGTCCTCTTTACTCATTCTGCCACCAGCTTGCCTCTGTCATTCTCTGTCCCGGAAATATGCGTTGGTCTTCAGTCATCCTCGGCGCTACTGCGCTCGCCACTTCGGGTACGTAGCCATACTCCAATTGTCCCCCAAGGATACCATGTCTTTTCTAGGTTTCCACTCGTCGTCCTTTTGCGGTCCCAGTCGGGCTCTAACAAGTAATCGTTCGTTTTCTTTAGCTATTGCACAGGAAGAGACTTTCCCTTACTGCGATGAGCTGGATCGCTGCTTCCGGGGCCACGCCGTTGACGACACCGGCGTCGTCTTTGGCATTGCCACCCCGAAGATTCCTCCGCCGACAACTTCGATGTTATCGTCCAAGTAACGGGTCCTAAGGCTAGCGCCGGCTGGGTTGGCCTTGGCTGGGGAGGCGGCATGACCTACAACCCCCTCACCATCGTCTGGCCCAATGGCGATGATGTTGTCGTGTCTTCACGAATGGCCTTGTAAGTCTTGAACCCTTGCGATGCAGCTCTCTCGACCCCCGGCAAACTATGCTGCGGAGAAGAATAGAGACTAGGGGCGGCGAGCAAGAAGTCCGCTTGGTGCTCTCTGTGTTCCTGTCTGCTTGATATAAGATTTAGAGCTAACGCTGTCTTTTCCTCCGACTGTCTATAGCGGTTACTTTGTCCCCCGCGTACGAAGACGCTACCTACACCGTCCTCCCCGGCACGCACGTCAACGAGACCCACTACCAGGTAACGGCTCTTTGCAAGGGCTGCACCTTCTGGGCTCCCTTCGACGGCGAGTCTACGAAGCTCAACGGCGACGGCGAAAACTACCTCGCGTTTGCCTACTCCAGCGTCCCCGTCGACGACCCCACCGCCCTGGACTCCACCTTTGGCATCCATGAGCGCGTCGGCCACTGGATCCACGACTTTGCCGGCTCCAAGTCTGCCGACTTTGCGACTTGGGCGGGTGCCGGCGGCGACGGCGATGCCGAAACGCCCGCCGAGCCCCCGGCGACCGAGGAGCCTCCCGCCACAGAAGAGCCTCCTGCTACGGAAGAGCCCCCAGCGGAAGGAGAAGAGCCTGCTGAGGGTGGTGATGGTGAGTCTGCCAGCACCTCGTCAGCGCCAGTGACGGCCACATCAACACCTGCTGACCCAACCTCAACCGCTGGTGAGCAGGAACCGACGGAGGAGCCCCAACCCGACGTTGCAGCACTCCGCTCCCAACGTCGTGCCCCGGCGTCGCTGATCCAGCCTTCCTCTGGTCACAGCTGAGGGCTGGAATATTGTCAAGATCTCCGGTGAGGTCGTCCGTCCTCGCGCGGTAGTGGTGGATAGCAACGGCAACCTTCTTGTTCTCGAAGCCGGACGGGGATTGTCTGTTCTTACACTGGGCGAGGATGGCTGTATATCTACATCAAAGCTGGTTATAGACAATGGTCAACTTAATCACGGTCTGAGCATCACGCCGGATGGCGCCAAGATTTACGTCAGCTCCATGACTACGGCTTGGGAGTACAGCTACGATGCCGAAACCCAAGAGGTCGCGGACCAAAGGGTCGTCGTCAAAGGCATGTACACCGGAGGCCATCCCTCTAGGTCTCTGGTTGTCCCTCCCGCCACACCCCACTTGCTTGTGATTCAGCTTGGCTCCAACTCCAACTTTGACATGGAGTCTCTCGACATCAAGACGGCTCGTGCCAATGTGAAGGTCTTTGACACCGCCGAGGCGCCCGAGGGCGGCTGGGATTGGATCACCGAAGGCTGGGACTTGGGCTACGGTCTTCGTAACGATATTGCTCTCGTCGTCGACGGCAACAACATGTAAGCATCCATCTAACGTGGCCTGCGCGCCATGCATCCGCCCATGCCCGGGCCTGGGCTGCTGTTGAGGACATGATCGTATCATATCTTCCGGCGCTCAGGGAAGGGCTCGTAGACCTGTGCCATTACGTGATGTCAAGTGATTTTCCTTCCGGATACAACGTAGAAACTAACGGCACGATTTTTGCCTCCGATAATAGGGTTTGGGGTATTGAAAACAGCGCCGACAACTTGGGCCGCACCGCCGAAGGAACCACAACTGATGTCCACATTGATAACCCTGCCGAGGAGCTGAACCTCCGTAAGCCTCATCTTTCCTCCTGTTTCTTCTTCCTCCCCTTAGGGCTTCAAAATGGAAGGAAAAGGGTGTCGTTGATGTCGAGGGGCCTTTCCCTAGCGCCCTCATATTCAATGTGTGGAAAATCGGAACGTATCGCTAACACTGCCACATCTAGTCGGTGACCCATCCAAGCCCAACACCGATTGGTATGGCTACCCCATCTGCTTCACCATTGGTGAACCGGAAGTGTTCGTCGATAAGACCTTCAAGGTTGGCGACCAGTTCGTCCTCTCTCCCAACACCACATATGACGACGCCAGCTGCGGTGAGAGCATCCCCCTCGTCTGTCTATCCAAGCCCACAGCGCCCCCATCGACGGAGCTTTCGACGAGGACTTCTCCAACATGTACGTCACCCTACACGGTAGTTGGAACCGCGCCCCCGCTACTGGATACAAGGTTGTCCAGATTGCGTATCACCAGCTTGAGGACGGCACCTACGACCCCGTTGCTAGCCCCGATACCCACCTCCCTTACGTTGATATTGTCTGGAACGACAACGTGGACGCCTGTTCGGGCAACACTTGTCTGAGGCCCTCCGGTATTACTTTTGACAAGGCATACTCGAGGATCTTCGTTGCGAGCGATAACGCTTCCAACGGTGAACTGTTCATCCTTTACAAGACCGAGTAGGGGAGTGCCTCGGGTATGTAAAAGTGTAGCGTGACGTTTGAAATCTTTGAGCAAGTCTGTTCTTTTCTCTTCTGTTTTTCTTTTTCTTCTTGAAGCAGAGCACGACCTATTGGCCATGTAAGGAAAACCGGGAGCTTTATGTGTACATATCTATTTCTTATTTCAGTCTCTGCGTGCAATATATCCGCGATGATCCATCAAGTCTCATGAGTGAGAACTGGCTTCCTTTGATACGGCTTTGAAGCGAAAGAAGAAGGGGAAGTCAGGAAAACAGGGACCTTTTGAAATTTGGGCAGATTGGCGTGTTGAAACCAGATACTCTAGATTCAATAGATCAATCTATTCCATGATCTTCACGAAATTGATCCTTAAATACCGAGGTATACAGGATCAACTACATACTGTACATGTAGTATCAAATTGACCCCAAAAGCCAATTACAGTGGTCTGGTCCTTTAGCTCCAGTTGGACGGACTGCTTTATAGAGAGGTGCCGTCTCCTGGCTGGCCACTGAATAATAGGCGGCCCCATGCGAACATCACGTGAAGCAGCCCCTGAGACTCGGGACCGCTGTAGGCCCGTTGAAGCACTTGAGGATCTGCAAGCTGCCTATTGGACTGGACGGTGAGCCACCAGAATGGTCCACTTGAGCTTCCTCACTGCCCCACCAAACAAAAAAGAAGCCGGAATCCTCAACGTCGACCGCCACCAGCTCTCATCCGTACTTGCAGCCTTGGTAGCTGGCGCGCGCATCAATCGACTCCATACCCTCCAAGCTCCCTAGAAGCCTCAAGGCAACGAACCTACAGCTATGGCAGGTGGCCGGAAGACCAAATCTTCCGGCCCCGCGCCGCCCTCGAAGACCCTCGTCATCGACAATGGGGCATACACGATGAAGGCTGGCTTCGCGGCGCCGTCTTCAGGCGATACATCCTCCTCCGAAACTCCTAGTCAAGAACCCCGGATAATACCAAACTGCATTGCGCGCGACCGGCATAAGAAGGTCTATGTCGCGACAGAGCTTTCCGATTGCCGTGACTTTGGCGAGATGCAGTTCCGACGGCCCGTGGAGAAGGGCTTTATCGTCAGCTGGGAGGCACAAAGGAGATTTGGGACGCAGAGATATTAGATGGGAAGAGAGGGTTGGGGTGTGACCCTTCTGACACGAGATTGATCTTGACCGAGCCTCCTGGTGGGTTACCGTCGCTGCAAGCGAACTGCGACCAGATGGTTTTCGAAGAATTTCAGTTCGCGAGCTACTATAGGGCTATAGGTATGTGGTAGGAGTGTCCCGTGTGCTGGAGATTTCCCGTCAGTGGGAAGCTAACGAGAAACGGCGACCTCGCAATAGGACCTTGCCTGAACGCGTACAATGACATACAGTCTTATTTCGGAACCGCACACGACCTGACGGCGAACCAGCACGGCCCCGCCGAAGTCATGCTCCTCGTAGACTCCGGATACTCCCACACGATCGTGACGCCGCTTCTTCGCGGACGACCGCTCCACTCAGCCGTCCGCCGCCTGGACATAGGGGGCAAGTTCCTGACCAATTACCTCACGCGCCTGTTATCACTTCGTCACTTCGACATGCGCAACGACACATATATAGTTAATGAGATCAAGGAGACGGCATGCTACGTCTCGCACGACTTTGCCGGCGATATCCAGAAAAGCTGGAAGGGTGCTCGTGGTGATAGCGCAGCGCGCGGGGCTTACGCGCGAGGCAGTGAGGGGATTGCCAAAGACTACGTACTTCCCGATTTCCATGGGCGGCCCAAGGGCCTGATGAGAGATTACGATCCCGCGAGCCACACCAAGTCGAGGAAGCTTGCGCTCGGAGCTGCCGGCGACACCGCGGGCGTCAACGAGGACGTCATCACTCTCCGCAATGAGAGGTTTACCGTGCCCGAACTGCTCTTCAGCCCGATGGACGCAGGTCTTAAGCAGCCAGGTCTGGCTGGCGTCGTGATGCAGTCGGTATCATCACTTCCTACAGGGCTCTGGCCGGGGCTTCTAGCCAACATGGTCGTCGTGGGCGGTAACGCGCTCTTTCCGGGGTTTAGAGAACGTCTCCAACGTGAGGTGGCTGCACTAGCCCCCGACGATTGCACTGTTAGGGTTGCAGTCCCGGATGACCCGATTACAGCAACATGGAAGGGAGCGACCAGGTTAGCACAGCACGAGAGCGTGGGTAAGCTGTGTGTCACAAAGGCGGAGTATGAGGAGCACGGCGCTGCGTGGGTCGCCCGAAAGTTTGCAGCTGGCTTGCCCATATGAAGAAGCGGCTGTTTAAGTCACAGAAATCTCCAGGAGGGCACAGTTGGGACGGGCCTCGTTCTCTTTGACCCTCCTAGAATACTGTAGCCTACCACCATCCCCCTTCCCCCTTCCTTGACCTCTGGCCCGGAGGCTACGTTCTCAGAGCCTGTGGTGCGCTCAAGGACCGCCATTCCGAATCGCCAGCTTGATTCGTCACAGAATTTTGCTACCGCCTCTCCACTTTTTCTGAGGCCCATTGCGGTCGGATCGCTCGGGGTCACGCTCACATGGGCTCGCCATCTTCCTCGATCTCTTCCCCCTCTCTGACACCCTCTTAAATGTATCGACCCGTGTCCTATGAAAGAGGGAAAAGTGGAGGGTTCGTGGGGCAGCGGCGTGGGGGTGTGGGTGTGGGGCGGAGTGGGGGCGTGGGCGTGGGTGGAAACGGCAAGTGCGCCTCGACTTTCCTGTTCACACTGGTGCGGTTCAAACTGGGTGTAATTTGTTGCCCGGAGCCAAATGTGCCGTGGGAGGAAACAAAGGGGCGACGCGATGGTGGAGTCGTCCTTGTCTCTAATGATGTTAGAGAATGGCGTTGAGGAGAGAGGCGATCTGAATATCGGTCCCTGAAAATGGGATGGGATGTAATTGGGGCGGCTCACGATACTATCCTTGTTCTCATTCGTGCATCCGAGAGGATCACTCACTGAGGTATACTGGGGATAGAACTTGAGAAGACATGCTGGATGGATGCCGCACACATTCGAGTCAGGATGGCATTGGCATCGAAGGGTTGCACAGGCGCGCAACGCGATCGTAAGCATGGAAGACGGCGACACCTCTAGGGCGGGCCGTAGTATCCAAGCAATTATTAATAAAACTTTGATGATTATCCTTGTCCACAAGATGCAGTGCATAGATAGAGTAAGAGAGTAGTATATTGTGAGCTTTGAAGGCTATCTCTAGTCTACTTGATGAGGGGAGAAAGTATTCGAATTGAGTATTTAAAGGTTTCAAATGGGGAGAACGAGGCAACGCAGCGCGTAGAATTCAGCTCGAGGGCTTGGCCCAAAGCTGAATGTAGAGAGAATTCTTTCTCCGCGCCGAGTTCTGTGCATTCGGGCCAATTTTTGTTTTTCTAGGAGTGGTGAGATATCTACCGCGATAGGGGTATCGTGGCGAACTAAGATGAGTCGCATGCGTCTCATTTAGTTTTTTCCTTTGTCAAGTTGGGTTGCTCTTGGACTGAAGCGAAAAGGGGAAAGACGAAGCGACGTGGATGGAAAGTGCTTTGGACTTCTCCGAGAGTGGGGTGGTGGGAGCTGGAGACAAAGGATCCATCCCAGTTCTTCCGAATCTGTTATGTGTCGTCCCCACCGCCCACCGTCCACATGTCCATGCCCATGCCAATTGATGACTCTTCGCTCTCTGCCTTTTGCCCGTTCCTTCGACTTTAGTTCAGATTCGCAATGTGCAGAAATGCAGCTAGCTCCGGGCGGCAAGGCACCTAAGTCCGTCTCTGGGAAAGGTTCGTTCTCGCGCGCGGCGCTCACCAATCGAATTTTGGTTGCGCATCCACGTAAGCCAGGCTTGCTTGCTCTTGGTTTTGCAGCCGGGCATCTGCTGCGGGTGCTGGGGGATCGCTCGCGGAGGAGCGTTCTGCGCGGTGACCATCTGGCGTCGGCGCTGCGAACACCCTAGAAGAGTTGGGTCTCGGGTTAGCGTCATTTCAATAGTACAGGGTCCCTCACAACGCTGCGCAGGAAGGGGGCGCGGAGCGTGGCGTGGCGCGTGGTACCAGCACAAGCCGCTCATCTTAGCTTACAATCGCACTGAGGAAGTCGGTGGGTTAGTCCTGAACGATTCTTTTCTCCATGTACGAGGGTCTGGCACAAATGGATCTGGATAGGGCTTACAAGAGTTGGGCTAGAGCCCTCATGATGAACAATACAGTAACCTCCGCCGCAACCGGTGCAGGTCTTCTGGGTTCGGCCGATGCAACTATTACACTACACAGGCAGCATCTTGTCAGTCTAGGGCACGGAAAGAGGCGGGCCACTACGCAGAAAGGACTCACGTTGAAACCGCACTCAAAACAGCTCCGTTGAAACTGATGGGAAGATAAGAGTTAGCCGGGAGCACGCAAATCTTGAGCTAAATCAACTGTTCCAAGGGGAGGGCGAGTCCGGGTGCATCGCTGCGCTCAACGGACGGGCATACAATTACGGCGAAGAAGAAAGGGGTGTGCACGTTCTTGTGTTGCCCGCCCAGTTGTTGAAAGAAGATACATCACCGATGTACACGGGGCAGTGAGTGAGCGGCTGAGGAGGCGCGAAACTATGAACCTTTGTGTGCAACAGTTCATAGGGTGTGGGCTGTACACCTCTCGTTCTCGTTTTCCCTTTCTTTTCGTTCATCTCACTGCTCCGTGGCACCGCGCGGAGGAGAGTGCCGTTCCATGCAGCCGGGGCAGAGTCCGTTCCATACCTTTTTTCAGAAGCTTGGGATTCGTCGAGAGCGTGAAGGCCTGGCTGAGGCGGCGTGTAGCACTTCTCGCACCACCACTGGTTGCAGGTGCGGCAGTGACGGTCGTTCAGGCATGGCCCGCAGCGGGCGACAAAGAGGGAACCGCTGCTCCAGCCAAGGTTGCCGTAGGGCGCGTAGCAGCGGCGAGCGACGACGCGAGGAGCGGAACGTCCGGGAGAAGTGGGAGCGACGTTTTGTCGGGGTGTCGTCGTACGTCGTCAAAGCCTCGGGAGCTGAACCGCAGCCAGCACAACCCGAAAGCGCGTACGAGGCAACGGTCCACTGCGAACCCGGTTGGGTAGGGACGCTACCATACGCGGGGAATTCATGTGGCAGGGTGCGGTGCAGAGCGGGGCGTCAAAGGAGATGACGCCCTGGCAGTCGATGAGCGTTTCGGCCCATTCCGACGACAGTTCCTGATCGATAACCCTGCCCTTTCGGACATACCACAGGTCGCCGCTCGCGCCGACTTCTTCCCCGATCTGGGACTCAGTCGGCTTGCTGGTGAAGATGTAAAGGCCGCGCAGCCTCGGGGAGTTCGCCGGGCGTGATGGCCGGCACGCATATTTCAGCGCCTTCCGAAGGCTCCGCTCGTTGAGGTTCTTCGCGCCCCGAAGGGAGAGGATGCGCACGTTGAATTTGGGATCGTTGAGAAGCTCGTGGCAGAGATCGGCCGTCACCGACAACCCGTCAAGCACGAGAGTCTGAACATCCCTCAAGAGGTGCCGGCGCTGAAGGGTCGAGAAGATGCCGCGCAGGGGGCCCGAATAGAAACTAAACGACGCGCGAAAAAGACACCCCGGCAAGTTAGAACACGTATGACTGATGCGAATACAGGAGCGGGTGGCGATGGACCTCCTCGGACGAGACCTCTTCTAATCTTCCAACTTGCACCTCCATATGGGGGCGACCTACTCATCTTCAGTGACATTTTCATCGACCTGGGTATTGCGCCATACTTCGCCGCCGTTATCGATAGCGGAGATGCTAAACTGAGCAACGCTAACGCGGGTTAAATCCAAGTAGCGGAAAACTCCAGGGGAGTGCTGGATCAGGTTATGGAAGGCTTTACAGGTGGCACCGAGCGCAAGTCTATCTCGGGCCGAGAGAAAAGGAGAGGTGTGTTGAAGGACGAGGTGATTGGAGAGGAGGTCGAAGAGGGATTGTTTCCGGAGAATATCGCGCGCGGTAGGGTCGTGTACGACGATACTCATGTTACTCCTCACGAGCCCCTTCTAAATCGACGATTCTTATGAGATGAAGGGAGAGCCTCGCGGCGGGCTAAGACGCCACGCGACAACGGGTGTCGCGGAAAGGAAGGGAGAGGAAGAAGAAGGGGGAAAAAGGTCGGCGAAGGGTGCTCGGGGAGCGCAGGGAAGCAGTCGTGAGCTCAGCGAGTCGGCGTCCAAGTTGGGCGAGTGGAGCGACGCTCGTCGTCAGTGGTGGGTCTAAGTGAACACAGCTTGGAGTAAAGCGCCAGTCCTAAAAGTCGAGTCTTGAGGTTGTCGTTTGCAAAGAGAAAAGTGACAAATGTGTTCAAAATGACATTTTTGGGGGATCGATCGTTCTTAGAAATAGGGTAATAGCTAGATGTTGCTTGATGAATGAGACGAGGGAAGGGAGGAGATGAACCAGAGACGGAGGTCAGGGGAAAGTATGTCATTATCAAATACGTAAATCAGGCAAATGGGCCAGCTCGGCGCCTTGAGCGCCCTTTGACCCTTTTGGCGGCTTGCTTGGGGGTCCCCTTGAAATCTACATGTCATGGATGGTAGATGGATCAATCAAACCGGGCAAGGGTACATGATACTTTTCGCCAGTTCAACATTGAGCAAATGAAGACGTCTGCATGAGCGGCTGTTACTCCATACCTCCAAGTCCGGGGGACAACAAGCACATAGGTCGCCATTCTCATTGGGCGGCCCTCTCACGAAGGAAAAAATCAGCAAGATCAAATGCACGATCCCGCCCCAAGAAAAGAGATATTGCGATAAGAGTCGAGGACAACGGAAAGAAAGGAGACGCAACTCTACAGACCACGTTTCACCCATGGTCGCGGAGTACATCTTTGGGAGGTGCACTGTGTAGAAGAGCGGAACATAGAGTCTATGGATGATAAATAGTATTAAGAACAGGTCTGAGAACAATCTGGGGGAGCAGAGCGCGTCGAAAGGCCCGACAGCCTGGAGGCGAGCTGGATCAACAGTCCATGCTTCCATGTCCACAATTGTGGGTCCTAATTCGATGTGGTGTCAACCTCGATTGTTCAATCTGGCCTGGATTCCCTTGGCTCTGACAAGGTGAATCTGGGTGGTGGGCCGGAAGAGTACGAGACACGAAACCACAGCTCCCAGGCCCAACGGTCATAGGTGGGATATAGGTCCTTGCCTCTTCAGCGACTAGCTCTTCAAGTGCAGGGCGTCCCCCATCGATGACGGTGTCTAATTAGTCGTGGTCCAATGGCCATCTGAAGTGGCCTCATTAGCGGCGGAAGTGGTGGCTCGCGGGCCGACAGCGAGCAGGGGGTGGGTTTGGGCCCTCTCGAGGCGAGCCACTCTTGGAGTTTTGATAGTGTCATGGAATTGATAGATTTGAACCTCAGATTAGCGGATTGGCATTTTACCCAGATTTCTTCAACCCCCTCTAGCACCACCGCTGGCAAAACTCTGCAAATCCCACGGGATCGGCCAGCTCGTCTGCATCAAGTGACCCCGACATGTCTAACCCCCATCTCCTCTTTCTCCATTTGAACAAGACCCGTTGCAGGCCATCTCTCTCGCCGGACACTCCAAGCCCGGGTGAGAGCATGCGCTTCTTGGCAACAAGATCTCAAAAGATTGGGGGCTCCTGCACTCGTAAATTCCGACGCCGTTGGTGCTTCTCACCGCCGCCCGTCGTCGATCTGTTGATAAAAATGGCTGAATAGATGAGGTCGATGGCATAATCCTGCTCTTGCTACTGCACTTCTGCCTCCCTTTTCCCCCTTTTCTTTTTCATCCGCTCAACAACTGGTCCAGCCCGTGTGAGTGGAGAGCGAATTTGATCAATCTTGAAACTTGATCGAGCGCAGTCTTTAAAAGCCACGGTATGGCTTGCTTTTTGCATTGCGTCCGAGGGGACAGCGAAGGACAGCGAAGTGCGCAGCGAAACAACCCCTCCTTCTCACAACGCACGCTTAATATGGTGGTTCGCATCTGCAGCTGAAGGCTTCCGCAATCTCTAATGCGCTTTCCCACAATTAGATAGACACAGCATGGCCAGCCCGTTCTACGGACAGGTCGCATTACACAGCCTTTCTTAGTGATGCCTCTAATAGAGCGCTGAAGGCCAGGATAGGGATCGATCCCGACATTGCTGGGATGGCCGTAAAGATGCGTTTCGTGCTGTATCTACATTTCAACAGTGACACCAACCTCCATACGTCTATGCGTAAAAAGTGGGAGGCGAAAAATCCGTGAGGTTTGTGGAGGTGTGGCCGGCCGTTATCTGACGCGGCCTTGCAGGAAAGCGCAGAGGCTGATGTTGGGAGACTATTGCGGGGTTTGCTCAGTTCAAATTGCTCAGTGCTCCGTGGCGCTCGCCATTCACCCCAATAAAGGGAGCACGAGCACTGCAAGGCCTGGCCAGCCAGTGAGTGTTCAATGGTGCAATTGCGCAACATCAGCGGTGGTCCCATTCACTGAGAAAGGGAATTTGATCTTGATTGGTTGATAAGGGCAAGCCAGCGGCCAGCAAGCTGAGCTAAGCTCTCATGCTATTACTGACGTCAACCAACTTGTGAGGAAGGGAAGGAGTCGCCATGCAGTGCCCGACAACCCCGCCGATGTTCACCCGACTTTCCATACGGTCTCGATGCAGTAGGTTGAGGGGTTCACATCTTGAACGATTTAAAACAGAGGGCGCCTACTTTCAGCCATTCTATTTGCCCTACATCTCTCGAATCTAAGCGGCGCCGTCGGCGCTCCTCTCAAGTCGAGCATACCACAGCTCGTTGGGCGGCCAGGTTCGAGAGTCTTCGACGCCGTCAGGGATCGAAGCAGAAAGAATTCTTTGCTGACATATCGGCCGAATCGCCACGGGCGAATTATGCGCTTAATAGAAGCTGATTTTCCTGTCCGCCTCGATGAACCACAGTGACGCCCAACTCTTTGTTCGCCAATTGACACAAGAAAATAAGAGACTTTTTTTTCCACTTCTCCAAAATAACATAACGGAGAGAGGCCATGGCGAGCACATCTCACGTGCGGTGGTCCGCCAAGTTCCGCGCCACTCCGACTTCCAAATCTGCCGCCCATACCCTACCTCATGGTGACAGGATTGTCCTCCCCCAGTCCGCTCTCGAGGCCATAATGGCTGCCCCGCGGGTGGAGGAGAACCCATACTCCACGCATGACGCGCTCAGCCTGCCCTTCCCTCTCACGTTCCGCCTTGAGAACAAGGCCAATGGACGCGTAGTATACTCTGGGGTTCTCGAATTTGCCGGCGAGGAAGAGAAAATAGGGCTTACGCCGTACCTCGAAGGAGGACTTGGGATAGATTCAGCGCTAGAAGAGACTGAAATCGTGGTAACGGCGACGCAAATACCCAAGGGGACTTACATACGACTTCGACCCTTGGAAGCCGGGTATAACCCCGAAGATTGGCAGCCCATTCTCGAGCGCGAACTGCGGAAACACTTCACGACTCTAACCAAAGGCACAAGATTGCACATCCGCGGGGTTGGTGGTAATGAGTATAAATTTCTTTTGGACAAACTGGAACCACAAGGGGAAGCGGTTTGCGTTGTTGACACCGATGTTGAGGTTGACATCGAGGCGCTGGACGAGGAGCAAGCTCGGGAGACATTGAGGATAATAGCGGAAAAGGCCAAGGACCGGCCGACAGGAAACTCTGCTGGAGGAGAGATGAACGTATGGAAAGATGTCGAAGGTCACATTGCCCCCGATTCATACATTGATTACGAGTTACTCTCTTGGGATCGCCAACAACCTCTCACCATCGAACTGTTTAACTTTGGAGACGAAGACGGACTGGATCTTTTCGCAATTCCAAGCTCAACTCGGTATAGGGTGGCGCCACGACAGGACCAACATTGCTGGGGAGACTTTTCCTCAAAATCCCAAGGCCACAAGTCGCTCACTATACGACCCACTGATCACGCGATCGAAGGAGCAGAGAAGCTTCTCGTCTCCGTCTATTCCTATAACAAGATATCGGCGTCCGGCAAGGCAGCGGAACCGAAGCCCCAGCCGTTTTCCCTTCGAGCACGCGTCGGACAGGCCGCTCGAGCAGACGATACTCTCACCAACGACACCCAAGGCCCAGACGACCACAAAAGATGCGCAAACTGTGGACAGTGGGTGCCGAAAGCATCCTTCTTCCTCCATGAAAGCTTCTGTGTGCGAAATAACACCACGTGCCCCGATTGCCACCGGGTCTTCAAGAAGGGCTCAGACGAGCTCGCAAGTCACTGGCATTGCGTGCATGGAAACGCGTGCGATTTGTACCCTGACAACTATGGCAATACCCAGCTCGGGCACGAGAGGCACCGGATCGCATACCACTCGCAGCACGCATGCGCATCTTGTGACTTCTCGACTCATGATCTACCCGAACTTGCCCGACATCGATCTACCCACTGTCCAGGCCGGCTCATCCTGTGCAGATTTTGTCACCTCGAGGTAACACAGGGCGGTGACGGAATCGAGACACCGGAGATGAAACTGACCGGCCTGACACCCCATGAACTGGAAGACGGTTCCCGGACGACGCGGTGCGATATCTGCGATCGGATCCTCCGCCTTAGGGAGGTCGAGGCGCATATGACGAGTCACCGCCTTTCCCGGGCCTCGCAACCCACGCCTCCATCATGCCGCAATGTCAACTGCGGCCGGACACTGTACGGGGTTGGTCCGCGCGGCGCCCACCTAGCACAGCCGCCTTCCGCCTCCGATAGTCAGGGACTCGAGCTGGGGCTCTGTAACACGTGCTTTGCCCCATTGTACTCGAGTGTCTATGACCCCGAGGGGAAAGCCATGCGCCGTCGCATCGAGAGGCGCTATCTCTTGCAGCTCAACACGGGCTGTGGTAAATCTTGGTGCGCCAATGAGTGGTGCAAGACGCACAGGGCAAATGCCGGCCTGGAACCCCTGGGCGCCAGCATAAAAGTCGCTCTTCCGCTCGTCAAGCCGCTGGTGGAATCTGTGGCGGACAGGGATTCCGCAATGTTCTTCTGCGTCGACGAGACGAGCGCGCTTGGGAAAATTGTAGCCGATGAACTAGCAAAGGAAGGCAGGTATGATATCGGTTGGTGTATCGCAGCCAGCGAAGCAACGAAGGGGGACTTTAGTAGAGCAAGGGAGTGGTTAGAGTTGTGGGCAAATGCCAAGGCGTAAACCTCGGATAGTGCCTGTTTTTAGTCGTAACATCATTGGGGCATATTTGGCAATGTATTGACAGCATAGCGTATGGTGGGGGCGTTAGATGCCGTGGTTTAGATCTATATATACTGTATTTCATCGACAGAAAGCCTCATTTCGCAGACCTTTGCATTCAAGACGCAGGCTAGGAGGCCCAACCTATTCATTGCTCGTTTGTATATTCCACCACCACGAGCGCTGAGAGAGGACATATGGGCATATGGCACCGGCGCGTGTATTGAACTTCCAATGCCTGTAACACTGCGCCGCCTCAGATACCAAACCGAAGGACGGTCCTAGGCTTTTGGCGTACCCAGAGACCCCGATCCCTGGAGCAATTCTGCAAGATCCGCATCCCGATCGCCGAGCTCAAGCCTCCCATACTGGTCCCGCACATCCAGCAGCAGACTCGCATACCTCTGTGCCTCATCCGCCTCCCCAAGCGCCTGGTACACCCTGAACAGAGCCTCGTAGGGCTCGGCGAGCAAGGGCGGCATATCCCCAGCCTCGATGGCGCGCACGAGCTCGTTCAGGTAGGCCTTTGCGCGATCAAGCTCGCGGACAGAGATCGCCTTGAAGGCCGCGGCGCGGAGGTATCGGATCTTGGTTCGGACCGTGTCGTCGCGCGAACCCCCTTGACGCAGAGATGGCAGCTACAGTTGAAACCCCAGTGTGAGCTCAACCGGCGGCGACGGTCCTCCCGGGTGTCGACGGGGCTTATATCTGTTCGGTGGACGCCAAGGATTTAGACCTGCCACGAGACGTATTGGGGGGGCATCGGGAGGCGTTAAGAGGGTCGAGTCGAGAAGAAGGGCAGGGGTGGGGACTTACAGCTGATGGTGATTTCTTCACCGACCTCGATGTCACGAAATGCTGCGACGCCGACGGTGAGGCCGTGCGTTGAGTAGCGAAGGAACGAGCTGCCTTTGGCATCAGTCACCACCACCCCAGTTACCAATTACCGGACAGGGCTATGGAAAGGGGAGAGCGGACGACTTACTTTGGTTGACAGGAATGGTTAATCCTCTATCGACATATGGGTTAGCGAGGCAAGGCAGTCGTACAACGTTAATTAGACCGCCCCAAAGGGCTAGGAGTTAAGAAAGGGAGGCGGATACCGAAATGATTGGATATAGTATATGATGGTCGTGGCCCTCGACTTGCCTCGTAAAGACATTGGTCTGAACCACATCCTCCAGGGCGTGGTTAGATAGCCCACTCTTCGAGAGCGCCCGAATGGCCTGTGGTCCGGGCCCAAGCAGCTTGTCGACGGCATCTTCCAGCAGAGTCAACCGCTCCTTCTCGGTCGTTGCCCGCGGGTAGTCTGCGTGCAGGACAAGAGACGCAAAGTCTACAAGAAAAGTGTCGCCGGCGGAGATGCGACGTGTGGCCACAACGCCGATCCCCTTGCCGTCGATCTGGGCTAGTTTCCCGGGAGGTGGGTGCAACGCTGGATTACGAACCGTGGATCCTGCCGGGAACGCCGAGTCGTGAAGACGGTGGATGGCAGGTGCCAGGCTGCTCGCGACTTGAGGAGATGTGATGACGCTGAGGCCCAGGTGGCCGAGATGGGAAGCTGTGAAGATACAAAACGTGTCGGGCTTCCGTCCGGCCGTGCAGAGGGACGGACTAGACCAAGGGGCCATTCCCCGGGGTCGGTCAGGTCCGGGAGGGCTGGACATGATGTGTGCAAGGGTGAGATCGTGGCAAATGTCGGAGAACGCCTCAGAGGGCAAGTTTCGTTCCGTGTGGACGATGCGCTGGCTCGCCACGTTACCAGCATCCACACCAACCAGGCGTGCCCGGTAAACATGGTTGATATATCGCTCTTCAGCCGTTGCCGACCACCTGCGCAAGCCTTCTCCCTTCTTCCCCAGTTACTATTGCCTATAAAGACACGCACACGCCTCCTTGTAGATGGTCTCGAGCAACTGAGACGCTATGATTAGGCCATGGAACGTTGCTGCGTATGCAAAAACAAAAGAATAACGAGAATAGTACGCTATTCTGGTAAAGCGCCCGCGGCTAGGCGTCTACGTAAGTTGGCGGCTTCAGCTCGTTGTCCGAGAGTAGAAGGGGTTGTCGATTGAAACCCCTTTTGCCGAAGCTCGCAGGCTGAATGGGGAACCGCCAAGCAATTGGCCTTGGCACACTCCATTGGCCATTGGCACATCACAGTGGGAGAGTTGGCCCGTTCCTGGCCGAGGGCACGCGCGATCGCTCAAAGAATCAATCCATTGGAAGGATAGGCTACCGACAACGTCGCATTGTAGTAGTCGGCGTTGTGAAATCATCCAGATGGATCAATCTTGGGCATTGAAGTCCAGTGCGCATTATAGACGGAAGGCGGCGTACTCGTACGCTCCTACGGCTACCCACTATCGGTTTGTCTGCAAACAGATGGTCTACTATGAAGAAATCTTGTCAGTCAGACCCCGGTTTAATAGCGACGAGGCCGATAGCTGTGGCCGAGGATGTGTAGAGGCCCCGTACGCTCGTGGCGCTTCGTTCAATTGACTGTTCGGGATTTTAAATCGCTGTTCATATGCATGAACTATGCTTGGTACTTGTATCGGATAGTTTGCACACGTAGTTGGCGAAATCGAAATTCGTAATCGATCGCGGTTAAGGCTTGTTGTAGAAGGCAGCGTCGTGCTTAGCGGGCCGGCTCTTCGGCGATGCCATTGCAGAGTGGATTTTAGGTTGAGGATGAGCCTGGGGATTGGCTCTGACACTTAAGCTCAAGCGGCCCGTTTTGTGAGCACATGGACAATTTGAGATCATGCAGATCCATTGTAAGCTGATCCATCCATTGATCACTCCACCACGACAGATGCGGCCTTTTTCTTTCGACACTCGCGGCTTCAGATAGTCATTGTCAGTACTTATGAACAGCCAGGAGGCATAATGTCTTTATTTGTTTGGGGGCGGGACGGGGTTAAGATGACGACTTGTACCAAAGATTACATTTGGACGCAGGACAACGAGAGTGTCTGCGCGATCGTTTTAGGGCTGGAAAAGGAACCTTCCGAAGGCCGGAGGCAAAAGGTCCTACCGAGGAAATAAGAGTTGCTGTTCATCCCCTACTCCAATCGTAATCAGAGGTGTTTTGGGCAAGGTTTAATTTCATTCTCAAATCGTGGGTTTCTCCCTCCCTGCCACTGATCCAGATCGCCCCATCGAGGCCTTTGAGCGCGGGAAGGGTGAGACTTGTCGTCGCGCCTACGCCATGACAGAGATTGTGAGACGCGTTCATTTATACAATGAATCTATCTATTTATTTTCACGACCCGACCTCATCCTCTCGTTTTTGTTCTCATCGTGTTGATGGGCTTGTCAGAGGAGAAGGAAGTAATCAAACCACCAACGATTTCTGGCCCCGAAGGGTTTGCATCCACCAACTCTCGACTGGTAGTGATGTCGGTGTTGAGTGATTCGACTAGCCGTCAGTAGATCCCGCCCGAGTTGGAAGCCATGGCTGGCGAAAGTGGTGCGGCGACAATGATCGCCCTACCCTCCAGGACCCAAGCTGTCGAGAGCCAGCGTGTCGCTCCCGTGAACCCCGGCCCCCTCACTCCCGACACTTTCCCATCGAAGTGGTAGAGGTAGAACTGCCAACGCCACGCCCAGCTCTCTTTCGGTCGCCTTCCACAGCGTCCGAAACATTCTCCCTTGCGACTACCTACACGGCTAACTCGCAGGAGGCTACGACGTCTTACCAGCGGACGCCGGCCCCGTTTGATCCGTCGGGATTCGCCGAGAGAGACCTCGCGCGCGCGGAGACACTTGATTTCCACAATGACGACGCCCGCACCATCATCGGGACATGCGAGGACGGCACGGAAAGAAGATGGGGACAGCGGAGGAGGCGTAGGAGAAGGAGGAGGAGGATGAGAGGAGGTCCGACTAGGCGACTGACAGGGCGGCAGAAGAAGTGGCACCTCATCTTCTATACTGCGGTGTACGTCATCCTGGCGCTCTGGCTCGTATCAGCCTGTCTTAGTTGGGCAGGCCCTTGGCTTTCAAACTTGGGGTAAGCTGATATCACCCCGGCCCGGATGCGCTGCGCTTCTCCTCGATGCAGTCCCTTCAACGTTGGCCCACATACTATCTAACGTGGCCTCCTGGCCCCGGATTTGATGTATATCCCACCGGGGAAAGTTTGATCGCGGACGCTAACCATACCACAGCTTCAGGAATAGCTTTGTCGTAACGCTTGTATTGGGGATGGGAGCCGCAGCGTTAGAGTGCATGATTTTGTTTAGGCTAAAGAGGTGTATCAAGCAGAGGGAGCTTGAGCTCCCCACTGCGGTAGCTTTCCTCATCGTGACCTGCGGCGCCGCTGTCGCCTTTCTTGGGATAGCCGCCCTCGACAAAGCCACACCGGTCGTGGTGTTTGTGCAAGGCTCGCTCCAGTTGCTCCTCTTGTAAGTGCATTGGCATCTTTCCCTTCCCCAACCTACCTCGCGCTCCCTTCTCCACCGTTGAGAAAAGCTAGAGTCGCACCATCTTATTCGAGGCGAGCTGCCGCTTTGAAGCGGTAAACTCGAAGATTTGTCGTGAACTAGCTGGCGTTGTGTTCGCCCGCTCGCCTAACCCTTTACTCGCATTCCACTCGTGCTCCAGCTTCCCTTCGCGCCAAGCATCACGACACGCAAAAAGTTTGGCAGGCTAACTATCGCGCTTTAAATAGCCTTCTTGCGGGCGCTTTGATCTTGGTTGTCCGCCTCGGCTACGTCCCACTTGACCTAACGTGACGGGGTTTTGGGGTATCTTGTGGATGGGATTATTTGTTCCCCGGTGGGCTCCTCGCACACGTAGTTGAGAAGACAGAGCAAACTTGTTTTTCCGTGGCTCCTCTTTGTGCCTCTCTTGGTGGATGTGAGGTTTGTCAAAGACTGAGGAGGGGGGCAGGGAACAGAATTTATGGAGAGGAGCCTGCGTTAGAATGTCGCCCAAGAGTGGGATCTTGGTGACGCCTCGGTCTGTTAGATTTCTACATGTAGTTACGAAACTCTCACTTCGGGAATATCATATCCGGGGCTCTGGAGATTCTGAAAACAACCCTTGCACTCTCTCTCAACCTGGCCACCATTGACGCGTGGATAGATGATTTTGGAGCTTGCCTTAAGTCTATCTCGTTTCATAGGACCTGGTTATAGTGGATGGAACATGGAAGCGTGAGCCTCGCGAAACTTTATTCACTCCCAACTCCTGTTTTCCGTTCTTTAAATCCTTGGCTCGTACTTGCAAACCCCTGACTACTTGGTTATTTGGCCTGCTCGGATGCTCGGGCTTGAGGAAGTCTGGATGTGTGCACGACCTTTGCTCGCACGGCAGTACTCGCACGGCAGTATGCCACTGAGCCTCACATTCCCATTCAACCTCCACCACAGCGGACAGGCAACCCGGATAGGCGGAGACTTGCCGATGGAGGAGAGCGGAAGCAAAAGAAAAAGAGAAAAAGAGAAGACTTAGATCAGCTGTCGTACAAGGGAAATCCCGGAGCTGGTATCTTTGCAAGCACAACCGCTGATGGCGGAGATGGAAGGGGGCACCAGGCACGTCCAGCGTAGCATTCCTCAATGGTGCGCGGCCATCCGGGTAAAAAGGGATAATCAAGATGTCAAGAGAAAGACCCGAGAACATGCACAGAAAGCGGGGATTATGCGACGTTAAACTTCTAGCGTGGAGTGACCGAATCGGCGCCTCGGCGAGGGTTCCTCCTCGCCGGGCGCTTTTCCGATCTGAATTCATCCACCCTGGTCAATTTTATGTCGGGACTGGCAGGGAGAAGACCTATGGAACGCGTTAATGCAGATACCAAACTAATCAAGGCATGGCGGGGAAAAGAACAAAAATCGGAAGCACCACCTCGGTCAACCTCGGAAGGTACATGTAAGCCCTGGACACGCTGCCTGGGGAGCGTAGGGCCGGCCTATGGCTGGCCCCAGTTCAGGGCTTGTCAGCTATTAGGGCGGACGTTTTGCATTGCGTCGGACATATTGACTCAATCACGGATGACCTGGGAACGGTGCCGGGAAACGACCGTGGTGCTGGAGGTCTTTAGGTGCCCTTGAACCGAGAGCACGGGGCTTTGGTGCGAATCAAGGATGGATCCATTGATTTCGTCCACAATTCCGTGTCCCCGTGGCTTCCCGCCCATGAAGTGGCCAGCTAGGCTCGCAGCACGTTGATCATTCGGATTTGTTGTGGGGTCGGTGCCTCTCATTGAACTATCAACGTTGCACGCAAAGCTTGTGGGTACGGTACCCTTTGCACCGATTTATGCTAATGTCGAAAATGAGACTGATGAGGCTGAGAATAACCGTCAATGTAACGGACAGCACCATTTCCGCCGCTCTCCGCAATGCTCCTCCACAATACTCCTCCACAATACTCCTCCAGCCCACAATGCTCCCCACGATTAGCCATTGAGCACTTCTTTCTCCATTGTTCCTCTCGTAGTGCTCTTTCTTCTTCTCCATGCCCGGTAGTGCCCCAGCCAACCCGCATGGCTTCATTTCCCCAGACCCAATGGTCGACTCCGACACCCACCCACTCCTGATCAAGTACTTTTTACCTCGCTTCCCGAGCCCAAGAAGTCGGGTTTTTGTTGTATGCTTTTCCTTTGGGCGAAAATAGCGAGGTCGTCGCAAAGAAAGTTACCCACCAAAGAATTGAAATGTATGCACGGCGTCGTCCCGTGTGTGCCTTAAAAAGGCCGAGGCGGAAAATCCCCAAGCCACCTGTCCTAGAACCAGGTTTCTTGACGCAGGTTGCAGCTCCGACCGCGTTCGTTCCTTAATTTTCTCCATCTTCGTTCTTCACGATTGTCAGTCCTGCCGGCACCCGCGCGCCGCGCGTATTCTTTGCCTTTGTGTCATGACTGAGAGGATGCAGAATAGTAGCAAGAGCGATAATAATAGATAAATCAAGAAATTGGCCAAGCGTAGTAACCCCAGGAGGCAGAGGCCCCACGACCGCATGCGTGCGCGCGAGCGGGCGCCCGCGATGGCATGTTCGACCCAGTGACAGTCAAGTGGTTTGCGCGGTGGCTTTCCCCCTTCCTTTCTGATTAGAGGGACCACACTGAGACGAAGGGAGTGGCTCTATTTCTACCGGAACCGAGGAAACTTGGTGTCAGGGTGCCATCGTGGGGTTCAAATCCACGAGTGGAATCTCTTGCTTGAATTGACGCTGAGCTTTCCAAAGCCCGCACGGAGCCCTCTGCTTGACCTCATAGCAAGGTTCGCGTGGGATGTACGCCCCTCCCGCCCGTTGGTTCGTTTCGTTGGATAAGCAGCACTCTAAAGGAAATAGGCGATGCTTCATCCGAGGCTACCTGCTAGTGTTCAACAATCCACACCAGATGACAAGGCATCGCTCTGAAGTCTCCGGGACGCCATGGCCGGCTCCTCAAAGCTATAAAGGCCCTGGCAATTCTCCCAACAATCACCCTCATGTTCTCTCTTCCTTTGGATCACCGTTCTTTCCATCAAAGCCTTCTCCCCCTGGCCCTTCCCCGAGTTTTGAGAATACCTTTTCTGTCCTTGGAACCACATCAGCTCCCCAAGGAAGCCCCTCCTTGAACTATCACGATGGTTTCCTTTACCACCCTCTTCACCGCCGCCACGGCCCTCGTTGGTACGGCCCTGGCTGCCCCCGGTGAGCTCATGCGCCGACAGTCGACCCCTAGCTCGACCGGTACCCATGACGGATACTACTACTCTTGGTGGACCGATGGCGGCTCCAAGGTGACTTACACCAACCAGGCCGGCGGCCAATACAGCGTTCAGTGGTCTACTGGTGGCAACTTTGTCGGTGGCAAGGGCTGGAACCCTGGTGGCCCCAGGTAAGACTTGATTTGATCCGCCGAATGTGGATGGCGTCTCGAGCGTAAGTATGGGACGTGCTGCTGACGCAAACACACTAGGACCATCAACTACTCGGGTACCTACAGCCCCAACGGCAACAGCTACCTCGCCGTCTATGGTTGGACCACCAGCCCCCTCGTCGAGTATTACATTGTCGAGTCCTACGGCACGTACAACCCCTCTTCGGGCGCCACCCGGATGGGTTCCGTCACCTCCGATGGCGGTACCTACGACATCTACGTCTCCACCCGCACCAACGCGCCTTCTATCCAGGGCACCAGCACCTTCAGGCAGTACTGGTCCGTCCGCACTTCCAAGCGCGTCGGCGGCACCGTCACCACCGGTAACCACTTTAACGCCTGGGCTCAGGTCGGCCTCAACTTGGGTACTCACAACTACATGATCGTTGCCACCGAGGGATACTACAGCAGCGGCTCTGCTACCATCAACGTCGGGTCGTCCAGCAGCGGCGGCGGAAACACTGGTGGCGGCAACACCGGTGGCGGCAACACTGGCGGTGGCTCTACCACCGTAAGTCTTTCGATAACCCCTCCCCTGCCGTCCCCTATTCTTCCAATTACATGGCTAACTTGACATGAACTCTCGCAGTGTGCTGCTAAATGGGGACAGTGTGGTGGCCAGGGTTGGGCCGGCGCCACTTGCTGCGCTTCCGGGTCTACCTGCCAGGCCGCGAACCAATGGTACTCCCAGTGCCTCTAAATGCATTCGGCCCTCTGACCGTGTGCAACGGGCAAGGAATGGAGAACGTCATCCACACACGTTCAGTGTCCATGTTGCATCAGCTCTTTCAGGCTTACCGCTACCATGTGGAAGGGGAGAGGAGGATAGGGGTGACTAGATAGTGGGATGCTATCCCGTTCTATGGCGGGTGGAGGGGCGGGGTATTGCGAGGGCTTTCTCGCAACCTGCTCCTCTAGTCATCTGGACGTATTTACCACACGCATATGTACATACCAGATTCTACTTCTTCACGTAAATATTCAAAAATATCAAGCATGGCGATCATCTCCATGCTTTCTAGTCCTCCGGCAACAACTTGCATAGTACATGTAGACACTCCATGTACGCCACCCGTCTCCCGGATAAGTTTATCGTCCACCTGGAGGTGGTATATTGGCATCGCGGGGCCACGAAGAAGGTAGCCGCTGATCTGGGCGTGGTGTTTACATAGGAGGAAGTCTACAGTGCCCGAACATCAATGTATATACTCGGTGTTCATCATACTATTAGCAAAAGAATTTGGAGGCATGTCTCATGTCCAACTGCATTTCCTTTCATTTCTCAGCTGCGTCGGCCAGGTCTAGTCTACTAACGCGAGCCCAAATCATCCACCCTTTCACAATTTGGCAAGTCTCAGCATCAGTGTCAGATCACCAATGATTTGCTCCTCTTCCAAGATGACTGCATCTTGGCTAGTCGTCTCTCCGAAAGGCTCTATGGCTCCCCGTACCGTACTCCTGAATAGGTCATCTCGCGAAGATACCAGGTTTGCAAAATCGAGATCGTCTGCCTTGCTGACGATCTTGTATTGCATGCGGATATCGTCGGTGGGGACTAGTCCCGCCTTCTTCCTCATCTTTTGGATTCTGTTAATGATCTCACGGGCTATCCCCTCTTCAGCAAGCTCGGGGTGCGGGACAGTGTCGAGAAGGACAATGACATCTTCCAGGAATGCCGGCTCCCATTTGGCGCCGTCCGCGGACTGAACAGTTGCGTCACCGCCAAGGACTCGGATAATGTTGAGGTCGTTCTCCTCTAGCTGGATCCCGTCGACGACAATGGTCTTTTCCTTTAGGTACTGCCTCAACTGATCCTGCGTCAAGCCAGGTAGCCCCTTGCGAACAATCTGGACATCCTTCTTCAGCTTCTTGCCAAGCGTGGGCCAGTCGACCTTGGCCTCGAGAATGATGTTGTACTGTGCCTCGTCGCTGGTAAGGATGATATTGCGGATATTTAACTCTTCCTTGATATACGAGCTTAGGGACTCGACATCCGCGAGGACCTCGGGATCCGCAATGACGGCAATAGAAAGGAGGGGGTCTTGAGAGGAAGCGTGCACCTCTCACGTACTGTCCGTCCTAGCTGAATAACCTTTTGCATTGCTGCAACCTTCCTCTCGACCACTTCGTCGAAAAGCGCCTCCTGGACGGTGGGGAAGGGGAGGAAATGCACGCTACGAGAGTCTCGATACTCTTCGATGACAGGCTGCAGCTGGGGCTTTAGGAGACTGTAGATATGCTCGGTCAAGAACGGTGTGAAAGGAGCCATGGCACGGACGATGGTGAAGAGAACCTGAAGAAGCGTGTTGAGCGCAGCCTCGGTATCTTCCACTCCCAAGCCGGCACCGCCCTTGAGCCTCTTGCGGTTAAATCGAATGTACCAGTTCGTAAGGTCATCAATGATTCGAAGAAGCCGGGGAACAACAGTGTAGAGCCGGTACCCTGGCGTCCATTGTTAGCTTAGTGGATTCATTTTCTCAAAATGGGAGGGTGCGCGATGGCGATGCAAAAACTCACCCAACATTTCCTGATCCATGTACCGCAATAAACTTTGGCAGTTTGCAAGGATCCACTTATCCATGACATTGCCCAGCTGGTCACCGGACAGCGACTTGGCGCCGACAAACTCCTTTCCGGTAATCTTCTTGTATAGCGCGGCCTGCTCGGAGAAGAAGCGGTAGCTATTCCAGAGAGGAAGAAGAACGCGAGAAACAATTTCCTTAACACCAGACTCCTTGAATCTGACGGACTCGGCACGCACCACAGGCGAGTTGATAAGGTACAGCCTCAGCGCGTCAGATCCATACTGAGAAAGAATGACAGAGGGGTCCGGATAGTTCTTGAGGCGCTTCGACATCTTTTTCCCATCCTCAGCAAGCACGATACCATTGACGATGCAGTTCTTAAAAGGGGAGACGTGGAAGAGCTTGTTGCCAAGAACCGTCAAAGTGTAGAACCAACCTCGGGTCTGGTCGAGACCCTCAGCAATGAAGTCGGCGGGGAAGAGGCCTCCCTGGAAGGCGTCCTTGTTCTTGAACGGGTAGTGCGCCGACGCGTAGGGCATGCTTCCCGACTCGAACCAACAATCGAAAATTTCGTCAATCCTTCGCAAGGTGCCCTTGCCTTTCTTGGATGGGATTGTGATATGGTCAACCTTGTCACGGTGGAGGTCATCGAGAGGGCCTTCATAGCCGCTCAACTCCTTGAGTTCCGCCACACTGCCCACGCAGACGACCTCTTCGTAGTCTTCGCTCACCCAGAGAGGAATCGGGGTTCCCCAATACCTGTTGCGCGAGACGTTCCAGTCGTGGGCATTGGCAACCCAGTTAGTGAAACGCTTCTCTTTGACGGCAGTGGGGACCCAATTCGTTCCCTCGAGGTTCTTGAGCATCTCAGGGATAGAATCAGTGACTCGGATGAACCAAGAAGACACCGCCTTTCGGATGAGCTGGGTGTCGGACCTCCAGCAGAACTTGTCGGTATGCATGGTATGACTCTCAATTATGAGACGGCCGGTAGACCTCAGGTCCTTCAGAATGGCCTTGTCCGCGATCTTGACATGCTGGCCGGCGTACTCTGGGACTTCGTCGGTGAATTGGCCCTTGTCGTCGACTGGGCAGGGGAAGCCTCTTGGAATGGATAAAGCCAGCGGCGACTGCTGCGTCGTAATCTTCTTGGCCAAAGGCTGGCGCTTGGTGCACAAGGCCAGTACCCTCTCCCGCCTCAACATAATCGGCTCCGATAACCTGGAAGCAGTCGGAGAAATCCTTGACGAAGTATTTGAAGAGGGGCTCATACTTCCAGCCGATGATGTCCTTGCCCTTCAGCTTCTTGATGACCTTGTACTTGGCCTTCTTGAGATTTTTATAGATGGAGCCTAGACCCGACTCCATAAGCACGTACTGACGGCCGGAAGCCTCGTCAAGGATGACCAGGTACTCGAAATCGGGATGCGCAGCAATCAGGAGATTGGATGGGAGTGTCCATGGCGTGGTGGTATAGATGAGGAAAGAAGTGTTCTCCATGCCCTCGACGCCAACAATTGGGAAAGAAACAATGATGGCAGGGTCTTGGGTCATCTTCTCGTTTTGCTTCGCTTCCATCTGGGAAAGGGGCGTGCAGAGGGCCGTGGAAAAGGGCATAATCTGGTACGCGCGATATACATGGTCGCCATCGAAGAGCTGCTTGAACACCCACCAGCATGATTCCATAAAGGTGGTATCCATGGACTACGGAAAAGTCGTCAAAGTTAGCGGAAGAGCGTATCTCGTTTGGATCCGCTAGACAGAGAGGGAAAGAACCAAAAGAAGAAAGAAGGAAAAAGAAACCCCCAAAGGCGTACACACCTTGTAATCATTGTCAAAGTCGATCCAGCGACCGAGTCGCTCGATAGTATGCCTCCATTCCGTCGCGTATCTCATCACAATGGCCCTGCATTCCGCATTGTACTTTTCGATCCCCATCTGCATCACTGCGTCTCTGCCAGAGATGCCGAGCTTCTTGTCTATCTCATATTCGATCGGCAAGCCGTGGGTATCCCAGCCAAAGCGACGAATGACATGGTGACCCTTCATCGACCAGTATCTGGGGATGATATCTTTGATGGTGGAGGCCAAGAGGTGGCCATAGTGAGGAAGACCTAGGCTACGTGTCAGGTTCGTTGATTCGTTAAAAGGGTCGTAGAGAGACTAAAGATACCGGTAGCTGGAGGAAAGAAGTTAGCAAACGTCTACCGAGGGTGCTTTTGGCGAGCGACAGGAGGGATTCTCTGGAACAGGCGGCTCACATACCAAATGGAGGGCCGTCATAGAAAGTGAAGCGGGGTCCATCTTCTGTCAGTTGTAGTTGAGTCTGGAAGGCGTCAACATCCTTCCAGAACTGGAGGACCTCCTCCTCGGTTTTCGGGAAGCTGATGCTCATGGTGGTTGGCTGTGAAGCACAAAGATGAGGTGCTTGGGAACAGCCGTCGCAAGGTGGAAAAAAATAGTCCTTCGAATGTTGTCCCGCGCGCCAGGGACAAGGTGAGTCAGACGTAAGTTTTGATATCTTTCAAGTTGCCACAGCTCCGGGTCGCCTGGCACACTTTCGGTCTCGAAAAATCCCGTCCCAGATGGTGGGGTAAAACCTAATGGGGATGGAGGGGCAGGAACGAGCCCAGCAGAGAAAGACCCCGCACACACACCTGAGTATGACTAACACGGCTGTCTACAACTGGCAAGAGCTGGATCGGGCGGGTCCAAGCTCTGCCAAAATACGTCTACGTAACTGTCAATCCATCCAGTTGATGGATGCTGAATTCGCAACTCTGACTTCTCTTTCTCAAACACTCAATAATCCGGTGCGATTAGCTACCTTGGCCTGCTTCCGCCGGTTGACATTGTGCTGCTAAGATGAAAGTGGCAAACAAGGAGAGCCCCAAAGTCTGGAAGCCCACAACTCGTTCAAGGCGTAGCTGCCAAAAGACGATCTCAGGCCTCCAGGTTCCAGAGCCCAGTGCACTTGAATTTAAGCAGGTCTTTTGCGACGATTTCGTCCTCCATCTCTAGAAGCCGGGGCAAATCCCAACGGCAACTGAGCCACCGACCACCGAGGAACTCGCGCCGCTTGCTAGTTAGGAAAGGAATGGAGTGCGCCGCTAACTCGGGCTTGTCGTTCAAGCGAACTATTGAGGTTCGGAGATTTGGCTCTGGTTAGCTACACATTCGACACCTCGTCTCGCCACGTAGGGAGGGGGATAATTCACATCTGAGCCGCTCAGGGAGTCGCGCCGAAAGGTCCGTCGGCGTTCCGCAAGGATGAAGAGAATATGAGAGAACACCCTAGTCCTCATTTTATTAGCACCATACTCAGGCCTTCAATGGGCGAGGTTTTGCCTAGAGATACCTGAGCCCCGTATTCATCCTGCACACACTCGGTGAAGCGGGCCAAAGCGAACTTGGAGACGTGATAGGCACCGCCACCAACCCCGGCATAGTGCGCCGCGACACTCGAGAGGTTGACAATGGTCTTGTCGCCGCCTTTTAACATGAGTGGTAGAAAGGCCTTTGTCGTACGGAAGACACCCCAGTAGTTGACGTCCCATGCTCGCATGTAATCTTCCTCATCTACATCGAGGAGAGACGCAAACTCGGCCATATGGCCCGCGTTATTGACCAGAATATCAAGTTGACCCCATTCTTCCTCAACCCTCTTTGCCGCCGCCTCCACGCTTGATCTGTCACAGACGTCCATCTCAAGCACCAACACATTGGGTTCGACTCTGCCTGCGTCCTTTGCCGCCTTCCTTACGGCGTCCGCAGTTTCTGTAGCGAGGGTTCGAGCGCAGAGTGCAATTCTTTGTGCCCCGGCTTGGGCATATCCGGTCGCAACATAGGAGCCGATACCTTTGCTCGCGCCAGTGATCAGCACCGACTTACCTTTACAATCGGATTTTACAACGGGGTCGATTTCTGGGTATGTGTCGTGGTGTACGATGCCTGTGAAGTGGTCGACTAGATTGTTGGAGCATTTTGTCAGCTGTAAAACCGCTCTCTTTTCGTATCAATCCCCTTCATCTCATCTCGGTCTAGATCACCGCGTGTTCTCTTCCTGAATGACTTACTCATTTGAGGGGCATCCCTCTAGCTTGCTCATGTTTCGTCATTTTCGTCTCGCTTTAAGGAGAATGGAAGCGATATTTATTCCAACCAAATATCAAAGAAATAAAACCTCGAGTGATTGGGAGTGAGGAAGAAACACTGGCGGCGGCGGGCTTCGGAAAACTCCGGTGAGTCCGGACATTCCCCAATCCTGGCGCCCATGCATCCGTTAGATAAAGGCAAAGATCAACGAGTGCATCTCTCATCTCCACATACTTTTCTTTCTCCAGGAAATACTCCAATTAATTCACCAAAGGTTTGCTGAGAACAGCCATTATACCAACTCTATGACATTTGCCCCATTACAGATCCTTCAGGACGTCTTCATATTTTGCCTATCCATTCGCAAACGATCGCCACTTAGGAAGAGGCCTCTCGCTTTTTAGTGCTTTGGCATGCAATCTTGAAGATGTCGTGTATACAGCGGCGAGTCCAAAGGCAGACGGGAAGGAATCCGCAGAGCAAAATAGTTTCAGGGTGCGGACCTGTTCGGAGTCATCTGTGATTGTTATCTATCGTGACTTGCAGCGAGCTGGATTCGAAATATATATATATATATAAAAGACGCCTAAGTTTTGTACACGAAGTCTGCATTAACTCTTCTCTCTAAACCTCAACAGGCTTAAGTTCCGCGACAGTCTGGGGTGTCTGGGTGGCCTCTACAAATTCGGGGTCGTTGAACGGGACCGCCCCCATGTTGTACCATGCTCGGGCAGACATTAGAGCAGGGTCTTTTCCTTGGAGTAGAAGGCCAGCTCAGTCTTACCATCGCCAAAATGAGTCACCGATCGATCCTAACACACAAATCTCTTGTAAGTATCCGTCATCACCCACGGCGTGCTTTTAGCTGCGGAATGATATTGCTCAACGTACCATTCCTAAAGTCAACTTGATGACGGCGTCCGCCCAATATGGCTCATAGGTGTGCTTGAGAGCCTTTCCTTGGGTGGCAAGGACGATGTTATCGGCGCATATCATAGCCTTCCTCATCGCCGACCGCGCATTGGGATTTGCTTCTCCATGGCCTGCAAGATCTCCGCACACGAACACGTTTGGAAGGGAGTCGTCGGCGATTTGGAGAGTTGGCCTTGTTCTGACGTAGCCATCCTCGGTGATAACATCCTTCGCAATGCTGCTAACGATAGCGGAACTTGGCCTTTGTCCTGTGCAGTGTACCTGTTATGACCCGAAGAACCCGGGACTGTCAGCAATGCCACATATTCTCCGATAGGAAGGGTAATGGATGAGCCTAGGGTAGGACGGCACGTACGATACAGTCATACTCTACCGTCTTCCCAGATTTTAGAGTAGCGAGGCCAGCTGCTTCATCCTCGGCGATCAGCCGATCACCCAGGATGACCTCGATCCCCAAGTCTTGAAGGCCTTTAAGACCCGCGGTTTGTAGTCCAGTCCCGAATCGGTGCATCACTGCGCTTCGTGAATGCACAAGGGTGACGGTCTTGTTGGGATACAGCGACTTAGCGTCAGTAGCGACCTCTACACCAGCCGCTCCACCGCCGACGATGACGAGCTTGTTGGAAGCCTTGATACGCTGCTGCATGGCCTGGAGGAGCTTCACGCCCTTGACCTTGGATGTTTCGCCCACACGCGGGAAGGACATCGTCAGCGCCGCTTCCAGTCGCGATGACCAAGTACTCATAGGGTATGACATTACCCGAGCCGGCGAGAGTCACCGAGTCTCTGCTGATGGTCGCGACCTTGCCCTGTACCCACCTTGCCCTGGCGCCATTTAAATATGGGCCATAAGGGATGAAGGCTTTGTCCTCATGCCCCTCTACAACACAGAAACGTGGCAATACCCAGGTGAAGTTAAAGTGGCTATTTGGCTCAATGACGACGACCTCGAATGGGCTGTCGGCGGGAAGATCACAGGATATTATACGCGCAGCATAGTAGCCGGCAAAACCAGCCCCAACGATGACAATATTGCGCTTGGGTTTCTCGGGATCGGCCTCAGTCGCGTCCGTGGCGAGGCGGCGGGGTTTGGTATTGCGAGAAAAGAAAGCGACGTAAGCGCCTAGGACATAACCGACCAGCTTGCAAACAAGCGCGGCCTTATTGACCACCTTCATCATGGTTCGGGGTCGCGTCTTGTCGAGGCTTGCGATGGCTCCGGCCCTCCTCGGGAAGTGGTGTACTGGGGAGGCACGTTACGAGTCAATGATTGAAAGTAGTGGTAACAAAAGAAAGGTGGTGCGTGAAGGAAGAAAGCAAGATGAATGGATCAATACGACTCCAAGGGGAGGAATGCGAAAGTGAGACGGCTATTTCTCCTCACTGCAAAGACCCAGAGAACAAGAGGGGAAAGGGTGCGTGTAAAGAAGGGAGGGAGGGAGAGTTGCAACTACACGCGCGCAATCAAGTGAGGGCCAGAGATTTTCCGAGCGGGAAAGTGTTGCCATTGTGTGCGTTTTGCTAGTGCAGCCAAATTTGTCAAAGCCTTGAGTCGGGTCAATACATGTAGACTGCAGCTTCAATTCACCTACCGAGGTACGGTACCGATGACTGAAACTTTGAGTAAGGCTGCCTAAAGAATCAGTAGCCTGCAAGTTATCCTGACTCGCTAACCATCGGCGGCGGCCCGGAGATATCCCCATCGCGAATGTGTCGGGCGAACTGAGAAAGTGAGGACCCGCAAAGGCCCTTGGGAAAAAAAAAAATTACATGGAGATGCAAGATGATTGATCTGATAAGATAATTAATTCCCTGCACCCATCCTTTCTCGGAAAGGCAGGTGGCGTAGAGTGGAGCCGTCATTTGCAACCAACACCAGCACAGCCTCCATTAAATGCTCACTCCATGTACAATCATCTGGCTAGATGTACAGATGGAATTGGGACCCCTCATTGACACAACAATCCCTATTGTCTCAACCCTCATCCTCCCACTTCTAAAAGGGAAGAACGAAACAAAGCAAAAGTCTAATAAGGCCCACGACCTTAATCGAGCCGAGTCAGAGGGGGAAAGTCCCCACGAGCCAATCCATTGTATTGAACCTTTGCTCAGAAGACTCTCCTCCCAAGCCGCAAGGGCCCTCTGTTTTCGGTGCCTCCAAGGGCCCCCACCTCCATCTGAGGACCTTGACCCTGTCTACAACCACACAACGGCGGGTCCGTGGTCCCATGTCATGCCCACACCATGATTGATCGCTTCATCTTTGATCCCTGTGCCTCGGTAACGCCTCCCGTATTGGTCCAAGTTAGATGGGCCTAAGGGTCGAATACGCTTTTTCTTCACTAAGGTCAGAGCAGCAGCGATATCGGCCCCAAGAAGCCGTTTCGGAGACGATGAATACGAGAAAATGTTTTCTCCCATCACACCGAGGGCCGCTTGACAATAGTAGATATTACCACCTGGCTATACGCCCCCGCCATTTGCGTGGGCATGCACGCCGCGAATACAACCTCTGATCGTCTGCTGCAACTAAAACAACATAGGCACGATCTTCTAGCACTACACACCGAGAGCAAAAGAGAGCGAAGGCAAGGAAAATAGACTAGTCACTCCATATGAGTCTTCATTCGTTTATGAGATGTATATTATTACCTTCCCTTTTCCCGCCAGACCGAAAGAAAACCAGAGAAAAAAAAGCGACAAATAACCAAGAGAAGAAAAGGCCAATCCTACCGGCAAAAGATGACCAAGTGGAAAGGAAAGAGCCAGGATCTTAAAATAGAAGCACAGTTATCAATCAATCAGTTGACACCTCGAGCAAAACAAGCCAGCTCGCCTCCCTCCTCACCACTCAGTTCTTGCCAGGCAATTTTGAATGCGTGATGATAAAACCGTCGACAACCGAAAATTTGAAAGCGCGTATATCCCTAAAATGTCATTACTGCCCCGTTATGCCTGGTGTTTGGTAGCCTCGCGCCATTCGTCAAAAGTCATGCCAAGCGACCGCGGCATGATTACCATCAGAGGCACTTGGATGTCCTCGGGCGTGCCAAGAACCTCCTTTTGTGAACAATGGTCTCGCTGAGCTTCTGGAACCCCATTTTTTCGTAGAGGCCCACGCTGGAAGGCGAAGCTTCGAAGTAAAGAGGCAGTTGCCACGCCTCAGCCATCTCGACGCCCCATTTGCAGATGAGGGCGCCAGCCTTGCGGCCCTGGTGCTTCGGCTCAATAGCGATGACGTGAGTGTCTTGAAGAAATAGTCGCCATCCGGGCGCGCCAGTTAGCCAATCGCCTTGATAAACCCTCCGGCATGGGACAAATCGATCACAACTTACAGATATAGGGCCTTCCTCCAAAGATGGATTCCCTGGCTTCCCACAGAGGGTTCAAAATAGCTTCGGCCTTTGCACGATGCTCGCCCTCGAGCCAGGGCACGCCGTGGTTGGCACGCTCTTCGCTAGTACGGGGCGCGAGGTAGGCGTCGGTAAGGACCATGCCAATAATTCCCATGCTATCAGTGTCAAGCACTTTGTAGGTGTATTGGTTCGTAGCCTTGGCCCAGTAATCCGCGGTGGCCTGGGTGTGGGCCTTGCGGAACTCGTCCCCCTCGAAACCACCTGGGAAGAGGACGCTGAGCATCAAGGCACCCATAGGGTCCTTCTTGAATGCGGAGAAATAGACATCGTAGATCCTTTCAATGTCCGGAATGAGGGCGGGGGCAATGCCGACGGTCATGGTGGGCGATCAGTGGGGGCTTTGAAAATCTGTCAGCGATCAACGTGTGCGTGAATGTTGTCCCCGTTGGGATGAAGTATAAGATTTGTGGGGTATATTTACAGTTTCGAGGGTGAACGCGTTTTCCTGTCTCTTTTCCTGTAGAAAAAGTATCACGAGATCTCCTTCGGCCGGGGACGAAGAATATATGGGAAATGGGGCAAAACAGGGTTGGGTAAATGCGGGATAAAAGTTTTTAATATCTTGCTTGGCTGCAAGTGGGGAGGGTAGGTCGGGTTCACACGGAGGAGGTATGCGAACGTCAGAGGGAGAAGGAGTGGGAAAAGCTGAGGAGGGAGTAGTGGAAGGAGATTGATAAGATGAGATGTTTTCTAGTTTTTCTTTTTCTTTTGGAGATCGGGTTAGCTCCTCAAAAGCTGGGACGGCTTTTCGAAGGATTTTATATCCCCAATTACTCTATTCCGCCAAACTATGTGGGTAGGCTAAGACGAGCTGGACCTTCGATTTCACGGCGACTAGACCTCATTGCGCCCTCCATGTATCTTGCCCCCTCGGCTGTCCCCGTCATGTCTACAAAAACGACCCCCTCTTTCTCTTGCAGGCGCTAGATCAGGCCGATGCTTCCCAAGAGCCCGACCATCCTCCAAGTCTTTACGCACCATTATTCATAGGACGGTCTCGATTTGGCAGGAAGATGTGTTTCGAGACGGAATCTCGTGTAAGCCCTGATCTTCCCCCATGCACACCCCGCCCTGGTCTCTCTGGCTATGGTCCCCTTTCCATTATTACCACCAGTCTCGACGCAAAATTGAGGAACGCCAAGGTGAGCACGTTGTGCACTAGCGCGAGGGGCACTTCCAAGGGTGTGTGTGGGGCCGACTTCCGACGGCGAAGTCGCGAGGACAAGGGTCTATTGACAATCAAGGATTGAGAAAAAAAAAAAAAAAAAGAAAGAATAAATACGCACGGAAAGGGATGGGTGGAAGAGAAGCGAGAAATTCAGTCGGAATAAATTCCACCCAAATATGGCAGCCCTAGCTTGATAGGACATTGTGTTCCGCCCGCCCTCTCTGCATGCCGCGCAGCCGAAGCCCGGTATCCAAGTCCCAGAATTCTGCTCCATGGATGGATCCATGGATGGGTTGATGGTGGATCTTGATAGAGAACAGAGACAGGTACACCACCCCTGTCCTTACCACCGCTTCCAGCAACGCCGCCAATGCGATTCCGACTGAGAACTTCCTGCTCCTCGGGATGCATAATGTACGAAGTAGTAGGGCTATGGCCCAGGATTGTGCACTCAGCTCGCTTCAACCCGGTACGAATGGGCCTTTGCAGCTCTCCATCACACCTCTGGACAACCCGCCCGCACTCCCCAAGTCGTTAAGCCAAGCGACAGGAGAGAGAAAGTGAGTGTGAGTGAAGAACTTTGAGTGGGCGGGTGGCGTCTTTCTCCCCACGGATACTCCAACACCCCCAGTCTTACCCGGGTTTTGCCTCGAACTCTTTGCGGGATTCATGCGAATAATAGCACTATTGAGTGCCACAGCTATAACGTAGTGTTCAAGTGGCGATGCAACCCACCATTCCGTTGCAGTCACACATGTCAGAAGATTCATCCATCCATGTAATTAGTGTACAGCAAGTGGCCCCATCCGGTGTCGCTTCGTCTCCACCAACAGCTTCATCCGCCTACTCTCGTGAAATCCTGATGAGGTATACGCCGATGCAAGCTGTCTAATCAAGTGCTCCGAAGCAACGTGTATTTCTTGCCCGATGTTTTGATCGCCCATTGCCCACTACCAAGGCAGACAGACGGTCTTTTAGTCCGACCCGGCGCATCTATAACTCGGGGAGGCTTTCACATCAAGCAGAGCTAATCTCATTCAAACTCAAAGGCAGGTAGGAAAGGTCCGGCTGCCTTGCCCTAGATTCATCGTCCGCTAGGTCCGTCCTGGTGTCCGATGTAGGTGCGGGTTCGAGGCTGGGCACAGCCCGCTTCTGCTGCGAGCGGGGAATCGGCATTTGACCACCCATGCTATCCTTTGCTAAAATGGCGTGGGATATCAACGCACCGAGCTGCCGCACTACAAGTACTCGAACGAGGCGCTTGGCTGGCTTGTCCTCTTCAAGCAGGAGCGGCAGCCCGCTCGCCTTACACACCACCCGAATGCAAGGTTCTAGAAAGGGCTGCTAGGATGCTGCTGAGCATCATGCCGAGCCAAAAACAGAAAGCTCCGGGCAGGCACGGGCCCTATCCATCCCCCAAGCCATTGGGATGGGCTACGAGAGCCCGGCACCGATGCCAAGATCCTCGCCTGCACGGGAGAACCCACGCTTGAGCGATCAAACTGCGCTTTCCGAAAGAGCCTAGTCATGGGTCTTCTCCGTCCAGCTCCATTCACCACCCTCATCCGACGTAAACGTACACGCTCTGCCGCGTGACACGCCTAAACCAACATGGGCTGTCACAATCCTCTTTGAGCAACAGCTTATGTACAAAATATGGCGTTTGGGCCGCGGCTTCTGCCAAGGATCCAAGCCGAAGTGGCCTCTGCTATGCATCATGCCATCATCATATCCCCATGAGGTTAGCAGCTATGCAAAAGAGGCCCCTTGATCCTTCATCTTCTGATTGATAAGATAAACCAAGGATCCCCTAACCCCCTTAACCGCTGGCCTCACCCCCACGCACGCCAAGTGAGGGATGGAGGATGGGAAAACGGCTACCCTTAGTCGTTTCTGGCGAAGTGATAGGCTTCTGTTAGGTAAGTATCTGACACGGCGTTCGGTTCAGTGGCTGAAATGTATACACATGGCGGATACTTTAGTACTTGTCTAAGAATATGTATAAAATAAAATATATAAAATTGAAAAAGAACTTGATAGATCATAATGTACAAAGCTGCCTGCCTGTCTGTACATGTAGTCTTCATGGCGATATTCACTTCGATGGTCGAAGTGGACCGAACCCAAGCGTTACATGTATGCAGTCGACACGCGTTTCCCCCTTGAAATTGAATACAGGCCGTGACGAATGTACCAGTGGACAAGCCAGGTTTAGTGCCAAATGTCAAGTAATTCCACACTCCATCATTAATTAGTATTTCAATCTGAACAGCCTACAATGGGGAAACGAGATAACATCGTTGCCCCATGTTGTACGGGGCAGGATAGACCGGCACTTGACTACCTCAATATGCAGCCTTTTACCCGTTACCCCCGTCTCCTCCTTCGTTCCTGAAACAGGTCACCCTTTTTCAAAGCGTTGGGTGCGAAACCGTACGACACATGATGGCGGCTTGTCCTACAGAACCAAGTCCTACTAGTCCGCCGAACAATACAGGTGAAGGCTTAGAAGACAGTTCCCTTGACCTGCTTAATATCCTTCAGCTTGATATCACGCCACAGCCACGCCATCACCCAGGCCGCGGCGATACCGCAGGTACTGACGATGGCCATCAGCCGCTGAGTATCGGCATACGCGGCGTTGATGCCAGTTCGGATGGGGTTGCCGGTCTTATACGCCAGCTGGGTGTACAGACTGCCGAAGATGCCGTCAATCGCGGTGCCGGGAGGGGTATACTTCTCGAGGTTGGACCTGAAGTTGCTCGTCCAAACAGCCGTTGAAACGGTGGAGCCGATAGCGGTACCCATACCGGAGAAAAGGTCCAGGATGGCAATAATAACGGCAATATACTGGCGGCTTAAAGGAGCCATCATAGCCATTTCGCCGGCGATGACGATCGGCCCACCGGCGAAGGCAATGAAAATTTGGGTCATGACGATGAAGCCAATACTCTGGGAGGCCATGCGGAAGTGGATGAGGAGGCCGACGCCAAGCATCATGAGGGGAATGCCATATATAGTGGCAACCCACTTGAACCTGCCCGTCCATTTGACAAAGTAGCCGATGAAGATGGCCGCAAAACAGGAGCCGACACGATAAATGTTGCTGATGTAGGTAGACTTGGTGACACCCTGATCCCAAACGACGACAAGCATAGAGGTGAAGTAACTACCCCAGACGCTTGAGTTGAAGAAGATGAAGAAGAACATCATGCCACCAGTGAAGACGGTTCGATCGGTAAGGAGGTGCATGGGGATGAACTTGACTGGAGCGAGGAACTTTTCGTAGAGAGCAAAGGCAATAAGTAGGCAAGGGCCGATGACGAGCATGGCGATAATCATGGGCGACTGCCATGACTTGTGCTGCTGAGAGTAGAGGGTGAAGGGAAGCAGGGTAAGGGCCATGCCGGCCGCAAGAAGGATGATGCCGACAAGGTCAACCTCGATGCAGTAATCGATGATGCTCTTGGGGGTGATGGGCTTCTTCTCGCGGCGAGCAAGCAGACCAGCCTTCTCAGCAGTCTTTTGCTTGACCAAGAAAAGAGCGATGAGGGGAATGACCACGACGGGGGTGACGATGGCCCAGATACCGAAACCCCATCGCCAACCAGGGCCGGCGATGACACTGTCCGCAATGGGGCCGCCTACCCACGTAGTAACGATGTAAGGGGAAGTGGCAAAGGCGAGCATGAGGGGACGGTTCATGAGACTCGAAGTATCGGCGATGAAGATGGTGATACAGTAGCTGACAGCTTGAGCGCCCGTGAGAGAGAACACCTGAGCCGCGGCGTAGGTTTCAACATTCTTACAGGCGGCCATCATGACAAAACCAATCACCCAGAGGAAGAGGGACACTGCGAGACCCTGCGGACGGCCCCAAGTATCTAGAATCTTGGCGAGAGGGAGCTTGGTAAGACTGGCAATCATGCTCGACATGATGTTCGTCGTTGCGGTAAGAGAGTGCCTGCCAAACGAAGAGGTCACGAAGGGCGTCAGGGAGCGCACGACGACCTCTTCCGTCGAAGCGACAAAATAGATGAACCAGATGCTACTTTTAGCGTTAGTAGTCTGCGAAAGGGTGCGCGCGCATCATTCCAACTCACATCGCATAGGCCGCAATCAAATCCTTCTTGGACCAGGTGAGGGTTGTCGCCTCGACAGCAGCGACACCATCCTGGTACTCATCGCTAATAGCCCGATCGTTGATTGGGGAGACGTCCTCCGAGTCGCCGACTGGGCGAGGAATCGCATCGTCGCCGTGCTTCTCGGATGTCGCCTTTCAGAGCCCACGACCTCCTCAGAGGGAGCGGCGTCCTTGCGCTTAAAGAAGCCCATTGCTGAGAATAGTTGGGTTGTGGGGAATTGTCTCGACCTAGTGGGAAGGAAACGCTGCAGGAGACCCGAGTCCCTTGGAAATTAATCCCGTGCTCCAAAAGCCCAGTGTATTTCGGGGCGCAAGTCTGGGAAAGGAAAGGCAAAAAGAAAGTAAGGCCAACCCGGATTTCAGGTTATGGTTGTAATGAGCCCAGATGACGGACAATATCCACGAGGTTCCGTCCTCCACGAGGTGAGAGGGATTGAGGTGCCTCTAATATGAACATTGAAGGGAGGAATAGGAAAAAAAAAAGAGAAAAACGAAGACCGGTGACGGATACCCAAGGCCCATCGTCTTTTCTGTGCAGGGGCTCCACCATATCCCGGTTCTCGCAGCGAGTAAATTACAATGAAGGCCAGTGAGTGTACGTACAGGGTATTCAGGGTGTACAAGCGTTGGCTCACTGGGCTGGCGCCCAGAACCAATTGGGCTGGTCTAAACCAAGAAAGGGTGCGCAAGGGAAAAGAGAGGCAAAAGAGAAGGAGGGAGGGGGGAGGGGTAGGCGGGAAGGGGAGTATGCCGAGGCGTGAACGGGAACGAACGAAAACAACATACTACATGTACATGTATGGAAGAAACCCAACAATGCAAAGACAGATCTAATGGATCCATTGCATACATGTAAACCATACCCTTCAAATATGGAAGGGATCTTAAGCCGGGATGAGATGAATAGACTCAAAACCTAACAACTCCTCTTGTTAAAGACATTGAAAAATCGAGAAGAGCAGCAAGCATCGACACAAGTGCGCAAAAATTGCTTGTCGAGCTGTTACATGGCGTGGAGTCTGCCACGAACAAGATAAATCATGCGCAATGGTATTTGGGCCATCAAGGAACTGGCATGGTAATGGTGCACAATGGTTTTCGTAGCGCCTAGACTTCCATAAAACCCGACTAGAGATCCATTGATGTCACACAGATTGATTGTATTAGTGCTCGGCATTGTGGATACTAGTTTCTCATCCCGCACATTCGACGAATACTTGAATGTTTGCGCGGTCGGTGTCCGTAAATCGGCGGTGATCGTTGCTTGGAAGTGTGCCCAGAACAGTTTGGGTGCGATCTTGGTGGGTATGTTGGTTAGAAAACATTGCTCTCTGACCTTGCCAATAAAATGCAGCGATCCTGGTTAGCTCGACCGCGCCGCCGCCCCCTGGCGCGCCAGGAGAGTTCTTGCCCGAAGTCCCCGGTATTCCTTGGTGTTTATTTCCCGCCCCTCCAAGTACAAGGTTTCCTCGATTCCCATCAGCTTCTAATTTCTTTGTTGACAGTAAGGACGCTCAGCTGGAAGACACAACCGATCAACCCCCCTCTTCGTTCTCCTGCTCTTTTCATGGGAGACCAAAGGTACATTCAACATGGGGGTAGGCGGTGTAACACTTCAGTCGGTTTAAAAATCAGATCGATTGATCGCTAACAGTGGGGTGGTCAGTCAGGTGGTGAAATTGTCTGGGGGAGGGGAAGAAAACAGCAAGGCACAACGGGGACTTGGCGCATTTGGTTTTATCTCATCTTATCTGATCATCAGATAAAATTGTTTCCCAAATTTGCTCAGCGCGCCACCGCGCCACCATGCTTGTGCCCTGTCACATCGACCCGGCGGAGGTACAGTACACAATTTTCCCTTGTCTGTCAGTTTCTTCTCTTCCCCACTTGGGCAATTCCCTGTCGACCAACCGGTGTGGGACAACCCAGGACCGTGTTCTCTTCGTGTTTGCCGCCAAGCTTTGATTCGATATCACCTCGCTATTGCTAAATGTGTCGGTGGTTGACGCGGAGAATGGACGGTTTCGTTTTTGGCTCCAAGGTATTTGGTACCTGCGCAGTTGGTATCCTCAGTGGGAGGACGTGTATCTTGGACTTCTGGCACCGAGTCCGATCCGCTTTCGCGACCCTCCCACCCCACATCGAGTTCTCGTTCAAGCAGCTGATACAGCCACAAGAAATCCCACTTTTCCTTTTCGACCATACATCCATGGATCCATTGTACCTTCGCTCAACAGCCTTGCGATGTTCGAATTCTCCGCCATCTATGTAGGTAATACAAGTAAGACGTTCAGGACCAGCGAGCTATCAATTCTGCATAATCACTCGGGTCTCGGTACGAACGGATACAAGTGCTTGGGCGCGCCTCTGCCTTGCATCCTGTGGCTTTGTGGAGCTCGAGACCAGCGCGCCTCCCGGCGAGGCCCCTCCTAGATTTTAGCCCTCGCACTTGATTCTGCTCATGCTCCCTCGTTGTGGGGGCACGATGTCCTGCAAGCCCCCGCACGACATCAAGGGTGCTTTCGACTCTCGATGTCGATTTGACGCATCCATCCCATCCATTGACGGATCCACCTTTCCTCCACACAGGGGTACATTCGATGTGTGCGGCCAAGCTGCCAACCAGACCGTGGCAGCCCTTTGATTCCTCCCGCTCCCGTGCTCTGTGGCGGAAGCCGGCCTATCCTAGCCATTTCTAACCGAGGCAACCAACAGGTTTCCACCTGGAAAGGCCACTGTCTGGTTTTAGCTCCTTGGATTGCTAACGCTATCCCCTGTTAGGAGGGTTGAATGCAGAGTCAGGCAACAAGACATATTATAGCATTGCCCAGTGTGGATTGTGATGGCCTGGCCAGCTCAGAGCAGCTCTTGGCCTGTACCGACAGTACCAATTTTTTCTTCTTCGGGCAGTCCCCGTCAACTGCGATGTCGGAGGCTTGAGGTGTTGCCTGACAACAGCTCCCTTGTCGAGTGTCCGCCGTCCTGGTTTTCGATCCGGACAGTTGTTTTCCCTGTCCTTGCCGTTCTGTACGAAGTGTTTCCGTACACTTTCGATCCTCCCCTCCCTCCTCACCCGTAATCGGTCACAAGAGAGAGCGGGCGACTTCCGCACTGATCTGCGTTCCTGAGTATTAATCGATATCCATCGACGGGAACCATAATTTGCACAACTGAAAGAGCGATACCTACCTCGGTGCATGTCCGATGACATGTACTCAGAAGAGCTCTCAGGCGATGGGCCTCTAAATGTCCAAGATGCCCCCTAAAATCTCGGCTCCGAAGCCGAGCTGTCGATCCGGCGGGGCGCTTGATCCCAAATTGGTCCGTCATTGACACCGACCTTGCTGAGAGGGAGAGAGATTGATTCGACCCCCGTGGTCACTAGCGGAGCATCATAGGTGCGTGTAGTGGGATGACTGTGTAGGGGTGGTGGGGGTTGCATAGCCCTTCCCCTTGCTCGACCACTTTGAGCAGGAGAACCGCAGACAGCATCCAAAGCTACATGTATGCGTCGATCAACCAACGTGATTGATTTGGTTCATTCACAGCTCCAATACGTAATTTTCAGCCGGCTCTTTTGCCGACCCGGAGTCAGTCAGGCATGGCATGGACCTGGAAAGTTGGCTCGTGGCCTGACCCACCCGGTCTTGTGCACCAACCACCGTGACTGACCCTTGCCGCAAGAGCATATGGAAGCAGCCATAGATCAATCCCACCTTCCCGACTTTCTCTTGGAAGATTTTGTGATCAAATCCATTCTCTTGGTCGATATGTATGGGTCGATGTTCTTGTCCACCAGCCCGCCATGCCGCGAGTGCGTCGCTGGTGGCGGGCTTGTCGATTGGATGTCTTGCCCCGAGTTAGAATAGCTTCAGGAACGGTGGCTCTGTTCCTGAGCCTCGTCGCGCGCCATGTGGTTCGAAAGATCCACAAACCCTGTTTTTGCACCACAACACCTGTCAGCATCGTTCAGGAGCCATCCGGCGACCGGATCGGATCGCTAAGTCCCCGGATTCGATTAGTTAGGGAAAGGGGGTTTTTCGGGCTCTCCCTTTGATTTTTTTTTTTTTAACTTTATACACTTCGCCCAACACGTCCATTGATCTCTTTACTATTATTTTCGTCGAGATGCGTGACGTTGCTAATTTCAAAAGAGTTGTGCCCCCTCCTTTTTCCCTCCATGTACGAAGTACTACATCGATCAAGTATGTATCCATTCCTCGAATGGATGTACGGGAAGCTAGGCGAGCACTAACAAAGCCACCGACAAAACACCCCTCCTCCCACACACACCCCAGGGTCCCCCTCCCGAAATGAGCAAGAGAATGCGACTTTATTTTGTCCCTCGCAGCCGATTCGGACGGGCACTAATACCGAGCCTTTGTCGTTCGTCTTCGAGGACCTTGCCCTGGACGCTTCTTGGCAGAGCTCCGGGCTAAGACCGATCACTGTGCCCCAGCCAGAGAATCCCTTTTATCCTCACGCTCCCGCTCGATGCACCCATCTATTATTTCCTCGTGACTCCCTTCTTCTCACCTCAAAATCCCTCTCACCTCCCACACAAACCAGTTGGTATTTCGTACGTTGGAAACCCAGAGCATTATTATCTTTTGTTTATTCTTTTCATCATCTCTATTTTACCCCCTGCGCTGCTCTAGCCCCGTCCTTTCATCAAAATGAAGTTCTCCGCCTTGCTCCTTGGTGCTGCCAGCCTCGTCGCTGCGCAAAGGTCGCTGACTACTTCCCCGAGTGCTCAGTCGAGTGTCTCAAGGAGTCTGTTGCTGCTGCTTCCGATTGCGACTTTGAGGATGCCTGGTGTGTTTGCGTTCAAGCCACCTACGAAGCCATCACCGGCCATGCCACGCCCTGTGTTATGACCAAGTGTGGTGCCGACAAGGCGATTAGTACGTGACTCTTCCCTTTCTCGCCCCGATCTGTTTTTCTTCTTTTTTTTTCATGTTTTCTCTCGCATTTTGGTCGCCGTCGCGAGATCACGGCGGAAATAGAAAAAAAGATGAAGAGGAAGAATGAAGATTTTGTCAGCTTGCTCGATACAACTGCTAACCTAAACCTGATTGTGTGCAGTCGAGGTCCTTCCCGCTGCCATTCCATTCTGCGCCGATGCTTCCGCTAGCCACGATGCCTCCGAGGGATCGGCCCCCAAGACGGATGATTCCAACTCTTCCGCCACCGCAGCCCCGACTGCCGATACCACCGATGCTCCCACTGGTGACTCAACCTCTCCTGGCGCAGCTCCTGCTGCTACTGAGACTGGTTCCTCCGGCTCCGGAAGCGGAGGCGACAGTGGTGCAGTGGGCCAGTCCGCCCCCGCCATCCTCGGCATGCTCCTCCTCGGCGCCGTGGCCGCCTTTTAAGCAGCCCCCATCCGAGCGCACCGCGTCTGCCTTTGCATTTTCAACAGCTGATTGGATCTCGCCTTGGTCGCTTAATTGGTCCTCGTCGACTCGTTCCCGCATCTTCTGGCATGGAGAGTGATCCCGGGCCCTGGTAGTCGAATGTAATATCCTAGTTGCCCTCAGCGTGGCCATGTCTTGAGAGAGGTGACCTATGCACGGAGGCGCTGTAATACAATAGTGATACCTCAGATCTAATGGTCTAACGCGTCGAAGTGTTGATGTGATCAGCTCCTCGCTCCGGCGTCAGGCACAACAAGTTTTTAATAGTCCCCAGTCCGTGATCTCAGTTTTGTTGGTAGGTAAGCGGCGTTGATCGTGTAATGTCGTCATATCGTGTTGGATTCACACAATCACGCGGTGGAATCTTGCATAAATTACCTTGAACATAATGGGATATCTTTAGAGCTGTAGGAAAGGATTATTCTGGAGGAGGATAAAGAAAAACGAGGCTATGACGAGCCAAACGAAGAAGGCAAAAAGACAAAAAGAAAAAAAAAAAAGGGGAGGAGACAAGAAATAAATCAAACTTGTTCGGAGACGCCCCTCCTAATAAAACGAAACCTTGATCCAAACGCCCGAACGCCACAATCTCGTTTCAATCCCAACGCAGTTACCAGCCCGTCAAAAGAATCAGATCGCCAGTCGGTTCGCATGTGTGCCCCCGTTTAGGTGTGCCGCCGTACGCATTTCGTGGTCTCATTATAGATGTGTTCTTCAGTTATGCCACTCATCTAATATCTTGTTGCTTGTCGGATCGCCCCTCGGATGCTTTGTCTGAGTTGCGGTCACATCCCTTAATGTTATCTTGAGACGGCGGTCAAGTCCTTACGTTCCGGTAATCCTGAGGGTTGTAGTTGTATTCGTATTGGCCTTTGCTTGGCTGGCCTTCGTCGGCCTCCTTATGAGACGAGAGCTCCGCTGTGACGCCTTGATGGTCTAACCCAGACGACGTAAAGCCGGCTTGGGGAGGTTGAAAAGAGCCGTCATAGGAGGGTTCGTGCCGGTGGCCCCACAAGGGGTTGACGCCTTGTGTCGATGCACGGGATATTCTAGATTGCTGCGAATCTCTGTTCGGGTGGTGCGAAAACCCTGGGGACATCTGCGGATGGTAATAGTCCCCGGGCATCTCCACTGGTGCCGCCTGCTGCGTGACTGAGTGGGCGGTTGACCCCGTCCTTTGATGGTAGAGCTGGGGGAGTGAGAGGCGGATGATGGCGCGAACCCAGGGAGGGGGACTTGATATTGGGTAGGAGCAAATCCTGGAGATCCAAGGTTGACGGTGTTGGACCTATCATTGGGGTTGATGGTCTTGAGCTTGCCATCCTGAAACATAGCTTTGAGTACGCCCGCGTCGAGCAGCTCTGCTTTCTTAATGATGCGCTCGACCATCTTTTGGAGGCGGCCTTGAGTTGAGCCTTGACGAAGCTGACGACAGCAATGTTGCACCTGATCTCGATATCTTCGCGGAGGTAGAGGCCATCAGAGGGTACGCCGAGCTCCGACATGCCGATCTCGAGAGGCTCTGGAGGCTCCACTCCAGGCTGGTTTCCAGCGATGCGATACTTGTTCCGCAGCTCAATGCTCATTGGAGCGTAGATATGTGTCTGTAAACCCCAGGGCATATCGTGGAAGCAGCCGTTGAAGCTAATCTTGCCCGATCCCATCTTCCCCGTGCCTGGAATATACTGGATGCGCTCGGTGATCTCATACCATGTCGAGTAAAATTCATCTGCAGCGGCATTGCGCGGTGCTGGGATCGGCTTGTGTCCAAGGACGAGGGGATTCAGCGTGATGACCTCGCTGTGGCTATGAAGGATGTCAATCGCGAGCTGCCGGGGATGAAGCCCGGGATGGGGGTGATTGTAGTAAAGACTTCTTTCTTCCGAAGCATGATTGCAAGGGTCGGCCAAGCTCAGGCTGCCAATGGCGGCCCAAATTATCGCTGGGTTATAGCTGAGAAGGGTAGCGAATAGGGTCGAAGGCCGGTGAGGAAGGCAACGTCGGTTTATTCGCGTGGTCAGGCTTGTAACGATGGTCGCTTTGCTAAGTGGTCTAGCAGGTGAAGTGGGCAGATGTCGCGAGGAGAATTTGATATCGTCAAAACGGGAGGTGGTCGAGTGGTTCGGCGGTTTCAATCCAATATCTGCGCGAAGGCGTGCTCGAGGAGCGGATTTGGGACCTTATCGCAAGGCGAGAATTCGGGAGGAAATTTTTGTCTTGCCTCGGTTCATACAAACAAAATTGTTGGTTTTTTTATTTCCCTCTGTTCAATAATCAATAGATCGTCGGCGCTCTCGTCCTTGTTCGGTTTTGAGAGTGTGGATGGGACGGTGTTGGTTGCTTGTTCGATTCTCTCCCACAGCAAAAGGAAAAATGGGAGAATGTCAAGTGAGGGGGTGTTGAGGTCAAGTGGTGGCGGGGGACAGTGACATCCCTTTTCCAAAGGTAATCTGCGTGCGGCGACTAAAGGGACAGACTTGATCGATATGCCTGATTGAAGGGATGAGGAACAACCAAAGGCAACCTTTCAAAGCCCGCACGGTGACACAAGAGGAATTCCCGCCTTAATAGGCCATTCTTACGAGTAGCCGCGTGGAGGGAATACTTGTACAATTGATCAATGCTGACCCGGAACCCTGACTCTCCGTGTGGCCGTGCTTAGGCTAAGGGAGGCTCTGTTCGCTCTTGGCTGAAGCAAGAGCGAGTGGATTGCCAAGCCCATCAATCCTTCCTCACCTTCACAAGCCATTTCGCCAGGCCAAAATACTACATACATGTAGGCCAAGAGGGAACAAAAATAACCATGAATGACGCGCTTCAATCAACGGGGGAAAAAGGAAGGGAAAGGAAAAAAGGAAAAAAAGCCAGTGAGGTGCGGGGTGTTTGTCAGGAATATTACCTGACAGTCGGGATTTGAACACTGGCGTGGGGCCCAATATGTTACAATGGTGTTCACCACATTAACTACACCGACATCAATGGCGTCCCCCAAAACCTAAAAACGAGCATGCCACAGCCAAGAAACAACATGAGATGTGGCAAGGCCTTGCCACGAGTTTTAGGAGGAACGAGACCTCGTAGAGACTTATCGCATCCTCTCCTTGGCGTCCTTCTCAAGTCATAGATTTTTCTAGGCATGCCTTGTCAATCAATCCCTTTGATTCATCAAAATTTCCACTTCCAAACATACCTGGAGGAAGGGTCAAGTGGGGATATCCATCCAATGGATCCATTGGATCCATCATTGATCTCCATCAATAAACAGCCAGCTGTCGTCTTTGGACCCTCTCTGGCCCTATGCCAGCCGCTAGTGCACTCGGACAATTCTGAACGATGGCTCGAGCATAACTCTAAAAATGGACCATGTGTTTAGAGGGAGTGGCGGAGCGATTTCTTTGTGGGGGCTCGGGTGAGGGCTTCAATGTTTCTTGGACGAGCCGTCCGGTCCTTCCGCACGCCCTCATGGCCAGCCCACAACTGTCTGGGGAGGAAATTAACCGTGCCTTTGACCGGGTACAATCAACTGGTATGTCATTCTCAGGCATGACGCAAGTCAACATCAGATGGAGCCTCAGTCGTAAAGCAGAACCAGTAATCAACGCCGTTGAAATGGATCCATCGATGTTTTTCGGATGCCATGTCAGCCTTGATCTCACTGCATGCATATCCACTTATCGGTCTGTTCGAGTGACTATGCTGGGCGAAACCAACAAATTGACTTTTCGTGAGATGCGATGTGTATTGTGAGAGCAAAATCTCCCTCTAGTGTACATGTAAGGCTACGAGCAAAACCAACATCTATAAAGTTCATGCGTTCCATCATCCGGGACCAGGCTTTCCCCTTCCCGCCCTTAAATGTACATGTAGCAAAAATTAAAACGAAGTTCAGGCTCCAATGGTATGACATCCATTGTAATGACACTAATAATGAGGTCAAGATGGGGTTGCTCCAAGGGGTAACTAAAAATAAAAAATAAAACAAAACAAAATCCAGCACAATCCATTTCGAGTCGCGCTACCGGTTTAGAATCATCGATGCTGTGTTAGACATTGGGGGAGAGAAGATCATATTTGACACATCGTTCAACCTAATGCGAAAAAATTAGCCGAAAGGGTAAAGAGAAGGGGTGAAGAGAGACGACACAACCAAGGGCACTTGTTGACGATTGACTGGGCGGGCTCGACTTACATCTTCAACGCTCGCTTGGAGGAAACGTCTCGTTTCAAGGCCCATCCAAATCAGAATCATTGAGAAATCACCCGACTTGGCCATCTTTGCACCACTCTGGGCGCTCAATTGCCGAAGAATGGGCAGTGAACTCCTCAACAAGTCTGCGTTGGGGTTCAGGTTTCTTCCAATGCCCTCAAGCAGCAAAATACTGATTACAACATTCACGAAGTCTCCTCCAGACGCACGTGGTGATTTCTCACCATAGCTAGGACGCACTGGAGAATGTCTCCTAGCTTAATATTTCCCAGCGCTAACGTCCGTCCCTTGACGTCTAACACAAGGTGCTGCATCTTGAGCGCAAACACCTCCTTGTCGATTACGGCGTCGGGCTGCCTGCATCGCTCGCACATGAGATTTCCCGCCTTGTACCCATCAAACTCGGCCACGGCCCGAAAGAGATCAAGGAAATTTTGCCTGTTCGTATTATTAAGCTCTGTCACGAGGCCGGCATCGATGAAGATGAGCTGTGGTCTGTAGCCCTCGCGCTCTAGCCGCTGAAGTTCGGCCCTCCACGATTCCGGGTCCTTATTCCGCAAATGTGGCTCTAGGCGCGATCTAACAAGCTCCGTGGCGTCATTTGGTGGCTCAGTGATGGCGGGCGTTGGTTTCCAAAGTCGGGGATTTCTGGCTGCGCAGGTTGGTAGAAGCGCACCATGATGTTTCCAGGGTGTAGGTCTGCATGGACAAAATTGTCGAGAAGGAGCATTCGGAGAAACGCGTCGAGGCCTTCGTCGGCTATATCGGTACTAAAAACGCCACCGCCGTAGTCGAGGAAGGCGGAGAGGGGTATGCCATTGGCAAACTCTTCCACAAGCACATTACGGGTCGTCAATTCGGGATACGGATAAGGAAACCATGCGGTCGTGCGGTCTTTGAAGTGCTTTCGAAACCGGGCCAGGTTCGCCGCCTCTATCCGTAAGTCCAACTGGAGCTTCATCATATCCCCAAACTGGCCAACTTCGTCGGGCAAGGATAGCCATTCGATCGACGGGATGATGTCGAGAACACGTGCGAAAAACCCCATGATGCGCAGGTCCCGGCGCACTATCTTTTCAACCCTTGGATGCAGCACCTTGACAGCGACAGAGTGAGACGGCACCCTCTGCGGAGTCTGCTTGAGTATGTGTTGGACGTTGCGCACAACGTCCTGCCTAAGATTCCACGGCTCTCGTTCGAGGTCCGCATCACTCGGTATGGCGAGGTCGGGCCTCAGCTTCGCCTTGTATACCTGCGCAATGGCGCCGACGCCGAGGGGCCTTTCGTCGAACTCGGAAAATATATCTTCAAACTTTTGCCCGCCAAATGCCGCTTCGATAATTTTTCGAGTTTCGTGCATGGAGTGCGCCGGCGCGTGGGAGTGGAGCTTCGACATGACATCACACATCTGCGTAGGGAAGATATCGGTTCGGGAGGCCGCCCATTGCCCTAACTGGATGTCACGATCGCCATTAGAAACCGTCCAAGAAGGAAAGAAATAATAGAAGGGATATGTGTTTTTGGTGCCCAACACTTACTTTAATGAAGGCAGGGCCCGCCCATTCCATAGCCTGTACCAAAAATGCATACCACCACAGAGCCCCAACCCGTTCATTGTCGCGATCCGATTGCTTCCTCCCAACCCACATCACAGGAACAGCGAGCAGGACGGGGACGAATATGACCGTGAGGTGTAGAAATCGCGCGCCAGTGCATAGGGGCTCCCAAATATGAATGTCGATAAAGTAAAGGACTCGGTATAGTATTCGCGTTAGAGAGTTTGTTTGCTCTCTTCCCTTGGTGGTTTTCGACGCCTCTAACTCAGTGCGAGATGTTTCGAGGAGCCGTGCCTCCCAGGTTTTATCGGAATTATTGTCGCCATCCTCGCTGAGCTCAACGAAGGCAAGAGTTCCTAGGGCCGCTGCCCCAGAGGTTGACAAAAGAACGGTTGATACGCGATTGGGCCGTCGGAAATGTATCGTAGGGGGTCGACGGCTGGGTTGAAATTGTCTGTGATAGTTAGCTGAGCCACGAAAGGGTCGAAAGTAGCACGTCAGGCTTGTAGAGAAGGGTCGTATCCGGCCGGCGGAGCGATCAAAGAGACGCCATGCCGGTCCCATCTCGTGTTTCGGCCAGAATGGGTTTATTCTGTGGGAGAGGGAGTGTCCATTGAGCGTCGTTCGGTCCTTGACATTATTTTCAGCTCTAGGATACGGCTGCCAACGTCCCCAAAATGCATCGCATGATCAGTTCCAACTCTTCCTTTCAAGGCTTTTAGGGAATCCCACTTCCCCAATTACCTGTCGGTTGCGTCACGATCGGAAACTTGCGGGTCGAGCCCCCTTTGCAATTGCGTCGGCAAATCGCGGGTCATCCCCGGGTCAGCCTCGGCACACACTCCAATGTTTTTGTCCCCCATCTCAAATATCAACGCTTTCAACATCCACGGATTGACCATGAAGAGATCAATGACAAATTTAGAGGGCATACAGGACTTATACAGCAGGCAGCGCAAGCTCAAAATCTACAAATACCTTTCCTTCATATTCGTCGAGTATTAGTGGAAGTATTAGTGGAGAAATCCTAATGAATTATTTGACCCCAATTTGCGCGCCTTCCGAGCCATCCTTGTCTGCAAGGAATTCCTTGGTCAGATCAATCTGCTCAACAACCACCTCCCCTATTCCCCCAATCCCCCAATGCAAACCGTGACCCCCATTCGAGCCCACCTTCAACACATTAAACATATTCGTAGCAAAGATACCCACCTCTAGTGTCCATGACCTTACTAATGTTGATGTCGGGAATAATACCTAGCAATGTCAGATTATGCTCCAGGGTAGTTTCTCTGCTTGGATCAGAGGAACTCCATAGCTCCTGTAGTCGTCGGATTGCTTCGCTTGGTTTGCCAAAGATATTTGCTTCTTCTTCCTCAACATCACCAGGAACCTCAGGAAACCCGATATCAGGTGACTGGAAGCTGGGCCCGCCAATAGCATACATTCTATTATCAAGATCAGCCTCCTGCCAATCCCACCAAATCTTATCGACCCAAGCGTGGTGGACGTAGAATACCGGGTCGCCGGGCGATGCCAAAGCGTCTCCCATCTATAAGCCGTTAGCTACCCTTCTATTCGTGCCAGGGGACAGCGTCACCCCACAACTAGCAAGCTAAGTAGAGGCACCGAAGGTTCGGGTCACTGGTCACCCGACTTACCGTGCCTCCCACGCCCCCATGACCCCCACGATGGGGTGTGGTATATGCACAACGCCACATCTCTGTATAGTCGTTGGCTTCTAAGCACTTATCAACCTCTTCCCTAGCCGCCTTGAGCCCTGCAGTTTCATTGAGCGCACGTGAGATGCAGTGTTCGTTCAGCGAAAACCCGGGACCGATTGTACTTGTCAAGTTTGCGAAAGGTCCGTCTTCGATGCACCCTTTGAGGTCGCTTCCAAAGCCACCGAATCCGAGGCCCGATTCGAATATGGTAGACTTGATGAAATTTCCAGCTTCCCTGGTCTCATCCCAGTAACTACATAATGATATTTCAAGGTTAATGCGCCGTACGGCGGCAAGTGGGTGGGACTCGCCCATTATGGGCTCCTCTTCAGGGGGTTCTGCAACATAACAGCGATGCGACGACCTCGTATACTTACGGGAGACCTGCGTGGTAGCCGCACTCCTTCAGCAATGACTCATGGGCATGCAGTAGGTATCGATGGTAGGGGAAAATGTCCCCGTGGCATGGCTGGCACGGGCGCCAATCTGGTGGGTGGCAGCCAGCTCCTCGAAACGTGTTCTCGCGCCAGGAAGACCGAGGGTCTGCGGCGTTCTCATCACACAAAGCTGGGCATCGAGATATGAGCGTTTTTCGCCGTCCGAGAGAATCTGCCTTGGAAATAGAGAACAATAACAATAATGTAAGCTCGGGTTACGCTGCCTACACATAGCAAAGGCCTTACGGCGGAAGCGGCTTACCATGGACGTCGCAAACTTGGGTTGATACAGGGAGTTGAGTCTTGCATGTGCGGCACAAGTGTATGCGTATGCGCCATCCCAACGCCGGTGGCCAAGGCCGTTATTAGTCCCGCGAGGTTTTTCATCTCTCTCGTATCACCTCACTCAAACTTCACCAATGGTGCATGTTTTGGCATCAGCTTGGAGCTCGTTCTGGCGAAGAGTGGATGGTTTTATATTCCATTAAGCCATTACCAGACAATACCATTCTCTAAGGCTGCAGTCTGATCACTTGTTCGTAGCTGGGGAGACAAGAGGTGTAGGTTTGTAACAGCGACAGTAGCCGGGAAACACGTCAAGATAGCGTTCAGGTTGAACCCTACGCGAAAGTATGGATGGGAACAGCACCGCTTGGGCGGTGCCTCCTCTCACCGAAGGCGGTATTATTTTGGATGCGTTGGCCGATCAATTGACTCCGTGCTGTCTATTCATTGAGGCGGAGAACTCCGTTCTACACGTAGATTTGCGCGATTGATCAAACTTGGTGATGAAACCATATGTAGTTATAGTTTTGCTTTATCTTGCAGCTTCATCTTGCAGCTCACGGCACTATCCAAACTAAGTTCTTTACGAGCATTGAAGCCAGGGGTTGGACACTTCACCAGCTTAACCCTCCGTAACAACTCCCGATCTACCAACCACTCCTCCCACACGAGCAATGACGTTTGGGAAAGATGACCCAACATTAAACCTTCAAATTTTACTACACACTAAGACTCGCATCTCTAGACGAGGTGCCAAGATGATGTAGCTTCCAAACTATGAAGCTTTGTGTCGAACAGCCAACATACGACGGCAGCGCTCCACTTGATCGCCTTTGTAGGAACCAAAGGAGGTTCCGAGGAGCTGCAGTGCTGGAATCCGGAAATTTCGCGCAATATCTGCAAGCTGCATGTGGTTTCGAGAAACACGGCGTGCGATATCGTCATAGATACTTCAAGAGCGCATCACTCTAGATATCGGTCCGATTGATACATCCATGGATAGAAGAATCCTGATTGAACTGCAGTACAAAAACCTAAGCATTTATTCAAGCCGACATTACGCCAGCAGATATCGATAAGGAAAATCGTCGCGTTGAAGCTCGGTCCATTTGAGCCCCTCTAACCTTGTGTTGTGTTAGTTGGAGGCGTCGACGCATGGCATGCCAGCATCACACAATCCATCGGTATCGGCTGCAATGGCCTCAGATGCCATGGCGTAGAGAGAAGTGTATCCTCACTGATGGCTCCTGGAAATGACCGTGACTGAGACCCGATGCACTTTTCAACAATAATAAACGGGCCCACTCTCCCAAACATGGCATCCATCCATCCATGGATGAATGTGTTGAAAGGGGGTTACCCTATAGGTACCGCATATTCCAGGTATAAAAATATGGGTAACATTATGGACTTTCAACAGCATGTTCCCAGAAGAAAGACTTCCAATGCATTGAGAGAAGAGGCCTGACACTGGGACCCTCAATTGAACTGTCTAATAATACATTTATCTATGCTGTAGGATCCATCCATGGACCCAATGGACCCATTGGTTGATCCCTAAATCCATGATGGCGAATTTGGCCAGACAACCGCTCACAGCTTCAAGGTTGTGTTCCACTTTCTTTTATGTACTGTACTTGAACGTGGCAGCCAATGAAACTTGCCAGTCACCCCTTTTCTTCGCCATGGGTTAGGCTTGTAGTCCCACTCCAACCCCAACCCCAACCCCAACCCCTCACTGACAGACGACAGCCCAAACTTCTTATTACCTGAAAATACGAGATATCGGCGTTTGGGAGAACATTAGACACACCAATATCCAATAAGGAGGCGTAGGTTGACGTGGGAACAACCATTCTGGCAGCTTTTTATCAACAACATAAACAATAATTCCGACATGGCAGGTTCTTCGCAACTGCTACCCGAGACTATGAAGTCGTGGGTAGTGGTGAAAACGATGTACCCGCAAGAGCTCTTCAATTGGACGAGGCCACCTCGATCCCCACGGTCCAAGGTACCAACGTCCTAATTAGGGTGACTTACGCTTCACTGAACCCAGCAGACTTGCAGTTTATGAAAAGATTCCCACCCTCCTTCCTTTTCGCCGACGGCCCATCCCGGGCTTGGACTTTTGTGGAGAGGTTGTAGCGCTCGGCCCTTCCGCGGCAGCCGTTGCAGCCGCGAACGGGTTAGAAGTCGGCACGGTCGTGTGTGGCGCCATCCCCGCCTCCAGCATCGCTATTGGCGTTGGTTCGTTCGTTCAATATCTCGCTGTCGCAGCTGACATCCTTGTGCCGAAGCCTGTGAACCTGTCTGAGCCCGAGAGCGCGGGCCTGGGTATTGCAGGCCAAACTGCCGTGCTTGTGATGAAAGAAGCAGCAATAGAACCAGGCAATCGGGTATTGATCAACGGCGCTAGTGGTGGTGTTGGCACCCTACTTTGCCAGATGGTAGCTGCTCAGGGAGGCCGCGTTACGGCGATATGCTCGGGACCCAATGCGGGACTTGTCAAGAGACTAGGGGCGGTCGAGGTAAAGCGTATAGCCCTACTGTCCTTGCACTGGCACAATTGTTCGGAATAGACACTAATGGACTAACATGATGGATGCGGCAGGTTATCGACTACACGCTAAACAGCCCCGTCTACTATCATCTTGAGACAGAGTATGGAGACAATCCATTCGACGTCATAATTGACTGCGTCGGCAACCAGTTTCTTTATGATATGTGTGAAGCATATCTCAAACCCACGGGGATATTCCTCAACATCGTCGGTGGAGCTAGTGAAGGGGTTGTGCCATGGGTTAAGGGCAACCTTTGGCCGAAGGTGCTTGGGGGCACTCCCGAAAGTACAAGATACTAGCCCTAATGCCGAGCGGCCAGCTCCAGCGTGAAATCGTCCGTTATGTGAACGAAGGCCTTGTGAAAGAGGTCGTCATCGATTCCGAGTATGAATATGCAGACGCCATCAAGGTAAGAGTTTCCTTGTATCAATCACCCGTTCATGGCGCGCGTTTGACACCTAATTGAACCATTTCATGACAGGCTTATGAAAAGCTTGAAACGAAGAGAGCCAAGGGCAAGATTATTCTCAAGGTGGCGGTTTAAGAAGTTCCGGATGATAAGTGCATAAGAGGAGGCCTGGCCTTGTACATGAGTTGGGGGAAGGGGGTGCATGGAAAGTGAAAGCTATGCAACAACAACAGACGAACGTGTCTTGTCGAAGGAGGTTTTGTGGCTAATCCCTAACCACTAGCTGTAAATATCAATGTTTGTTAAACCGGTCAGCAAGAAAACAGGGCGTGTGGCGTAGTGGTATCGCGTTTGCTTCGCATAAATCATCGGATGAGTTCGATGGCGTCTGTAAAAGGTCACCGGTTCGATCCCGGTCACGTCCAAATTTTTTAAAAACTTTTTCTCCATGCGTAGGTTGAGTGGGGCGGGGAAGGAAGTGGGGCCTAGGCCTTCATTCAGACTGTTTGCACCGATCACTCCAATTTCTATTGGGGTAGCCGACAAAGAGCCCCTTATTCATCGAAAACCTTGAGCCAGAATTATGGGCTCTGTCAACAAGAGAAAGATGGAATTTGCTTCCACGATGAGGGACACTGTCCGTGGACACGAGTGTGAGGCTGTGGGGGTGGGGGTGCAGGGGCGGACTTGGAGAGCAGGATAATCCTCAAGGATCAGTTAGCTCGCTCATATTGTGGTGAGAGGACATTTGGGTGGTGCGTGCCCTGATATCTGTTGGGCGGGTGTAGTTGGTATTCGGCCTTGGCTTCGGGTGATTGAACTTTGATTGCACTTCCACCCCTGATTTCCTTCTCCGCAAAACGGGAAGGTACCACTTGGAGATAAAGAGATGCGCCTTGTGCATCACAATTGGCACGATGCACAACGAGCGTGTTACTAGTGCCAGAAATTCCAGGACGGAAGGAAACCGTACCAACGGCAAAGTCGGCAGTTCTACTCCTAAAGCGAAGTCACATTGCACTTCAATTTAGATAGATACTGGGCTCCCGGCTCGTTTATCCACTGATAATTACGGATCAGCGATGGAGACTGAGGCCTTGTCCCTCTGCTGTGCGCCAATACTCCTTCCGCTGATATTTTTTTGTTTTGTTGAATCAATCATTAATCCATGTCAGGCAAGGGATACTAGCGCATGGCCTCCAGGGCAACGAGTTCCAAGCCCGCTCGCCCATCACTTGTCAGACGGAATCAATCCATGGAGAGAGATGACAAAGCCTCCATTATCGTACGTACCACTTCGTACTGAGGTAGAGTACAAGTGTATCGTCTGTCGCACCCTGTCTTGGCCTCATACATTAGCTTGGTGGCTGGCAGACCCCGGGCTCGAGACGATCGTGGAAAAGGAGGCCTGGAGGAGACAATATGATGAATGAAATTAATGAGAACAAAAATACGAGTACGAGATGGCAACAAGGTACCCTGAAAACTACCACAAATGTCGGATCGGCAAACCCGAACACCAAAGGAAATAGTAATCCTTTTGGAGCATGGTGAGAGAGGAAGCGAGTCGAGTGTTTCTGCCATGCTTGGATGTAGATACTCTTGGCTGGATTCGTTCCGTTCTTCGAGTTGATCAACAGCGGCGCTTGGCCGGTGTGCGGCAAGTAGGAGGATGGCTGAGCTGATGGATTGATGAGTTGATTGTCTCGGGACCTGGACCAAGTCAGAGTGTATGAGCCACAACTCGGGGGGCTGAGAAAAGGTCATTTGTTGGGATGAATATCATGGCCAAGATTCGTACCAAAAGACAACCGACGGGTTCCCACAACCTCGCCGGTAAGTTGCGGGATCATGCGGCCCCGGTTCGCCCCGCCATAATGACACCGCTGCAGGAAGAGGTGAAAACCACGAAGCCCTCTGCCGGGCGACCAGTGGGTATCATGGCAAGCAATCCCGGGAACGATGTGCATGCCAAGGTCCAACTCAGGTGTGTGGAAGAAGCGAGATGTAAATGCATCCATGTCACGTAGGGGAAGTGTGCTAGTCACATTACGTCCAGGTGCCACCCGGCTGAACGGCCAGAGATTATGAGGATCCATGCCATGGATGTGAAAAGAGTCACATGGACCGAGATGAGCTGAGGTGAGTAGACCTTGTAACAGGCCCGCGCAGCTAGTCATTAGGCTATGAGTTTAGAAGCCCCCGGTTAGAATGAGTTGGGATGCAGTATTACTCGTAGCCTCAGGGGGTGAAGTCTCAATTCGGCTGCTCTCATCTTACAGTCCTTCAGGGGTAACGAGATACTCGGGTGGTTGGGTATTGATATGGAGTTGTACATAGCGACGCAGCAACCGGAAGGCTCGCTGTGTAGCCGGATGGGCTGTTTAAGAAGGGAGGCCCTCCAGTTTCTTGTGGCCAAAATCTTCAACTTCCCATCCACAATTATTCCTACAGCCTGTTACCTCGATCTAGACAACGAGATTCCACCTCCTTTATTGCAACTATGGCACCCCATGCGGGGCGGATGACGATATGCGATCCGAGACAAGCGTGGACTCACATCCACTCGCATTCCCTGCCGCTGATGTTGGCGAAGTTCGAAGAATACTCACAGTCATTAGAGAAAGAACTTCGTGAAAAGGTCGGCTTCAGAATGGCAATCAGCTTCGTGTTGTCATACGTCATGGTCGTACACAACGTGCTCCGCCAGGTATTGGAAGCAATGAAACATGGTCTGCTGGTTGTAGCAGGGGTCATGAAGGCCGAGTTGAATCTAGACGCGCAGTTCGATCTGCACAAGCAGTTTCTGGGACTCAACCGACGCCTTCACAAGCTAACGAAGGCTGACGAAATGAAAGCTGAGTTGGAAAACCTCGTCAAGGCTCATAGCGCCGCATTCGGAGAGCTGCCACCTCCGCCCCCAGCGTTAACCGTCTTGACCACAGCACAACGAGCACCCGCAGCACCCACAGCAGCTCAATTGTCGGAACTCCCGAAGCCGAATTCGAATCATGAGTCTGACGATGACGCCGAAGACGATACCGAAGCTGATACCGAAGCGGACGACGAAGATAATGCCTCGAGCCCCGATGATGTCGGAGAGAGTATCTCTAGTACTATTACGTTCATCAACCTTGAAGTCCACCTCCTCACGAAGATTTCGAGCCAAAGCCAACACTCATTGCTATGGTACATAAACGATCAACTTAACATACATGGTTCGAATATGAGAGTTAAGGGGCTCGTCTCAGCCGAGGTGGACAAGTCGAATTGTTCTTCGAAACTAGGGAAGAGAAGTCGGCATTCGATCTCAACATGGCAGTCTGGCTGCCGGGGAACCACAGCTCTGGGACGATGATTATTCAGTTATAATCGGTGACGTCGCAAGGAAGGATCTCCGCCTCAATGGCGACAACAAACTCAAGTTTCTGAAGGCTTTTAAGCGGCAAAACACACATGTTGGGTTTTCTGCTCGCCCTTCTGATGCTCGTTGGTACGGGTCCGAAGTCACCGTCAAGGGAAAGGTGGTAGTCACCTTTGCGAACGAAGAGGATATGCACAAAGCGGTCAATGCTAAGCGTCTAACATGGAACGGCCAGCGGCGTGCTGTATCCAGCTATCACCGCGAAAGCAAGCGGAATTCCCAGTGCGCGAGATGCCAAGGACATGGGCATACACAAGCAACCTGCAAAGACCGTCAGAAATGCACATTTTGTGGTCGTAACCATGAGAGCTTACGCTGCCGGACTCCGGTGCCTTCCAAGTGTTGTAATTGCCAGGGCCAACATCCGGCGTACCACGACACTTGTCCGACGAGGTTGACTAGACGGCAAACCAATAACACCGCCCCAGTCAGGGCCCAGAATCACGGAGTGCAATATACAGGAGGCAATGGACTGTCGGCATGGGAAGCCCAGCGCGGTCCAGTCAGGCACCGGCACAATGACTCCCTCGATCGGCCGATCACCGGTTTAACCCCTCCAACGCAACATCCCCTTGGCTAAAAGAACCAGGAGGAAATCTATGGCAGAGACAACCACACCATGGCCGTTTCAAGTTCCCACAGGTGGTGGGCCGCCTCTATCCTCGCCGATGATTCCCCAGTCGCGAGAACCTTTCGACGAACGTGAGTTTCAGTATATTCATCATGAGAGATCCGAGCCACTTGTACCACAATCTGAATGGAAACACTCGTCTCTTGAGAGGAGGTATGATGAAGGTTTGGGCAAGGGTTCCAGCCGAACCCCACGCCACGAGAACGAGGATATGAGGGACATGTCGTTTGGGGATAACTACCAAGGAAGACGGGTAACAACTTGGGGGTATCAGCGATGATACGCGAGAAAGGCGGAACTGGGGAGAAGATGAGCTTGCTCGAAGTGGATAGCGAGGAGTGGGTGAACTTTCTCCAGTTAGAAACTGAAGAATGAGCGACAGACTAAAGTGCAAATGCCCTCCCTCACGAGGGATCGGAATGTGGTGAGACTATCAAGGGATTATGGTCGTGTGGGATGAAAAGGCGTGGTATAGTGGAGCCTCAGCGGATGGTTAATGGGTATGTATTCTATTCATAACGGGGCCATAGACTGTATTAATGGGGGCCTGGTGAGAGCATGTAGAGTAAAGTTGAGCATTTTTCTTGGTCGTCATAAGTTCCCCTCCTTGTGGTACCTTTCTTGACTTATTCTAGTTTTTAAATGGATGAAACGGAGATAGAATGGGTAGATGTATCCATAGATGATGATGATGATGATGGGATGAAGAGGTTCCTAGAAGAGAACCGTTTCGAACTAAATCCATGTAAGACGTTCGAACTGATCGGGGGCATAACTAACGGTGGTGCTAATTCAGGACCTTATTCTCAGCCCAACAGACATTGCCTATTAGCAGACCGTCACTAAAGACAGCGTATGTTGGCGGTTGGGCTAGCGAGAGCATCACTGTCGGTGTTGCCTAATCACATTACGTACAGGGCGGCGGGGATAGGTAGATCAACGGTAAGATCATAGCGGCGTGGAGGGGGTGAAGGGTTAGAAAGTAGATTGGGGCCCGTAGATTCATGAATCACAATATTCATGTGGTTGCTTCCGTTTTGATTCTTCCTCTGCGCTTTTTGAAGATCTTGCTGACGAGTCTCTCACCTCATTCTCGAGTCTTTCTTCGAGTCTTTGTCAGGATAAAGGGAAATAAAAGAAGGTCGCCAACGGGTCCCAGCTGGATTTACATAGAGGCGGTCTCTGGGGAACCCCGCAGGGAACCCGCCGGAGGTCCGCTCTCGGAAAGGGAACAATACTGGCTAAGTCAGCAAAGCCCTATAGACTGAGAGCAAACCTGTAGATGAACCTCAGCTTGTTAAGGGTAAGGAGAAGCAATATAAAAGAGGGAAAATATATAAAGCGTAAGAAGCAAGAAGGGACGAGGGCGAGGGAATAGCGGACTTATAGAGAGTGAATAAAAAAGGGAGAAGGCGAGAAGGGGTTGGGAGGTTAGCGATTAGTGAAGCTAGTAACTTACGCCTACCTTGCCCATCCATCAGCTACCCTTTGTCCCCTCGCTACCAGTCCGCGTGTACTGTACCTCGTCACTCTACGAGACGACACCCGTACAGTCTTTCTTCAACTCTTTCTTCCTACACCTTCCTTGGCCGCTCTTCCTCTTCCCTGACTGACGCGGAGATGTTGAGACCGCATATCTAGAGAGCTACCAGTGACATTTTGTAAAGCAACAATCCAGAAGGCTAGGGGTCGGCGAGGTCAGCTAAGCGTTCCTAGCCTACATTGTACCACCTACATTCCGAGTACAGCGGTAATGACGCGTGGTTTACCGGGGCCACTGCGCCAGGAGAGCATCGAGAGATGGAGACCAAAGACCTCCCTCCCTTGCCTCTGGCAAAGGGCCAGGGAGAGCTGGGGACAAGTTAAATAGGGCACGCGGACGATATTGTTGATCAGTGTACATGTAAAGGGATGTGGGAGAGGGCACCCTCAAGCAGTAAGGGGTAAAGGTCATGGAGTGAGTGCGGAAAGTGGTCTGCGTTGGTTGGAGAATCGCAAGTCAAACCTCGGTTTATAAAGCCCTATTCGACCAAGGCTATACACACCAATCTCTTCGTTTGATATACAGTCCACCCTGTTATCACTTCCAAACGCCTAACTGTGACTATGGTATTGTGTAAGAATCTATTACCTAGCGACCTTTGAGGACTGGTAACCCTCGTAGCGACTTGGAGATCACGATATCTCTCCAACGACTTACTAATAGCTCGGTTGTCAGCAAGCTAGTTGGCGCGACCTGTATTCGTAACACGGTGAGTGCTGTATTGTAGAAGCGATCGGGGCTACAAGTGGCGCGGTGAGGGAATCAAATAATAGTAAGATATCATGGTGTGTAACGCGTATTCATGTGACGGTGTTAGGGGCGACTTGAATTAACTATTATAAAGTATATCGAACTTCCTTTCCTCTAAGGGCTATCGGCCTCCTTATATTGGCCTTCTTTCCTAGACGGTTGCTCTGGTCTTCATCGTCGTCTATGCTTGTTCTATCCAATCCGCGGGGGCCTTCGGTCGGACAGGTTTCGTTCGATCTGACATCTAATCGTTCACCGGGTCAGTCGACCGACTATCCGTTCGCCTTTCTTAGTCACCCTTCTTTCCGCTGGCTTACATCGCCATGATCCTTCTTGGACCAATAGCATATGACACTCCAATGGCCATAGGTCTGGGCCATATATCCCCTTTGTGCCCATGCTTTTGATGTAAGCATGAGGCCGCTCCTTTACTATACTATGGCATTTGCCTAGCCTGTATGTAATGGGGTGGCGTATCCGATACACCGCTCAGGTAACAAAGTCAGGTCACGGATCACGATCGGACAAGACTGTTAAAAGTTTGCTGGCGTCGCCAGCTGTCGTCAGTGAACCGGGGTTCACTGTGGGCGGAAGCGTTCACAGTCTGTCTGCAAGGCATGGTCGTCGACTGGTTACCGTTGGCTCCCAGTCGATGAAGCCGGTTACCGTTGGCTCCGGTGGCTGCTGGTCGGTTGGCGTGCAGGCTGTCGTGTTCGCTTATTCCTGGTAATGATTGACGAGCGATCGTGCATGCTAATTGCAAGCAGTCGGTGTTCACCTCGTATCACGTATGGTGTGTTCACTATGGTATGATAATTGAGGTAGTAAAGTTCGTGTCTTCTCTAACTGCTGAACCTATCTATCTAGTGTCTTTTATATCGGTTCGCTGGTGCGCATGCTGGCTGCTTGAGGCGCCACTTGGTTGTCTGCGCTGGCTGGCGTCCTTGCTTCCTTGTATGCTAAGAGTGTTGACAGATGTTAGGACTTTTCCATGTAATAGGTGTAGAGCCCGCGCTAGATTTACACACTCATAGGTTCCCTCTCCTACTTATATATAGACTCGTATATGTGTTTATATAGAGTAAGAAGGAGTATAATACTGTTACGACAAAAGGTCGTGCTAACTGGCTTGCTGACAACCGAGCTGTCAGGAAGCCGTTGGAGAGATAGTGGTATCTCTGGAGTGATCGTGTGATCACTCGGTCGCTGCGAGGGTTGCCAATCCTCAAGGGTCGCTACGGCAATACGTCCTTACACAATACCATAGTCATAAGGGAAGCTAGGTATTAGAAGTAAGTAAGTAAGTAAGATAGTTCTACCTTCCTGGCTACCTATCTACTAGATGACCCCTGTATATCCTCCTGGATCCTAGATGGTGATCACGTGGGCCATCGGGTGATCTTCAGCTGATATCCATGGGCTGCAGCGGAACGCTGCATCCACATCCAGCCAGCTATGGCAGCTATGGCCAGCGTGGCTATAGCTGCTAGGGAGCTTTGGTATAACAAATACTGTCTAAGTAAGGTATATAGGGTAGAGTAAAATATATGAGTAATGTACTATATTATTACTATTTATATTATACTATTTCCTTAACTTTAATATAGTATATAGTCTATCTTCCCTTTCCTAATAAAAGGGAAATGTAAAGGAATAGTTCGGATCCGGGGCAGAGCCGGCCTGCGGCGAGCCCCGACCACACCCCAAACCCACTCCAAGCGCACCTAATGTTACGAAGATTACCCGAGTCGCCAGCAACTAAGGAAGCTAGGCTGAGACCGATATCTCAGACTTGAACCTAGCTCTAGTGAAGGACCGGAGATGGTTTGGAAACGAGTCATCGGTCTAAGATTTGGACAGATATCACCTAGACGAGCCAGCGATCTAGGATCTGGACAGATCTCATCTAGAAGGGTAGACACATAATATAAAGAGAAGCATAATCGCAGAGCTAGAATAGGAAGGAAGGCTCTATAAGCTGAAGTCTATACCCGCGATTTAGCGAACCCACATAGAACTCCCTCCGTGCCTATTCTGTGAATCCCCCATCTCCGCTTAAGTGTCCCCTGCATATCCCCTTATAGGAAATAACGTGTTAAATGTTCAACGCTTATCACCTGATTTATGTCTGGTGTCGCGGCGCCCTCGTAACGTCCTCGTCTCGTCGTAGGTGCGCTCTTATCTCTAGTATATAGCTTTAGGCTCGCTGCGGACGCCCCCTAGCGTAGGCAGTGATCTATATAGGGGCGAACCTCTATTGCGCTCCTACTATATCCCCTAGTACTTAGCCTATTACGTCGCCTAGCCCCGCCGACCCGGCGTCCCTACCCTCGCCGCGTCGGGGGCAACTATTAATCCTATGTCTTAGATTGTTAAGCCAACGGAGGTCGCCACCTAGCTGGCAACGTAAAGAGACAACGGACCCCATAAGTTTACGATTCCGACCCGCTAGGAACCACGACTAAGCGTTCATA